ACAGTGACTGCTACAGTATTCAACGACTAAACAATCGCATCGACAGAATGTTTCCAAACACGCATCGTATTTTGGACATCACATCATAAGCTACTCTGTTGTTTGTCATGGTTTGCTGACTGTTCAACAAACACCAGTGTTGCAAGGCGTATGACTACACACCACATCACACTACACTGTCAGATACTGTCAGATACTATCCGATACTGCACATATTATGGCACACCACGCTACACCACATTGCATCACATACATTGCTTGATACCATCGATTTTAGATCATGCAAACAGTCTAGTATAACGGTAGATCTACGTCAAACAATTGCAATCACACAGACTCGGACTCGGACTCGAACTGTCCACCAAACAATCAACCAGGCGTTGATGTCAATACACGCCATACATGTAGTCAGTGTATGTACAAACAAAATACATGCTCTGACTGCAACATAAATACAAATGTTTACACCAATCGGCTAGAATCCACCAATTTGGTACAAATTATCACACGATTGTCACAAATATTGACAACCATGACAATCGTGACAACCATGACACAATCTGATAAAATGGGTTTAAACTCGATTTAAAAACTTGCATATTGTTGTCAGCACATATCATACAAATGCTACACTACACATGGCTGTATACAATGTAACGTGTGTCGTGTTTGCAGTGCTTGCAGTATTTGCAATGTCTGTCAAACGCATTGTATCGCATCCAGTCGTGTCACTCAGTTTGAAGTAGCCGTGATACTAGAACAGTAATCTACATTGATAACATCATCCAAATACATATATTGGACAGCACAGTCAACCATGTCGTGTTTGGTAGTCGTGTGTACCAGTTCAATTGACCATGTGTTCGATTGACAATGTGTCCATTTTAAAGCATTTTTGTTGATTGCATTACACCGGTATATTGAACTCGGATGGTATTTCAAATGTCGGATAAGCAATTATCTGTACTACGGCTATGATTATCCGTTGACCGTTGATCATTATGCATTATACATTATATATTGGCACTATATGTGTGTACCGTTTGGTCATGACTGACGAATACACAACAGTCTGATACTAACACAATACAACAATCAACACAGCGTGCATACTAAACACCAATAATCATGTATATTGTCAACTCAACACTGTCGGTATATCATATACATACACCAATACACTAATGTACAGTATGCGACTGTATATGACTATATATAACTGTGTACAATACATTATAAACAACTTTTTGGATATTGTCAATTTAGTTTATTGTGTAATGAATGCAATATGTATATGATCAATGCAAATGGTCAAGTATTTACAAGATTATGAACTAAACAGGTCAAGGACCTGTAGTTGCAAGTGTTTTGCTCTTGTTGACAGTATAGCGCCGTTCAAAAATGGTTTTTGTAAAAATAGTGTACAAGACTTTTGAGAATCCAAAGACTTCACCGTCGAGTGACATGCCAACATCAACTGATAGATTTACATCGAATGAGGCCGGGCCAGAGTCGAGTCGTTTGATGTTTTCAAGGTTTGATATGTCTTTTTGGATACCAAAGTTGATGCCAACTTTGTTTGCAATCGACAGTGACGTTTCCAAAAGATCAAATTTAAACACTTCGGCTGCAAGTTTAAGTTTTGGGGTGAGTGCAAATTCCAGTCGTGTTTCAGCAACAAGCTTGTCGGCTTCGACGTTGCTAGTATATACAGGATTGAACCCACGGTATGTGTTTTTTTCATTAGATGCAATGCTGGTTTCAAAGTTGGAATAGGACACGGTCAGATTTGCTTTTGATCGGACTTCAGCCGAAATGCTCGCATCCATGTTAAACTCAAAAACTAGCTTAGGGCCAAGAGACAGCACTCCAGGAATGTATATCGGAGTCAGTGGGTACTCAAAAATTGGAATGGAAACCAATCGTTTGTCTAATCTGACACCTATGTCAAACGACAGCATGGCATACATGTCTATGTCACCTTCCCAGGTCAATGAATATTTTGGCTTTTTGAACAGTCGACCGGATGCACGAAATAAAAGTGTCGTTTGTGCTTTGATGCCACATGGATTGCAACCGACTCGGAATACACCGCCTACATCTGTTGGGTTAAGTTCGACTGATGGACTGGCTTTCAGATCCAAGTTGAGTGCGATACCAACAGTTTTGGCGTTTGGTTTGGATACTCGACCACGCTTTTGCAGTAAATGGGTGCTAGCTTGACCATTAGAAATATCATCAGCAGTGATACCACCACCCTGGCTGCTTTCGACACCAGGAAGTGCAAGAATTTCAAAACTGCCAGTAACACCAGCCTTTTCTGGGTTAGTGGTTGTAAACACGACAATTTTTCGTTGAGCGTCAAGCATCCAGTCGGTAGCAAGAAGTAGAGCCTGCTCGGCTGAATTGCCAACTCCACAACCATGTTGCGATCCAATCACCAACAGGGTTTTTTGGACTTTCCAGTTGGTGCTTGGCAGTGGTTCAGTAAGCACCATCGTAACTCGATCTTGGTTACATTTAATAGACAAAAGGCTTTGGATATTGTCGAGATTGACAGATGGGACGTTTGCAGTGATTTTCATTCCAGCCACGACAATCGAATCACGGCCTTTGAGCGGATCGTACCATTGCAAAATGGTTTCAGGTGATGGCGTTTGATCTTGGAGATATGGACGAATTTTAAGAATATTTATAAATCGGTTTACATGTTTTACTTTGTTGGCAAGCCCTTTGAACCTAGAAGCTCTAGCCAACGACACGGGAGTTGCATTTACAACGCAGATTATCAACAGAATTAGAGTGACAAATAACATATTTATATGGTTTGTACTTGGTGAATTTGCAAGGTTTGATACAGTTGTTGTTGAGATTATGGCTTAGATTGAGCAAAAACAGCCTGTTTTTATATTCCAACCGACAGTCGATGCATCGCATGTTGCTTTGTTTTAGTTTTCTGTTTCACAGGATCAGGGTGGAGTCTACACTGGTATTACAATGAGGGTTGGTCGCCCTTAATTTAGCTGTGCAAGACAAAAACACACTATTTATAACTTGTCTCGAATAATAGCTCTTAAATACTGTCATATACGAGTGCATCACACATACCACATTGCCATTTTTACGAGCATCACTATATATAGCATGTAGACTAGTGGTTTCACATTCGAGATTTGAGCCGAGTGGTTAGACATACACCAGCTCATATATCGATAGCGTCAATTCAAACCCGACATTTACTGCTTTTAGGCTGTGAATGGCCCTTAACAGTCTGGTTGATTAAAATGTTGTTGAACATATACGATCAAATGTATCAATCACTACTGCACAGCTGATTATTAGTTGTATTGCGTTTGTAAAACTAACACATCCGCCCTGATTTAAGCCAGTGCTAATGTGCTGGCTGAACAGCACGTCTAATAAGCAAACCATACGCATCTGGACTCGAAAGCAACTGCACAGCATTCAGATTGATCTACGAGACTGTGGGGTTCAACAAATCGGCTGCTATGGGTTTTTAGCTTTCTGATTGAGGCTCAGTTGTTAATTTCAGTTTGCATAGCCTGGATCACATTGTTTAAACGTGAGCCACAATACAAGAGCATCGTCACAATATGTATCAAGTCTATTGTTGTATAATGTCAGCACTGCTATGTTGAATCATGATGGGCTATCCGGATGTAGTTGTGATATTAAGAGCTGTGCCATTTGTGTGGAAAATACGATATATCGACCAACAATCAAAACAGTTGGCACAATAGACACCATTGATGTGTTCTGGCTAACAATACAATTGGACATGTCATGTCATTAAATGACAAATATGCAATGTAGTAGCCAGAGTGGTCTGATAAAGCATGATACGATAAACAATACAGTCAGACACCAGGACAGTATCAAGAAATGAGTATACAAGTGTAACTGATTCGAGATCAATTATCATGTCATACCCGAGTCTTGCGATAAATGCAGCAACCATGATCAAGCATTCAATGTCGTATGTCCAGTGACCAATGTCCAATGTCGTATGTAACGTGAATGGTTTATTGCCAGTGTTGTATACCAACTACTGGACATATCAAAATATACAATACATGTTGCAAATGATTTATAAATCAATATACAGTCGTATTCACATACAATCAATCACGACACAAATGTCGATATACATAATACACAGCCAATACCATGTCATGATTGGTGTCGGTTTACTGTACAACACTGTATTATTCTGACAAAGTCGATTGGTTACTATGCGTGCTCATTTTTGTATAAACCAACTGGACGAGTGTTTACATATTCATGACATATTCATGACACTTGATCAATCCGCGACTCTGCATTCAGTCAATCCAGACATTACAAGTAAACACTGTTCGACATGCAAACAACCGCTGCATTCCAAAATGCACAATCTGTTGAACTAGATCGTGAACATACCCAGAGTGTTAAAATACAACACATACGAATGTGTGCACAGTTTGACCGACAGCATCGGACCAGTCAACACTGATATATCAGTTGCAATGTATGAATTTGAGTTGAACTTGTCGATCGTGCAATGTATGACTGCCAACAATGGTCAAAAATGATCAACAATAGTCAACAATGATCAAAAATGATCAAAATACAACATCTGAATACACCAGTCCAGTTCAAACCTATAGCGTCATCGTGTGTCGTATGATGATCGTTGTGTTTGAATACTGACAACTTCCAATAGGAAAATGCAACATTCAGCCATTGTTTATTCGAGGCCGTCACTGCAAGATAAATACAAATGTGTATTTTATGCGAATACAGCTGTAATAGTGGCAAGTGGTGGTAGATTTTAAAAGTTTATAAACCGCTTGTAGGCTAATTTATCATCAATTTCCAATATCTGATGATTAAATCAACTAACATTATAGTCACCCATTTCAGCATGTAACTATTTATTGTGATGCAGTAGCGCTAATATCTTGGCCAATGATTTGCACAATCAACACCAAGCTAAATGCTCAGTTAAAGTATAATTTCAAATATTCACACCCATCAATAGGCGTCAAGACTGTGTAGAATACAAGTATGCCAGATATGTATAATCCCCATGCAAGAACTAAAAAAAGTTTGTAGCAATTAAAAAATCAGTTTAATCACATACCAAAATAGTATTGGGCTTTGTAGATTCAAGTTGAAAATAGCAATAAATTAAACTTACCTTGGGATTTTAAAGGGCCAGATACAAGAGAATCTAAGTTTGGAAATCCCACAATGTTACAGAAAATATGAGTGGCAATGGGCCCATACAACGATCCTGTTCGAATAAACAGGTACGTTGCAAGCCATCCAAAAACCATAGTATACATCAGTTGAAAGACTACCAGCAAAAGTGAAAGTATGAATCAGATGGCATATAAACTATAAATTCATGGATATGCCTAAAATAAATAGGCGGTGAATTAAATACAAAAATCATACTTGAACTAGTAGCTGCGTGTATGATGGATCGACGAGTATAACCACCATCACGGATGACTTCCCATGCGTGGTGCAGATGAGCTAATTTGTAAAACAGAGTTTAGATCTACCTAGATGATGCATACAATACGCAAAATGATATCAAGCTTGGTGTAGATTGACCTACTCACCAATACCAAAAAACAGGGGCAAACACCAGATTGTCTGTCTAGCACTGAATCCCCCAGCAAGCATAATAGGAACCATGTAGCCACGAAACACAATTTCTTCAACAATCGGACCCTAAAACATTGCATGATACCCACTCAAATATGAGTGCTCATAAATTCAAATACAGCTCAAGTATATTCGAATATCAAATTCGTGGCCAGATCTTCAGAATGAAACCTACCACTACCCAATTACGAATAGTAATCAAGTTTTTGTCAGGACTGTCAAGTGCCTGCTGCATCTGGATGTATATTTCCATGTGATCCAATACGAGTGGGCCAAGGAACAGTGCTCCACAAATACCAAGAGATACTGCAATAGATGAGATGGGTGAATGAGAAACGATGCCAACATACTTGAATGTGTTCCAGACCTATCCCAGTTTAAGCAACGATTGTAGATAAGTCTGAGAAGTTGAATAAAGCACCCGAGTCTGTCAAAAACTCTAGTGTTACCTCTAGCCAAATGCTATAAAGAGTGTGTCTAATTGGATCTACATGCTCAATAGGTTTCCTTGCAGAAGCAAGCAGACCTACTACAAGAACAAACCCAATTGCACAGGTCAATGCAACCGCCTTAAATCGCTGTCGGATCACATCGGGGTCATTACGAGATCTGGAAATAGCTCCAGGAAATAGATAGAACGAGCCCACAAATAATGTAGATAAGAACAGACAACTGCTCATAGCAGCAAGCCAAGTCAAGCCATGAACTGTGCTGGTTTGTGGCATGATGTGGTATTACAAACAAGATGACTGGATATTTATCAGCAATCTACTGCCAACTCAAAATGTAAATTCATTAATCTTGATTCATCATGGAAACACACCGATTATAAACTCAAATCTACAATATGTTCAAAGCCAAGAATTTGGTAAACTGCCACTTTGGCATTATTTCATTTGTGGGAGAAAAAGCAAAGTACGGTGTTAAAAAGCCTTGACCATGTTTTCAAGTTAAAGATCAACCCGACTAGAAATATAAAAGTTAGCAAAATAGATTGAGCCATAAAGCACACTTGAATAAACTTACCTTGAATAGTAGAATTGCAATTTGACCCAAGTAAAAATAGATGAAATGCTAAAAATAAAATCCATGAGCAATGCTGAAATTGAACCCAGCAGTAACAAGCAAAATATACAAACCTTTGTTTCATGTGTAACATATGAGCCAAAGTTTCGACCAACAATACAGTGCCATGTGGGGTTGTATTTTTTGTCAAACTCACGTTTGATAAAAGCAGCAATATCCTTTTCAATGTTGTACTTTTCCATTGCCTGAGTAGCACAGTCGACAGCATCTTGCTGCATTTCTTCGCTCATGTCGGCATTCTTGATGACAGCCTTTCTGTCAGACATTATGAAATATGGCTTTTGCTAAGATAGATATAAGACAGACTAATTCTAATACAATAAATTAGTTTGACTTGTCAAGAAGCCAGACACGCGTAATGGTCAGCACCAAACACGCGTGAAACCTACAAGCCCATCTACAAATGAAGAATAATACATTTGGTGGCATGCTGTAAAGAGATAAAGGATATACCCAAGTATCATTAACCTTACATATAGGCTACGCTTGAATAATAGGGAAATTTAGATTTAAATAAGCCAGTATCTAGAAAACGACGGCTTTAACGATACTTTAAACACTGAATCAAATGCAGGAAATGGTGTTTTAGATGGCAATAGCGTAGCTTAGATAATGGGTTATCAAGACAAGATGAAAAACAGTGGCGCTCATTTATAATAGTAGTGGCTAATCAAAGGGGCTGGAGTGAATCAAGAAACTGTGTGATATACTAATCACTTCCCAAACCATAGATATAGGCAAAACTAGCCATCTATAATGGCATTATAGATAGCCAGCAGTCCAGTGTAAAGCTATTGCTCCGTTCAAGTCAGTCAACAGTAGTTGGCTGACAGTATACAAGCTGGTTGACAATAAAAGAATAAATTCATAGCAGACATGAATGCATATGCAAGCAACTAGTCTCGACACCAACACACCAAATATCAAACACTTACACTGAGAGTTGGAGTTGGCTGAAGAGCGAGAACTGCGACATTTATGTTACCGTGCGTACCCTCAGGATAGTAGAATGCCAAAAAATTCAATCTGAATTCCTGTCTGCTGTATGACCGACCATCTTGCTCTTGTTACGGCTCTGTCCTCTGGCGCTGCACATCTCTCTCTCAAGGCACGTATTCAAACTGTCTATAATAATTCATATCAAATTACTTTAATCCTAGCATCAGGAATATCTGTAGTTGCTCACTCAAGCTTAAACTTGGTTACATTAGGAATGGATTGATTTGGTTTTATTTGGAACTGCCAATTGGATAGACTCTCCTGAGTCTACATTGCTTGTTAAAGCATTATTTCATCTATTTAGTGACAAGGTACAGTTTATAGTTGGTTTTAATTCAAGATTCTGGCGTTTTCTGCAGGCTTCCAATTTAAACAAGGGAATACAATCTAATCTGTACTAATTCAATCTGTATTATAACTGTCAAGCATTAACTAACTGTTTTTGATTTTATTGATCTATATGATTTCTGGAGTATAGCATTCCTTTGGGATCACCCCAGATCCAGCCCACATGCTGACACTAGTCACCAAATCCGTCGAATTTTTAATTCAACAGCAAAGGCAATTCATGTCATCTCAAAATGAGATTCCATCTGCCCCACCAACATCACGAATTCTCCCCACTAGATCACGACCAGACAGTCCATCTCAAGGCATTACTCCTCTTAGATCCATGGCCATTGTCTTGTTTGAAAATGCTGTATTTTGCCCTGATGTAAGCACGAATTGTTTAATGTTTCCTGTTTGAATAGCTCAAGTGCGTTGAAGCTATCTATAATTGATAACTCCAATCTATACTAAAAATAAATTTCAACAAATCACTGAATCTATATCATTCACTAGCTACATGACTCACTACTCAATCTACTGACCCCGTTAAGCCAAGATTCTTCCAATCTCAATTCTCGCCGTCTTGCAATAGTCTGTCTTGGTAATATGTGCGCAAAATCAGGTGCAAAGTTCATACCACTATTGAGACATGCTAGCGCTGCACTCATAGCCATAGTAGTAAAACATTCGGTAGTTCCTTCACAGATTCTCGCCCAATCTTTGCGTAGTCTTTATATGATTGTAAATGAAAACAAGACTATTTCAGGCGAAATAGTAAATCAGCTTGTTGCAATTTTACCATTATTGATCTTTCCTACTTTGTCGGAATTTGCAGCTTGGAAAGCAATAGGTAAGTTGAATATACATCAAACTTCAAACATGCGATTGCATTATAACATTTTTCAAATTGATCATTTATTGGTTACCAGGAACTAAATCAGATTCGTGGAGAAAACCACCTGATTCTGATTCAGAAATATCTGATACAGATACTACTGGGCCTCGAAAATTGTAAGAAATGTATCTTTATTTGTTTGGTGATACCTGAAAAAATAGCTAATACAAAACCCACTCAATTTTAAATTAATAGCCATCAATCCAACACTAAACTATGGATGAATGCACTGCAGCTTTTATCGGCGTTTACCAAAGTGGGAAATACAATACTGTTACTTTAGATATGCAACTTGTAAGATAGATGTTGATCAGCTAACACCTGACGTGTACTCAACTTTTCAATATCATATTTATTGGCACAGTCGAACCCAAAACAAGTGTTTCCTCAATTTGGCAGTATCATTTTTCCAGGAGGAAATCTTGCCTCCATCCCATTGATTGATATTATTATTTTTTCTCCAGATCCAAAGCTACGAACTGCTGCGACTTCTACAATTTGCACTCTTTTTGAAAGTTTGAAGCCATTTTTTGCCATAGCCTCTCACAGGTAATTTGCTTTATGGCTACACGGTTGTTCGAGATAATTGAGTTGAGCTTTTGGGTTGATATGTAAGCTAAACTGTGTGTATTTTTAACACTAGTGAAACAAAACCTGCTTCATTTGCCTCACTTTCTCAACGATTAGCTGATCAGTTATGTGCTTTCCATATATCCTTGATGACGCATATACTCGACAAGCAACATGCCTCAACTCTAACTCTTTTGCTTCAAGTAAATACAGATTGTCATTTGCAGTGCGTCTATCTATTTACTTACTAATTCATTTTTTCCATTTGAATTAGGTCCTTACATCTTTGGTTCAATGCACTTTATACACTCGATTATCGCAAGACTTTCGATCTGAAATCGTCACTCGAATTGGTGCACTTGTATCACATCATGGTCAGTTTTTATCGTTTATACCAACTCAGTATGCTATCAAACGAGTTCAGCTATTTACGCGTTTTGATATGAATATTGTACTCGTAGACTCTTCTGTGCAAGCACGTGCATTGGAGTGTTATTCAGCTGTGCTTAGCACAATTCAAGAACCCAATACATGCGCAACTTCTCTCACCTGGATAGATACCATTCCTGGGGTTCTTCAAAAATGTTGTGACTATGCATCATCAGATCAAATTGTTTTACGTATTGCTGCTTTAGAGGGATGTTGTGCTATAGCAAGATATCATCCACTTTCATTTAGGTATACAATCATTTTTGTAATTTGATGCGCTCTGGGTTTGGATAAATTAAATCTGTTGATTGGTTGGTAATGCATTACTAATTGTTGAAATGGACTGAATTGTTAGTCAGCAATGGGATTCTATTCTAGTTGATGTCCTTGATAAAGCACGCATGAATACAGATACGGCTACACGGCTTGCAGCTGCGAAAATTTTAGAGCAGTTTGCAAATAGCTGTAGTACAGGTGCACTTTGTGCCGAGGTATGTTTTACCCTGTATCCAAGAGTTGAATGATACAACTAAAATATATTTATAAATGGAACGACCAGAATGTGCCAACTCAGTGGTGGATATATATATCTACAATTGTCACAGACTCGTTTATTTTTGATAGAATGTTTGCTATTCGTGCTATGGGATTGAATATCATTGGACAAATTCCCTTTGTTGAATTGGGTATTCTGAATGTATGTTGTATGATTTACATTATTCAATCATGCATTGAATTGCATTTAACTTGTTGGATAATATGCTATTTACTATAGGCAGAGTTATGCACCTTGTGCTGGAAAGGTGCCGAACAGCTTGTTGCTGATGATCATTCCGACGTTCGATCTGCAGGTATGTTTTTGCAGTAAATTGATTTTTATGTTTGATTCTTGCGCTAACATATTTTATTTGATTGCCTTGATTAAATAGCATGGGGTGCAATTGGTGTATTAATTGGACAAGTGATCTTGACACAGGTATGGTAAAGAATTGAGCATTTTGCAGGTTTATATATTTTATTTTGGGTATTTTATCTCATCAACCGATACAATGATACATCCTTGTGATTTAATCTGTATACAGAATATAAGTTGCTTGCAGCGTATTGCTGACTTGATTGTAACTGTAAGCATTAATGAAAGTAATGTTGCAACTAAAGTGCGTGCCGCTTGGGCTTTGGGTAACCTGACCGAGATGTGGCAAAAACTGGCTGAATCATACAAAAGTGAAACGAGTAGTTTAACCAAGATGACATGTGAACAAATCGTGTTGCTTTTAAAAACGGCCAATAGCTTTACAGGTGACAACGAAAAGGTGGGTCGAGTTTGAGTATATGTTTTGGTTGTGCATACAACTCCAGCCTGAAAGTTGCATCGAAATGCTTATATCGCTTTTTTGAACAATGTTGCAACAACAGTGTCGCGCAAATGGTGTGAGGGCGATCGGAAATGTAGTTAAATTGGCTTTGACTGATCCATTATTGACCAGTCCGACATTCTCGAGTCTACTGAGCGAGTCTACGCGACTGTCAATCAAGGCATCTCAGGGAGGAAGTTTCAAGGTAATATTTACATGTCCAATACTTTTTATATCCAAATATACTGTTTCAAAACATACCAATCAAAATATATATTTGCACAGGCTCGATGGAGTGCATGCTATACACTCAGTATCATACTATTACTGCCTGATACAGCAGGGACACATCAGCGGCAACGAGCAGATATATTTACGGTACTGGCTAAAGCGGCAACAACATGCACCAATTTCAAGGTCAAGATCAGTGCCATCACAGCGATGCAGTCTGCAAATGCTTCTGATAACGTGGTACACACTCTATTTGACAGCCCTACACAATCTACTTCTGTGAACATAAACTCTTTAATCAAAAACAACATAGATATCTGTTTGGATGCAATCCAAAGTACGCTAGATATGATGGATGAAAATGTCAACGAAGCCAAGTTTGGAGAGTTTAGATATACGGATCAACTTAAGCAAGCAGCAAAAGCTACAACACAGCATCTACTCCATCTCCAGAAATAGACCCTACACTTTTCAACTCTACCCTACCCATTGTTTACACAGGATAGCCAACCAGATAATTCCAAATAGGTATATAAAATTGTAGGAAAAAGTTCAATTCCAATTGTTCTACTCTTTTTTTGTAATCCGTTCAGCCTTTCGACGTTCAATGCTAGACAATGCAAGTGACTCCACAATTGAAATAACAAAATAAAGAATCATAAACACCATGAATGCGTTCCATAACAGCGAGATGATTGACGCGTTTTGTGGGGGCTGATGTAAATCCCAGCGTTACAATATTGGTAGTTTAATGGTATCAAAACAACAGTAAATAAAAAGGTTTTGAACAGGTATGATCAAGATTCATAATAGTCGGCCAATTGTAATCTAAAGGACTCGACATATTACCTGGCCACCACGATTGCGAAACTTGCGCTCCTGACTTTCAAAAAAGTCTTTAAACGGTGCATGCAGATACGGCGCATGCTTTCGTAGAGCAACCAAAAGACTTTTTTGGACATCCTCTGAAAACACCACAATAACAGCAAAAGACTAATCAGAGTACATGGTAGAATTTTCAGTAGAATAAGTTGGTGCATCAAGAAAACAAGCATGTGAAAATTTGGGATAGTTTAAACCCAACCCCAGTCAAACATACTTGAATACTGGATTTAATAAACGATTTTCCTATCATAGTTGCTCCAAAAAAAGTGCTAAATGGCACCGCAAAATGACCACAAATGATTCCTGCTAAATCAAATAAAGGATTGGGAACCTAGTTACAAAAATCACAAAACCGTGTCAGCCAAAACCTATAAAAATACAGTGTTCAATCAAACACTGCAGTATTTTCTTACGGATGCACAGAGTAGAATACCGAAAAACCCCATGTTGGTAACAATACTGTGCATGACAATTTGGGTCCGTTCAGACCAGTTTCGCAACTGAATGGGTTTTGCCAAAATACGCTCAATCGATGCAAATTCGGGATCATTTTGTCCAGCAACAGCAGCTAAGATTTCAACCAAATTAAACAGTAAACATACGAGCTAATGCAAGACAAAGAGATGATAACAGCTTGTCATACCTGCTCGTGCTACAAAATAAGGAGGAAGTTCTCCAATGGCAGTTCCCAATCCCCATAAAAGTGATTCCATGTGCACTTTGGAAGCAATTGTCCATACAGTGATAGGGTCTGCACTGGACTCAGAAACTGGATCACATACGAAGCTATGTTTTCAAAACCCCCATAGCAGCATGGTAAAATTAGCAATACTAAACGAAATAATGAAGCAGTGAAAAGTTAAAATATCGACCATAACTTTCAAGAGTCAGCGTATTACCTATTTGGACCTCGAGTAGTAAAATCCAACGAGCGACAGCTGTATGCAGCAAAAGTAGCTTGGGCAATAAATGGTGCAAGGAATAACATAAACGTATGTAAACCGGTACCAAGTCCAATTGAGGAAGTAATTCCTAAGCCAATCCACCATCCATACCATACGGCCAATGACTCAATGTATCCAATCATCTAATAAATTCCTATATTAGTCGTGTATAATGATACAAGAAAACGCAATAGCGGTAAATACTACCTCTTGATGTTCCCCATCCAAGGTATAAACAAGGAATCCAAGACCAACTACCGCCAAAGCTGTAAAAAATATATGAAAGTGGTTTGCCACCATACATGCAGTATCTGCAACGACGTCGCCCAGATACAGTATAAAATGGGTTAGAATTAGAGCAGGTGAGTTCCAAATAGTAACCCGTGAGGCTTGTTTTGATCGTTGTGAGCGCTTTGACCGTACACGGGAAAGAGGTACAGAACCTATCGAATGCAAATGTTAGATAATATACGTGGGCTGCTGATGAAAATCCAATGAATAGGGGAGATGAATTTCAATCATGCCAGGACTCGTAAAGTCCTGGCGATCAAGTGCATAGCGTGCTTGACTCTTGACATTAAAATATTCTGAAATGATATATAAATGGATTGATCATTCATGGCACATTTGGAATAAAACGACTGATTATACACAAGCAAACATGCCTGGTTGTGGATCCTGCGTGTCATCCAGCGTAGCGCTTTCTAGACGCTTAACAAGCTCGTGACGAGTCCCATCTGTAGCCAACTAATGATTGAATAAAGGGTTGGAGTATTGCATACCCAAAACAAAGATTAGATTTCTGACATTTAAACTAGCTCATTTCAAAAACAAGCAGATATATGGATCAAGATATCAAATCATGGAGTTTTATCCCAAAGCATTAAATCTAATAAGAGTATAGCTGAAACAATGAAGTATTTGACAAGGAGTTCAAGCATTGAATAGCCAACACAACCTTTCGCTTTCGTAATTCGTCCTGCAATTTCTTTACAGTCCAGACATCCGTACTATCTGCAGTAACTATATTTCCATTACTGATTCACAATATGGCAATTCAAAAAATGAATTAGAATCATTAGCAACCAAGACTATCCAAGAGATGAAATGGTGGCACGTAACCCTGACAAATTGACTGATATTTATAGAAAAGCCTTTATCAAGGCTTGCTGATATGAAGGAGAATTGAACAGAAAGAGCAAGTTACCTGGTATCCATCTCAAAGATTGATCAAAAGAATGCTACCTTGGCCAGTAGCACACCTGGAAGGAATGATTTTGATGGTTTGAAGATGAGAATGACGAATTGCAGGGTTAAAAATAAATAAAACCTTGGTTGCGAATAAACTGATGCGAACCACCTGGCAGTGATCTAGAGCAGTATTGGATGAATTCAATACCAAGTTGGCAAGATCCGTTGCTGGCCAACGCAGTCAGTGATCGCAGTCGCTCTCCTCGTGACTGTGGCATTTGGCATCATGAGAATCTCTCGTTCGTTTTGGAAGAAAATTTCATCATCATGGCAGCAGAGGTTCCTACATTCAAGCTGGTATTGGGTGAGTCCTGCTGCTGTGCTTGCTTGTGGTTTTGTTTTTATTTGAAAGTGCTTTTACTAGTAGCTGAAGCTTGATCTTCTGCTCAACTCCGCTGTCAAGTGCATTCACTCGACCTACAAATGCAATCTGAATCTTGCCGTGTGCATGTATAAAGGAAACGATAGCGTGATATATGCTCCCGCTACTCTTGACCTGCTAATCTATATTTGCAGATTCTGTGTGTTGTATCTGGGATATAACTGATGTGTTTCATACATGAATGACTGGCTTCTGATATCTGGCATTCAGTTGGAATAGATTTCTTCATTTGGGACTGTTTCTAGATAGCAGTCTGTCATGCTTGACTCTATACTCCAATATCGGCATGATTAGTATCAGCTTAATTGGATATAAATCTATCTGTTGGTGATACAAGTCTGTACAGCTATTGGTGTTTATGGATCAGTACTCTAACCCTGAGATCTGCTATTGTCATGACTGTACTCTTGGCTAACTCTTTATATGAATCTGTTTAGTTGGTGACGGTGGTACCGGAAAGACCACTTTTGTTAAGCGACACTTGACTGGAGAATTTGAAAAGAAATATGTTGGTAAGAATAGCAAGACTGAGTCCTGTGCATGGCATTATGCTGGTTATATAGATCAGTTTGCTCAATACTTGGTATTGCATTGGCTGGTTAGATTCAATACATACTGATTGAGTCATCATGCTTGTATATTCTATCTAGCCACTCTCGGTGTTGAAGTCCATCCTTTGACCTTCCACACCAACTTTGGTGCTATTTGCTTCAATACCTGGGATACGTAGGTCTATTTTGCGTCACTGTATATCCATCATTTATGAGACATACTAACCATGTTTATGTTTTTGAATCAGTGCTGTGAGTACCTTATAGAGCCAGTCTTTTGTCATGAATTTATCCTTGCCCATAGTTTGGAATCAACAAAATATATTTTGCTGACTTATTTTGGATCGACTTGCTGGCTTCCCTTCAACCTGCCTTTTGTATTAATAGGGCCAAGAAAAGTTTGGCGGTCTTCGTGATGGGTACTAGTAAGTAAAACCTTGATGTCAAGATAGCATGGCTTTGATTTTATCATGTCCTGATTATCCTTTTTTGAATTTCAACCCCATAGCATTCAGGGCCAATGTGCTATTATCATGTTCGACGTGACTTCACGTATCACCTACAAAAACGTTCCCAACTGGCATCGTGATCTCGTTCGTGTCTGCGAAAATATTCCTATTGTTCTCTGTGGTAACAAAGTTGATATCAAGGAGCGCAAGGTCAAGGCAAAGGCAATTACTTTCCATCGCAAAAAGAACCTGCAATACTACGACATTAGTGCCAAGAGCAACTACAACTTTGAAAAACCCTTTTTATGGCTTGCACGAAAGCTTATTGGGTAAGTCCTGACTTTTGTTTGTGTCGTTACTTTTGAAATGGACAGATCAAACTCATTACTTTGATACCAATGTTTGCTTTTGGTTTTTAGAAACCCCAATCTCGACTTTGTTGCTGCTCCTGCTCTTGCTCCTGCTGAAGTTCACATTGACCCCGAAATGCTTGCTCAGGTAAAGTGGGATGCTTTGCTGTATCAATACATATTTGAAACTAACATGATGCCCTGTTTATAGTATGAAATTGATCTTAAAGACGCTGCCAATCAGCCTCTTCCTGCCGAAGATGGTAAGAACGTTGCATAATTTTACCATCTGTCACGTTTACTAACGAATCATTTTTTGTTTAATCAGAGGACGATCTCTAAATACTTGATGCACCATTTTTTTGCTCGCCAGATGCCCTTTTTGCATTTGTGATTTTTGGATGGACACTGATGGCTTCCAATGATATCATTCCATTCAGGAGCAAATCAATTTGGAAATGAATTTTATGTTGCTTATCTGAATATACTATTTATTAGCGAGATTTATTTTCAACCAATGTCTGTTTATTCAACTGTGTCGATATATCTCATAGAATTGGTGTGATCATTCAAATGTTCGAATCACATTTCCCATTAGCTGTGAAAATTCCTTTGCTCTGTTTCCGCTCTGCAATTCATCTGCCACTCTACAAATCACTCTAAATATGGCTGATAGATTGGAGCCAGGTGGTGTGGATGGGAATGATTTTAGCATGGTAAACCCAGACAAACTTGACCTATTTTCATAAGACTGAATTCCTGCACACCATTTCTCAAGCTCATCAACCTCCTCCTCAGTCAGCACTTGCAAACTCTCTTGGATGGAAGCCATGGTGCGTACTTCGCGTTTAAAAAGTCGAAACGCCTCGGTCGGATGAACCAAGGAAACACAATCAGGCATGTGCAGCAATCCACAAATCAGAGTGAGTCTAGGTAAGCCAACCATGACTTCTGGATCAGATTCTTGCACTTGAACCAATGTCATCAATCCCTTGGAAATTGCTCTTTCGGCCGTTTGCATCATCAGTACCTGAAACATATCTGTATCGTCAAAAAGTGATGGCGGAGCATTGAACTGATCTTCAAAGTAAGCTCTACACGCCAACTCCTCAAATATTACCCACGCTTGATCAAACTGTCGCATAACGCCCTGGAGATCGTCGTAAGGAGGTAAAACACACACATTCGCTCTCCGGCATAAAGCGGAGATCACAGCATGATAAGTCGCTTTCAACACCACAGCTGCATCAATAAGCTCAATGGTTGGATGAGGTATTCCACGTACTACAAAATGTTTTGATAAAGCTTGAGCAGTGAACATGATACGCTCAGAATATGTTCCAATTAGATTTATTCGTTCTGCTGGTGCTAAACATTTACGATACGCTCTTGATGCCATGACGGTATCCCCCAACTCTACCGTAATATAGTATATACATTGCAAGAGCGTGTGTTGAGACTGCTGTACTTGCTCATGTCTCCATCGTCGCAGGTTAAGCGTACGCTGTCGCTGAACAAGTTTAAATTGACGAATAGTCTGTTGAGTAGCTTTGAATGCGTGCTGAAATAAGGTTAATGGGAGAGCTTCATTAAGCCTATGAATATGCGAATTAAGAATATTGCTGCGGTGGTTGTCGTAAATATCGCTCAGTCTCGGGTCTTCCGATGGAACTACTCCATCCAGTATATACACTCTGTTGGACCAGGATACCATTGTATATTACAGCCGTATTCACGTAAAATGAAACACTTGCAGTAGCTTCTGCTTTGGAATAAAAAATGGTTAAATATTCGTTGTACTCGATGAATTGGCTGCACTGCCTCGCTACTCGATGTTCCTAGTTCTTCCCGTGTCTGGATTACACGCTATACAAAGTTACTTGCAGTTTATGAACAATATAAAACTACATCTCACGATACTGCTGCTGTTGGACGATGGGCAGACCATGCTTAGTTTACGAATCTGCGACTTTGCCAAGAAGTTCACAGGACACAATGTCCAGTAGCTTTGGTGTGAACTATCATTTCATGGGATTGCTTGTTCTATAATTTGACATTTGCGTTTCATTTTACGTAAACACAGCTGTAATTCCAGATAACATTTATGAAAAATACCAAGAGCTTGTAGTTGGCATCCTTAGACACATGCTATCCCTATCAAACGTAGATACCTTTAATGCTATAACCACTCCTTGATGACAACCATTTTCAGACAACAAATTGCGTGTTTTACAGCTGTATTCACGTAAAACGAAACATGGAATGTCAAGATACATGATAAACAGTCATGTTTGATTGGTGCCAATCTTACTCGACAATATTTTATTTTAAACTCACTAGTTCACTGGTCTTTCTCCATGCTCACTCTTGTACAAAAATGCAAAGTGAATGTTTACATCTGTTCCAATACATTCCGTATCCTTGACATTTTCATCCTTCTTTTCCTCAAAAAAACATTTCAAGTGAACATTGCGTGACTGCAATGGAAACAACAGTTGCATTTCCGAGATACGTTGAACTAAGCGCGAGTGTATCTGATATTAAGATACAACAGAGCTTCTATACAAAAAATAATCGATATTCAACAACAAACATGTAATGATTGTTTATTTGTGAGCAAAATAAAGTCATTGCAAGAGTATTCCATTTTGCGTGAATATGGCTGTAATTCAGACTCGAAAACAAAAATGAGTTTTCACTTTGGTTGATTATCTATATTTTTTCAAACCATGGTCGATCGTGCAGCATTGAACCAATGGTGAGTATAGTATATACTTTCTACTACTTTTAAATTAGATAGTACAATATCTTGAATGTGTATATCCAAATAGAATTATTCCAAATGAGCTGTCTCGCACGTCTATTATGTAACATACTGACCACATATATGAATTAAATAGGTTTGAAAAGGCCAAAATGGGTAAGATGCCAATCCACTACGCTCGGATTGTATCTAAAGTAGATATGATTACGCTTTGCTGCTATATTCAGACTGATATAGAACCAAACCTACTCAACACACTTGACCATTGTCATTTACAGGCTTTCTTATGGGTGCAACAGTTGGCATGACTACTGGATTTATTTATGGCTCATACTTTGTTTTAACGTAAGAAACTGTATATGTGTATCAATCCATTAGTACATGTGCTGGTTTATTGAGGTTTGAGTCGAATACCAAACAAGATTTTTTGGGCTAGTTTTCAGCATACAAATTCACAATTCACATTAAACCTCTACTAGTGTCGGACCACCTCCAGGAAAATCCTATGTGCAATCAGTTGGAAAACATATGCTTCAGCAAGGTAGTATGCTTGGATTTTTTCTCAGTATCGGATCACTTCTTCGCAATGAGGAGATGTCTTTGGCAAATACTGCACATCCTGCTAGTCGACTTCCAATCACCATATTACCTCCGATCCAATCCCAAAAACTTGAAAGTATTCGTCAGCAGCACAAGGATCTATAGATTCTGAATTACTTTGCCTCAGTTGTGACAAATATGTACTCTTGTTTGACAATGATGAATTCTAGTTTTTTCAATTACAGCCATATTCACGCAAAATGGAATACTCTTGCAATGACTTTATTTTGCTCACAAATAAACAATCATTACATGTTTGTTGTTGAATATCGATTACTTTTTGTATAGAAGCTCTGTTGTATCTTAATATCAGATACACTCGCGCTTAGTTCAACGTATCTCGGAAATGCAACTGTTGTTTCCATTGCAGTCACGCAATGTTCACTTGAAATGTTTTTTTGAGGAAAAGAAGGATGAAAATGTCAAGGATACGGAATGTATTGGAACAGATGTAAACATTCACTTTGCATTTTTGTACAAGAGTGAGCATGGAGAAAGACCAGTGAACTAGTGAGTTTAAAATAAAATATTGTCGAGTAAGATTGGCACCAATCAAACATGGCTGTTTATCATGTATCTTGACATTCCATGTTTCGTTTTACGTGAATACAGCTGTAAATGAAATATATAACTTGTAATAGAATCTAAGCAAATGATATTTTATACCGTTTCATTGTTGTAGTCATGACTAAAAGATTACATTCAAACGGAAGATTTGACCAATTGCTATCTTGATATTCAAACTTGACTTGCTGAATTGGGTTTGCTTTAACAATCCTATACAGAGCAATTATGATACAAAAAAAATTAGGTAGCTACAAAGCATCGCTTTCACTTATTAAAACTGGCCACTATGTCTTTGGAACCACTCACTGCAGTCACAACAGTACAAACAGAAATTTAGCCTCGACCATATCAATTCGGAATCGTCCACTCAGATGGTATTCAACTGAATCATCTCCAGCTCTAGCCAGTAACCCTATAGAAACCATGAAAAGTAGTGACTACAACACCAGGCACAAAAACCGATTTGGAGGGGGTTGGCTCTGGCTAATTCCTGCAGTGACGCTCGGATTGGGTATTTGGCAAGTTCAGCGACTGCAATGGAAATTACATCTGATTGATCAAGCCCAATCTCGGATCCATCAAATCCCTCGTGTTCTTTCATGGTAATATAATCTAATGTGTATTCACTCGAGTATATAAATAATCATTGATCTACAATCTACCTTGTATATGTTTGTAGTGAGAGTGCAAAGGCTACTGTTCCATCTAGAGATCAATTTACTAGAGTCACTGTAACGGGTACATTTCTACACGACAAGGAGATCATGGTCGGTCCACGAGTGTTTCATGCAGACACCTCGCAAGATCAAGGAGGCGGTATCTTGGGTGGTGGAAAACCCGATATTGGCTACTTTATTTTCACACCCATGGTCATTGCAGAGTCTACTGTTGGAGCCGAGAATGCGATTGTTTTGATAAACAGGGGTTGGATACCTAAAGATGAATGTGATCGTCCTCATCGTAAAGCAATTACTGGGCTTGTTACTGTGGATGGTGTTATACGTGATGGCGAACCGTGCGGAAAGTTGCAATCTTGGACAATATCCAATAAACCGGAAAAGGGCGAATGGTACAGTATTGATCTGGAGAAAATTTCACAATGGACTGGCTCTCTCCCCATCATCGTTCAGATGGTGAGCGGTAAGTTTTGATTGATATGTTATCATCACGGCCATATCAATCCTGGTCTAATATGTATACTGCTGGGCATTATTTTAAATTAGACTCGCCAATCAATCAAAAGTTTTCACCAAATAATGGCCAACCCTATCGACCAAAAGTGCATGCTAAACTACGCAACAACCATATGGAGTATGCCATAACATGGTTTGGTCTCTGTGCTGTAAGCACGCTGATGTTGGCTTCTAAAAAGCGTATTTTCCGTAAACGTTGATCATGGACTAAACTTTACAGTTTAAAGTGCTTGAAATAGTTTTTACTGCTTTGAATGGCTACTGTTGAGATGGTTTGAATCCTTCAAGTCCATATGTTGGATAATCTGATGTCTTGAACCAGACACGTGATTAGTGAGGATTAAAAAAGTTTCCAAACACAACTGAAGGAATTAAAATCATAACTCGCATGAGCTGTGGATCAATGCGGCTTACTGCTCGATCTCAACTATTCCATCAACCAAACAGTTTGATAAAGACATCATGCAGATTTTATTTTGGCAAAGAAATACCTCCCGCTGCAATCAAGATGGTGCATCAAGATTCAGTTTCATTAGTTGACGCAAAAGAATTAGAAAATAATAGTCCACTCGTTCAAGAGCAACCGATTGCATTACAGAGCAAACCATTAGAAACATCATCTTTGGAGCCTGTTGAAAAGAAACCGACACAAAGCACCGTTCACAAGTTCCTTGGCAAGGTGATATCAACAAACATGGCATTTAATATTACTAATAAGCCAGTATCAAACTATTTCAGCAGCTAGATTGTCTTGACTCAATATTCATCTCTAGCTTTACTGGAATTCAATTGATTATTACTATGATGATTTCGTTCTAACGAATATCCAACTCACAATATGCTAGGGATCTCCTTTTGTGGATTTTAAATATATCAAAGTATGTGCTGGAAACGGAGGTGATGGAACGATAGCCTTTTTGAAAGGACTTAATGGTCCAATTGGTCCTCCAGCTGGAGGAAACGGCGGTCGTGGCGGGAATATTTATATAACGGCATCCAAAAACATCACTTCTCTTAACAATGTTCTTAATCGGTATATGGCTCGTAGTGGTTCGGCTGGAATGGGAAAGCAAATGCATGGCCATGATGGGGAGGATTTAGATATTGTTGTTCCAGTTGGCACTCTTGTCAAGGAAGTTTATACTTCGTCTAAAGCTCGAACTGCACAGCTGCTAAAAGAAAAGGAAGAGGATCGAGCAGAACGGGAGGCAACTAAAAAAATCGAGTTTGATGAAGATATGGTTGCTTTGCGCTTTGCTGAACAGATTAGGGAAGGCGATCTGGATGAAGTCTTGGATGAAGAGCTTATTGCACAATTTCGCGCCAAGCGTGCTGCTCAGCTGGAAGTTAGATCTGAAGCACGTACTCGACGACAAATGAAGATTATTGGCGAGCATTTCAAGTTTCGCGAAAACTATGTACCACAAGAGGATCGGATGCAAATGCTGTTTCAGCGTCTGCCTCAAAATAGCAAACAAGCAATGCCTTCCAACCCCATCGAGTTTGAGCTGCTTGAAGACGGTGAACGCAAGCTCGTTGTCCGAGGTGGTGCAGGCGGTCTTGGAAACACGCATTTTGTTACCCCGACAATTCCAGGTCCTGGTATTGCTGGGAGAGGAGTCAGGGTTGAGCCCATTGTTTTGCAATTGGAGTTAAAAACTATGGCTGATGCAGGATTGGTAGGTCTTCCTAATGCAGGAAAGAGCACGTTGCTTAAAGCCACATCTAATGCCCATCCAAAAATTGCACCTTATCCATTCACCACTCTCAACCCCTATGTTGGAACCATTGATTTTGAAGATTTTTGGACCATGACAATTGCAGATATCCCCGGAATTATCAAGGGTGCTCACGACAATCTTGGCTTGGGCCATCGATTTTTACGACATATTGAACGCACAAAGTTACTTGTATATGTCATTGATCTAGCTGGCGAAGCTCCATGGGACGATCTTGCCACATTACAAAATGAGCTTGAAGCATTTCAAAAAGACATGACGGATCGCCCTTCATTGATTGCTGCCAACAAGGCAGATATATCAGAAATTTCAAAGCAAAATTTCGCTATTTTAAAATCCAAAACCAAGATACCGATTGTGCCAATCTCTGCCAAACATGAAAAAAATATTCGTGCATTTACTGGTGTGATGCGCAAAATAGTCGAGGAGATTAATCGAAAAGAAGCTGCAAAGTCTGCTGTCAAAACTGCAGAGAAAAACGCAGTGATTGCTTCTCGAATTGCTGCTCGGATCGCTTTAAAAAACGTTGATGAAAAGCCAATTCCATAAATGTATTTGTAAAAACTCTAGCCTCGCCATTTACACCAAATATATAGTTTATTGCTTTAAAAAATAAACTTTTACTGCATGTATCATTCTAATCATTTATAAGCGACACTCTTTAAATTGAGGTTTGGACTGTTTCGCTTGCTTCTGCTTGGCTCTGCATTTGATAATCTTCTCTAGCTAGTTCCTCAAGCTCCTTGAGAGGCCACATACTTAATTCAGCCGTGATTTTAAATCGATGAAGTTCCGAGGCAAGAGACTTCAATCGCACATCAGTTGCTTGCTGTTGAATCCAGACGCAATAATCAGTAATCCACACACGATCCAAAACAAATGCAACTTCGTCATGCTCTAGTAGTCGCTTTATATGCAATAATGCTTTCAAAATAGCTCTACGTCCCAGTTTAAGCAGAATCACCACATCTTCGTACACTATTTTGGTAAGATCTATATGACGATTAAGTGGAAATGCCAAGGATCTCCGCAAACTACACGATACTACTTCAGACAAACTCAAAAATGCCTACATGGTTTCAAACAAAAGAAATGAATATTGTCGCTGTGTCAAGTAGACCAAAAATCAATCAAATTCAGACTTATTTGACCTACATCAAAGCAAGATAAAGTACCACTCAGTTTGCAAATTGTCCAAGCAGACTCGACTGTATCTTCACCTTCAGTCGTTCTCAAATTAAAACAATAACCAAAAATAATATCCACTAGTCCAAGATAAATGCATCGCTCCATTGCAGAGTCAATTAAATCTTTCATGGCATGAAAAAACAGTTTAGCATACGTTTTTGACATGTGATGGTTTAAAAAAGTGTATAATGAGAAAATGTGTTGCCTACATTGACGATTTGAAAGATTGCGTAATTGGCTCTGCTCTAGCTCAGTGAATTCTAAAAAAGCGTGAGTTTTGACAGTCGGCACGCTTGTGCCTGATGATTCCTTATCCCCACTCTGCTGAATCTCTTTAAGAACTTTCCATGAAGCAGGTCGATATTTGATTAGATGTACAAACTCGTCTCGACTCAAAAACTCGGATCTGTAGTCAAAAGGAAAAATTAAATTCACGCCAAACATGTATGCATTTCATTAATGAAACCTGATTTTACATATAACTGCATACCAGCTATTATCATTGTCAACAAATCCATGCTCTTACATGTAATAATCTTCGTCAAATTTGGCATTTTCGGAATCAATTCTGTTCTTTCTCCTTGACTCAGGTGTTGAATGATCCAAGTCAACAACATCTAAAATTTCGTTGGCAACATTCTCAATATTTGCGGCAAATCCACTATACTGATTATTGAAGCCATATGCTGCACCAGCCAGTAAGTTCTAACATTTCAAAATTATCACAGTGACGATTAGAATTATAACTATATGATCTGAGCATGACACGAACATTGCTTGATTGCCAGTTCCAGCAGTTCAGCCAGTGATAATCCTATAGTAAACCAATAAACGGCCTATATTCGTGTTATGACTCACCATTGGTTCGGGCAGTTGCTGTGGATAGCTCCAATCGATTTCGATTTCATCTACATTAAATATGCTATTCAGATTAGCATAAAAAGACATATACATATGTATCAAACACATCACCAAGTAGAGATAAACTGGTATTACCATGTTCCTCCATATCGCATGATTGCTGATCCATTAAACCATCTTTGACATCTTGCTCTTGGATATAAGGAGCTTTTGCACATGACACGGGATTTATCGTTTGAATACTGGGACTGTTTTTTTGTACCAAATTAGACATCAATGGATGTGCCAATCTTTCGCTTTCTGGTTTAATTCCCATAAGTTTTGTAAGCATATCCAAATCCTCGAAATAAACGCCTGGCTGTTCTTTTGGAATCTTGAGAAGTACTGTTCCTTTGTCAATATCGTATTTGGATTGCTCCCTGCCATCTTCAACCAAACGTCCAGGCATTGACAATCTAAATCCAATGATTTATAAAGATTGAAAAGTCAATTCAAACCAAAACAGCCATCCAGCACATAAAAGCACAATCAAACCTTAGATAATACGGATGAGCAAAAAACTTGAACTCTGAGCCATCAATATCAATCTCGACTTCTTGTGCCTGCCACCAATTAAAAAAGTTGAAAGTGAACATTACATTTCAAGCAGTATGAATGTAGGTCAGTATTCCTTCAAACAATACAGTATAAATGATTGGCTGTAAATAAATTTTACCTTTATAAAAGGACACTGCAAAACCAATTCGACAAAGTCATTGGTCTGCGTAACAGTAAACCTCGGAGTAAGCATGTGTGGGTGTGTGCAAATTGGCACAAATTGCAAGTCTAATCAATCATCACGTGACAATATATTTGATTTTACAACACGTGACTATATGGCAGTTTAAGAAATCGAATCGTTTGCACATTGAACTGCACATTGCATTCGTATACATGACAACATCTCCATCTCCATTTTACTATAGCCCAGAAGAGCTTGCGGAACTATTGGAAAAAAGAGGAATTGATGTTCAAACCGATGGATTTATTCGCTGTACAAACACATGCATCATCCGTCGTCTGGTCCAGCGTATGGGTCTGTAAGGAGCACACTTTCACTGCAATTCTTTTTACTGCCATATTCACGTAAAATGAAACACTTGTATTCATCTTGCAGTGACTTTGTTCTGCTTTGGAGTAGAAAATGGTTGAATTTCGCTGCGCTTTCTTACTAGAAATTGACGGCTTTTTCAATTGACAACGACCATCATAGAATACAAACTATAGTTTTGAACCGAGACTATCCCTTTTCCACTTTGGCACACCATACATTGTACGATCATTAGATTCATTCACTACAGTCCAGATATTGGGCTCGACTGTTTTGGTACTTTTAATCCAACTCTGCTCAAACTTCTGTACTCTAAACTCTTAGATACGCTCGCGTTCTAGTTCAAGAGGACAGAGATTGTAGGAATGCGACAGTTGTTTCCATGCCAATCATCAGGGGAAAATCAGTAAACTAATATTAACCATTTCATGAGATTGACTGTTTACTATACATTGTGCCATCTCCATATAATGTTTCATTTTACGTGAATACTGTTGTAGAATGAAATGGCTAACCTGCTTTGACTTTTATTGTAATTGAAATAAACAGTCCATACTACACATGTGCAACAGCCCTGTATATGTATCACCGATTCGTTGCACGATACTCTATTTCAGATAATCAGCAAGAAGTATGCCAGATTTTGTCGTTTTGATCTTAAAATGCATTATAACACTTTAATTCCCATCAGGTTTATTTGATCAACATAACCACAGTATTTAGCTATATGTACTATGCAGTTTTTAATGTATTTTATTTTGTCACCAACAACTAGGACGTTATTCTAGCATGTGTGTCATTGGCCATGAAAGCAGAAGAAACTGTTAAACGACTTCGAGATCTGTATATAATGATTCACTCCATCATTCACGAAACTGTCATTGATCCGGATAGCAAGGTATACTTGTCTAATTTGCATTGATTTTCTTGTAGTATTGAGCTGGGCATCTCAAGTGGGCCTGCCAAACTAGTTTGTTTTAGGATATATCATCATGTTATTTGTGAATTACAGGCAGGATTTCTATAAATAGAAGCTAACCGGCATGGCATGTTTTTAATATGCATTGTAGATCATGAATGAAGTGCGTGATCATGTCATGAACTACGAGCGTATGATTTTAGAGGACATGCAATTTGAGCTTTGTATTCGCCATGCTCATCATTTTGTACTAGCTTTTAATGACAAGCTTGTAGGTGAGCGAGGTTTGCACATTTTTATTGCCACTGTAGTTTTTTTAGTTCATCCATTTGAATTTAGCAGTGCATTCATGTAAACTATACGCCAAGATTCGAAAAACCTTGGTTGATTGCTCAACACTTTATTATTTGTAAAATTCAATCCATTAGGCACAATGCACACAGCTCAAAAAGGATGGCGAGTTGCGGGAGATAGTTACACAACCACAGTGTGCATACAGTATCCTCCGCACATTATTGCTTTGGCAGCAGTATATATTGCTGGAAAATTAAACAATACAACCCCATCGCCATCACTCTTGGATAGTGACTGGCTTAGAAGAGTTTACTGTAGGCTATCTGAAATTAAAGGTATGTATTGTCAATGTTGAAATTGTTTATGCTCATTCTTAGGCATCACTTGAATCTGCTATTTCACTCTAGTCTGGTGTTGTTTTGGACAAGACCTTTTTTTCCAGATATACTTATTGTAATCTTGATTAGGTGCCATTGTCACAATTTCTGAAGAGCTTCAGTTTTCACTAATACCCGATGAGATGAAGGAAAGATACCGCCAAATTTCATCTGAAGTTAAAAACATGGATCAAAGTTCATTACACGTTAAACCAATCTACTCAAGTAAGCTGAGTTGTCAAGATATGACTTTGATTTTTGCTTAAATACGACTTGAAGAAATATGCATAGTTTAGAATTTGCCTATTAATTATATTGATAATTTAGGCCAGCATACTGCTTTACGACATGCCGATGGACCTGTTTTGAAACGTGCACGGAATGATACCAGTAGCAATGGAGATCGAGAAGCATCAAAGAATGACGGCAGCGGATCAAATAATGGCACACACATGGATACCAACGGTTCAGATCGAAGATATGATAGGCGAAGCAACGACAATATAGTTTCACATAATCTAAACTCAACTTCATCTGGCAATGCTGAATTTACTGAAGATAAACCAAGTGGGCATACAGGGACTCAGTCCAGCAGTCGTGATTATCGGCGAGATAATTATGGCGAAAGTAGTCAAAGACAACATAGTGCATCACAATATTCTAAAGGCAGTACATCCCATTCGAGTAGTAATAGTCAACACAACTCACATACTAGGCGAAGGCAATGGTCTCGAAATGAAAAGGGAAAATAAGGATTTATTTTTATTTTTTAAAAGGTATCCACAATTTGATTTAAAAGAATTTGAATCCCTCTATTAGAGTTGCAATGAATTGAATGTTAATTGTGTGTTTTAATTGCAAAAGTATACTTTGAATATGAATGCATATAGACAAGTGTGGCTTACTGAGCAACGAGGGAACGGCGACGACAATCACTACGCCAATGATAATAAAAATAATAATGATGCACATTTTCTAAAGCCAAAATTGATTTATAATAAATTAGCAGCAGCCAAACCCACTCGCGATTCTGACAAAACACATCAATTAACAAATTTAAACTACCTTTCTGGATTTCTTTTGAAGTTTGGTGGCTTGAGCCAAACTTTGTGCTCCTGCTTCGGTATCATTTGCAGCGTTGTCGATATGTACAGCAATTTGATCAATGACCTCACCTTGTGCGGCAACCAGAACAGCCATATCCATAAACAATTGTTGGAGTTCCTATGTTGCCATGATGATTAAAATCGCACCAAACGCTAAAACCATCAAACAATCATTTATTGAACAGCAGTAAGCATATTTACCAAAATACTCTTTTCAATCTTGACCACATCCTTGTGCTTGCTTTGAATATCCTCCAACGCTTTACGTGCTTCTTGTCGTTGTCCGGTATTTACAATCTACGAGTCAACCCCCATTTTAGTAAGTGATATAGATCTATGCAGTGGATCCTTCATGCATTCAATTTCTGATACATTTTATAAATGAAGCGACAGGTCCAAACTGCCTTGCTCCACAATATCTTTTAAAATACCTGTTTGGCAAACATTTGGCTTTTGTCACCATCCATCATTTGCTCGATTTCTTGATTAGTCGCATTGGGCTTGACTATTTGAGTACAATTAGAATTTGTATACATTTGGCATGGTGTTAATAGATATTTTTGTAAATACTAAAATTTGATTGCAGTGTTTGGCATGAATATTTAGCGTACCAACAAGACACTGTCTATGCATACGATCCTTGTATTTATCTTGATATGTCTCTTGGATCTTTTTGTAATCCATCATAACGTCCAAAAAATTTCTAGTCAACACCCCATGCTAAGAAATATTAGTGTTGATATGCCAGCCAATAATCCAAATTTAATTGAATGATTGAGTTGAAATAAATTTGTTAGTTTTCAAATTGAAACCATATTTGAATGCATGTTAAACTTTTGATGCAAGGTTATATGTACCTGAGATATTCTGATCTTGACATCGTTGCTATCTGGATCCTTTTTTTGCAGGGTTTTATTTTCGGCATCAATGGCTACAGTCATCAATTTCATATTTAGAATCCATTTTAGATTTGCATACTATCCATGAGCAACATTTCAAAAATCAGTGCTACCTTTCAATTTGTTTCGAATTTCCCCAGAAGCTCGATTGGTTTTATCCATCGTAGCATCCAATTCCTTTGCAATTTCTATTCAACCCCACACATGCCTAATGCATTAGATTCGACTATTTTTAAACGTTACACAACTAAAACAAGAGTGACAACATACGTGTGCTTTGCTGCTCGCTAATAACATTGTTTAAAGCCTTATCGTGGATACTTTTAATTTCTTCGATACTTGTTCGGACAATGGCAATTTTGTCCTTGACATGAGCTAGCTCTTCAAAAAAAGATTGCATTATGGCTGTTGTGTCTTGTTCGGGCTCAGTTTGTTTTTTGGATTTCTTGGGCGGCTTTTCCTTTTTTTCCAGAGCACATTTTTCTGGCTCGCCTTCCGGCTATAAATAGTGTATAGTTTTCAATGAATGCAATAGTATCCAAAAGTTGATACAATTATTTCAACAAGTTCAAGTCGTAGTATAAAGTTGAAACACCAATTACACGGCATATATTCAATAAAAATTCGACCGTGGCAGAATCAAGTCAGTGGCAATATATAAAAGTCCGAATATTACCCGCATGAATAGTTGAACCAAGTAGTTTTTGTCAATACAAAATCAGAAATTTTCAATAGGTTAGCATCAGAGCATATATTGACTGTGCGGGTTCAAGTTTTCATATCTAGTCTCGTTCTTCACAATGTAGTGAATAAACAAGAAAATGCAGTTTATCAGGTATATCAAATCAACTATATTTCATACTAGAATGTCATTCCCAGTAGTCGAGGCACGCAACTAACCTGGAGGTCTAGCATTCTATCGCGCATATTGAGGTTGATTTAATTATGGTAGTTATTTGCAGAAAATACAAGTTGAAACCAAACAGTTTTTAGAATATAATCAAATGAGTAGTCGTTGGTAGATACATGAGTAAAACACGTTTGCAGTCAAACACGAGCTTTTGAATGTTTGGCCCATTTACAATCGCGATGTGGCATTGTTTGAAAAAACTATTCGATACATTTAGATTTCTGAATCAAATCAACTATTGTTGAAATGATACATCATCAAATACAGAATGATATTTCAAGAAACTTAATCCGACACTATCAATCAGTCTTGGTATATATTAATCTCGACTTGCAATCTGCTCTTGATTTTATTGAAAGGTTTGTCCAATAAATAAACGCCATCCCAGTCTATGAAATAGTAAAAAGCCATAGGAAATCATGTTCAAGTTTGGACAATGATGTCTTGCTACTTGTATTGGAGCAAACTGATGGAAACTATAAAAGAACCAAGGTTTGTCATTATCAATAATAGCCTGGCTTATTTAATCGTATAATTAAACTCGTACACTCTTTGCTGATACTTGAATATTGTCCATCCACTCTTCTAAACCAGATTATAGTATGTTCAAATATTTGTAGTCGACTAGGATTACAATTTCAATATTATAATTGTTCCCTCAAGTGAGCTGCTTATCAAGTAAAACTTTTATCGATTGATGAATGTTGAAGACATAGCAGATGTCGTACAAGGACAGCTGAGATTTGCTCACATACTAGACAAGATAGTAAACAAGGTCAGACTTTTGACGTAATCTTTAGCATTCAAATGATGATTTTGTAAGTGTTTCATTTTCATCAATGAAAACAAGCTTGCAGAAAGAACCAGTAGAATAAATGCCATAAAGAGTCCATTACATTACGCTTTCTACGATACTGAATGGAAGCACATTTTCAATGCACTGCAAGGATTCTCCTGTTCATTATTTCAGCTACAGTGGTAACCAAGCGAGGCAGATCTCTGATCACGATGTAGTTGGTCTTCATTCAAAAATGCATGCATGGTATATATACGGGAATCTTTTAAAGGGTATCCTTTTTATTTGACCAATTCCGTTCATTCGGATAATAAAAAGCCTACTTTTCATCAGACCGCTCATCCATATCAAAAGTATTTGCTATTAGGAAGAGGATTTAGTTGACCTGAGTGGCTTAGCAGGTGTGATTCTAATAGAGTGAATATTGACTTCTGATCCAGCTTGACAAATAGCATGATCCAATGCGTCGGGGAATAGCATTTTCCAATATGCATATGGTGTTTCGTCAAACCACGGCTCAATATACTGCCGTGGGTTGATTTTCCAATAAAGAGTTTGCCGTTTCCGACTGTAAGAGTACTTTCCATCAGAAATGCACACGTCTGGTTGTGTTGGACCGCCATAGTGGAAATTTGGAACATAGATCTCTGTCATAAAACAAGTTGTAGATGTCATGTTATGAGGTAAAGTAGTGATAATGGGGGTTGAAAAATAGAGCTCAAAAGTAAGTGTTTTGAGATCAAAGCTCATTTTGAGGGGAGTTCCAGCAATTTTTGCTGCATAAGGACGAATAACAGCATCAAGAGCACGGCCTCCCGCATGAGCATGTCCATATTCATCCACATCATTGAAACAAATCTCGGTAATATCAAAAGGTGTGAGCGGTGTAAGTGACATACGCCTTGCATCTCTTGCAGAATTGGGGGATGCTCGACGAAACTTATCTCCCACCTGAGAAATCAGCTGCGATGTCTCGTTGATGGACGAGTCAATATCTGCAGTAGCACTTTGCGTGATTTTGATATGCATTGCTTGCGAAATACTTTCTGGCGTAGCAAACGCAGAGGTATCATTTTTTGAGCCATGATCAACTCTGTCCATTGGTCGTAATCGATGATCGATACTAGGAACTAAAAGTCCACTAATTGGCTCAACTTTACCCTGTCTATTTGTGGGAATATGGGCTGTGTTGGCACATGCTGCAGGTTTATCAAAGACAAGTCCATTTGCCTGAGCATCTAAATCTAGCTGAAACTCTTTACCATGCATGTTATTTTTAATATCCGAAAAACTAGACTGACGACTCATGGATCGAGATCCTGTCGGAGAATGTTGGCGCGAAGGCAGGTTGGAATTACTTCGGGAGTATATGGAAAAATCTTCTCCGTTCCAGTGGTCCCCAAATGCATTATCATTGTGCGGATTATAATTCCAAAGCGTAAAATTGACCAAGTTTGACTATACCACGGCAATAAACCATGCTTATATAATTAACAATAGCTCACCAAAAACTATGAATAGCCAACATTAAAAACACACAAAATAGATTTACCTCCATTGCATTAATGACGGCATCAAGAAAATTAGTGTGATGTTGATAGTCGCCCGTTTCAAAAGCCGCTTTTTCATTAATGTCCATGGGAATACCACACTCGCCAATAAGACATGGCTTGGGTCCAACACGCTCATTTCCAGACCGTACAATATTGGAGATTTGGGTTCGATAATTACGATTTGCACCTCCCATACCAAAATAGCTTGCTTGCAGCACATTTTTTGTGCCACGACTTAGACTTTGCACATCATGGGTAATCAATCCATTAAACGACTAGACAGTTTAGAACCCGTTAGCAAACATGGCTATCTATACAACACATCACCAAGCTGTATGAATTAAAGAGTATGATTCAAAAATAAAGACATACTTTGTTAAAGACTGACTTGAGATCGTACCAATGAGGTGCATATATTGTATTTTTTAAAAGGCTGGACGAATCATTGATAAAAACAGGAGGATCCTCATTTGGAATTGGTTCAAACAATATGGTCATGTTGGGATTGGCAGAACGAATTGTCTCGGAGTATTTCTTGATAAATGGATTATAGCAATGAACATTAAAGTCAATCGGGGAGCCATCTCTACGAGTTCTGAAATAGTGCTTTTTTTTTGTAACTGGGTTCCCATTTGTATCGATATCCCAAACACCATGATCTCTCCAAATGCATTTACGACCAGGAAGCCATGCAGACTGCTTATCAATATTCAACGTTCTAGTGCCTGATTTGCGAGTAGGCCAAGGCCAACTTTTTACAAAAAAGTCAACCGACTATAATCAAATCAACCCAACAATTAGAAAAATAGCAAGCTCAAAGTAAACCAATCACTAAATTGGCGCATTAAACCCGGTGTGAAAATAGAATCAAAAGTTCCTAACCTGGGTATAGCCACTTCCTAGAGCAAAAGATTGTAGTGGTGTTGGGGTGTTTGCAAGATGTAAATCTTTCATAAGATCAAAATGCTCTAAAGTATGTAGTCCAATATATCCAGGATGAGGCTCATTAATAACCTCAAATCCAACAACAGAGTCAACACCGGCAGCCAAAAAACGCCTAATGTTCAAATACACAATAAAGGCGTTATTGCTGATATCAAAGCATAACATACTGAAGCAATCAAAATAGCTAAAACAATTCAATAAATTACTTGGCAAGATGTGCATATGCGTTGCAGAAATGGGTTTGAAGAAACGATTGAGGGGATTGGTTCTGGTACTTTAGATTCGGAGCAAATTCGTCTCCGCCAAAGAAAAGAGTAAACATGGTAGCTGATGCAAGTTTGATATAATTTGTGGGCCAAATCATTTTTCCATTATCATCATCGGTTGTAAAATCATGATAATGTACAGCTCCCGAGGCAATAAACTTTGTGAGATCAAGACCAGCAACTTCAAATGTCCAGCTATATTTAATAAATAGGATCATATTTAAAATCAATCAGTATTATATACGCATCCAGCAACCACGTTTTTATCCAAATGCCAGTAAACTAAAACAAGGCCTTACCCAGGAGCACCAGATCCACCAGAATAGCGACTCCATGTATCTTGATGAGGATCTAAAGTGATTGATTCAAAAAAGTGCGGTTTAGGCCAAGTGAAAAGCTTCAATGATTCGATAACAGTAAAAAAAATTACCAATAAAACACTTGATTCCATATTCTGGAGCGCGTTGAAGCAGCTTGATTAAAAAGTCGATATATTCTTCGTCGTAGATACCAGGTCCAGCATGCTCTACATAGAATTAAGCGAGGCAAAATGATACAATCAAAAAAATAGTGGGTAAGATTAGTGGCTTGATTGTCCATCAATGAGACTGTTCACGATTTACATTCCAAACACAAACAATGCAAAAAATCGAGGTTTCAGATTGCATCTGATAAAAATGCCAAGTAAACAGTACTGTAGTAAAGCCAACGCAATACTAGTGCATTCATAAACTCACCAAGTGCTTCCCAAGGAACCAACAATCGAGCAAAGGTAAGTCCCCAAGCATGTAGTCTTTCAAAATGCTCTTCAATTTCACAAAGTGGAAATGGACGACCTATAAATGACACGTTGCGATGATCATAGAAATTCTCACTAGTATGTCTGTTGGATCCCAAAGGAAAGGTAGGGAGTTTAGAGTTGCCAGACATATTCACTCCACGAACCAGCAGTGTTCTGCCATGCTCATCAATTAGACTGGTTTTTCCAACGAGTATCTTGCCAGACCAGGCATGGGCACAGGAAGATATAGATTTAGGAACAGAAGCTGAATGATTAGCAGTAGGATTTGCAGCTGCAAGTGGGGCCAATCGCTCTCCAGCTGCAAACCCGCAATTAGTTGGGTTTGCGGTCGGCACACTAGCATGATCCTGAAGCTGGTTGTTTAACAAAGTGGGAGGATGACGAGGTTTCAAAGGGTCAACTAAATCCGACTGAGCCGGATGGAGAACAGGAGCAATTCCCATGGTGAGTTATGCAACTGAAGTAATCAGAATAAGCGAGGTCGGTGTCGAATAGGTATTTATTAGGACGGATCAGGAAAAGAATTTGGTGGTTATGAAACTTGACAAGAATTGGCAATATTATTTACAACCGTATTCACGTAAGATAATGGAGTTGAAATCCATAAAAAAACAGCCAGTCTTGTCAAACGATAATTCATATTAGATTTACTCGACAATATTGTATTCTTTAAAGTTGGCTGATCTTGGTGCTCATTTTTGTATAAAAGTACTGACAAATGTTGAATCTTCAACTCCTTTCATTACAAATATTGACTGATTGACACAAAAACAACTGCTGCATTCTTTCAGACTAGAACGCAAACGTATTTGTGATTAAAATACAGAGTAGAGTGTGACTAAAAATAGTCGAGCCCAATATCTGGGTTGTAATGAATCTGATTGTGTAATGTATAGTCATGTAAAAACAGAATCTCAATCAAAACTGGATTGACTGTACTACATGATACGTGTTGTGTTTGCTAAATTGAGGTTGTACCAAGTCGGTGCATAGCAGGAAAGTACAATGATATTTAATGATTGTATATTGCAAACCAAAAGGCAATCATTACAAAATATAATACTTTATTTTACGTGAATACGGCTACAAGTGTAATTTTCAGGTCTGATTGGCATTGCTTCAGTCTTGAAATATACAAGAAGCAAATGCGTATTCTATCAATGCGTTGTTAAGATCAATTGATGGTCCTTGGATGGTGCACTGGGATACCAGAAGGCTTTAAGAGTTGGTTGGAAAGTTCATCAGATTGGGTATTTGCCTAAACCAAACTCATTTTGGACAAGATTGATCAACTATCCAGTTTCAAGAGAAACTTGCATTCATAGCAAATGTCTTACCATTATGGCCAGGGTGGAGTGCGACTTCCAGACGATGATATTGAAAACGATGTAACTTTACCGAGTGGAGTAGGTGGAGCAAATCTATCTAGCGGAAGTGGTTTATCTCCATACTCTATCGCTGGTCAAGCTTCAGGTGCTCCTCCTGGCACAGTTCGAGTGAACAAGTATGAAACTTCGATGCCACTCCGACTTGATATTGCTGCTGCTCTTGCCTATGCTCTAGGGCCGGTAACTGGAATACTGTTTCTAATATTTGAAACCAAGAATGATTATGTCAGGTATGTTGATTACTTTTAAACCACCTTGGATTCATGAATGAGATTGCTCATGTATATTTTTGAACTTTGTAGATTCCATTCCTGGCAATCAGCACTAGTTTTTGTTTCCATCATGGTAATATATGCTTAAAGTGGAATATAACTCATGAATTCCTTTGCACTGTTGAGCACACTTTCAGATGCTATCCAGCTCTATTAATCCACTTGAATGATGTCCAATTTCAATTGAATCTAGGCTGTTCATGCATTTTTGGGACTGTTTTCTAGCACAATGGCGTGGCTCATATTTGGCTTGGAAATCACATTAGCTCTATGGCTAGGGTGCGTAGACTGCTGTGATTCCTCGTTCTGAAATATACATTTGCATGTAAACAGATGATCCTTGACAACTTTGACTGACATTATTTACCTGCAGATATCAAGCATATGTTAATTCCGACACGTTGGCTCGATACCAAGTACCATATTTTGGTCCACTTGCATCTACGTGGGTAGATGCTGAATAACAAACTACTACTTTAAGCAGATTTGATTTTCTTGCATCTGTTTTGTCTGAACCAAGCTTAATGGTTTAGCCAATTATGCTATGACTAAAATAAATGGCGCATATTGATAATATGTTGAATTGGAGCCGTGAAATCCGATAAATCTTGAAAACAATCAGGTATAACTATGGCTTAGTAGCTTTAGGATAAAGATACAATCAAGCATGAAGGTCTGGGGTTATATATACAATCGCTGTAAAGAATTGACTTGCAGAATACAGAACAACCCTGAAATTTACATCCATCATATGATGTTTACAAACTATAATTTGAACTGGGGTTATTCTCTTTTGATATATTCATACATTGTACGATCATCAGATTCACCCATTGCAGTCCACATGTTTGGCTCAACTGCTTTTTTTCAAACTCGACTTTTGTTGTATCTTGATATTGTAGATCCGTTCGCGCTCTAGTTTTTCAAGTGCGTCTCGAAAGTGCAACAGTTGCTTCTATGCTAGTCACCAAGAAAAAAACTGATGGAATATGTCAAAAAGTTTATATAAAAATCCTGTTTAATGGATTTGGCATCAATCACTATGAAATTGGCTGTTCAGTATTTGATTTTACAAAAGTACAACTGAAAATATAATAATTTTGTTTTGAAAATAATATAATAATATTGAAATTTGAATAATCACACGGTCCCGTGGCCTAGTGGATACGGCGTCTGACTTCTAATCAGAAGATCGTGGGTTCGACCCCCACCGGGATCGTTTCTTAGTTTTCTTCAACTTTTTACATTATCTAGACAATGCATTTTTGTATTGATATTTCAATATCATTATACTAGCAAAAATCTATTTTTATATCAGACCAGAATTCAATACAAATATTTCAAGACTGAAGCAATGCCAATCAGACCTGAAAATTACACTTGTAGTCGTATTCACGTAAAATAAAGTATTATATTTTGTAATGATTGCCTTTTGGTTTGCAATATACAATCATTAAATATCATTGTACTTTCCTGCTATGCACCGACTTGGTACAACCTCAATTTAGCAAACACAACACTTATCATGTAGTACAGTCAACCCAGTTTTGATCGAGATTATGTTTTTACATGACTATACATTACACAATCAGATTCATTACAACCCAGATATTGGGCTCGACTATTTTTAATCACACTCTACTCTGTATTTTAATCACAAATACGTTTGCGTTCTAGTCTGAAAGAATGCAGCAGTTGTTTTTGTGTCAATCAGTCAATATTTGTAATGAAAGGAGTTGAAGATTCAACATTTGTCAGTATTTTTATACAAAAATGAGCACCAAGACCAGCCAACTTTAAAGAATACAATATTGTCGAGTAAATCTAATATGAATTATCGTTTGACAAGACTGGCTGTTTTTTTATGGATTTCAACTCCATTATTTAGTGTTCCATTTTACGTGAATACAACGCAGTTTGGTCATCCAATACACCATGTTCGTATCCATAGCTCGCAAAACACTTTGTCGGATCACTACTGTCAATAGTCCGGCACACCAGTATCGAATAGTTCATAAAACATCTGCCTTGTATTTTTCTAATGGAGATGGAGCAAAAGGAGGTTCAGACAATCAACAAAAGTCTTCTTACTCTTCTTACTCTTCACCCGTCCCCATTGCACTTTTGGCTGCAGCAGGTGTTGCATCTGCTGCATATTACTACTATCAAGCTCATTCTCCTAGAAAGCAGGATCTTGTTACTGATCATGGCAATGTCCATCAGTCACAACCACTCAAAGGGAATGCCAATGAACCAGAACTAACAATTCCTGTTCTTGAACCACTTGCCGTTGACACTGCTGTTGTGTTTGTTCTTGGAGGTAATATACTAAAATGTGCTCCATGTGACTACTACTTGCACTGATGTTGTGTTTTGGATGGATTCATGAGATCTACTCGGTCAAACTTACCAACCCTCGACGCGAATTGGATGGATTGCCAACCAGTATCAGTCATCTCATTCAAACTTGTATATTTGATCAACATATAATAAACTGTTAGGTCCAGGAGCTGGAAAAGGCACACAGTGCGCAAAACTTGTCAAAGAGTTTGGTTATGTTCATCTCTCTGCAGGTGATATTTTGCGTGATGAGCGGAACCGTCAAGATTCTCCCTATGGCGAATTGATCAATCGCTATATCAAGGAAGGACAGATTGTGCCTATGGAGATAACTATTGCTTTACTTCATGCTGCTATGAAGCAAAGCGGTAGTAAACGGTTTCTTATTGATGGATTCCCAAGAAAAATGGATCAAGCACTCAAGTTTGAAGAAATGGTAGTTATATCAAGTGTTTGAACTATAAGTTGAACAACCGATTGATTTTTATTGTTACTCGATGAAATTGGGTTTAGGTTTGCAAGAGTAAGCTGGTCATGTATTTTGAATGCCCAGAGGAAGAAATGCTCAAGCGTTTGCTTAAGCGAGGTTCGTGTCAGTCTCATAGAATCAAATTTATGAGTTGGTTATACTTTGCGAATCTGCATATTGTTTGGGATTGTTTTTAACCATATTTCTAAACCGATGTTATATAGGCGAGACGAGTGGGCGTGTCGATGATAATCTTGAATCAATTAAGAAACGATTCCAGATTTTCCATGAAACAAGCTACCCTGTGATTGAGTATTATGCAGCTCTCGGAAAAGTTCAAAAGGTAGAGTAGCACTTTCGGGATATACTCATTGAATTTAATTTAAACTGAATTATTTTTCTCTAGGTGTCATGTCTCCAGCCCATTGACAAAGTATTTGAAGACACGAAAAAGATATTTGATAAACTGCATCTATAATAAACTTTAGATAAATGTTTAAGCCATAACTGGTGATTGCGGGAGGTGCATAAATAGAATGCAAGCAGTATAGCACAGTTATATGCAGTAATTCAGCTTTTTAGAGCTAATGAGAATGGGCATGAAATCTTAATCCAATATAGTGGTGTTGACCGTCGAGCTTCTCAGACGGCACGTAAACCGTTTTTGCGACTGGTGACCCTTTGTACTTTGACAAAGATCAGTCCAACATCTAAAGGGCGAGATGGAGTAGTTTAGTTTTCTCAAACTTCACCCTGGGTGATGGGAGCACAACAATAGTGTTTGTGAATAGTGTATTTGCCGACTGAGGCGACTACACGGTCGAGTCAACATCTTCATGTGTTCTTGGGAACGAATTCTTGTGCAGACAGCCCTTGGAATATACTAGTACTGTTTAAACATGAGTAGCCGCTTACCCAACCCTTTGGCCATACTCACCTTATTGCCATTTTGCGCCACAGCCCTGTATAAACCACCCTGTATTTTCCAGCATGAGAAGCGAGTGGCTAGCATAACGGTCATAAGCAGTCGAGAATTAAACTTTTCAAGCTGGAAACTTTTATTTCAGCTAGATTCCATTCTTTGTTTTAATAAACTCAACTTTAAGCTGGGTCTTGGAAAAGTTGCGCTAAACACATTGGATATACACTTCTTACATCCATAGAGACGGTGAGTTGGGTACCTTTGCATGGATGCCATACTGAGGCGCACTATCCACTCCACCCAATGCAGTTGCCAACCCACTGCTTGACCAAGCCTTGAATTTGGCCCACGTGCATATATCTGACGATAGTGGGCTGAAGTTGGTGATGTAGTTGCTAACCATCAACTTTTAAACGATAATCTTTGCAACTTGGCTAGCTATTCATCCAAGTCTTGGACTACTTTATTTTCCATTGACATTGCAATTTGCAGTATTCCTTTTTCAAAGGTTAAGCTCAAATGCAGTGATTCCTAGTCCAACCGTTTTTGCTTATTGCTATATTTATAGCTGCTATTCTTGAACTTGTTTACTAACTCCACCAATCGATCTTATCAATTCACAGGTTGAGAAAACTGTTCAGCATGGCTATCCCCGCTACTCCCACAAACGATCATCCTCTAATACTAGTGCTGCCTAATATTGACCACCATACCAACCAATCGCAGTATCAACATCAACTGGTCGAAACTTCGACAACTATGGCTTCTGTATCGTCTGCAGCTCGCGCAGCTTTAACACAGAGCAATGGCTCAAAAACAAGCTTTCAGTCACCTCCACATTCTATTTCTGCCTTTTCTATCAAACTAGACCACCAGGGAAAATCGCCATTGTCTACACCATCTACTTTACCGCAGACACTTCAGTCTTCCAATGCTTCTACTCCCGAACGCCCAGTTTTGGTTCATTATGTGACAACTAGTGACACATTGGCGGGGATTTGTGTCATGTATGGAGTCAAGGTAAATTGTTGCATTGATGTGAATTCGGTATTCTTTGAAATTGCTGTAAATCCTTTCGAGGGGATAAAATATGCAATAGGCTGTGTGATGACCATCTATCCGCTTGGGTTTGCTGAAAGCATCAGCTCTGGTCACTGCTTGGCATCAGCAATCCTTCAATGCAATCAGCTCTATGCCGCATTGGATTGGCGGAGCTATTCCAGCATTGAAATGGCTTGTTTACTCTGAAAATGAAAGATTTGTACCGAGTTATTTACTAATAATATATGCGCTGGATTAGGCTGCTGATATCAAACGGCACAATCGCATGTGGACAAATGATTCTATTCATCTAAGGCGTTATCTTGAAATCCCTATTTCTTTATCCGAATCATGCCATCAGCAAGATGGGAGATCGCCTAAAAGCGCTGCATCTGCGTCTAGCTCACTGTCTTATCGTCCTCCATCTTTGGATGATTCATACATTGACCTTTACTCTCGTCGACCAGGCTCTATTTCGGCTGACTTTCGACCCGCCACGCTGACTACATCCAACTATAGATCTGATTCTAGTGGTCGCACCCATTCCGTGTCTTCGTCGACTTCTGGATCACTGCATCCTAATTTACATACCCATCATCCCCCCACAGCATCCGAGTTATTATCACAGATTGATATGGATGTCAAGCAGATCTTGGGAAATCTGGAGGATACGTTTGTGAATGGCGTGGTGCTGCCTATCTGCAATGAAAAAGGCACCATGTACCCACCACCAGCACCACATGCATCGCACTCGCTTTCTCGACTCAAGAGTAATGCACATGGTGGAAGCGTATACCCGTACTCTGCAATGTCTGTCTCGCCAATATCATCGCCATCTCTGTATATGCAGGCTTGCTCGTCTTCTTCATTTCCCATGTCCATGTCACCTACGTCGTCCCATTCATCCAACCCGCCTTTACGACCTACATCCATGGACGAGATGAGAAATGGCACTGGGTGCATGTCTGCTCATAGCAATTTCGGCAGTCAATCTATTATGACTGATCCATTGTGGTCGGCGTCTTCCTCTACAACTCGAGTTAAGATCATGCCAATGAGCACACAGGCTGGAGCAGCCCATTCTCTTGCATCGGCTCCTCTGCGTGTTCTTTTTGAATGGACACCTCTATTTGGACATGTCTTGTCTCCTGATATGCAACAAAGTGTTGAGGATAATTTGAGGGGTGAATTGAGGAAAAAATTGGCCGATGTAGATCGTGAGCTGGTATTGGAGCAAGCCTCGAGGGGAATACCATTTTTAAAATCTAGCAGATCAAGCAGGGATTGTGAAAATGAGTGGGTTGGATTAAGAGAAATGAAATCTGGCGTTGTGGGTTGATACTCTTGAACCCATTATTCCTATTCATATCTTGAACCCAAGCAGTTGCGTATCTTGTTGGCTACAGCCATATTCACGTAAAATGAAACACTAGTAAGAATGTCAAAGTGCACAATAAACAACTAGTATCATGACACAATTAGATCAATTCATATCAATTTACTAAACAATTTGTTTGATGGATTTATTTCAAAGCAGAAAAGGCAATCACTGCAAGAGTGTTCCATTTTACGTGAATACGACTATAGTTTGACCCAATGCAGGTTTAATTTGCTCGTGCTGTCTATTGTGCAAATTGATCCTTGAGTGCACGCAGACAACCCATTGCGACCACTTCATCTACAATGTCACCACTAAGCCCTAGACCAGCACAGTGTTGTAGTACATCGGGCTTTATGGCGTCTAAAATAGTGCGATTAGATCTAGGTAAGCACACTGATTCTGCTTTAGACAATATGGTATCCCACAGCTCTTTACTACGATGTTTGGAATCTAGTCGAAGATACGGATTATACGAGCACTCTTCAGTCCACGAGGTTGGCACAAGCGGAATATTTAATTCCCGAGCTTGCTTAGCCTGACTGAGTTTGCTTTGAATAGCCATATTGGTAGGTTCCATTGTGGATGCAAAAGTAAGATTGGATATAGCATATTCATGGCCTGGAAAAATATTGGCATTTTTGGGAATAAGACCGAGTGTTTTGGTGGAAATGAGATTCATGTCGTAAGGACTTTTAGCTTCAAAGAATCTACCACAACCAGCAGTCATAAACGTATCACCGGTAAACACGCAAGGAGCATTTGGATCCCAGCTTGACGGAATAGCAGACGCTTTTTTTTGAGATTCTGGAATATTAAAAGGTAAAGACTTGATCAAGTCAAGAAGGAAAAGAACGCTTCCTCTAGTGTGGCATGGAGTCTCGATCACTTTTAGAGTAGCACGTCCAAGTTGCAGTACATGACCATCATCTACAAAATGGGTAGTATGACGAGCGTAACTGCTATTGCTACCGTAAAAATCAGTACTACTCCCATATACGGATAAACCGGGATAATGCTGAACTAATCCAGTATTTCCGGCAGTATGATCCCTAGTAATATTTTAAAAGGAGTTTAATATGAAGCCATGTCGGTTTAAATGTAATATGGAGATACTAGCTATACAATAAAGCAACACATACCAGTGGTGGTGAGTATTGAGAATGGCAATAGGCTTAAGCGATTTTTCTTGTAATACATTTAAAACAGTGTTTGAATCAGAGGGATCAATAATGATTGCAGTTCCTATAAAGTAATACAAGACAAGGGTTAGATGGGCAAACTAAAGATATAGATGTGAGAAATGACCTTGATCAGAGTCGGCAATCAGGTAAGCGTAATTGTCTTTTAAACAAGGGACAGGTATAACATGAAAAAAGCCGCAAGATAAATCCATTGATGCTATAGGATATTTGTGATAAGATCTGGTATGAAGTGTATGACGATACCGGATGAACCGAGCAAGATTCAACAGACTCGGCATGAGGCAAGTTTGCAACGAGTCGATTTGATTTAAACAATAATCACGTGAAAATCACTTGATTTGTTTTATAATTTGACACGAAAGCAAATTCCATTTCACCAAACTCGACATGATAACTTTTCGCTCGACAAGTCTTCCTATTCCACCATTTGTAGTTTTTGGAAGGCACACATTCAAGGCTGTAAGTTGCCGATGAATTTGATTTGTCATTTACACTAGTTACTGATGCTTGATTGTAATAGGAGATAGACGATGAGATTTCATTTGCTATTGGTGAACCAGTTGTTGTTGTTCAAAAGGACGAGGGATACAATGATGGCTGGTGGAAGGTACTCTACGATTACTATTGCTGCCGACCAGTTCTATTTCTAATGTCTTTGACCTGTGATTAGGGTCTTAATATGAGAGGCTTTTCTGGTTTATTTCCCTGTAGCTTTATTACCTTTGAAAATATTGCTGGCATTGATATTTCCGCGTTGCCACATGTTAGAGCTGCTCTTTCTGCTGGTTCCATCGCTGCTTCAAATCAATCTTCCATTCAAGACGCTCAAGTTGCTGCCACTACTTCTGCACATAACTCGCCTGTTGCTACTCATACTACACCTGCAATGACTTCCACGGCTATTGGAAAGCTTCAGACTGCAGCTTATGACACGGATGATTCCAATTCACTTTTTAAAAGCATTAATGATCATATGGATCAGCTTCATATTGTGGGTTTGAAAAACTCGGTAGATTCGCCTACTTCTGACCATCAAACTAAAACCCCACAACTTTCACGTTCGGCAACACACACATCACCCATTACTCTTAATACTGATATCTCCGTTGCCACTATTCAATCTCCCATCTCAGAAAGTACTGCATCTATTTACTCTTCTTTAAATCATACGCAAGGCAATGTGGAAAGCGGTGCCACTAATAGAGATGTTGACCATTATTACTCCAATCGTCAGCAAGTCCAACAGGAGGATTCATACTTGTTAAATCTACCAAGCAAAACTCCTCCTCTTCAATGGACTGTCGCTGATGTTGTGAAATGGGCAGAGATGAATGGATTTGAAAGTGCTCCAGCAATTTTTGCTGGTATGTAAAGTTTATTTTTTGACTGTACAGGACTTTGCTTTTGTTGACCATTTTTAATATTGTAAAAATACCAATCATGTATTGAGCCAGATACCAATTTTGTTTGGTTTAAAACGTGTGCTAATATCCAACTTATTACTGATTTCATTTTAGACAATGAGATAGATGGCACGACTCTATTAAAAATGACACTCGCCCGCCTTCGCGAACTTGGCATTGAACCACTTGCGGATCGTGTCGTACTGATGCATCGCATTCTATTTCTCAAAGATTATGTAGCTTCACAGAATGATTCGGATGAATTATTGACAGACTACAGCGACTCGCAACTATCATATGCTAAACCTGCTGATATAAATGACATAAAAGAGTATCTTGAAGATTCTTCAAAACGTACTCTGGGTCGCTTTACTGTCAGCGACTATCTTGATCAAGCGCAAGGCGACATATTCAATCAGGCACCACCTGTTCCACTTTCTTCCATTAGTACTGATACTAATGAATATAATTTACTTTACCCGGCCAAAAAAGTAAGTATTTGATTTGAAATTAGGTTTGAATTGTTACAATATGTCAGGCTATTTTTAAATGATCAAGGATCAAATCAGCGACTTTTTATTGATATTAAACTTATGCTTGTTAGAACAATACTCAATATATTCAATCTCAAGCTGAATCGGAGCCGCACCCAATTTCTTTTGATCTTTTAAGTCCTACTGAATATACAGATCAAGAAAGGTACGTTCATACAGCCAAAATACTGATACTTGCTTTTGAATATGTATTAACTGTGACTATTAATGCTAATGGGATGACTTTTCACCAACATCTTAGTCGAAAAAAGAGATTTGGAGCTGCATTTGGTAAATTCACATCAAAGTTTTCAGTTAATCGACGAGGATCAAAGGACGATACAGCGTCATCAGACAGCAATCTAAATGCACTTTATTCTAACGGATCAGCGCTGCCTGCTTCTTTAAATTCACAGGAAGGTTCTAGTTCTGACTATGAAGGATGGCTACATGTGCGAGTTGCGCAAGAGCGTAGCTGGCATCGTCGATACTGTGTTTTAAAAGATAATCTTGTACAGCTATTCAAAGCACAGCAGGTATGAAAGTGTGCTGATCTAGAATTGCCGAGTATTAGATAGTGATTGATTTCTAACGCTGCTATTTACTTTGATCGCTCTAGACCCAGCCATGTCTGCTGGCGATATCGCTTGGTGCACAATCTAAAATTCTCCCTGATGTAGCTGAGCGTTCCAAAACACCGTATCTATTTAAAATTGAAACTATATCTGATACGCCGGAAGTTAAAAGTTTCCCTATAGTTCACTTTGCCGCTGAAACGCAGATTTCCATGGTGGGTTGGATTAATATTTTGGTTCGAGCTTCGCAGAATGAACTTCGTACTGCACCTCTCCCGTTGCTACCCATCAAGGATATCCGTCGATCCGAGGCATCACAAAGTGCTTTAAATAGTTTTAATGTTGATGCGAATATTTCTGGGCCTGCCCTTCGACAGGTTTCACTTCAATCTACATCTTATCAACAAGCATTCATCCCAGCCCCACAAAAGCTGTTTTCCAAAGAACGCAGGTCTGCTAGTGTGAGCAGTGCTGTTTCTACCCTTTCTACAATGCCTCCTGCAAAGTTTGTTCCTGATGGTAGATCATTGACAATTCAAACACATCGCCCAAGTGCTACATCTCCGGGTTTGCTAGGACATGCAAATACTGTGTCCACATTACCCGAAGCTATGATAACACGATCTGCTTCTGCTGTTACATCACCTTATATTAGCGCATTGAATCTGTCTTCCAATGGAGTTTTTTCAAACACTAGAACCAGTTTCGATGACTCTGTCACTGTTCCTATGCAAAAGGGTATTGTCAAGCGTTCAGCCGCCTTTCAAAACTCTACCCGTTCGCAGTCTTCTTGGAAATAGCTGTTCTTTTGGGTTTTGTAATTTCATCAGATTTCTCAATAATAAATTTATAGCATATAATTTGTTTACAGTCGTATTCACGTAAAATAAAACACGAGTAAAAAAGTGCATGATAAACAGTCAGTTTCATGAAATGATTGACATCACTCAATTTACTGGGAAACGCTATGCCATTTCAGCCTTTTGAAAAGTCTATTGGTGGCTAGTATATAAGTAACAGTTGCATTACTGAGGTGTGCAATCTTAGATATTACAAGATGAATACAATTTTATTTTACGTGAATACAGCCATACAACTGAGTTTAAATGAAATGAAAAGTATATATTTTACGACTCAATTTTGTCATATTTTAAACCCATTCCGATAGTATTAATTAAACTTTTTTGCTGAATTTTGAAAACATGAATTCGGTTTGTAAACTGCATGATTGTTTTAGGTTAGGTACAGACTATATGCTTTCATGCTCTTTGCTGGCTGTATAATCAAGTCCATGATATACCTGATGATCGACAACGCTCTTATTCAACTGCCAAGATTTGAATTTCCAAGATATTGAGTCTGCATCAACTGCTGGCCATGCGACATAACCAACTATCATGGACATCATATTGGACTGCTTTATTGGTTTTATTCTTCTCTTTTGTGCACTCTCAGACAACAATACAGGATAAACACAGTCTGCCACATTCAGCATCGGCAGAATTTCATGTCACATTGAATACATCGACCTTTATAGATTATACATGCACTCATGGTGAGTGCGTCAAGTGTCCAGTAAGTATCCGAGTGATGCCATTTAGCCAAAGTTTTTAAAGATGACCTATTCAAGCTTGTAGATATCTAATCGCTGCAAATATAGGCAAATGATACAAGAGTAGAAACATTGTGCAATATTGGCACATCGGGATTTCATGAGCAATTGATGTGTTCTTCACCACTCATTAATGGCACATTAAAGGTGGATTGGGTGGTATTGATGCCACATATTTCTGAGCCGCATTGGAGAGCATGCATTGCTCATGACAACTCAGAGTCTTGGGGATTAGTGAAATTCGAGGTGATGTTTTATACTTTCTAGTCATTTGATCAGCATCTTGAGCTTATTATAGACCCTACCGTGCTTATAGTATACTTGATCGTAGGATTAGTCTGTATAATCACTTTTATTTCAGAGTTTCAATTGTAATCACCACAATGGTAGTTTCTGACATGATTTCGCTATTTGTAATGCTGAATTGGTATAGATTATCAACATCATTGGTCTGGTCGGATCTGGCTCCTTGATATTCATGCGTCGTAGATGGCAGCGCATTGAGCAATACCGACGACTAGCCACACGATCGACTACATTTTAATTCCCCATGTTTATTCAGACATTGGCTTTTCCACATTATTTAGCCTATTTTATTCATTCAATCTCTACAATTGCACTTTTAATTATATACTCTTAGCCAGTCTATGTTTCCCATGTATTCAAATGAATTAAGCAGGAGTGTTGTGAATATAGCTACTAGACACCATTGGTTTGACTTGAAAGCAGTGTTTTTGGCTTACTACAAGCCCTGACATATCAAGATATTCAATATTAAAAGATTGTTTTTATGTTTAGAGTTTTTCGATCACTATACACCGATATCAACTTGCAAAAAGTTTCCACATGCATGTACTATTTCAACCAATCATCTACATATCATAGTTTGTTTATAGAAAATAGTCTGGGGCTGGTTTTTTACTGGGAAGCCCTCGTGAATCCTAAAACCAAAAATATGCGTGAGTAACTTTTAAACTCGACTGCAGTCGGACACGATCCAACATGAAAATAAAATGCTGGGAATCCAACACCACAAACCTGTGAAGCTGCTTCAAAAATCTTGTAGTTTTTGCTCAAATGCTCATCCAATTCAAGAATGGCTGCCACATTTCCGCATCTAAAACATGATTGTATTCCCAAATAAATCAAGTGTTACTACACAGTCTAGGCTTTGATGCATTCACTGGAGAAAAATCTTGCACTATTCTTATACAAAGTTGACTTTTATACCTATAGCAATAATTGGGTGCAGACCATACTGTAACTATTGTATCTTTGAACATGAGTTTGAAGCCTTCCATGACAAGCTGATGTGCTCGTGCAATCAACTCTAGGTTATTAGCATGAATGAACTGCATGATAAATATAAAATAACAGGCTAGTTTAGACTAATGATCAAGTGAACGCATACTTGATCTTCATGTGTAAACAACTCAATCAAAGCAGCAATATTTAGGTACAAAATGCACGGCATACCGAGCTAACTACATCTCCTCCAAACAAATATCCAGCACCACGAGGACTTAGACCCCAGCCATCAATATCTAAAACATTCAAGTATGATCAACTATCCCATGATAAAAATCTCATTGATATATACGTTGGCTTACTATAAACAAAAAAAGCAATTTACCATCTGGATCCGACCACAATAGATCGCACATGGCCCCATCATGTGGAACTTCTTGTTTTCGGTCAATGATGCGAATCTACGTATATTATCAAGCCATATAATTAGTCTGACCAATAGGGTAATACATATGACGATAAAACATCAACAGCAGAGCCGACTTCAAAAAAGTGAATCTAAAATATACCGACCTGATCAAGTGTGTTGATAGAAGGTGATAAACCTCCATGAACACAGAAAATTTTATCATCGATAATAGCAGACAAGCTAAGATAGTCGAATATTTCGCAACAATATCTCCAAACATTAACAGATCCGTACTTTCGCAAACATTCGTCGTAAAACCCATACACTTGAGTAATCTGTCTGCTTTCATGGTTTCCACGAATTAATGTGATCTGAAACCCCAAGTAAGATATTAGAAAATAAACAATACGTCAATCAACCCAGCAATACAAAGATCACTTACTCTGTCCGGATACCGAACCTGTTATTTCGACATAAAATATACAAATCAATAAAATACTCCACATTGTCAGCACAGCCAACACACATACCTTGAGTGCCAACAATAATAAAAAGGTTTCAACACTGTAAAAACCTCGATCAACAAAATCACCTAGATATATCATATATTAGCACATGTACACAATATCAAATACCAAAAAACATACCCATGAAAAGATAATTTGTGTCGGGACACTTTCCGCCAACTTTCAGTAGTTCTTTCAAATCATAAAATTGCCCATGTATATCCCCACATATCTAAAATGCATGGCATTCAAATAACAGATTAGCTACATAAATAAATTGAAATGACTAGTTCAAAACCTGATAAAATCAATGTTGCCGCTTTCTGCCACAACCAAGCCTGTTACTCCATAGTTATAACATACTATAGATCGTAGCATATCCCAACACACATGAATAAGACAGTATAGCAGTTATATTTCATACCGTAACAGGGGCATCCACTCTTTGGACATTGCTTTCTTCTATTAAGATCTCGCGAGCTTTGTTGCAAAGCTCCTTGACTTCAATCTCTTTAATCACTTCGCACCGCAATAGCTGTTCCACCTGCCTATACTCGTATGTTGATCCATTCAAAATCGTAGTAATATTCAAGTCATTAGAATTGCATCCATGATATACAAGCAGCAGATTGGTGTAGATTGACATGTAGTTGAGTAGGTGATATCAACCGGCCAATTGAATGTGAATCCGTAATATCACTAGATTTGATATGCTTGATCCAAGAACAATGCATACACAAAGACAGATACACATTCCAACATAGCGGTTGATATGGCAAAGGAAGCCATTATAAACCAACAAGCTTGTGACGTACTAGATGGCCAGCACTACCATTTACAAACACATCTGCTATTTATCTCAAAAATAGGCTTTGAAACATAATACTAGCGATGCATTTAGATTCTAGTCAAAGCAGCTGCCGTGTTGGCTGGAAACTTGGAAAGTTTCCAGTATACTGGCAAACCAGACAAGGGAAACTAGATTACTCTTTGCTAGATGTTCAAAGTCATAGAATATGACATTGTATAGTAATGAATACAACTCAAATCTTGTTCGTATGGTTTCATTCCATATACAATCCCGTTCCAAAAACAATACCTGTCCATATGCGAATCTGTTCTAACAGTCAAACTACAATAAATTCAATTGGAAAATGAGGTATATGCACGTGATACCTCGTGTCATTCACTTGCTTTGTTTCCAAGATCTACAGATCTTACAGCCATATTCACGTAGAATGGCAGTAAAAGCAGAGTCAGAATGCATGGTAAATTGTCATTTTATCTAAATATATTGGATATCATTTACATCCCGATTTCAATACATCTCACATCCTTGACACTTGTTCAACCTTTAGCTTTTTCCATTCAATTCAAATATTTGGTGATTGATCTGAAAACAACAGCTACATTCCTGAGACGCGCAATCCTTGTTCTCTTGAGCTGAATTGTATGATTTTAGAATACAAGAGTGGGCTTGATTGAAAATAGTCAAACTCCATATCTGAGTTGCAATAAATCTGGAAATCGTACAATGAGAGGACCATCTCAGTTTAAAACTATAATCCGTAAACATTATATGATGAATCTTGTGTTTATTAAAGAATTGGAGTGCCGATTTCTAGTAGGAAAGCATAATGAATATTTAACCACTGTTTATTACAAAGCAAAATAGAGAAAATCTGCAAGATAAATACAGAAAAAGGCTCCATTTGATGCGAGTACGGCTGTAATACAAACTAGTCGAGATTGTTTCTTTTATTCTTTTGTTCCATGGTTGCTGAATTTTGTCTGATGTTCAGCCAACAAGTCGGAAAATCCAGATGGAGACAGAGAGCGAGGTCGTTTCAATGAAAGGATTCCATTTTGCATCAAGTCATCTTTTTGGCACAAGGCCAATTCTGCATCTACATCATTTTCACTAAATACGTCAATAGTGCAGTTTTTAAGTTCGTGTCTAGCTATTCCATCAACCAGGTGATCACTACATGGCATGTCTTGCTTATTATCAAAATTTCCCTCCATCTCTTCTTCATCGCTGGTGTCACTGTTTGTGCTGCTGGAGTCAGATAATGAATCTGTGCTACTGCATGCTGATGATGCGTCACACTGCAAATCATTATCAATATCAACAGCTCCTTCAAATAGATGTCGATGAGGGAAGCGACCTTGTTGAGGCGGAGCTGGCTCGGGAACAAAGGGTTCAATGTCAAGTAAGGGTGTTGCAGACGCTAAAGGATGAAGAGGTTTGGCTTGTGGCAACTCCCAACCTAAATTTCTACAAATTTCTACAATAATCTTGTCGCAATATCCCAAAAGCTGGATATCAAAGTGTTGCATATGTGGAAGCGCTTCCAAATTAATCAAAATCTGTGGAATATGTTGCGGAAGAAGGTCTGACAAAAACCAATAAGTTTACACAATCTCATCATGCTGGTCACATTTACTGAATTCAATCATACCTTTAACATCGGCAACAGGTGATACTTTCAACGATGACCCCATTACAATCAGCAGATCTGCCTTTTTTCGATCCTCTTGAAAAATGCGGTTGAATTCATCAGGAAGTTTTTCACCAAAAAATACAATATCCGGTTTCATGATGCCATCATTTTCTTCGTGGCATTTTGGACATGTGGGTACGGTTTGTGCAAATATATGATCTTCAATTTCTGTTCCTGCAACATGGTGTCCGCATACAATGCACGTTGCTGTTGCGAATGAGCCTATTGATTAAACAAACTAATGAATCAAACTTGGTTGATTACTTGCAGTACACGAGGTTGATACAGTTCAGATCAAGCCTTCTGTAGCATAGTTGGTCATCTTGCCAAAATAATAGACTATACTCACCATGACATTGCACAACATTTTTTATCCCGGCAGTTTTTTCTAATGTGTCAATATTTTGGGTATAGTTGCGTAAAAGCTTTCCTTTATCTTCCAAGAGTTTGATGAACATGTGAGATGGAGAGGGTTTGAAATTGCTAGGATATATTTCCTAAAACAAATGAAATCATAAACCAGTGTTGATCAATACATGTTAAACAACAACAGATACACAGGCTCAAGGATATATGCAGCAATAAATACCAACCTTGGCAAACGAATAGAAAGTTTCTGGTCGAATCCGAAAATATTTGATATCAAACATCTGCTGAGGATCTTCCAACTCAAATTCATCCAATCGAGAGTATATCCCATTTTTCGATCTAAAATCAGGAATCCCACATGATACAGAGCAACCAGCGCCAGTCAATACTATGATATTTTGAGCGTCTTTGATGAGACGCAATGCATCATCAAACGTATTAATATCTAGTCTTTTCTTGCGACATGATGCCTGTGATGAAAATTAGGTCATTTCAAACATTTAGCAAGTTTACTCAAAACAACACATGCATGTCCTAGATTTGAAGTACTGCTATATGGGATGTAAATACAATTCATGCTACCTTTTCTTCCATTATAGAATAAAGTAATGGAAGCAGATCGTCAGATGATGATGCGATTAGCTCTTTTGGACACTCGGCACCAAACACCTGAAATAGATCTCCAATATGATAATGCGAGTTGGTTTGAAGCCATGGCCAAAACCCTAAAATAAAGTAGTGTATAAGCCTAAGACAATATTTTGATTTTCAAGACATTGTCAATATACTCAAAGATGATGGAGTAGAGATGCAGACAAGTTGACCAAGTTACCATTAATTCGAGCATCATCCAGCATGAACTCGCGTTGAATATCAGACATAACTAGACCAGTGAATATAGGAGTAGCTGGTGTATTTTCAGGTGCATCAATTTGCTCAGCTGAATGGGTCATGCTGTTTGAATAGTGTGCATTGGTTGGGGTGTCTGTATTCTTGGTTGAAGACTCGAGAGTAACATGGTCACTGTGGCTGTCAAGACTAGCACTATTACTGGAAATGCTATTTTCAATATTAATGTGACCAATAGTCTCGTCTACAACATGAATGATTTCTCCAGTATCATGCAAGCTGCAGCTGCCGTTAGTGGTGCTGGATGACATGAATTATATGGAATTATGCAAGGAAACGTTGTGCAGTTTTCAAAATTCGGTAACTGAATTATTTTGCCCAAATATTTGATATTTGGGCAAATTGAATCCCATACAAATTAGCAAGTTGTAAAAATAGTGCCAGGCAAGTTTATCTCGCACAACGGCAGATGCATTTTTCAAAGACAACAGTCATTTATTTAAAAACTCGACGACTCCAAAAATAAATTGGTATTATTGTTTCAATAAAGATAGGGCTGATCAACATCCATCTCATCATTTCGATCCATTGGTGTAGCGTCCAGTGTTTTCAGATCAATATCAGGAAGATGCAGCCCGTGGGTGGAAGGTGAAGAGCCAGTAGTGTCTCGACATCCATGATACATGTTGGGCCGAGTTCCACAGTTGGTCAAGTGTTCTTGGTGAACAGCGGTAGAAACACGTCCAGGGCAGTCGCCATCTGAAAGTGTGCTTGACCCTTCTGCAGGAGAGTGCAGCGATCCAAGACTATCTGCTCCCAATCCGGTTTCGCGGCCAAAGCTGCTATTTGCAGTCGAGGACTGTGCCAAGACAAGTAAAGACTGACCACGAAGAGGGTTGGAGTTGGTTCTGCTTGAAGTAGCACTACGAATAGATTCTGGGCAAAGAGAGCGCACCAAAATCTCAGTCGACACACTAGGTGGGGTAAATGGTCGCTTGAACGGTCGAGTAGAAGGAGATGTGGACGGGGGCGGATGAGAGAAGGACGAGGATGACGATCCAAGCCAGCGATCTTTTTCTGCAGAATCACGAAGCAGTAGAATTTTTGTCTTGTGCTCCAGTTTGGTCCGATCTCCAAGAGAAATTAAAAAGTATGAGAGTCTTCCAAAATCCCAAGAGTTTGTGAGGGTTGTCAGAAAAAGACGGCGCTGAGACAAACATGGCCACTCATCTAGCAGGCACGCAACCAGATCCGCTACTGCATGAGGTTCCCAAACCACAGTCAGCTCCTGGACTAAAATTGCAGCTTTGGTTGTTTTTCTCGTCGAGGCAGAGCGGAATGAATGTTGCGGTTGCTTGACAGGGCGACGTTGGGCGAGAGGTGTGACCAGAGATGGCCAGATATGAGGTGGTTGCTGTTGATATGTGTTGTTGTGAAAGCAAAGCCGATAGCTAGATGAGTATCGAGAAGTCTGTGCTGCCACAGGCTCGTTGGTTGTGTGATGCAGATGTAGTAAAGTGGCAGAACTATCAAGTGATGGAGCTGGTCGAATGGCTGGTGTTGGAGCTGTTTGGCATGTAGAGTTTAAATTTGTACTGTCAACGCTACGAGTGTTTAGATTAGGAGCAGAGGTATGGGTCGCTGCGGAGTTGGATAGGCCAGTAGCAGGTTGTGAAGCAGTAGTTGTAGGAATAGATACAGATGTGGCGGTAGATAGATGTACATGTGATGGAGTGGGTGGTGAAAACTCGGTAGGACTAACCCATGCAGGACACTGAGGTTCAGAACAGCAACAGTCCTTTGCCCAGGCAGCTGTGATATGGCGGAGAAGCAGTGCAGTTGATCTGATTGGCCAGTGTGTTGTCAGCCATCGCAGAGCATTTACAATTCGAGGAATGGAATGACCTTCGTTTGCAATGCGTGCAAGAATGGGTGCACTGTTTGCAAGATTGGCTTCATCACAAACCCATTTCCTAAAATGGCCATTATACATGGTGTCCATGGCACGAAGTGATTGCAGCACATTCGGTAAATATGGTCTGCTAAGGTTGCTGAGATTTGAGCCAAATGAGTTGCATCCTGCATTTCCTTGGTTCAAGTCATTGCGGTATCGACGAGCAGCTAGACAATCCATGGAATAGACTAGTTAGTATGATGCAGACAAAAGTAAGAGTTTAAAGCACAGATATCAATAGACTGTGGCGCTATAGCTTGAGATTATACAAGATATTAAAGTATCCCGGTCGAGCAATTAGACTACAAGTGCAAACTGACACTCTAGACTCCGCTCCAAATAGTATGAACAAAACATCAAGCAAGCGTGCCGCCCTATTTTGTATAACACTAAAGCCATCATTTCCCATCAAACGAGTAACTGGGCCACACTAATTGTCACAACATCGAAAAGGGCCAAGGGGAGCATCCTAAAGCCACATCAACTCCCCCTTCAGCTGCATTGTAAATGCAGGACAGCATTTCAAGTGCATGAAATTAAAAAGCAATGCATAGCTGCCCTCCAATACAGGACAATATGAATGCTTCCCACATATACTGGTAAATGCCCATAAGGAGTAAGAAAACACTAATGTGAATCAATGGCATGTGGTATCATCGGGTGGTTAAAATACAAAGCCACTTGGTTTGTTTTCCATCAACACAGCAGTATTCAGTGCACTTGGTATGCTCCCCTTTTTCGCTCGCTATCCTCCACCACAAATCCTGGCAACTGCTGGAGATGTAGTGCATCGTAACAGATAGGGCTATGAATGCAAAGCAGTCCAGTAAGAGTAGTGGTGCTATATACATCCTCACACAATACTCTTGGCAATCTTTAAATCAAAAGTAGTAAGCTTGGCCACAGATTGGTATTACCTTTTTTAGCTCGCAAACGTTGGGCTAGCGACTCTTGCTCGTTCCAGCCACTCGAGGTTGCAGCATGCTCGTTTACTACCAACGGTACTGATGCTGTATCTGAGGACTGTGCCGTTAAAAGAGGATGGGCAGGCAGTGATGTGTGATGGGCATTGCTGCATACTGTAGTTTCCATACTGATTGAGATGGGTGTTGAAGAACTCAAGTGGATTTCGGAAGACTGAGAGTGTGTAGCTTGAGAGGATATGGTTGATCCTATTAAAGACGAATTGCTATTGCAACTGCGACTCTGTGGGTGCAGACACACACGACCGGACAGCATGTTGATATTGCGGAGGACAAACTAAAAGGGATTGTTAAAGTTGAAAAATGTTTTGATACTCAAACTCGACGTGAAGTTGGGGTTTATATTGGACTTAAATCTTTGCAAGTTAATATAAACGCATGATTTGTTAGTCTTATGCATTCCTCATGCCAACTTCCTCTCAACAGTCCTTGAATATTTGAGGGTCGTATCAGGGTCTTTAGGAATGCATCCCGCGCGTTGTGTAGCATTGCCATGAATACTAGCGGCCGTGAGTTGTACATGTTTGATGGGCTATCCAGGCCAGAATGAGGGTGGTTTATGTTGGATTGGGAGTGTCAAGGAAGTTGTTGGTTTAGGTTATAACATGATCTTATGATATACGTCCTGTTTGCATATATGCGAATAAAATGCCAGCAATGAGGGTCAAGGGAGTTTGCTATGTCTGCCTAGTGGCATGTTCCTGCTTCAGCCCATTTCACCTGCCATGTGTTCTGTTCGCATGTTTCTTTAAAACTACACAAGCTGATGCGCTTTAGCCGTATAGCTACATCTCTTGAAATGCAGCAATTCAGACCTTGACAGTATCTTTGCTTACTACTTGAAAGCAGGAGGCAATCCAGTTGTGGTTACAGCCGAGGATAAACATATTCTCTCACTCAAAACTCCGCTGATAGACTATTTGATGATTATGCATTCTACAGCCGTATTCATGTAACATGAAACACTGGATAGGGGTGCATAATAAACAGTCTCATGATCCTCATCAAATTTACTAAACATTGGGCCCTCTAAACTTGACAGATTTGCTCAATATCCAATTCTTTTTTGATTCAAGCCGAGTATTACAAGCATTGGATTGCTGGCATGGAAACGACAGCTGCATTCCTGAAATCGTTCTCTTGAACTAGAAACGCGAATCTATGAGATTTAGGATACAAGCAGAGTTGTATTGACAATACCAACAGTCATTCGATATCTGGATTGCAATGCATGGATCTGGTGATTGTACAATATATGGTTGTATCAAGTGGATAATCTCAGTTTGAAACTATAATTTGATTATATCATAAATATTGTGTTTATTTAATTGAGAATGTATTAAAACCAATCTCCAATAGGAGAGCTCGACGGACGCTCGATCATTGTTTATTCAATGCAAAGGAAGCCACCGCAAAGAAATACAGGTGACCCATTTCACGTGAATACGGTTATAAATCTGCTTTGCCTGAAGCAATTCCAGCGCGTCTTCAATGCTTTTCATCTACCAATAGTCTAATTTTCCAGCTGTATTCGAAATATATTTACAGCAAAATACCAAACTGCAGTTCCAAAACATGACACCACAAATAGGCAGGTCATTGCTTTGGCACTAAACAGTGCGTTAATAGTTTAGTGAATATAATAAATCCAAATCTAATATATCAACGCTCACAATAGCGCATAGTGGATCTATGGGGTTAAAGGCGGAGCGCTTCAAAGTGCTTCCTTCAGTCACTGGAAAAATTGGACCTGGTTCGTATGAAATTAATCAAGTACGTCAAATTCAGAAATGAAGTGTATTATAGATTTGCTGCTATTCTTGTCTTGATAGCCTGACCAGCTATTGAAATATATTTGCATAGACTACTTGCATGAAGTCCAAAGTAATGAGCAAGCCAACATCTGTTCTTGGAGTATGTCTAAATCAAGCAGTGCGTTTTCCAACACTAAACCAGAATGTAAATTCAATTTTTGTTGGACTTTTCCGCATAAATGTAGTCTCTTGTCGACTATAATTGCTGCTTTCTAAACTACTTTAACCTTTCAAGACTCCAGGAGTTGGAAAATACGAGCCAAAAACATTTATTGATCTCCTCAATGCACGATGCACAAGTACTCGCCCGACTCTTTCAACTCTCGAGTCTAGAGATTTTCAAAATTTGCAATTATTCAGGGCATGTTTTACTGATGCATTGGATAAAAAACATCGAGCCATTACTTTTAGTTAACATTACTTTTAATTTAGAAAACAAATATGGTTTGTCCTGGTCCAGGTACATTAAACTGTTTTCAATCACATTTGTATACCATTTCTTGATTGGTTTCAAGTATCGCTCACGTTTTCTATACAAATATACTAGGGTCATACGATAAAAACTACGCAATCGGTCGTAACGTAGCAAATGATAGTCGATTTGCCATGTCCAAGTCAGGACTGTTGAAAAAGGTGATTCTACTTGATACATTTGAATTTCTAAAATAAAAACTAGCATTATTGACTAACAAAACATTGATGACAGCGACAAAGTAACAACTCGGGACAGGTTAAAAACCTTCAAGAGTTGATTGGAAAAGATGATATTTTCACAGACAAGCGAGCGTGTCGAAGAATGGCATACTTGTCACTCTACTACGATTAGCGAAAGACTCGTATAGACAACACTCCATTTCAAATCAGTATAATTGCCCAAAAATATACTACAATCTTAAGGGGTTTGAATTGATACAATAAATTTAAAGCTGACTAGCTTTATTGTTGTAGTAATATTTCAGCTGCTTGATATCTATATTTTGGTGTACAGTTTTTGCACATGATTGATCTAATTACCTTTTAATAGCAAGTACACAAGTTTCAATGTATAGCAAACTACTAAACCAAGGATTAGGAGTGAACAGCGTGCTTAATTCTGGCTTTATAGCGATATCATGGTAAAGCTACAAATACGCTTTGAACGCACAATATATTCAGATTTGCAAACATTTGCATAGTTGAACATAAAGTCAAACAGGATGGATGAATGGCCAAAACCAAGTAGCAGCTGTACTAAAATCAGATGCAATAGCTTGGTCGTGGAGGCAAAGGAAGATGAAGAAAATACACCCACAAGCTCTATACTAGATCTACTCTCAAAATCTGTGGACACTAGGGGAGAGTATGAGCGCATAGATACAGAGATAAACGACATTTATCGTAATCTATATAGCATTTCTATACCATCCAACATTAAAAATCATCCAGGCGATGCCGTTATTCATCGCTCCACTTGCAACTCAACCCCACCATCTGCGCCTGAGTACCACCCAGCAAAACAAGTGAGCCCAGTATGCCTCAAAGATACTCATTGGAAAAAAAAGAACATTCAGACTACAGTCAAAGCTTTCAAAAGTAGCAGTGCATCAGTCCAACAAACATGCAATTCTAATCCCCGACCTTGTACAGTATTTGACGCCGAATCTAGTCCTTATGACTGCTCTGCCAAAGATAGAGTGCTGGAAATTCCAGACACAGCAACAGTAATATATGCATACAATGAAGCTCGCAATCTTTCGGAGCACATTAATAAAGCCAATCTTTCTAGTATCAGTATAAATACACACAACTGGCGTGCAGTCCAATCCAAAAAGCATACGCGTTTATTATCAGTACCAGCTGGTTCTGTTGGGTCCATTGTAGCAACTCCAACTCCTGATCCAAAAAAATCCCATTCATTAACAGCTGCAATTCCTACCCAAGAGCACACAACAAAAACAACCAGGTAGATACCATGCAATAGTGTATTGTTTTTGAAGCTTGGCTCTAACATGGTTTGAACTTTTAGCAAAAGTTGCAACTTGGTCCCCAAAATAAAGACTAGACGAAAAAAGAATCGTGTGCACGCCCATTCATCTGAAAATAAAAATGAACAAAATGGCTCGGCTTTGACCAAAATGCAAGGTCTTGATCTCCTTGTGGATGCACAGTCAACGGTAAAGCGGTATCCTTTAGAGTGCTTTGATGACATTACCCAGTTTGAAACTCGTAGTCCTGCCGAATGGTTATCCACCAACTTTTTAACACCTCGTGTTTTTACTCCTGCCTTTTCTCGCTTTTATGGCACTGGTGAAACAGGATCGTGCCCTACAGATTGGGAATGGGCAAAATGCTCTGTTTTGGATTATTGCAGCAAAAAAGACATGTACTTGATCGAATGGGTTTGTAGTCCAGAAAGTCGAAAATGGGTTAGGCGTCTAAATCTCCGCTTTGAATCAGAAAACGCAGACCTTTTTTTTCGTCGTATTGAAGCTGCAATTAAAAACCGAAGTTTAGCAGAAATCGATGATAAACTTTATTCCAAAATTGCTGCACAATCTATGCCAGATATGGCACCACTACCGGATTTTTTAAAACTGGGATTTCTATCAAAAGTTGGAATACCCATTACAAAACGCAATTATAGAATAGTGGTATGTTTTTTGAGATATATGTAGACAATATACTGCTCATTGGAATTAAGCTTTTTAACATGCTTGTGTGATACTACCTATACAGGAAAAATGTCTTGCGGAGCTTGAAAAAGACTATGATTTTAGTATTAAAAAAGCACACTATCGGTTATTGCACAATGAGGAATTCACCACCAATCAAGCAACATCAAACTCGGAGAAATTTGCAATAGCTGCATTAGCAAAGTCTGGTGCTGATAGATACGACAACTCCCATACCCTTCTTGGTCAAGTTGCGATTGCTAGTCGTGATCTCTCAGATGCCATGTTTAGCGCAAATGCTAATCTGCAAAAAGCCTGTGTTGAAATTCTGGCATCTCTCAGAAACGCCATATCTGAAACAAATGGGTTTTATACATTTTTTATAGATTATCCGTGTCTATACTCTACGTTTGATGAACGTGTAACCTTGCATAGTAATGCTGTTCAAGCAAAACTCGTGTATCAATGGCCTCGTCTTATTGTCACTATTATTGAATCTCTTTTAGGAGACTATTTCAATTTGCAAGAGTCCCATTACAAAAACTTTGAAGAGAATCGATGCTACAATTTTCTGCGGTTAGTAAAAGTCATCATGGAAACACAGCTAAAAAGTATTGTTATATCTGGACTTCATCAGTTTCTTCAGCTTTTTAATATTGATGTAAGCTTGTCAAGTCGATATCAAGATACGCAGCATGGATTTGACACTATGTTGCCAGAAATACACCAAGAAAATATTACTCATGAATCCCAGACGCAAAAATTGAAACAAGTTGATGCGCTAGAATCCAAGAAAAAATCCATCAGACAAAACTTGATTGATCAAAAACAGCCGCCACCAATCGACTTTAGCTGCATCAAACGTTTATTTCTGATTCAGATATGTATTCGACCAGGCACAGAAATTTGCTCCGAGACCCATGATATAAAGCATACACAAGATATTGAAAAATCTCATGTTTTGAATACGATACAGCTGATGCCAGATCTGGATTCCGTTCAGTCATCCTTAAAAAAACTATTCACACTCCCGCAAACATTGACATTCAGCACTATTCCTTGCATCGAGTCTTTGTTGTTTTCCAAAATGGTTTTTACTGAAGATGCAATGCATATTAAAACACTGAATAGTAGGCATCAACTAATAATTGATGGAAAATATTACATCAATGCTATTTTAGCACACGTGAAGCCAAAGATCCAATCACTATTGCATCAGTATCAAAAATTTGAACATCTTATTCAATGTGATATGACTAGTATGTTAATTTCAACCACTTGCCTTGAAGAAATGGAATTTCCCGTTAAACAATTGAACTGTGCCATCCAAGAAATTCCGAATATTTCACCAGACCGTGTTGATTTTCATCCATTTGTAGTCGAATGTGGAGTACTCAAACAAACTTATCTTGACCTTGCTAAATCCAAGCTTAAATCTATTCAATCCGAGCTGGAAGGTCGTATCAATGTGGTATGCGAACGACTCTTGCTGAAATATAAGAATCTAAACAGCCATATATCAGTGGATCCTCAAAGCGATTCTCATGCATGGCAACTGCTTAAATACTGGATGGGTAAATGCAAGATGTTTACAATTGGATATTTTAAAGAGGTTGGTGTGCTAAATGCTTTTCTGATATTCATATTTAGCAAATCAACTATTATTCGACTATTCTAACCAGTCTGTATTTTTGGTTTAGTTTGAAAATATCCAAAAAATTTGGAACTTTATAAACGATGCTGAAATGCATTTAAGCGATTACACAAGCAATATATACTGGGAAGCGTTCAAATGGCCAAATCGGGTGCTTGATCAGATTAGTCGAGCAAAAACCATGCTGAATGCAAATAAAGAGCTCATTATTTGTCAAATCACAGCCGACAAGATTCAAGCCGAGTCTACTATTGTTTCGTTTAAAGCAAAAATTCACGAGCTGTCTAACATTTCAGACCTGGAAACACTCCTTAAAACAAGCAGCATCCAAAACGACATGCTATCCGAACTAAATGCTATCAAAGATCTCTCCTTTCGTGTACAGCAACGTGAAAAACAAATGGAGTGCTCAAAGAGCACATTCAATGAGCTTGCCGATATCATTGCTTCTTTTGAATCATATCAAGATTTGCTTCATTTGTCACAAGATTCGTTGGAGCTCATGAAAAACTGGACAAGCAAGTATTTTATTGAATTAGATGGCGAAAAAATCATTTCAATTGTAGCATCATGGAGTGCAACTATTCATAAATTGCTTCAGGCGTTTGTACATACTCCAAAATCTAAAGCCATTGTTGAGATACTTAAAACCCGCGTGGACGATTTTTGCAGAAACACGCAGGTAATAACAGCATTGCGAAATCCAGCATTACAAGCAAGTCATTGGGAACAAATATCTGCCATCACAGGCCTGACACTGGAAGATTTTTCAGCGCTTTGTTTAAGCCAGGTTCTTGACCTAGATCTTGAGCTGGTGCAAGATACTATAGTTGACATCAGTAACGAAGCCAGCATCGAGTATCGATTAGAGTCAGAGATTGAAATCATGAGAGTTGATTTGTTAACCAAAGAGTTTTGTTTAAAACCCTTTTATTCGACCGAATACACAATTATAAACAACTTTCAAGATCCGCTAGATGTTCTCTACAATCAACTCCAGCAATGCCAAGTGCTGATTAAAGCTGCTATTGGTACAGGCGCGATGCCAAAAATTGAGCAGTGGGCCAAGAAAATCCATCAAGCTCAGGATCTACTTTACATTTGGTCAGAAGTTCAAGCCAAATTTACTCTTCTGTACCCTCTCATGACAAACAAGGACAATTTTTTGCTTTTAGGAGATAGAAATCTGGAAGAGTTTACAATTGTTTCCAAAACAATGACTATTTTTTCAGAAATTGTTACCAAGGCCAAAAAGTATATCACTTTGCTTCATCGAACAGATTTGCATGAAATCATTCAAGGAGGAGATACGCGACTGCGCTTTATATTGGGAAACATGGACAGTTTTTTGTATGCTAAGCGATCATTGTGTCCTCGCCTATATTTGGTTTCTGATGAAGAGGTTCAAAAAACATTGTCCTGCATAGATACGGTGCAATTATCTGCCGCTGTATCAAAATATTTCGATGGTGTCGATCAGCTTCTTTTTGGCTCACAAGTAAAAAACGCTGATATAGATGACCAGAGCTTCCATGTCCAGCTAAATTCTCCAAATGATCAAATATTAGAATCTGTGATACATGAGCATACATCTGTTTTACCAGTTGATCCTGATAAAGTGCAAAATACTTTGATTATAGGAGTAATGAGTCACCATGGTGAAAAACTGTATTTTCAACAGCCAATACCGTTTTTTAAAAATATTGAATCGGTAATTCTCCAAATTGAAGCAGAGTTACAGAATAGTTTGCAACACGCAATTCAATCCGCCTGGACAGATTTAAGCAGCGCAACGTCTTGGATTTCTGCATCGTATTTGACACTTCCCCTGCAAGCTACTCTGGTAGCTTTACAAGGAAAATGCTGGGAAAAATTGGCGCTTTTTCAACATCATTCCGAAGACGTATCTCACAAGGAGTTCCGTTTGACCATTATCAGTAGCATAGATACTCTTGTTGCAGACTGTCGAACAGAAAATTCTGCTTTGGTCCGCTTTGTGTGCGAGTCTATCATTGCTACATTAATATCAAGCTTAAATCTTGTAGAGCAAAGATCGACCAAGCAACAATTGATTGTAAACCCTCCATTGATACAGTACCAATTGTCTGATTCCGGAAAACTATCACTAAATTTTACTACCACTCCAGATTTTAAATACCCTTATGGATACGAATACCAAGGAACTAACGCACGAAATATATTATCCTGTTCAATGCTTTGCACCCTCGACAATCTACAATCTGTTTTATCTCAAAACCAGTTTGCAGCGCTTTATGGAAAAGATAAAAGCAACAAATTAACTACAATTTTGGAGCTGTCTCATTTTGCTGGATACACATGTTTGGTCATTAACTGTGCTATTCTATTTTGCCATTCATCATTTGAAAACGTATATCGTGCATTTTCAAAGACTCGCTCATGGCTTGTTTTGCAGAATGTTCATTCCACCTCGCAAAAAATTCTTGGATTGATAGGAGAGTATATACGTTCCGATAAACAAAACTTGACCATTCAATCTACACTGTATTGTGATCAACAAAGCCATCAAAGCAAGCTACATGAAATGATAAAAAACCCATTTCCTGCTATTTTTGCAACATTGCCATCTATGCATTTCTGGAAACATCTGCCCAATAATTTTCGGCAGCTTTTTCGACCCACAGCTAGAGTTTTACCAAACAGTCGAGTAATTGTTGAAGCTTTGCTTGCTGCAAAATGGTACAAGTCATCAAGAGAGCTGGCCAGTAAATTTGAAATATTTACAGAGTTGATCCCGGTTTGCTTTTCTGGAGGTTTCCACTGCAATATAAGCTGTGTCTGTCGTATCATTAGGGATCGTCTACCCTATTGCACTGCACAATCGCCATTTTTAGAAGCAACTCTAGTTGTAAAAGCAATTCAAAGTATTTTTTTGCCAATGCTATCTCAAGATGAAGGGCGGACATTATCTGAACTACTTCAAGATGTTTTTGGTTGTAGCGTTTCTAATCGGTCGCCTCAATATTTCGAGTCAAAAGATGAAACCTATGTCGAATATAGAAAAAGTCATTTGCAAGCTACTAGTGAAAGCATGGGCTTGCATGTTACAGAGTCAGTTTTACAAAAGGCAATACAGCTTTTTGATACACTGGCAGCTGGAAATCACCAAGTCGTGTTAGTTGGAAGATCGGCTTCGGGAAAATCAACCTGTTGGAATTTGGTAAAAAACGCATTGCATTCTTGGAAACAAAGCAACTTGGAGTACCCTAAAGTATTTGAGTGTTTTCCTGCATGCTTTCCAGCTACACGATTACCAAAACACGCAGATTTTAAAGCATTCAAAGACAGTATTTTGAGAAAAACATATTACCGTGCCAGTGAATTTTCAGCTAGCAATGTAAGCTACTTGATTTTTTCATTTATTGGATAGTACTGAGTAGCTCGTAGGTGCTGATTTGAAAATGCAATTATAATTTGTTTTACCAATTAGGAACATATACTTGCAAAAGATACCAAACATCAACAGAATCCTGTAGTTGCTGGTTATGCGTGGATTGTATTAGACGAAGGAGATGATTGTGATGAGATGGATATGATATATAACATTTTTTCACTCGAGGGTAATACTTTTAATCAGGCTGAACCAGCTGGTAAGAAAACACTTGTTCGTATAATTCACAAGGTTACTCAGCTGGCCGCCTTTTCACCAAGGCAGATTACTGCTGCTCCAATAGTATTTTTTGATGGCTCCAAGTTGCTTAGCGAGCATATTGTGCATTCTACAATCAATAGAGCACCATCATTTATTTCACATCTCAAGCCACTTTTTCTGCATATATTTCACCAACTAATTGTCCCAGCGGTGCAATTTAAGCATGCAGTTGGTATAGCCAAACAAATAGACACGGCAATTGAAAGATTCGCTGTAGAACAGGTGTACAAACTACTGTTTGCTTTATTCATCGAGTTTGGTATTCAAGGACTTTCTCGGCTTACATACCACGAACAATGCATCTGGACTGTATCGAGTGCTCTATTTAGCATTATATGGGTGATTGGAGCACAGCGACACTTTTCCGATCGTATTAGATTTGATTTGTTTGTTCGAGAAAAGTTGACTGTTGGACCGCTGAAAAAACTTGAGCAATTGATGGGACTTTCTGGCAAACTTTTTGTAAATGGTGTTGCTTTTCCTTCTACTGGCACAGTGTTTGACTTTACGTTTGATGACAAACATATGTGCTGGACTCCGTGGAGTCTAGATCATTCGAAACAGAGAGAGTTCGACTGTGTAAATCCAACTATTTGGAATATTGACGCAGTGCGTATCCAACGATTGGCTGGTCTTTATCTCTCTCAAAATCAGCATGTGTTGATAGACGGTTTAAGCGGGGTTGGAAAATCACACATTGGGCTTGCAACAATGTCAGAGTTTGTTTCAAGCTCTGACAAATATCTAAATGATATTTCCAAATATCTATTTACTCAAAATATGGACATGGAATGTTTCAAAAAACACGTCGAGGCTGGACTTTTTGTGAAAAGTCACAACACGATGGGTATCCCATCTGGACAAAAAAGATTGCTTTTTGTCGACGATTTAAATGGAGCTTTGTTGGAACAGGACAAGACAGTATTTGAAACTTTGCGCATGCTCATGTCAACATCTAGTTGGTATTCAAACAAAGATATTCAGCATATTGAGGACGTTTCAATAGTTGCAACATATCGAATTGCAAGCGAGTACGCAGAATTACCAGTCAGATTTCTTCGATACTTTTCTATTATTACTCTTGATGATAACGATGCAGATCGTTTGAATGACATTGGAATGGCTTGCTTTACTTGTTACTCCAATGTTCAAGATTTGCTCAAACTATGCTCTAAATTTATTCAAGCAACCCTCGACTTGTGTCATCGTCTACGTCTTCAATTTCCACAATCTATGCAAAATCCACACTATATTTTTTCAATGCGCGACATGGTCGGCATTATCCGCAATGTTGGTATGCAAAGCAAACGTTGCACTAGTACTATACCACTACTTTGCTGTTGGCTATATAGTAGCTTGCGTGTATGGTCCGATCGACTTGAAGATGCAGAGTCAAAAACCATGTATGACAAAGTTGTCAAGGATGTGACGAGTATCCATTTTGCAGTGCCGTTTGACGATGTTTTTCAAGTTTCAGACGATACTTTTTTGTATTCCCGGTATCTATTGCTTCATGATACTGCTGCAAATCAATCTGACATACTAGTCTCACACACGCCAGAAACACTTGTAACCACAATTTTTAATCTACCATCCATCAAAAATGATCCAGGATTGGCATCAGTACGACATCCTCATGGAGTTATATGGGCTATCAAGATAGCATGCATACTTGGTATCATGGAGCAATCTGCTGCGTTAGTTGGAAACAATATTGGAGACCACTGTTTTTTGGCAAAATTATCAAGCATGATTTTAAAAGCCGAGTTTTACTCTTACTCGATCTCTGTCTCGAATAGTAAAACTTTACAAATCAGTGCATGGAACAACTTTCTTTTGAAAATACTAAACAGAGCATCTAATAATATGCTCGTAATCGCATACATAGATAGTTCTATAATTTCTCAATCCATGTGGCAAGATGTGCAATATATTCTTAAATTTGGTGTAAAATCCGACTTTGTCGATCAGATTTTAACAAGCACAGTGCAAAGTCGCATTTTGGAATACATGAGAAATTTCAAGCAAGAAAGCTCGCAAAAATACACTAACGAAAAACGTCAAATCAAAGAAATCTGTCTAGACTTTATCAAGTCAAAAATTCGGTTTGTAATTGGAGAAATAGGAAATGCACACAACTCGGACTGGGTAGCCTTGGCATCACATTACCCTTGGATTCCCTTTACCTTTTCTGTGATGCGAGTTCAAGAATGGGACGTATCCACCGTGGCATATGTGATGCATTGCTTTTTTGAGGTAGAAAACCTTTCAGTAATGTATAATGATTGTGACTGGCTATCACGGTTTTTCGTGGCTGTATCGCATATAATTCCTACGCTATCCCAAGCCGAGTATTCAGAAACAAGATCAACACCACGATATTCCCCAAACACATTGCTAAACTCTATACGAATTTTTGCATCAGAGTTGGGAAAACGCCTTCAATCCCACATGCAAACTATAGCATACACAGAGATTGCAGCGAAAAAAATATCTACTATATTTCAGCACGAGCTTGAATTACATGAGGATAAAAGCCGCCTGTTGAAAGTAAGTACATGACTTTAAATGCAATATATACAATCTATATATGTTTGCTGATATATATACCATATATAGTCGGTAGAAACTCTTAGTGCACAAATAAGTGCCACATTACAAACCATTGAAAAGACTCGTGCTGAACGAGAGATCCAAAATGAGGAGCTGAAAATTCAGAAAGATGGTTTAAAGAAATGGGAGACTGAGCTGCAATATTTGCAAGTTGTTTATCAAAGTGAGATTGAAAAGGCTTTATTGCCATTTGAAGCCTCTATCGATGAAATCAAGTTGTTGGAAAGAAGTGACATATACGATCTAAAAGGCATTGATGATCCTTGCAATGGAATATTATTGATTTTTGAAGCAATTACGCAAATCCTGCAACATCAATCTCTTCCAAACGAGTCAGAATGGGAATCGGCTCGAAGACTTATTTCAACTCCAAGTTTTTTGAGTGATGTTTTAAAAGTTGATAAAGACGATATCTCTTCTTTGATTTGGTACGAAATTGAGCGTTGTGCTAAGCACGTCGATTTTGACTCTCCAAAAGTAAAGTCTCAGTCCAAAGCAGCCTCATATTTTCAAACTTGGATCAGATGTCTGGAAAAATATCACAAGGCAACATTGATTTGGGGTCCTCAGAAAAGACAAATACACGAACTTGAAGACAAGATATCCAAGCAAAGCCAGCATATCCGGGAAATAGACACTAGCATTGTGAATTCAAACGTTTTACTAAAAACATGCAAAACATCATTTGAAAAACTGATGCGACAACAAGAGGAGCTTCAGCGAGCAATCAAAAACGCTGACAACACGCTATTAACAGCATCCACTCTGATAAGTTCACTGCAAAAATTATACACGGGTTACCAAAATGATCTTGTCGAAAAAAGTAGTTTATTTTACCAATTGGTCATACAGTCGCTTCTGTTTGCATGCAATGTCACATATGCTGGACCATGCTCTCCCAAAATCCGTGCGTGGATAATCCAACAGTGTCAGCAGTTTTTGATTGATATTAACCCTGCAATCATGAATTTTAAAGAAATCATGGATAAAAACAAATTTTGTTTTGTTGACTATATATCTGATGGTCGACCACAGGATATGTATTTGGTATTGGGATTTCCTCCCAGTGATGATATTCTGGAGTCTGCATTAATAAGCACACACCATTGTCAGCTTCCATTAATTTGGGATCCATATCACCAATCTCAAAACTGGATTGCAGCATTAAATAGAGTGAGCGAATGCAAATCATTTAATGCAGAAAACCCAAACATTTTTGATCAATTGATGCAGTCTATACAAATGGGATCAACATGCATTCTTTTACTTGACAGTGTTGATATTCCGCCAATCATTGAAAGTCTTATTGTTGCAATGAGCTCCCGATTACTGTTTTCAACTGCACAAAAAAGTAAAATCTCGTGGAATTTGCAAGGATCACGACAAGTTAGTATCGGTTCTACATTTTCCATGTATCTTATAGTGCGTCTACCCAAAAAGGAAAGTCTGTGGCGAAACTGGATGAGGTATACTGCTGAGGTGCAAATACCTATTGAAAATAGTCATATTTTAAACCTTGTACAAGAAACAATCTTAAAAGTCGATAATCCTGAATTGCATACACGTAAAACTCATCTTCAAGTTTCTAGCTCCAATAGGTTTGGTCTTTTAAAAACTCTTCGATCTAGAGGAGTCAATTTTTGTGGAAAGCTGGGAATCTGTGATGTCACTGGTGGCGACATTTACCGTAGTATTATTGATGTTGAACAGCAGATTACTACCAATCAAAAAGATGAAGAAACTACAGTAGAGGCACTGGTTCAAGTGGACAAGGAGCTTGTATGGTATATAGAGGTATCTCAAGCATTGACCAGCATATATCTGGGATTACAGAGATTACGACTGGCACGTCCGGAATACACGTATTCTGTTGATTGGTTTATTGGAATTTGCAATACTCAAGCCAAGCTGTCCAAAAAAGAAATCAAACAAAACCCAAAATCATTTTTACGCATGGTTGTTGATAGTGTGTGCAAATCTGCTTCCATTGGATTAGCAGTTCAGGATCGGACTATTTTGTTGTTTATCATTTCAAAAACCATTGCAGATGTGTCTTATTTTGGCGCAGGCGAAAACGGATTTTCAGAAACCTATTTGCGACACATGATTGGTGCACCTAAAAAGATAGTCAACGTTTTACCAGGAAAAACTTGCTCAACTCTTACCGCATCAAACCCTGCAACTGATTGGTTGGATAATGAGAAATGGACTGACGTTTTACAACTCTCCACAGTTTCTAATTTTTCAAGATTTGCGTTGGATTTTTCTAGCTATGCTAACAGGGCCACGACTCCTGTGCTCGAGTCCAGCTGGGAGGATATTGGCAATGCTGTCGATCCCATCAGTATAGATTTTCCTCCTCCATGGAATACTAGTCTCACCTCTGTGGAAAAAATGTTGGTGTTGAAGACCCTAAGACCCGATATACTTGACAGTATTTTAAAGCAGTATGCCCAGTTAGTATTAGGAACTCAAATTTTTGATGAAGTTTTCCCTGTAGACCCATGGCTGCGTGGATACCATGATTCGGCTCCGACAGTTCCCATTATTGTTTGTGCAAAAGGCAACGAAGATCCAATCAAGCCAATTATAAAGCTTGCTTTCAAACGTCGACTCGCCAATCCTAACCTCGTTATTTTGTCCATTTCTGCCTTGACAAGTCTTGAATCATCGCGCTTGGAAGAATATGTGGCAAATGGTCGTTGGATTGTAGTCTATACAAACTGCTGCCCATATGATTATTTGTCTTTATTTTCAAATCAGATTTCCGTTTTACTGAATGCTCAAATTGAAAAGGTTTCCAGCTTTCGCCTATGGCTTGTTGTCGATCAACAAACTGTGTGTTTGACACCGACAAAAGTAGTGCGTGTTTGGTACGAACATAATCGAGACTACCGCATATATTTGGAAGAGGCATTGTATGCAATCGAAGACGCCATGTCCTATGAGTCCAAAACACCCACCGCATATAGAAACTTTCTTTTTGGTCTTTGTTTTTTCTATGCCAAACTTCGAAGTCAACTAAATTTATTGCACTTGGACATCTGTGGTACCATGGACTATCAAATCAGCGATCTGAATAACTCGATCAAACTATTACGACGATTCTTTGCTCAAAAAGCTGCCACGAATGACTCTACGGCACTCATTCACGACGTTTATCAATATGTGTGCGAGGTAGCATTTAAATATCAGCTACCGACCAGATGGGAAATAAGGCTACTGCATACTTGGTTTTCAGATACCATGAAGCAATTATGGACTCAGTGCGAGAAAAATGGAGCCAATAGTCCAAGTTTGGTCAGATATTTTGGAAGTACATCTCAAAAAGAACATGATCGAAGATATGACTGTCTAAGCAAACTTCCATATGGACCTGATCCTGGCTCCGCAATTTCTAATCTAATAGGTGGAATCAAATGCCTTCCTATTCTACATTCCGATCCTCGTGTTGTAACTTCTCTGCAAAAATGTTGGCCAGAATTGATATGCGTTCCAAAAAAACTTGAGTGGAGAAATGATGAGAGTTTCCCCAAATATCTCCAATCGATTTTGGATCGAGTTAATAACGTTATCGTTGGAACAGTTTTTGAAGTACAATGTCTAAAATCTATAAAACCCCGAAAAAATAAGCCTAGCGATAATGCAATACCAAACCATTCAGCAGATTCTACTACTGTGCTTGAAAGTCACAAGTTTGCATGTACAACAACTGGGACTAATAGTTCCAGAAAAAACAAAATCCCAAAGTTTGTGGATGCCGTGTTGCACACAAATGTTGTAAGCTACCTATATTTGCTCCGAGTTATCAAGCAGAGCTTGACTCGATCAATCTATGCTTTTCAAGGACGCTTGGAAATGGATTTTAAAATCAAAACACTTGTTCAAGAAATCTATTGTCAGCATATTCCAACAGAGTGGATACTCAATGGATACACATATGCCTCTCAGCGTACTTTTCCCGATTGGCTTGATAACTTTTTCAATCGACTAGCATTCATCAATCGATGGTATTCAGCACGCTACTTGAAGCTTAAACCAGGCGCAAAAGAATTAATCATGTACGACTTGTCTAAAATGTTTTCTCCCAAAGCGTTTATTCAAGGTGAGGAGTTGATTGTGCCATACTTTATCTGTAAAATGTAACGTGATATTTAACTATTGTGGATTTGTGGTGGGCGACCTTTAAACTAGCCATTTTGATGGATACAGCAATTGTTTATAAAGAAAAAGTCGAAGATTTAGATATAGAGGTGATTATGATGTCAGGAAAACAGACTGCACCTGCAGAGCGAGGCTGTTATGTGTCTGGATTACATCTTTTTGGTGCTTCATTTGATTTTCACAAAAATGTATTGTGTAAAAATCAACCCTCAAAACTCGAGACTGCGTTGCCATGTGTAGGTTTTATGGTTTACAGTTGGATCATATTGTAAAATGAGTGCTTATATTGTACATCATTATAGGTATGGCTTCAACCTGTATCAAAAATTGCACCCATAAAACCAGGAAAATCACCCAACCTCGAAGTTCCGAGGCCGAAAATGGCTATGCTACGCACGCGCCAACGAATAGGTTGTCCAGTATACATCTATCATTCCAAAAATACACTTGAAAACAAAGATCTTGATGATTGTTCCAAGTCGGCCAATACTGGAACGCCCAGTCCTGAAGATCTATACTTGTTTTATGCCGAGTTTTCTACCGAAGTTCCAGTGAAATTTTGGATTGAAAAAAATATCTCGATAGTATGCGAAGTTTAGCTATTCGACTGCAACTACTACTCTTGTACTGATAGTAGTATATGTTTCTAATATTTTGTTAGCACACGATTAATACAATTCCTATTCAAACTCACAATTTAATGCGTTAATAAACTGAATTTGTTTGTCATTAGCTATCATCACTCCCTGAGATCCATCCCCAAGCCAATAAACTGATTTGCTAGACCGTCATGCTTATTTAAAATGGATTTCTAATTGCACTGCATTGTTTAATAGTAGCACATTTAATTTATAGTAAGTATTGGTTAAAGATTCTCTGACTGAAAGCAACAAGTGTAATAGGCAGATTCCACAATTCATTCGCCGTGGTGATTGCCAATTCTAAAATTCATGAAAGGCTAAAGGAGATGTTAATATATTTGCAGCCATAAAATATATTGTTTAAACCAATCATTCTGGGTAGCATATCTATCGGTTATAGACTCGGAATCCAATGCTACATTGGCTTAAACAAGTTTAGTATCTTTTAAAACTTCAAAATTAGAAATAATGTAAAAGGACAACTCATCATGGTACACTCTCTGCAGTATAATACGTCCTAGATGAGGTTGATATCACGCTTTCAGTTTCAACATTATCCATGGTCAATGCATGCTTCCAAAAACATTTATTTATAAGTCATTGAGTGTTCATTGAGATTTTTTAGTAGCCTTCTTGAGCTTCCACTGTTGATATGCGTTGTCGGTTCCAAATGCCCAGTCCCACCAACGGAAAGACGACGAGTAGTTTCCTACAAATGCCATATGATGGTAGTCGTGGAAATCTGCCCCTGCCCAAAATGGAAAGATATGACGAAGCGACTAAAGTTTAAACTATGTAAGTAGCAATCCAGTGCAAATAGATCTAGTCAAATACAACGTATTTCCATTGCTTACCCATGGGAAATCATATCCAGAATGAGAATCAACCACTTGGATCAGTCGAACAGCAAGCCAAACTGCCAGACTAATCACATGTAGATCGTGGAACGTCAGTACCCACACCAAAGGGCCCAAAAAGAATCCTAGACCAAGAATAAGTGTTTCCATTGGATGTGCATATTCCGAGGCAATTCCAAATGGTGCGGAAAATTCATGATGTAATTTGTGGATGTTTTTGTAAAGAATGCCCCAGTGCAGCAGACGGTGCGCAAAGTACTGATAAAAGTCTTCCATAAACAAAAAGAACAACGAGGTGGTGATGAGATGAGAGCTGATCGAGATCAGGTCGATGGGTATGCAAAATCATTTGTTGATATGTTAGCTTGTGGTTCAACTATGCTCAAAATCTACTATTGTGATGTATAATCAATCAGAAAGATATACCCACATGGTAGGAAAGGGGGTTTCAAGGAATCTCATGCCAAGGGCCATGGCAAGTGGATGGAAAGCCATCATCATGGGCAGCTGCAGGAAGGTTTGATGAAACATAACATGGGTTGCACATTTCCACCATTGTGCGTTTGTGATGGGCTTGACCTATTGCATAGATTAAATGTAAAACAGTCATGTTATCCGAGTCAAATCTTGTCATGTTCAAACATGGATTGGGTAATGTATATAACCGGACATTATCATGACTAAAAGCATATCATCAAGTGTCAGGGCAATACAAGGTGTATTTGGCAAAACTGCAATGACTCAAAAGGGCGGAAGTGATAGCCAAACAGGATAGTCAAAGTAAAGACGCACTAAGCAGCGGTGATTAACCCCATGGTACACAGCAGCACGAAGCAAGACTGCAATACACACTACGGAGCACAATATCACCCCGACATTGATTGATGGCGAGAAGCCAACCAGACTACAATAAAAATACTTACATCTTGAATCTTGAACTGTCGAAAGTATGGAATGCGATCTGCAATCATGTAGGGAATGTAGCGAGTGACAAAGACAAACTCATGCCAGAGAAACAGTACTATTGCCAGACGCACAGCAGGTCTTTCAGTTCCATCAAATATCTCGACCCATTTACGCTCTAGAAAGTTGGGTTCATAGTGCATGCTGTCATAGATTGCCAGCAGATGAATTGAGATATACAGATCAAGTAGTTAGTAAAGAGAAACCAGTATAAAGTGTTGATGAAAGTGAATAGTTGAAGATGTGGAAAGCAGTAATGACATGTATATCAGGCAATGCACTCAAAGAGCATCATAGACCAACAATGCCTGGTTTGTCTGTAGATGGACTATACTGCATAGCAATATATTCCAGTAAAGACAACACATTTTCATGGATATATCAGAATTAATAACACCTACGAGACATTAATATGTCCACTTGTTGTAAGCCAGCTTGCGGCAGTTTGAGCAAACGGAGAATCCATATGTTGATGACTTGAAGAGTCAAGTTGAATATTGAAGATTTTAGCAAATTAAAATTGTTAAAAATCGGTTGCAATTCAAATATTTAAAGTTGACTTGATTTCACTCCTGTAACGGAAACTAGTGAATATTGTTTGGAATTGTAATGTTGTTTGCATTTCTTTCATACGATCGACTCGGTTTTACAAAATTCAAAGTAATTCCAGCAACTTAGTGGACATTAGCAATGAATGGAATACAATTAGATGTAACCTTTCAAGTGTTGGATAAAACTCTTACCAAAAGTATTTGTGAAATAATATTGCAATTGCTGGACACTCGTTGCAAGTTTGTATAGTTTTCAACTAGAAATATTTCATAGATTGCATTTTTATTTCTTGATGCAACCCATCAAATATGCAGCAAATCCCAACCATAATCCATAGTATGCCATTGCTATATCCAGTATGCAAAAGACTGTTGGGTTGCGTTTCACAATCCATCTCTTATATTCCCTCCATCAGACATAGATGGACTCTGCCAACGCATGTTACTGAATTTTATTCCAAACCATCGTCGTTAATGCTACTCGCTATCCAGAATGGCCGTGTTTGGCAATATGGCTCAACTCGACATCGATTTAGGATTACAAATGAAACCCACTTCACTTGCTCAACTGCATATCAGCGATCCTATTCTACTATTCCATCTCCAAAACCAGCAGTTTCTCAGTCGGATTCATCTGTTCAGCAACCAGTTGTCAAACTACCCAAATATCCTACAGAAAATATATATACACTGCCCAATGCATTGACAGTCTCTAGAATACTCATGACTCCTATAATTGGGTATCTGATTGTTCAACAGTCTTTCACTATGGCATGTGGTTTATTGGCTGTTGCTGCATTCACTGATTTGCTTGATGGATTTTTGGCTCGTCAATACAACCAAAAAACTGTTTTGGGCTCAGTATTGGATCCTGCCGCCGATAAGATCCTAATGGTCACCTTGGCTGTTTCTCTGTGTCAGGCTGGACTGGTTCCATGTATGTTTAAATGACGGACTCGATCCACGTTTGATCTCAAGTTATACTAATTCCATCGAGTTTAATGTGTAGTTTATTTGGCATCACTGATTATATTTCGAGATATCGCATTGGTTGCTGCTACTGCATTCTATAGATATATCTCTCTTTCTCCACCAGTAAGCATACAATCTATTCATACGATTTTACTATACTGACTAATCTTGATATGTCATAGAAAACTATTGCAAGATACTTTGACGTTTCGCTACCATCCGCCGAGGTTCATCCACCATTGATTTCCAAAATCAACACTTTCTTGCAGTTGGCACTCATGGCTGCATCAATATCCATGCCAATTATTGGTCTCACCGAGCATTTTTTCTTGACATGTCTTCAGTAAGTATACTGATTTCATCCCAAAGTTGGATATGCACAAACCATCATTTACGCATGCTATCTAGCCTGTGCTCATTCTTCATTTGGGTTTGAAATGATTGAAAATAGATATGCTACAGGAATTACTACGATTTGGTCAGGGCTGCACTACTTGATTTCTCCCAATGTCATCAAAATACTAAAACAGTAATCCAACTAGGCCACATAACTGCATCACGAAAAATCCAGTTCAAGTCTACACAAAACAATAGATCAAATGAAAATAGTCTGATCATATATTACTTTGAACTAGGTTTGGTAGTAGCAGGCTTGAAAAAAGATGTGAGAGGTTTCATACCACTTTTGCTAGCTTTGGCAATATTATGCTGTCCACGAGACAATTTGATCTATCGTCATCCAAATGATTTAGGTTTCAAACGGTATCACATTCTTGGTTTATCAATCAAACAATACTGCAATGAAATAGCTTACCTGCTTAGTTGGCTTTGTCGAGGTGTTTGGTAGCGAAGATGCCGTTCGCTTTGTGATTTCGGAATTAAAGTACACATGCTGTTTGGACCAAATCGGGTCATTTTTAAATCTACACAAGTACACTATTGTAAGATGGCTGGTATACATCAATCAATCAAAGTAGTGGTTTACCCCAAATGATCCAAGAACATTTCTTTCCATTTTGGCGTAAGATGTTCAGCAATGGTCTGAAATGCGATACGTTGATACAGCAATGTGTCTAGATATACATTCATCAAAAATCAGATTCAGCGAGATGTTGAATTGGTAATAGATTGTGCAAGAATTAGTAATACCTGCTGGTGTATTATGTAGAAGCTTAGCGTCCTCGATAAGTGGAATGAATGCAGGAATACTGCCATTGCTGGCCTTGACAACTAATCGATCTACTTTGGCGTTAAGCCAAGCAAGGAATTTTGAATCTGATAGTCTATAAAACAAGCCAATGTTTTCAATATCTACAATTGACATTGAACAAATGAAACCATTAAAAATGCATCACAACTCCAACCAATCGAATTAAACATGACATACCGTTGATATCACAAATACTAGAAATGATATGTTCATCAAGTGTTGAAGCCAAGAGAGCAAAATCTGGAAAATTGTCATCAACAACCAGATCCGTCCATTGCATGAATCGTCCAGGTGATTCAGTGCTCTAAACAAGTGAGTTGATCAAAAGGTTAAACTTGAAATCCAACGTGTTGCATACATAATGAAGCAGTTTCAAGAAACCTTTTGTCTATGAAAGTCCAGTATTGGAGCAAGAACAAAAAGCGGATCGTATGGAGTAGTAACATAAAGAGAACCATCTAATCACTAAAAGTTAGTTACTCGAGACATGTAGAAATACAGTGACAGTACTTGCCAGCAATGATCTGATTGTCAATAGCCCATGATTTGAATGGAGCTTCTACAAGATGAACCTGAAAGAGTGCAGGAGTCTTGCAGTGAGTCTTGGTAGTTGGAACAAGCAAAAAGGCAGAAGCAAGACCAGTAGCAGGACTAGGCAAGGACAAGACTCTGACATCAACTAGCAGCGAGTGTTAGCAATGAATAATATTAAGATGTTGACATAAAGCTGCTTACCAGATTGATCAGACAGATTGTCCATCAAAGGCAGAAGCATAACTCGTGAATTGGCTGTAGTGTTTCCACTGACTGTGCGATGCTCAATAGATTCCATCATTTCTGGTTAGTTTTCTTGTCCGAATTGCAACGACTTGACATTTAAAAGCTTCAAAGACTATCAACACTGTCATGGAGCCTCCGTACGGGCTTATCGTTGTAATCAAGCGTAATAATCAGGATGGAGGGTAACTAGATATGAATTAGCATTCAACTGGACTGGATTCTTTCTATTCTTGCAGTCCACAATATCATGGTCGGATATTACATCAGATGTGTGCAATGAACTAGCTTCAAAATCACTGCATGGCTGGTGTTGCAACACTCCATTGCTTACTACTCAAGTCCTCTGAAATACTGTTTATATTCAAAACTGCTTTCTATAGTACATACAATTATAACATTCTAGATAACCTCATTGCATAATGAACTTTCATATATCTAGTCCAGTTCAGCCTCTAAAATCAAAAAAAACTAATCTTGTTGCTTTACTCTTTTATATTCCTAGAGCATTTCCAATTATGAATCAGACCACCTTTATTGGAAGGTAAGCCATATCTAGTGGGTTTGTCATTAATACAAGTCGTCTTTAATGTCCAGACGCGTGACTAGTAATGGCTTGGATATCTATCATTACTAACCCAATTTGTCAATATTGAATTGATTCATGTAGAGATGCCAACTGCCATATACGACTACGTCCTCTTGATGTGTCCAAATGTCATGCTGCTATTGAAATTAATGCATCCACTGGAGATGTAAGTCTACTTGAATGTCCAGATGTGATCATGTCTGTATTCTAAACTTTGATGGAATTTTAAATTTAATATACAGGCATATATTACTGACAAGAGTTCCAATGGGACAGGTGTAAATGGGAAAATGATTTCTGTAAAACAGCTGCTTTTGCATCAAGATTTGATCAATATTGGTGACAGGAAATTTAGATTCGAGTACTCGGAGGTATTTACCCCTGACTGGTGTTTCAAAATGTAATCTTGTTTATTCTAAAACTATATTTCTGAAATAGGATCATCGTAATGGAGTCCAGACACCTCTTGCTGCAGAAAAAGAAAATCCCCAAAGCGTTGTCAACAGTGCCCTTTTCAAGAAATCTCTTGATGCAACTATACGTAAAGATAACTCTGACCTGAAACCTACACATTCTCCCCAGTCTAAATCTATTCATACTCGTCGAGTACTGTTTGAAACATCAGCCTCTTTAACAGATACTACTAAGAATGCTCTTGAAACACTAGAACCGCTTCAGGAAATCAAACCCTCTACTAGCTCCGATAGACATACCAGTCCATCAAAAAAGATGTCGATTTCTCACTCTAAAAGCTTTAGAGTAGAAACTCCACTGCCCAATGAACCTTTAATCTGTTCGCACAAAAAAAACACTAGATCTGCTTCAAAAGGCTGTTCAGTTTTGGCTTGCAATGTCAACTCTTTGAGTCCTATAGCTACTATAGAATCACACAAAGCTTACAACGCAAATTACTCCAAGGAAGCAACAGGTGCGAGTGGTTTAGAGATGGGCACTGATTCTGTCTGCCCGTCAACGGCTTTTTCACAACTACAATCTAAAACACCTTTACAGCATCAAACGGATTGTTCAGAATCCTCTCTTACAGTATCATGTGTCAAGGATGCTTTAGAAAAAAATGCACCCACTTCAATCAATACAGCTATTAATGCATCGACAGAATCTACTGTCAATTTCTTGAAAATTAAAGCGGTTGAAAACAAGACAAAAAGTACCCCACAGGATGTGCAGCGTGGTTTTTCCAAAACTTTGGGAGTTTTAAAAAACGATAGCATGAGTCCTTTTATTTCTACAGGAATTCAACTACCAAATCGATTTACTACAACGCCGCAGTCGAGCTCAAGACATACACCATCTAAAAAGGTTGGGGTTAATTTGGCTACATTGGCTGAGCATACACATCGATCTCCTTGTGCTTTAGCAACCAGTTCAGCCTCTACAAATAACACGACCGGACTTGAATCACCATCTATCAAGGCTGCCACAAACAGTAGTAAAAGAACACTGTCTGGTTCACCCAAGACTAGCGGGGTTTCTAAAACTCCAAAACTTGCCAAGTTTTCTGATGCTGCTTTAACTGCGCGATCAAGCTCGTTAACGACTGTCTTTCAAATAAATGGCTTGGAAGCCTCTGCAGATAGTTTGACAAAAGGCAGTTCCTCCACCCCAAGTAAACTACAAAGCATACCTTTGCGCGTTCAGAATATGCTATCTGCCAAAGTAAACTCGCCTGCTAAAAAATCTCTATGCGCATCTCCGTTGGCACGCTCTATATCTGAATCTTCCATCAACGTTTTCAACAGTCCAGCCACAGGTCTCACCACCAGTCTTTTTTGGAGAGAGTTGGACAAATTCGTTGCTACTGCCAAACCCAATCCACATCCCAAACCTATTGCGGATATCTCGCTTTTTGATGACAGTTCAGCCATGACGGAAAATCATTCCACACAATTGCCAACTTCAGTGCCTATAAAACCTTTTATTGAACAACCCGAATGTCCTGCTCCCGTCAATGATATGCTAACCCCAGTCAAAGTTCGATCTAGTCATATTATTTCGAATTCAGCTCCATTCAAACACACTTTTACGACTCCTCCAATTGTAGCCAAGCCTGTCACGGCTAGTAAGTCTACAACTTTTGGATCTAAAGAACTCGCGAATCGGTTTTTATTCCGAAATAATTTAACACAACCAAAAGGCTGTAATGAAACTCAAACTGCAGCATCTGCTATGCATGCTGAAATTTTGGTAGGAAAAAATGATGCACAGGTTTGTTCTTCGCCTACTGTTTCCGCGAACCTCAGTCTAGTTCACAACAGTCCATCTGATATTGCTCCCAAGCGCGGCATTCGATTCGGACCACCTGTAAGTATGATTTTAAAGGCTGCTTTAGATTTTCCAATTAGTGTATACATTCCTTTTGTTTTATTAACTGGCTATCCTTTTAGCTTAATCCTGAAATCTTTGATAGTAAACATCCTCCATCAACTCCTATTCGTCGTGGCGAAAAAGTACGTGCACACCATGCCGATTTTGAAGTTGGATCTGTTTTAAAGTCTGCTTTAAAGCGAAAGAGTTTGGGTCGAACTGGTACAGAGCTTTCTAGTATGTTGTCATCGCCACTGATAAACAATCAACAAACGGATGTGTCATCATTGATGGATTTGTCGTGCAATCCATTGAATCTAAATAGTACAGACTACAACAAAAGCGGTTCTACACCTACTCAGTTGGATGACGTGGCAATTTCAAATACTGCTTTAGAATCTACTGAAAATGACTGCCTTTTATCTGTCAGTCCTCTCTGCCAAGTTTCCAGCGAAAAACTGCATGATTTGTCTACTGAGAACACGTGTATGAGCACAGTTGCCGATATGTCGGTAGTTACGCAAGCACCTGCAGAATCTATTGCTTTTGACAAATCTAATTTGATCTTTTCGAGTAGTTTCAATTCAATCGAGCCAGACAGTCTACCCTTTCAATCTTCCTCCGAGGTGTCTACAACCAGTCCCGTTATTACTGAAAAACAAACTACTTGGATACAAACTGAGTCAGTGCAAGGTGATGAAGCTACAATACCGGCTCTACCCGTTTTGTTTGATACGGTTGCTGATAATCTGGATTCTACTGCCGTTACAGACACATTGATCTTATCGTCGCCTACTGTTGGCAAAGTTGAAAATGTCAATGCCATATCCGAGCTTGTTTTGCAAACAGATGCTACTGTGGTGCAGTTGGATCGACCAACTACTATATATAGCTCACTGCATGCTGATTCTGCGGATATTTCACTCGCAGATAGTCTGAATGGTATGCTAGATGATTCTGTGGAATCCAACTCAAATAGCATTGATCGTTCAGATTTGGATGACTTGTCGGAATCTTCAGTAATGCTCGCTACTCATTCCGACACTTGGCATAACATAGACTCCATTACTTTGGATATGGTGACAGAGACAACACCACTTTCACTTGAAGAAAACGTTACACTACCTGTAGATGCCGTACAAACTAGTTCACCCGTTATGATACGTGATATAGCATCCACGTCCTTAAAGCCATCCGAATCACTGAATGAGCAGACTAGTACTGACGTTGATTTAAAACAAGATACAGCAATCGATATGCATGAATATGATAAAATCGAAGAAACACTCGAGTCGAAATCTTACATCAACAACACTGAGCCTGTCGAGCTGCAGAACACAGCAACAACTGAACCTTTGAAGATGGAGTGTGTACTGACATTAGATGGTATTGATCAGCAACCTACAGAAGAAACCTGGCTTCTCAAGACTCCGACTAAAGAATCACATACTTCCACTGCTACAACCCCCGACATGCATGATCTGGAAATACTTTCAACTCTCAAAACCGAGCAGAATCTGGATAACTCATTAAATCTTTTAAACACTCCTACCATATCCAGCTTCGTAGAAGATGTAAAGACTATTGAAGAGTGCGCGGACTTTGCTGACACTCTTGGTAATGACGCTGAACAAGAAGTGGTTTTGATTAAAAAAATGGATACCCGGACCAAAGATGCTTCCTGTGCCGAGATTCAAACTTCAGAGTTCTTTTCAGCTGATGTTTCTGCCAAGATTATAGATACTGTCACGATTCCAATCATACCACAAGTAGATGATTTTGTTGATAATGACCAATATACTTGTGAAGTTGGCAAACCCAGCATGGTTGCTACTCTAAAGCCTTCAAATACTAAAACCAAGTCAAGACAAAAAAAGGCAACAACAACGCCTGATATGCGTGGATTGAGAAAGCTTATGAAAACTCCCAAGGCTCAAGTGGATGTTGACTTTGATGGATTGGCAGATATTTTAAAGACTCCAGTATTAGCAGACGATTCTTTGGTTGTAAATCTCAATGCTTCTTGTACTCCAAAGCACTTGCATAGTACTCGAACTGATGTCACTCCGATTACTGCTTCCAAGTCTACCCCATCTACTATGCTGGCATCTTTTTCTAAAAATGTAAACTCTACCACTCCAGCTCAAAATTGTCAATCTCTAAAAAAGAATTTGACAGCCATGTCCAGCATTAAATCATCTAGTGCATCACAAACTAATCTAGAGACGGGAACGAATGGGGTAACTCCTATCAAGTCTCAGCAACCCAACATATGCGACATGTCTCAAGCACGCATCCCAAAAATGTTTCAAAAAATGCATGGGAAAACTCAAAAGCAACCCGCAGAAATACTTTATCTTGGTATTCGGGATCTTATGCGCACTCCAAAGAAGGCTGCTTCCGAGTGCCAAACCAACTATAATGGTTTAGCAGATATATTTGCTACACCTCATCCATGTCGCGTAGCCGATGTTGATCTAGAAAATACAAAGAGTCCACTAGGTTTCACGGTTTCTGCTAAAAGCCAGCAAGCAACAATGGGTTTGCGTACACCCGATAAAGCCAACAAATATGCTGGAAAACCAACTTCTGTCTTGCATTCCTTGGATGGAAAACACAAGAAAACTAAAGGAAAAGCGTGCACTTTATCATCTAGAGCGTTTCACAGCGCTTCAGCAAAATCATTTGATGCTTGGCCACTTGGCTCTAAAATGGTGAGTACCAAAGTGACAAAGAAAATGGGCAATCACACCGCAGCTGATACTGGCGTGACTACCACTCCTACTTCAACAGCTAGTTTGGTTCAAAGAATGCTGAGTTTTACCAGCACACCAAAAATTTCAACACCTACTCCCAAAATAGCAACTCCAAATATTGCTTCTTCAGATGCTGTAGCAGTAGATACTACTGTAGACGTGAGTAAAAAAGGCATTTCTTTGTCAACTACTCCAGTAAACACTTCTAAACAGATAAAAGAATTCCCACGCTTGTCTAGCCGTAAAACACGCCGTCGCGCACGTAAACTCAGTCAATCGTTTTTAACAGAAACCATTTCTACAACTCAGAAAGCACCAGTGCTTGATTGCCTTTCTACCAATGTTTCAACTACTGAACTGGTATCTCGGAAAACAAAGCAGAATGCCAAGACTGTTTTGCAAGATGCCACGGCTGTATCTGGCGACTCTAATGGCTCTCCTGAAGCACTGGTTGTAATAGAAAAACGAAAAACAAAAAACAATGCTAAACAATCCAAAGATGTCACTGTTGAAGTGAAATGTTCAGTTGAACACACTCATGCTCCTTTTGAAGTGTCCACTGTGTCTGAAACTACTACTGCGAAAGTAAAGCGATCTACAAGACATATTCAAGTGGCAGATACTTTTGAGCAAGAGCCTGTCAGAGTCAAGCAGCGTGCAGTCAAACATACCCGTGCAACATCAGAGATAAAAGACGAATATTCTAAAACAGCCATCAAGACAAAACAAACTCGACGTGGCGTTCCAGCTACTTTAAAATATGAGGATCCTATTGATACCGATAACAAAACTAGCTCTGATAGTTTGACTGCACCTATTACAGAAACCATTGAACCCAACTCTGAAATCAATTTGAAGCCACAGCTCGATGACGATGCGGTTGTAGTGAAGCCTATTTCTCGCAAGAAAAAGACAGCTAAAAAGGTATTGGAGTCAACTATAGAGACCAGGCATTCACTTTTGGTGGTGAATGATACGGTTGATGAGGTTGACAAGAATGCGGCCACCAAAGCCAAACCAAGAGCCACGCGTCGAGGATTAAACTATACTGCACCAGACACCACTACAAAAGAGCATGTTGTCAAGGTTGAAAATATGATCGAGCAGTCTGTTGCTCTTGATATATCAAGCGTACCAAAAAAGCGTGGTCGATCAACTAAATCGGTATTGGTAGCTGAATCTGCTACGGATGTTTCCGAACCTATAGTGGAAAATACTGAACCACCACCAGTTCATATGAAAAGTAGATCTAAGCGAATCAAAGTTGACCCTACAGACTCTAAATCAGAAAAAAAAGATAATGCTAGTATCTCTAGTAGATCATCTACTCGACGCAAGGCAAATAAACAGTAGTGGATGCCAGCAGACAAATTATTCTATATATGTGCTTAAGCTAATCCTGAAATATCATATGGAAATATTTCTTGGAACACAATCTCTCATTATCTTGGCTCAATAAATTTTTATCCATCAAAATCAATGTGTTGATGTACTGAGTGAGAACAATCCAATCCACTATTTGAACAAAATGACGAGTTTGGTGATTGCAGAATGCGTGGTTGTGAAAAATGGGGATAATCTCGGTTCAAAACTATAGTTTGTATTATATGATAGAGTTGTGTGTATTGAACAGTAGTCAATTTGTAATAGGAAAGCACAATGAATATTCAACTATTATTCCAAAGATAAGTTCCATTTGACGTGAATACGGGTTGAATATTTTTTTGAGGACAACGAATGGGCCATTAGATTGCAAGTTTCCTTTAAAACTTGAGCATACAACTATTTTGGAAAATGCTTTCTACTGCCTCGTTGCTGCGTTTGGGCGGGAAATCTGTTGAGACGACTTCCAGGTCACAATGGGTGCGTTGCATGGCATCTGCTCCTAGCTCTCAGGTACATATTTTCAGTCGAGAAATTTGGCAGTTTGGATAGATGGAAATCACTAATTTGAGAGCAGCATCAAGATGCAGCCATCACGATCTGATGGATCATGAACAGCTGAATTGAGGCTTTTGATATCATTGCATCCACTACTGTATATTAAACACCCAGATATGAGCAATTTAAAATACTAATTCTTTGACAGCCATTCAAGCGTACATCATTGTATGACTTTCATGTTAAAAATGGAGGGAAAATGGTAGAATTTGCTGGCTGGGATATGCCTGTTCAGTACTCTTCGCTGGGTGTTCTCGACTCTCATCTCTGGACTAGGAAGCATGCATCCATCTTTGACGTATCCCATATGCTCCAAACCAGGTACATTCCATCACAATCAAGATTAACGCATTCATTGCATTATAAAAATCAAATTTAATCCACAGCTTGATTGGGCCAATATTTTGGGCAGTTTTGTTTAAAACACCTTTGGATACCAACTGCTGGATAGGATCGTTCTCATTGCCTATTCGTGATCTTTATATCGTGCCTGACTAATTTTTTGTATTATATCATCAAGATGGTCTGGCAAGGATCATGTCAAGTTCATGGAGTCTCTTGTTGTCGGTGACATTGCCGGTCTCCAGATGGGATCATCTACTCTTTCCGTTTTCACCAACGAAAAAGGAGGAATTATTGACGATACTGTTATTAATCGTCAGGATGATAAAGGTCTATACGTTGTTTCCAACGCTGGTTGTGCTGATAAGGATCTTGCCCATATTCGCAAACAGCTCGCTGATTTCCAGAACAAGGGCGGAGATGTCGATGTCAAGGTTCTTGACAATGTTTCCCTGATCGCATTGCAGGGTAAGTTGTGTTGCTTCTCACATTAAAATTAAACTGGTGATTGATTGGATTGCTTTGAATTTAGGTCCTGATGCTGCCACTGTGGTTCAGAGTCTAACCAAGGAGGATTTATCCAAATTTGGATTCATGACGAGTCGCCACATGGATATTGCCGGCGTTGATGTATACGCATCTCGCTGCGGATACACAGGCGAAGACGGCTTTGAAGTAACTTGTTTAGTTTTGGCAATCTCCCGATAAATATGCTACTTGTTTTGACTTATATGTTGCACCACTGTAGATTTCCGTTGCCCACAAAGATGCGGTCGCGTTGACTCAGAAACTGTTGGACCATCCCCATGTTGAGCTTGCTGGTCTTGGTGCCAGAGATAGTCTGCGACTTGAAGCAGGTCTTTGTCTTTACGGACATGACTTGAACGAAGACATTACCCCTGCCGAAGGTGGTTTGACATGGACGATTGGTATGTTGCGTGTGTAGATACTTTTATTCAATCGCTTGTCTTGTACTCGATCTTTTATGTTGAATTATACTGACACGAGTTTCTGATATTTGGGTTAAATAGGAAAGCGTCGTCGAGCTGAAGGTGGATTCCTTGGTGCAGACAAGATCCTGTCTCAACTTAAAGTCACTGCCAAGGGAAATGTCCAGCTTGATGTTGCTAACCGTCGCGTTGGCTTTATTGTTTCTGGTGCTCCCGCTCGTGGTGAGTTTACACTGCCAAAAAACTGTATTTTTAATATATTTGATGATTATATACTTAGTCTATATCGAAAAATGATTATTTTACTACCTGTAGAGGGAGCCGAGATTTACGACAAGGTCAATGGCACCAAAATCGGTACGATTACCAGCGGTTGCCCATCTCCTAGCATGATGAAAAACATTGGTATGGGATACATTCAAACTGGATTCCACAAAATTGGTACAGAAGTTCAGGTCAAGGTTCGCAATCGATTCCAACCTGCAGTTGTTTCCAAGATGCCATTTGTTGCACACAAGTAAGTATACTTGTTTTGATCTCACTTACATAATACTGTATTGCAAAAGACGGGTATGCTTACATTGACTATTTGGGATTTGTTGATATAGCTATTTCCGTGGTTAAATACAATGATTACATTAAGGAAAAGTTTCAATTTGCTTTTGGGATTCGTTGCAACTGAAATACAATGGTTTAGATTCCTACAATTGAATTTGCAAGATTGATGGATGAATAAATTACATTTTCGAAACATTACAGACAAGACAAATGTATTACAATGAGCATTAAACAAACTCAGATCTTTGCGACTAAACCAGTTTCTAGAATTGAATTTTTGATACAGAAACAACTCGACAGATTCAAAGCATGACAAAATGTCAGCAACATCAACTCGTAGTCGCAAGATCCGATTGCAAAGACTTTCCAAGTTCGTGACCAACTTGTTTGGGTTGAATTGTTGGTTTTGTTTTTATACAAATTATTGGATATTACATGGACTCTGCTACATACACTCCTAGTGGTAATGGGAATGCTACTTCAAAGGTACTATCGTATGTCTGTATGGCATCAGAACATGAACACCCGAGCAAGCCTTGAACTGCATTTGAAGCCAGCAACTCTTATGAATGAAACCAACCTTTTGCTATAGTTCTTGTTATTGCTAGATATGGTAGTGATGCATACTATTTTCTATTGATAGTAGCAATGAGATTTCAATGTGGCCATCTAAAATCATGGACTGTTCCTTGCCTACACAACTGGCAACTATATCTCTTGACTTGTGGCATACAAGAAGCCCTTGTCATCATCTGGTCTACCATAAAACAGTTGATCATCTTGACTTATTTATGTGCTATTTACAGCCTGTCACTGCATCTGCCAATGCCGTATCTTTTTATTTTCAGATGCATTTTAGATTCAATACTGATTCGCACTCCATGTCACGGCAATGTGATTGGCTCGCTGCTGGAATCATCTGATTCAATCAAGCACGATACTCTTATTATTCGCCATAGAATGCTGATGGATCGATATGAATCACTGCTCTAACATGTCCCTTGTCTTCATTTGTGCATCATATAGTATGATGTTTTTGTTCACCGATGCTAACTCTGCTTTTGTAACATTTAATTGCTGTCTTGGTTAAATCTACACTAGTCAATGGAACTTGCTTCGCTTCATTACGCCACATTGCATGAATTTCTACTTCCCCATCTAGATTCTCTTGAACACAGTCATGGACAAAGCAAGCAACGAGCGATTGCCAGTGACAAACTGTCCAAACTTACTATTCAACAATTTTTTGAACTTTCGGTTGATGTTTTTGATGAGCTAAAACGTAGAACTTCGGACTCTGGTAGGATTTGATTTTTGTCATAACAAACTGGCTCATTCATCTGTGCAAATCTCATGTATAATTAAACTCGCTACAATTGTATACAGGGGATCCTTTTTTACCAATCAGCAATGATTTCCATCCAAAGCGAAATCAAGCTCGTCAAAAACTTGCTGTTCTTCCACTCTCTCGTTTTCGAACCTTGGCAAGCGACGTTCACTCTGAACTTGACTTTCGTTTTCCTACCATTGCTACAGAAATTAAATCTAGATACGCTACTGGTGATACGTCAAATGCATCTAATGAACCCCAAAGTGTGCCTAAAAAACTAGAAAGCAGTAGCAAAAATGGAGCATCTCTGCAATCTTTGTCTTCTGAAAAAGAACCTTCTCAAACGGTAATATATCTAATATTTGCTGCATCTGCCGTTTTATCGATTTTCAATCACCAACACAGTCTGATTCGTTCCTCTATACCATTATTTTAATAGCCGAGTGTAAATCAAGTGCAAAATGGTGCTTCAACAAAACTGCCTGCCAATGATGGCAAAGCATCTTTGGAAAATCTCATGTCAAACATTGACAATATGATGACGGTATGTTATCTATGTTTACTAGTAAACTTTGCATCCGTGTGGATTTATTTTACAAAATGCATCTGGCCAATATCTAACCCTATGCTTTAGGATGATCGTTCAAGCGACAACTACAAATCCATCATTATTTCTCTTCAAACCCGACTGTCAGATCTTGAAGCTCAGCTGGAGGTGATGCTACCGTATCTCTGATAATGCATGCTAATAGCTTTTTTAAACTAATACTTTTTACTGAAATAAATCTACTATTATTTAGAACGAAAGAACCAACAAAGCAGCTGCACTTATGGATGCCGACTCTGCTTTGCGTCGTGAAAAACAGGTTTGTGCTACAACCAGCCTCTCAAACTATACTTTTTGATAGGTAACAATTACTAATACCGTTTATTTAACACAGAAATACCAAGAGTTGGATAAAGTATATCAGGAAGTTTACTCTAATCATCAAATTTTGAGGCAGGATTACAATAGTTTACAGGACGATTATAATGAGCAGCAACAAGTATATTTTTGACCTATCTTGAGGCCATTCTATGTTTATTTTACAACAGTTTTTGACTATTACTTGCTTGTTCAATATATAGATCTCGGCAGACATTCGTTCCGAAGCCACTAATCTTTTAGAGGAAATCAAGGAACTCTCCATCAAGAATGAAGAGCTTAGAGGCTACGAGAGAACTCATCTTGAAACAATTCAAAAACTCAAAGAGGAGGTATGGTTTACTTTATAGACTCTTACTTTTATTCATTTCACACTGAATTTGTTTTTATTGACTATATGTTAAATAGATTAAACGACTAGATAGTGCTGGATCAAGATCCATTTCACATGATTTCAACTCTGGCACTCCTGTACCTGCCTCGTCTAATAATCACATATCACCACCACAGCCCTTCAATGGTCGTGTCAATATTGACTATGATATCGATGATATTGTTGATGCTGGTATTGTTAGTCTGCATTTTGTAGATTCGTACAAGAATGCTGTTGATGATTTGGTTTCTGTGTCAGGGTATGTTAGAATTTTGGTTATTTTAAACTAGTATTTTATACTTTTTGTACATGATCTAACAGTCATTTATAACATATAGGAGTGAGAATCCTACAAGTGTTCTTGTTGCCATGAAAGGGATTGTTATTGCATGTAGGAGTATTACAGAGGACTCTGAGGCGTATGAAAACAATCCAGAATGTGCACTAGAGGATTATGAGCGAAATGAACTTGTAAATGTCAAGAATAAACTCTCGGCAGCGTTGACGCACCAAATGGGAATTGCCAAAAGTCTTGCCACCAACTTCAGTCTCAACACAGTCGCCTCTCTTGAAGCCGCTACATCAGACTTATCAGCAACAATTGTTGAACTATTGCATATTTATCAAAGACACACAGGACTGTCCAACGCTATTTCTCGCACTGATGAAGATGAAGTAAAGCAGCCTGGTGACTTTGGCTCAACCGAGCAAGACAATTTCACTGGTAGAAACAATAACGGCATCAATGATTCAGCCGAAGATGGTTCATACGAGATTGAAGAGCTTAAAATTTTTTTGGAGCAGCAAACTGATTTGATTGTACAAGCTATTCAGTCTCTTTTGAATGCGATGCGGCAATCATCAAGCTTTGGACAGGGCTTTAAGGACACTGTTGGTGGTATTACCAGCATTGTTGATAATCTTGTTGATGTTTCTCGCGATACATTGAATCGACCGCCTGGTGCAGCGTATCGTGCTAATGGCGGTGAGATTTTGAAGGAACTGGCCGCTGCAAATATCCGTTTGGATGAACTTGGCACGTCAATGATCAACTCTCCACAAAGCAAGGCTCTCAAACAAAAACTTGCTAGCTCGTCCTACGAAATTGCTAAATTTGTCAAGGAGCTTATCAGTTTAATTGAATAGATTTTTTATCGATGCATATCTTGACTTGCTTTGCAACTGATCATGAATACCGTTTTCCAATATCATAATCTATACCTACGCAGCTGTTGCGGAGCCTAGTCTTGTATAGCATGGCTATTTTTCATCATTATTGCTCTTATCTCCAATCTTTACGCACTATTAATCAATCATCTGCTTTATCCTTGTATCAGAATACGCATATAGACTACATCACTATGTGTGCAGTTCATTCATCTTTAGGCTTATGCCTCAATATCACGTTTGAGCTTCAACTATCCTTCGTACCTTTCTGCGCATATTAAACAATACGATCCGGAATTTGATGTTTCTTACTATTTGATATAAATACTGACAATACAAGTAACATTGGCAATAATGATCTGATTTCTTGTTTATTTGAACTCTTACAGCCGTATTCATGTAAAATTCAATACTAAATAAAGGTATCAAAGTACATAATAAACTTTCAGTTCACTGGGAAGCATTGTATTATGCAATTTGACAAGATCGACTGACATTTTTCGTGGTGATTGGCATGAAAACAACCTTGGTTTGATTGGATTATATGATGGTCGTTGTATCAATTAAAGAAACAATCGATTTGTAGTAAACGTGACGACTATTCAACTATTTGTTTCAAAGCAATTACTGCAAGATAAATACAAATGCTCCATTTTACATGAATACGGCTGCACGTATGCTGCTCATCTATAAAATCTGATTCATTTAGACAGGTTTACAAGGTTATGAGAAACCTTGCTAGAACAATGCCAATCCAATTTATTTTAATTGTATGGACTACTTTTTTTGTGCAATCTGCATCGCCCATTCCATACCCTCCGACACACCCATATCTGATTTGGCCGAGCAAGGTTGAATATGCCATGCTCTATCCCTAATCCCACCAATATTGAGTCCTGCCACAATCTATAAATTAAAACGCGTCGTTTAATTGCTGATGCACATCATGACTAGTAGTCAACATCATGATTGGGATGGAGTATTGTGTTACCTCGTCGCCAGACAAAGCATTCATGAGATCTTGCTTGTTGGCAAATACGAGAAGAGGCACTCCTTGTAGCTTTGCTTCTGTCAAAAGGTTTGCGAGCTCTGTTCCTCTAAGTATTGAGGAATGATGCAGATAAGCTAAAGAAAACGATTGGGTTGCACAGGTTGAATTCAATACACTTACGTTTCTTCTAGTCGACGTTTGTCTGAACTATCCACCACATAAATCTAAATCATATACCATAATTATAAACATGATATGAGAGTCAAGACTGTTGTAATCCAATCTATGCTCAGACATTACCAAGACATTTGTGCTTTCAAAATAATTGCGCCAATACGGCCGGATGGTTTGTTGGCCTTGAATACCCAAAACAAATGCAAGGTTAAAAGACTGGCCAATATTTTACACTAATGTTCTGATCCAATCAGTACACATAAAGATAGGCCAACACGATTTAACGCAGGTTTATCCAACCCATATATCGCGCAGTCAATCCATTCTACAATACACCGAGTAGACGCTCAACATTGCAAGCGTACCTCCAATATCCCATACGTTCATCTTGATGCCATCTTGCTGAACAGTTTTGATATTAAATCCTTGAGTTGGTTTAATCTCCAAAATCTCTTCACCTGCAAGTCGCTTGAGCAATGAAGTCTTGCCAGCATTGTCCAGACCAAGAAGAAGGATACGGATTTCTTTTTCAGAGCGTCTCAGCTTGCGTAAAAGTGAAAGCAGGCCCTATACCCAAATATTTGATTTCAAATCAAGTAGATGTAGTGTTTAGAGCTTAAACATGAGTTGATTGGATAAATGTTGAAAGCTAGAACTGTAGTTTGAATAGCAGCTGCTTGTGTAGGCTAATTAAACAAAATCAAAAAATCAAATACTAGGTACAGATGTGACTACAACTCACCATGATTTCAAGGTAGTATACGTAGATGCAAGGTATAGGTGAATAAATTGATAAAAGTCGAGACTTGAATCTATCGGAGATTAAAAAGTCGCCAATAAAATAGCCGACGTGTCTTGAACCCCAACTTGTGCTGTAAAAACACCAGTATGGACTGCATTGTCAGTATATTTTAATTGTATTGTTGCTAATTGTATTGATTCTATTATTTGAAAGCATTGCGGGAATCTAATGCCAAAGTGGTTCATGCTTGACGACAAGATCATTTTGAATGTCAGCATTGAGTGATTTGAACTTTGATTATCGTGTTTTCAATATATCTAAATGAACATTGGAAATAGACGAAGTTTAAATATACCCATATTCAGGATACACACTCCAATTCAGCATAGTTTAAAGTTTAAAAGCATGTATTTTGAAAACTTTTATTGACAACAGTAGTAGACCTGTAAAGGTAATCATTGCGCTCAAATAGACGATATCTAATTAGTTGCGAATTTTCTCTCGGCAGTGGCACTGATAGAAGGAGTCGAACAAAAATAGGAATGTCTAGAGTAAGCAGCGTTTGAAAAGCCAATATGCCAAAAATTAGCTGTTTTTATATTTATGTACAGTCAAAGATAGTTTTATTCTTGGTTGTTGTCAACATCAAGAAACCCTCTAATCGCACTATTCATAGCTAAGACATCCTGTTCAATTTCGTTTTCATCCAGACCAATACAAGGGTTGGGAAGAAACACTTGTGCAGGGATTTCTCCAGGTGGCTGGAAATGGCAGATTTAAAGATGCGGTTAGTCAATCATGGCCCAGTATACAAAATGATAGACCAATAAGGTATACATGGACAATCATGCCAATATTAAACTTTGATTTTCAAATTAAAATAGCCACCACTTATAGTTGACAAACCTTTGATGATTGGTTATTATTGCGATTACGTAAAACAACTCTTGCCCATGTCGGAACTCGTTCCTCGAAATCCTCACGTACATTTCCATTACTATAGTCAGCATGTCTTTGACGTTTCCTATTATGTATGGTTGTGGCTTTGGAGGCAAAAAAAGGAACTAAAAAACAGTGTGAATACCTTGCAAGTATTGCGGTTGCTAGCATACCATTCAAACAGTATTATATCACTACTGTTATATGGTCATAGGAACAGCCATCAAAGAATTCAACTGAAATATCATACCAGGATGTTCCCATCTACATGCACGATCGTATTCGTGATGTAATTGAAAGCAATCTCTTCTTTGTTTTTCGGAAATGCTAAATTTCAAGTCGCGCTTTGCATGCTATTAGACAAAGTGGACCATATGGATAACAGGAAAAAGATGAAACAGTTTAAAAAGTATTAGAAAATAAACGCATAGTCTATTGGCATTAGTTGTATACATCCATCAGGTCTAATACACTTCAAATCATGACTTGCCAAAAAGGAATCTTGCACAAGTTTAATACCAGCCTCGTAGGCAGCCTCACAATTACTAATTTTGTATCCCAATCGATCAGCGGTTTCCCGGAGCCTTAATTCTTTACGTGTTTCAATTTCAGCCAGCTGTTGCATGCACTCTGGATGTTTCCCGCTTGTAATCAATGAGATTTCAAGCTGTAACTCTTCCATCTTCAAATCATACAATCTGTTCAAGTAAAATAGTGCAAAGTAGGACTATATAGTGAATAAACTTTAAATCAATCAAGTCTTGACAAGCGCATCTTACTTTTCAAAAGAATCCTCAGTCAGCTCTTGTGCCTTTCTAGCATCTTGTCTAGCAATCTGCATCAATTCACGCGCCTTCTTGGCATCCTCTTTATCTAAGCCCAATCCTGGGAGTATATCGGCTACCAATGCAAGTAAGTGTATGTAATAGTCAAAATAGTACAGAAAAGTTAGCTGAACGCACAATTACCGAGAAAGCTCGGCCAAAAAATAAGTGACATCAATAGAATGCTAACGAATTGGCAAGTTTTACAAAAACAGCAAAACAAGATGATAGCGTAATACTCTGACCTACCATTAAGATCTTCTTCATCTGCAGAAGTGGATGCGCCTCTTGTGTAATCGGCACTTGCCGTTTCAATTTCTGCAATCATGTCAATTTTCTTGATGGGAGATTTGCCTTGTAGTCTAAGACTTCGTCCAGTAGGATGAGAAGCGTCTGAAATATTAGTATAACCAGTTGGGTTGACTTTATTAGGCCTGCCAGCTACGCTTGCTTTGAATTCCTCATCGTCGTCGCTCTCACCATCCAAATCATCGTCTCGGGCCTGAGCAGCACGGTCCTCTGAATCGGCAACATCGTCGTCGTTTTCAGAATCATTTATGTTGTAGTCGTCATCAGCAAGAGGAACAGTAGGCTGAGGAGTGGTATGAAAGTCCGAGTCATTACCCAAATCGTCCATGTTTTCCTCCAGATCGTCGATATCAGAACCAAACGCAGACTGGAGCGTGTCGTCATCCAAGTCTTTAGCACATGCAGCAGCATGTGAAAAGCGACTTTCCTGCTGATGATGCATCAAGTCCATAATATTTGCTGCCTCTTTGTCATCGTCTTTGCTGTGGTCATCACTGCGGCCAGTCCTGTCCTGGCGGTCCGCATCTTGCATCTCCTGGTCGTCTGCATTGCCAAACTGGTCCTGATCAGTGTACGCACCACTCTCGACAAAAGCACGAGGTTGAGATTCGTCTATATCCATATCTAATTCAACTGGGTTGGCTTGGCTAGAGTCAACAACAGGTGCATCTGCGCTACAGTCAGTGGCGAGGATCAGGGATTTGGACTCGACATTTTGTATCGAGTCCGCATTCATGGTATCGCTATTATTATGACTCAATTCAACAGACAAGGGCAGCGATACGTTGGAGTTGATGTCAGTCATTGTTGAATGGCGGTGGTGGATGTAATAAGGAACTTGTTTAGATACAGATTGGATCTGGTTCGGCACGGTGTGTGAGCTGATGAATTCGTGACGACTGCGGAGTAGCTGAAGTAAGAATATTCCAATGATAAAGTTGCTGCAACTATAGATAGGAATGATTAGTGGATCCCACCAATGTGTTCAGAGCACAGACTTGGCTCTTGTCAGATATCGTCTTCAGTTTTGTTATGTGATTTTGGGCTCAAACGCTCATCCTCACTCATCACGTGATAATACATCAACTTTCGAGGGAATCCCTCCATCAAACTTTATTCCGTTTACTAACTACTTGAAATTTAATCCTGCGTCGGATTGCGTCTGCCGCCTCTTGTTCGTACAGTGCTCTCCCCCAGTCCTGGTCGAGTTTGTCTTTGATTTGTTGGATTCTCTCTTTCGCATGTTCTTTTTGTTCTCGAACTAATGTCCTCATTTCCTAAAGAGCGACATGATGCATAGATTAAACTCGGGTCTTGTAATCTTTACTTGCTAGCACTACACATACTAATAGATTACCTCATTTTGTACTTTTTTAACAAGTGCTTCTTCGCGTTTTGTTCCGCTAGCTGTTCGTTCAACATATCAATCTGATCCTGCAGAGTAAAAAATCATAGTCAAGGCATCACCTATATATAATCATATCTACACAATAACCCAAATGAAAAAAGGATATAATTTGCGTCGTGACATCTCTTTGATTTTCTTTTGTTCATTGCTTTTTTTCTGCGTATCTCGCTCCAGTCGACGCTCTTCAATAATTGCTAGTCGTTGTGCCTTGATATACTCATCCAGCAACCCCTTGACCATCTATTGCAAGCATAAAAAGCAATTGTATTGGTTTTATGCACAATCAGTTTAACGTATACTGCATATAGCGCGTGGCTATACAACTATTGACAAGGCGCTTCAGTACACGATTTACCTTTTCTTCCTCAAAACACCGCTGATCGGCTATGCGCTCAACTTGCTCTTGAGCCGAATTGTGTATTTGATCCATTCTTTTTAATCGTCGAACCTTTTCATTAAGATTCACTTTGGCATTATGGCGTAACGCTGCCTGATCTTTGCGTTTCTCCTGATCACCATACAAAACAGAATACATTAAAAATAAGCAGATCATTCGAGTCTTGTAAATAAAAGCGCTCGAATATAAAATGCAAAAGTCAGAATAAGCAAATATCACCAGTAATCGTGTTCGTGATGCATCTTTTTTTACAAGTGATACGAGTGAAACGCTACTCGGCTGGCTTGTTTTGTTGTGCTAAGCGTTAATATCGTCAAAATAAATGAGCTTCATCCATAACATTTCAAAATATTTCAAACTGTATAATGTTGAAATAACTTGCCATGTCAACCTTTCGAGTCCATAAACGATCATCCAACGCACGTGTCCATGTAGATAGTTGGCTGCTCCATAAACTCTCCCTCTGCGACTCGGTAAGAAACTTACTATGGACAACGGGAATCGTTTTTCTAACGCAATCTTCAAACGCCTGTATATTTTGTCTTGGAGGTGATAACTTGGCAAACTGGGTTTGATCATTTCTTGAAGGTTTCGACTTATCTGAAAAAAGCTGACGCCGAGAGCGTTTACCAAACCCATCTAAATCTTGGTCTCTAATAGGATCTGCTCCGTCAACATAGTCTCCTTTAAATTTTGAATAACTTTTGTCTAGGTTAGAACTAAAATTTTCATCCACAACGGCCCTGTCCTCATAATAATCAACATCATTACGATCATGATTGCGAGATTGCTCTTTTGACATGGGTGATTGTTTAAATGGACTCGCCATTATCCCATTTTTCATTGCTTGCTGATGTTGGCGCTGCATATCCTGCAACTTTTTTTGCATTATAAATGGAGAGCGGTTACGTGCTCCTGTATGTTTTTGACGAAGAAGTATAGCTCGTCGAAGTTTGAGCGCACGAGTATGTGGTGTATCATGTTTGGTAACACGTAGAATTTCTGGTGTATGATACTGATCCGTCTAAATGACAATCATAAAACAGATTAGACTAGAACTGTTTAAAATAGAAAATTGCATTACAGATATACCGCAGCATAAAATTAGTGCTTACTTGAGACTGAAATCGAATATGCTTATGACCAGGTTTGGCAATGCGATTAGCTGATTTAAAAGCTGGAGTAGAAGATGTCTCTACGGTTGCACCACATGAATCAAAATCAAGATCACTCGAGTCTAAACTGGATTGTCTGTCTGGTGATGCTAATTTTGATTGTTTCTGCTGATGAACAGTTGAACGATGGATTTTATCTTTCTTTTTAGAAAAGTCATCGCGTTCACGACGTGATATATTTGACGTTGGCTGATCTTTACCTACGTCAAATGCACGTGAGGATGTATATGTACTACGACCCTCCTTATGTAAGTGTGGGTTGGGTCTAGACAAACCAGCCATCAACTTTGATACGACGGCAGGCTTTTTTTTCTGCACTCGATTCGGATTATTCGCATCAATAGTCTGCTGCAAATTTCTTTTGACATGCGATACGTATTTTTCCATATGTGGAGCTAATATTGATGCTGCCATAACAGATGGCGGCAAAAGTGTACGATGTATAGGATACTCTGCCGAATCCTTTTCAAATGACACCGAGTCTCGCGAATCAATAGTTGATATATCCTCAATCAATCCCATGATGGCTTTATCATCATGTTGACTATGATTCTGTCCAATACATATAGAATTGATTTGTCAGAATCCTGCTGAATAAAAATAGCCCCCAATTATGAAAAACGTATATATACTAACTGTTTCTGTATCTACATTTTGCTGTTGCAAACTATGAGCTGGGAGTGAGTCTAAATTGTCGCTATCCCTGACACTGCTGCTTTCAAGCGCTTGGCTGATTTCCCAAATGATTGTAACGAGATCAATCAGCGTGCGTGAATCACCATCAACTATGTTTTCAGATTTGATATGAGGAAGATCAATATGCAGAATCTCTTGCTCTAATGCCCATATCACTGCTTGAGCATTCTGAAGTCGACTAGCTCGCGTTAATGTCGAAGTCTCTGATCCATGTGTATCTGGTATGCGAATAATAGCAGAAAGGCGAGTTTCCAAAAGACCTTCAAGAAGCGCAACCCATAATGAAGATACACATTCTGATAAGGAGCTGATGGTGATGGGGACTCTGATGCGAGCTAATAGAGCATTGATTCGGGAAGCTTTGGAATATGTGGTTAGGTTTATTCAACACAAGGTATATACAGATAAACAAGCTCAAATCTAAAATACCTGCAACTATCTCTTGATGTGGTGTAGCTGATATGGGTGGGTTAGATGAACTCCTGCTGGCAGTCTGGCGAGTAGATCTGCTTCTTTGATTTGACATTTCAGTCCGACTTGTTAAATTGCGATTTCTGAAAAGTAAACAACATATCACGTGACTAAATTTGCTTATTTCAAGCTGCATTCAAGCTTATCCGTTAATTCACCGTCTCGTACACCTAGTATACCCATATAATATGTCGTTCCGGGAAATGAAAAGTAAACCGCAATTGTATCGTTTATTTTTTGTGCATATTTTCACTCTCTTTACTAATGGCTTTTGTTCGTATTAACTACCCGATAAGCATTTACGGAAAAGATGCGCGGATTAGGATATCCTAAACGTATATCTATGGAAAGCTTTAGAACTCCAAATTTTGACCTTGTGTCGGATATATTGTATTGGCTAGTAAAAAAGTATATCCAGTTTATTGTAACAGCACTTTAAAATCATATATGCAACACCAACCCATTTAGTAACCAATGTTATTAGCTATGACCCATCTATTGATATCTCCAATGATATCAGCTCTGAGCAGGACCGTGTTATTTTTGTTAAATCCATTGCATTGTTCATGGTAACTATCCACCTTGACTATAACTGCAGTTATTTTTGATATTGACAAAAGATTACCAAGTATGGAAAGTATTTACAGCATCCACTTTACCATTTTAGGCTCCAAAAGCACACATTCAACTCAATACACGTAAGCTTTATACGGCGGATGGTTATGCAGTCAAAGAACTTCTTAAAATCGTCAATATTCTATATGAAGCACATACAATGCGTTTGGATCACAACAGTGTAAGTATACTCTACAGTGCACACTTTTTTCAGAATTATATGCGACTAATTTGAAACATCAAAATTTACTAGAATCAATCAACTATTCAGCCATTGGATATTTCTAATCGTATTGGTAAACTAAAGGCTAGTCGTACTTTGGCATCAGAAATCATTGAGAAAGGTGCAGAGCTATACGATCTTCTCGGACAAGAAATATCTCTAAGAGTATGTATACCTATAATATGCATGCAAAAGTCGGATATGTTGATGTAAACACGAATAACAATAAATTTGATAAAATGGGATGCACAGGATCGACGCACGGATGTGATTTCTCGACCATTTGAGTTGGCAGAAATGGAACAGGCCGTAACAGCTGCAGTGAATACTCTTCGTGATCAAATGACAGTCACACGGACTGGAATGGATAATTTACATTCAGATGAAATTAACTTGCTGGCAAAAATTGAAAAGAAAAAGGTGGAGCGAGACCGAGCTGAAAAGCGTTTAAAATCATTACAAGGAGTTCGGTATGTTGACATTGATTTCAAAAGGCTGGATTAGAATAGTTTTGAAATCAAGTTGGTATAGTTTCAACAGCATCTTGTTACTTATTTGGGTTATCATATACATTCAAACTACTATAGTCCAGCATATATGGATGAGTATGAAAAAATTGAAGTAGAGCTTTCCAGATTGTATGAAACCTATATGGAAAAGTTTCGTAATCTGGCGTTTTTGGAACAACAGCTTGATGAATATAACCGCGAAGAGCAAAACAAAAGTGAAGAAACCGAGTCGTCAATGAAGCGGATGCAGAATCGATTGCGTGAGGAAGAGCTACGACTGCTGCGTGGTGAAAAAGAGATTGAAAAGAGTACTAGTATTAGAAGTCGTGGTGGACATAATGAACGACCAGCAGGTACAAACGAATGATTCTAGTTTTTTAATGAACATATGCTTGAGATGTAAGTAAATGATCAACGCTGACTGATTACGATTACTTTTATAGCTGCTGGGTCTCGATCGCGTAGCTTAAACCTAGATGATGACGATTTGAAAAGTAGCACTGAAAACAGCAGTATATCAGATGATCCAAACAGTGATCGTGATGAGGTGACTTGGCCCAATTTGTTCTACAATTTCGCATCACTCTAACAGCGCCTATTTTGCTATTGAAATGTATAGGATGAAGAAGGATCCATTGATACAGCGTTGTCAAATGCCGATATTGTTCAAGATGACATGGATGATGAGATATTTACTTCAAGAGAAAGTTTAGACCACAGTAGAGATGTCAATCGAGTAACAAGAGCACGTAGTACACGACCTAGACGTGCAGGAGAGAATAGTCAGAGTACAATACAGCGGTCAGGGGGCGATAGTGCAGCTGGAATGCGCATGCTAGGATCCGGGGTAAAGTCTAGCGGATCTGGTATAGCAGGAAAAAGCAGGACTAGTCAAGTTTCAGATGAAATGAGAGAAAGAAGAGGTCAAAACAAACATGATGATGAAGAGTCGGAAGAAGAGATAGAAATGGAGGACGACGAAGAAACAAATGACTCGGGATCAGAGTTTGGGAGCAGACACGGCGTAGATTACGATAACGACTTTTAAGCAATGTTTTAAATCAAACAAATGAATCTGAATTAGAGTTTGAAAGCAACCATTTTTTTATGGTCAGGTTTGTACTTGATGATTTGAATGGCAAGAACATTTATTGATTGTATCTCGTGTACTACGGCGATAATCCGACGTATTGATACGCTCAGTTTCCTGAACAACCTTTTCCTGCTGATTTCAGTATAAAACGTCACTCATTTAGTCCAACGACTGCTTCTAATCTTGGTGTTGGTTTTGTTCTGACGCGAGAGTTTCAGCATTCCATCCAGTCTATATTAACCTGAAACAATCGTACAATTTTACAAATGAATAATTCATGTGTTCAAAATGCAGCAACAGCAGCTTGTCTGATACTATCGAAATGGTTTCAAAACATGGCGAAATTGAGTTGAAATAGAAATAAATATTTTCATTCCATTCTCATTCCTTTTGTCTGCAACTGTAAAATCCAACATTGAACAAGCAGACTCGACAGAATGATACAGTTGAGTAATGATGAATTGCTATACTTTCAGCAACCAGTATTGATTTACATGATCGTTATTGATATTTGGCTTTCTGATGATATTCATTTTATAATTGCTATCATAGAAGCTCATCAGATCAGGATAAAGCTCCACAAACTATACAGCAAAAACACATTGTATATCAAGAAGAACAGTTTGCTCAACAACCACTTCCTCAACCACCTCAACCTACTGCAGCAAAGAACATTGTAGTGACTGCTTTGTATGATTACGAAGCCCAGGGGGAGAATGAACTATCACTTGTTGAAGGCAGCGTGATTCAAGTGCTTACTCGGCTACCTTCTGGCTGGTGGAATGGAGTCTGTGGAGGAAAGCAAGGATGGTAAGACATTTCTCTATACCAGTCTGATGTTATGACTGAATGATTATGCACATATGCAGGATGGAGTTGTGCACAATTAAACGATCGCTATTTATCAATGGCCTGGTTCCAACTTGATAGCGACCATTCATTGACAGGATTGTCAGGATTTCTATTTTATTCCTTTTAGCACATACTCATCGCATGCATTAGCTCATATTCGTTGTATTTTGGGGCAATCGAGCCTTGTTTGCAATGATAGAACTGTGGCGTTGTCTTGATAACTTGACATATTGGAATTGTTTCAAATTGGCTGAATTACTTGTTTGATACCATGGCTTAATATAATTGTAGGTTTCCATTCAATTTTGTATCTACTCCTGTGATCATCCCTGCACCACTCACCATACAGGTATCGTATTATGGAATCGTCTTTTAGCTGAATTTTTGAATCTCAGCCTCATTTTCCAACAAATCTGTTGTTGGTATATTACCTCGTTTCAACTGACATTGGTGTCGATATCAATTTTTTAGACTGAGAGTTTGGATCGGACACCCTCGGAAAGTTCCATTTTAGCTAGTGCCAATGCTCAGCTAATCCAGTCTCAAAATCAGCTCCTGTCTAGACACAGCCATGCTTCTAGTCACAGCAGAAATTCTACCGAATCTTCAACCGGCCATCCTAGCTTTATTCCTACCCGCAAGCCAATTTTGCGTCCTAACGATGCTGACCAAAATGATATTGATGTGTGTTTATTATGCCCTCGTTTTTGATCAACTGTATTTTGGTATTTGATTCACTAAATATCTCAAATATTATTCCCTCATTTAGCTCCCGCCTAATTGGGGCGTCAAGGCAACTGCAGATGGCAGAATTTATTACTATAATTTACATACCGACGAAACTCGCTGGACTCTTCCTGAAGCCAGCCCACTTGATGTAAGTGGCTGAAATTAGGGGCTCTATTACGTCAAAGTGGCCTTTTATTATTCCATTTTTAACTTGAATTATGCTTTATTTTTAGAATACGGAAATTCCTATTGCAGCAGTCACTGAAAATGCTACTGAAATAGCGGCTACTTTTGCAGAGGATCAACTTGATGTCGATACTTCTATCGAATGGACTTGGCCTGGACTCACAAACCAAATCATTGTGCATATTCATTTGTTGGCAACTGCTGTCAAGTCATCGCGCAAGGATAAATACGTTCCTGCAACATCAGCCATTGTGGATTCTATCCGTATCATGCTATATGCATCTGGCACACCAAAGCGTGACTCGCCAATCTTGGCAGCCAACAAAACTCTTAGAACGTATCATCGTCAAGTTCTTTTTTCTCTGGCAAAATTGGTCCTCGCTGCAAAAACTGCATCTGGAGTATGGCCTCCTCCGGACGCAGCAGAAAATCTGTTGCAGATCAATAACGACGTGCTGATATCTGTTCGTCATCTTTCTGCCGAGGCGGCAGAGAATAACATCAAGATACATCAAATTGATTCACTAGAATCGACACCTGTTGATGGAAATATCGTGTCATCAGACTCTAAATGTGATACTACACATGCGGCTTCAGACGTCGATGAAGAATTGGAGTCCAATGCATTACCTTCTAGCGCTGAGCTTTTAAGCTCGCTAGAAGGATCAATGAAAAAAACAATGGCTTTAATAGTTGAACTTGCCGATCCTGTCCAGGTGCGAACATTAAGAATAAAGTCACCCGAGCCTGGAGAAGCACCAGAATCAAAAATTCCATTCATATCGCACACATCACTGTTTTCAATAGTGCGATCCATTCTTAAAGAAGTCGGCAACTTTTTTGAGCTAATTGATGATATCCCACTTGACTCTCTTTCCAATGATCTTACAGTTGATTTCAAAGTCAATCGACTGGCGTTAACAAATGCCATTTCTGGTCTAGTGACCTCCACAGGCCATGCCACTAATGCTCTGCTCGTTTCCAACGCTATACAAGATATCTCGGCTGCTGCAAATCTCGTGGAAAAGTCTGTCAAGGAATTGTTAATTTCAACCAAATTCTTGATTGAAGAAAAAGAAAGTGTTGAGCAAATGACACTTCAGACCTACATTGATCAGCACAATCAAGTCAACCGTCCTTCTTCAGCCGATCTGTATGCTCGTAATAGACGTGCAATGTCAATGTCTTTTTCACAGGCACAAAACATTTCTCAAACAAACAGCCACAGTGCACATACAAAACAAGAAGAGGATATATCACATTCTGTTCCTCTTCGTGGACTAACTGTGAGTGAAAATATTGGCGAACGTATTCCTCGTGGACCTCGATATGCTATAGCAGACTCTACCATTATAGATGAACTGGATGATCCGGCATTTTCAGTTGGTGGAAGGCGTACATCAAAACTGCGCAAAATTCTTGGTGAAGACGCACCGCCGATTATAAAGCTAAAGGTAAACTCGTATAGCCTATTGGTTTGTATTTAAAAATGCACACATGTTTAAACGTGATTTGTTCATATTGTAGCCCGACATTCCATGGTATCTTCAATACGACTATGGGCCAAATGATATTATTTTAAACATGGAAAACAATATTCGTGGTGGTACTTTAGAAGCACTTGTTGAAAAACTCACTCTTCACGACTCTGTTGGTAAGTAACACTATTAAGATATCAATCTGCATATATTTATTAGATGATGGTTTTGTTGATCCAATGTTTTTTATGCATTCTTTTATAAACAGATGCCAATTTCGTTCAATGCTTTCTCATTACATACAAGTCATTTACCAACTCGGTGGATCTTGTGAAACTACTTGAACGGCGATTTTTGATGCCTCAACCTGAAGGTCTTACAAATTACCAACTTGCCGAATGGAAAGACAAAAAACTTACTCCTATTCGATTGAGAGTATTCAATGTTCTTAAATCCTGGTTTGAAAACTATCTTGGGCAAGAGCAACAGGATATCCAGGCATTGATGCTGGTGCGCAATTTTGCCGAGTTCAAAATGTCAGACTATATGGAAGCGGCCTCTTCTCAGCTTATTCGCTTGATCGATCGCCGTCTTGCTAATGGGCCTGCACTATCTACTGGTCGACTAGTGGCCGTTGCTGCCAATCGTGATTATCCCCAACCGATTCTTCCCAAAAACATTCGAAAGTTTCGCTTTTTGGATCTGGACCCTCTGGAGGTGGCTCGACAACTTACCATCAAGGAAGGAGATATTTTTGTGTCCATTCAGCTTTCTGAATTTTTAAACAAAGCGTGGTCTCGTAAGGATCAACCAGAACTGGGTATCAATGTGAATCGCATGAGCTCGCTGTCTAACCGGATTATTGCGTGGGTGGGTGCAACTATTTTGGGAGAGCCAGATCTTAAAAAACGAGCAAAAACCATGACGCACTTTATTTTGGTTGCCGAGGTAAGTTTACATGATCAATATTATACTTGATGCCATTCACTCATTTTATTTTTATGGCTTGATTATTTAGAAATGCTTTTCGCTAAACAACTATAGTAGTTTAATGAACATCATTGGTACGCTTGATTCCGCTCACGTACATCGACTTAAAAAGACGTGGGAGCTTGTTTCATCCAAGCAAATAGCCACATATGAATCTCTTCGAGAAACCATGTCTCCACAGCGCAACTTTATCAATTACAGAAACGCTTTGCATTCAGTCAATCCTCCCGCCATCCCCTTTGTCGGCTGTTATCTTACTGATCTTACATTTATTGCTGATGGAAATCCAGATACGCTCAAGGGTCGTGAACATATAATCAACTTTGCAAAAATGTCCAAAACAGCCGAGACGTTGAGAGATATTCAACAATTTCAGCATATCAAGTATGCATTGCACAAGGTTCCCGAAATTCAAGAATTTTTGGACTCGGTATTGATTGAAGATGCTACCGAGACTGAGTTTTATGATATGTCGTTGAAAGTGGAGCCCCGCAACACGTAAGATCGAGCACATGCATTGCTATTCATTGTTGTATTTCGATGCACTATTCATGCTCTATACTGATGATATACAGATCTGCGAGAGATCCGGAAGAAAACCGGCTGAATATACTTTTGCAAGAGTCTGGATTTGTGAATATGAGTTAGGGATGGTCAAGCATACCCTTCTTGCTTTTCATTATCGGATATGTCTCATCTGCATCATTATATTATGTTTTAAAACAAGTTCATTGTTTTAAATATACAGGGCATATTAACATTTACTTTTCTTGATAAAAACTAAAGATATTTTAAATGAAACTAAACTACATGTAATTGAATGAATCGAGTTTGTCGTTGTATAGGTTGAGCTTGTTTTGATTTAAACAGCAACGATTTTATGTGAATACGGCTGTAAAGTGGATCATTCATTGTTATACTGACGATAATTCATTTGAAACTTGGCAAGGAACAAATGAATTATATAGCCGACCTTTTCACTTTAAATCAATCCAAAATACTTATTACAGCATATAACTCAAATTTTGTTTATCGAAACAATTACGATTAAAGCAGGGTAAGAGATGAACGGATCAATGTTATGAAGAACAGTTTAATCAGCACGCTGGATTTGGAGTTTAGTAGCCAAACGAGCAATTGTGCCAAGACGACCCACAACTTCTCCCATGCCAGACATAAATCCAGTGCAATGATACGGAATGTTGTGTCGTTTGCAAATATCGTGCACAATAGGTGCAACATATTTAAGATTATGGCGAGGAACGGTGGGAAACATGTGGTGCTCAATCTATGTTTAAAATCAATTCAAATGGTCAAGATCCAAGTTTGAGTCAGCCATGTGTACAAAGTATGATCAAAAGATATGAAAATATGAGATTTACCTGGAAATTAAGTCCACCAGTGAACCAGTTATTGAAATGCGTGGGATCGACATTTCGACCAGTGCGAATGGAGATTTCGTAAAACTCCATTTTTTGAGCATCCTTGATAGAGTAAACAGGCATGCCATTCTATAAACAGCATCAAGCAGGTCAGCCACAAGCAACTTGAATGGCATTGTAATTCAATACAAAATTGATGGCCTATTTGTGCACAAAAAGTAGCTCATTTACAGAGAATATCAACATACATGGTTAAGAGAAAACACGGAAGCCAGAAAGATACCACAGAAGAGTTGAGCAAGAAGAATCCAAACAAGCCCGCGTACGGGATGCACCAACAAAAAGGCAGCACCGAATAGCCAAGAATAATGTACGGCCAAACACACACGCTCAACAACAGGAAGTGTGGGAAAGGTAAACTTCTTGGTCGACTGGATATTCCATGTCAATGATTGAAGAGCCCACATAACACGGGCAAAAGTCAGCAAGGGAAAGTAAAGAATAGGCTGGTTCTGAACAAGAAATTCAGCAACTTTCTGATCGCTGATATCTGCAAATCCTTCAATTGCGTGTTCAGACCTATATAGTATCAAAGAATGAGTTGGATATAATTGTAGATAAAAATACACCAATAATATCATGTACCCACCAGGCAAGATAAGGCATTGTATCAATATCTGGATCTTTAGAGTGTATATTTGTAGTGCTGTGATGCGTGCAGTGCTTGTCTTTCCACCTGGGGAAATGCGAAGCATTTAAATTAGTCGGGGTTAGTTGTTGTTACATTTTGAAATCAAGCATCAGCCAATAAAATACCATGCGACGGAAAAGCCTAAAGTTAAAAGCATTAGATTCAACAATAGATTTACAATACCAACTCATCCCAAGCAGTTGCAAAACAAAGCCACCGACATACCTTGGCACACATTGCCAATGAAATAGCCCATGGCATTATTATAAGAGCGAGTTTTGAATACTTGATGATGCAAGAAATCATGGGCTAGCCAGCCAGACTGCTGCCAGAACAGAGCGAGAATGAAGCTTGAAGTAATCAGCCCAGCAATGTTGTTTCCATATGCTGCCAAAATAAAGATTGATACGGTAAGCATGGTTAGATTAGCGGTCAACTTTCCGGCATAATAGAGAGGGTCTGCCTTGTTCCAGTTGTTTTGTTTAATCTTGGTGCGCAGCTCTTGGACTTCATTCAAAAAACCTGCAAAATAAAAGAGTTAGTAGCCGACTAATGCAACATTTACAAAAGGATGAATGAGTATCTAAAGTTGGTTAAACCGATAGATAAACGGTGAAGACCAATATTCTAGCGATCTGACCAAAGCCTTTAGACAGCGCGGAAGAGCGGAATATTATTTATACACGATTTGAGTCAGAATGATAACAGTATTCACTATCAACAAGTGTCACTTGAACAGTGATTGGCTCACTGAGAGCCCGGATAGGTTGTAAAGGCAGAAAGAGGCTGAATGTGTAAAAGTCGACCCAGTTCATGCACTGGCAAGCATTGGAAGTGAAGTGGAGAATCAAAGTATTACCGCTGGGCTTGATGATCTCCGATGGAGCCAATTCTCCAACATAGAACTTGGACAGCATGGAGACTGCTTTGGGTCCATGCATGGCTTCAAATGCACCTAAATGCATGTATTGGATTACCAAAAATGGTTAGTAATCTTACAACTCATGACTGTCAGTGAAATAGACGAGTGCATACCACTGGCATCGTATCCGACCTGAAACAAACAAATGCAATCATTAGTATTAGTAATACAACATGGTTTGGATTCAGCTCAATAAACCGAATCTTTTAAATGGGTAGATGAGGCGGTTGCTAATGTTGGTATTTCTGGTCCATTCAATCAAAACAAGAGCCATGTGAATGCAATAAAGCAGTCCAATGAGCATCAAACTTGCCTGGGATAGAGCAACATTACCGCCAGGATGCCAATTGGCAAACGAACCACCGATATCATACACTTTGTTCTGGATAACAATGTATGCAGCTACATGCGAGGTTGCTTTTGCTGAAGTCGAAGATTTAGCAGCTTCGGCAAAAGCATCTCCGGATGCATGCACTTGTGCCCAAGTGAATTGAGCAGCAGATTGTTTCTTAGTCTCAGACGGTTGAGAAGCTGTCATTGACTCGGAGATAAAACTGTAATGATATTGGCTCTAACTTTAGATCCGACTGTTGTGTTAACTAGCCGAAATTATCAATAATTTTATTGGAATGTTTGTCAGATTTGTGTTGAGCGGCAGTCCCCAAAATTAAAGTGAAAACCATTCAAGTTTGGTTGCTGCAGTCATTCGTGTCTTGTCAGAATCACTCGAATTGGCTGATTCAACATAATGTAAACACTCGAGTGTATCAGGAGTTGACTAGATATTCCTGCTCATAATCAGATCGTGTAACGAGGGTGTTCCACCACTACTCGCACCGTGCAAGTCTTGCATAGGTATTTGGGATGCTCCAATAGCTTCTGAGCCTGCACCACCAGGTGGTGCTAAAGTATTTGTACTTCCACTCAGCGGTATGCTTACTGGCCGTGGTAGAATAGGTATAATCATGTTATTAAATTTGGAGTCGGGAGCAGATTCCCATGTGCCAAGTGTTGTGATGCCTGCTTCAGACGCAATCTTCTCTGCCTCTGCTTCTCTCTCACGATCTTCTCGTTGTAATAGCATATTCTATCAATACATGGTCATTGGATAATAGGATTAGTTTTTATCATTTTTACTCCATCTAGCCTCGAGCTCAATCGTGATTTAAATCATACCGCTTGAAATTCGTTTGCTACAGGAACTTGTCGAGGCGGACGCCGTTGCAATTTAGAGTCGCTAAATGGTCCATTCACCACTTCGTATCCAGATAATAAAATGCCTCGCATAGATGCTGCTTTGGCCATCCTACATAAACGAATGCATTTGAAAGCATAGCAAGCGTCAGTAGGATCGATATGATGATTAAATCCACCAAGATCTCAAAATAGATGCCAAAGCCTTACATAGGTGTTAGCTGTGGTTGGTATGGATGTGGTGTATCCTCTATTCTCGGTCGTTTCAAGTGTGGCATGCTACTATCCACTGGATATCCAGAGTTTGTTGAACTGCCCTTTCTACCTCCATTCCTATACGATTCAAGTAGCAACATTGTCAACTCATGTTTGATCCATTGTTTACTGCCATATCCATAATGGTCCTCATGTCGAAACAAGCGCAAACATGATATAGCTGCCTTACATTGATGATTGTCGGCTCATGGCTACATCTGGTCGTTGTCCGTTGGATTTATGAGGTTGCTGAAAATGTTGAGTTTTTTGAAACGATGGTGTATGTTGGAGCATTGGGCTCTGCGTATCTAGAGGCTGTTGCTGTTCAAAGTATTGCGACTGGTTAATCTGTTGAGAGTCGTTCATATATTTTACAACTGTATCCACGTAAAATAAAAGTTGTATTTATCTTGCAGTCTCTATTTTGGTTTAGAATAATGGTCAAATATTTATTGCACATTCTTGAAACAACTTGAACAGTCTTAATTGATGCAACATTCATATACAATCAAATTATAGTTTTGAAATGAGATTATACGCTTTGGCCTCTGTTTTCATACCCCTACATTGTACAACTATCAGGTTTCCAACCCAGATATTGATTAGACTGTTCTCAAGCCTACAAATTCATCCTTGTCGCATCCTAAACTCTCAAATACGCTCCTGTTCTAGTTTGAGAAAACAGATCGCATGTCATGAGAATGTAACTGTTGTTTCCATATTGATCACAAAGAGAAACCCCAATCAACTGATACCAATCATTGGAAAGACTGACTGTTTACCATGTACTTTGATACTTTTGGTGTTTTATTCTGCTTGAATACGACAGTAATCCAGCAATGACTTTGTGGCGAGATCAAATGTTTTAATGTTGAAGACCAATTTATATCATTTATACTAGAATATAAACAACATTTGATGGTACCGTTTTAGTTGAATCTGCTAAATCCATTGTACTAGTTTGTACTTTTTCGCTTTTTTCACTTCCCTACGCAACAATCAAATGTCTGCAAGAAAGCCGCTGGAAATGGAACAAGTTTGTGGAAATAGGAAACAGCATACACAGGATGAGAAGGCAACTTCGTATTGATAGAGCACAAGACACTTTACTATTGGTGAAAGTACTTTGAAGAACTGAATGCCTTTTTGGCTCACAACGCTACAAACTCTATGAAACTCTCTTACCCAAAATAGCAGAGCATCTGGGTGGAAACGCTGAAGTCATTCAAACTGCTGTCAAGGAATACTTTCTCATTCAACACTGCAAGGCAGGTCTTGACGAAAGTCTCTTTGATATTACATTTTCTCCAAAAAAGAGCGGAATCCAAACTGGATTCACTTGTAATGTCAACAATGGAACTCAAAGTGTTCGCTATTACATCAAGACGCATCAATACGGACCAACAAAAGACAATATAAAAAGTATCAAACCACCAGATACAAAGGAGCTGTTTGATGGTATTAATGGCTCTATTCAATTGCTTGCAAGGTGTAACTATTGAGTTTTTTCAAGTCAGAAAGCAGTTTTCAAGAGCAAAACGGTCCTGCCAATGAATTGCCTAATTTGCAAGTACTTTGACATTGATCTGCTGGTAAGATTGTTGGTTCTCAATTCAAACTTGTAAATGATAGTTGATTCTTGCATTGATATCCATATAGGAACTCACTGCATACGGATCATGATAGGTGTTTCTGAATTAATGACAGATAATGCAACTTCTCCAACAGCGAATCCCCTCCCACTTCTGAAAGTATCAAAACTAATTTCTAGACAACAAATACGCACAATGACTTCCAAATGTATTGATTAGTTTGAGCCTGTCTTACAAAGCAGTGTTACTGAGAGTAGCAACTCTTATCCAGGTAGTGATTTGCTCAGATATTACAGTTGTAATATTACACATCTTCCATTTTTCCTGATACCAATATAATGAAAACTCTCGACATTTAAAGGTAAATGCATAGACAGAAGATTGCATATATTATTTCAAGATTTCATAAGAACTGCAACTGTTGTTTTGAGATCCTGAACATATCGTTGTAAATCGTTTTCAAATTTCATCTTGCCATCATATCTTTTAATCAACCCATTGATCTCTGATTCAGCTCGTTCGATATTCTCCAACAACTTCCACTCCTGCAGTGACTTGTTCATGATATCCATCTTGACAGCTTTTGGAGTTTTGATTGCGATTTCCATCAATCCAGAATAGTGAAATTCACCGTTTCCTTCGTAGAATTTGTCCAGGATATCGAGTTTGGCATAACCCTGCGACTGCTTTTCAATACGAAAGTCAACAATCATTGGGTTTTCACCGACTTGACCACAGTTTGAAGTGTTGTCAGCACAATCACGAAGACAGAGGATGCGAGATATCAGATCCAATTGAAGTAGAGCATTGTTGTTTGCTGTATCCTTGGTCAAGCTGGACAATAAGACCAAATGACAATCCTTGGTCGCAATGTAGATAGTCTTTTTGGTGCCGCGAGATGGGATGATAAAATGAGCTTGAGGACCAATTCCAATATGATGCAGAATCTTGTAGACAAACAACTCCTTTGTATCTGGTGGTTTGATACTTTTTATATTGTCTTTTGTTGGTCCGTATTGATGTGTCTTGATGTAGTAGCAAACACTTTGAGTTCCATTGTTGACATTACAAGTGAATCCAGTTTGGATTCCGCTCTTTTTTGGAGAAAATGTAATATCAAAGAGATCTGCGTCAAGACCAGCCTTGCAGTGTTGAATGAGAAAGTATTCCTTGACAGCAGTTTGAATGACTTCAGCGTTTCCACCCAGATGCTCTGCTATTTTGGGTAAGAGAGTTTCATAGAGTTTGTAGCGTTGTGAGCCAAAAAGGCATTCAGTTCTTCAAAGTACTTTCACCAATAGTAAAGTGTCTTGTGCTCTATCAATACGAAGTTGCCTTCTCATCCTGTGTATGCTGTTTCCTATTTCCACAAACTTGTTACATTTCCAGCGGCTTTCTTGCAGACATTTGATTGTTGCGTAGGGAAGTGAAAAAAGCGAAAAAGTACAAACTAGTAGAATGGATTTAGCACAGGTTCGACTAAAACGGTACTATCAGGTGTTGTTTATATTCTACTATCTATAACTGGTCTTGAATCTTCATTTCATTGTTTTAAACTTTGCTTGCATTGATTGAGTAGATTATGGCTAGATTATAGCTAGATTGGCGTTTCATAACTGACAAGTATTTTATTGTAGTTCAAATTATAGGTCAAACAATGCACTACAGCATTTACAACGTCATGCGCTTAAAATCTTCTAGTCCAATACATTCATCGCCATCCCTATCAAACAACTGTAAAAGAATTTGATCAGAGTGTTTGATTGGCATGCCATGCCTGCTAAACTGTTTTGCTAATTTTAATAAAGCATTTCTATCCAAGCCTTGATCGCCTGGTTGGAACCACTTGAGTTCAATATGAAAAGCACACAAGTTACTCAATCACATCTATTCCATATACCACATAACCATTTGAGAATAAGACTATAATCCATACTTACTGAAAACGCTTCTGTCCAAGGAATACTTGACATGCCACGATTCATCAATATATGGGTGATTTGATCGCGAGTTTGAGCATCTTTCCATCCATTAATCAGTTTACCTATTTCTTCTTCCATACTATCACTATTAGAGAAATCAGCTTGCATAAATTGTTTTACATCTCCTGATGTGATTTTATGTCCGTCTCGACTGAGTAGCTCAAATGCTTGATGAATATCATTTGCAAAAACTCCACGCGTGTCGAGAAACTCGCGCAAAGCGAGTTCATCATCTATATGGTTCGGGTCGAGTTTGGCCAAAGACGAACAAGCTGGAACTTTGGATGGAAATCTAATGGCTCTATTTTTTTGAGTCGAAGCAGGTATTTCCGAGGTATCGAGTCGGGTTGATGTGTGTGAAGGGTGAGTGTAGACTTGGGAGGAAAATCTCGATAAAGTAGTCGTTGGTCGTGTTGGTTGAGCAGATGGCTTTTGTTGAGATGGAGTGCAGTGCAATAAAACTATAGGCTGTTTTTGACAAGTTTTCTGTTGGTCTACTTTTTCTAGTTTTATGTTTTTACTGGATGAATACCCACTCATAGGTAACGTGGAATGGGATAGTTTTGCACTGTGCTGTCTATTGCTCATTATTATAAAATGTTTTGAATAAACTGTTTAATGTTGTACCACCCCAATATATTCTAGATTTGACTTATTTTACAATGCATGGCAACCAACCGTGGTTCAAGCAACCCCAAACTAAAGCTAGTTGACAATATAAGAGTCAGAGCATTGCAGTATATTTAGTAGAAATTCAAGTCTGCTGAAAAAAACGAGTAAGCATCAACTTGCGGCAATCGTCATCCATTACGAGAAACATTTTAGCATCTGCAGCATCATCGCGAAGATGTGTAGCATAGTCCAGCCTCTGCTCGACAGAGTATTCTGGTCCATATGCATCGACAAAGGCTTTGATGGCCAACTGAGTAGAGTCCAATGCAAAGTGATCTCTAGAAAAATTGGGCAGTGCTTGCTGACCTGCTATGGCTGCCCATGAATCCATGAGAAGCGATGCTGCTGCTGCTGTCGAAGCAGGTGGAGGCGGCGTTATAGATGTAGGTATTGCCACAGCAGCTTTTGACCGTTTAGATGGGTTGCGAATTGATGAAGATCTGGAAAGAGAAGGTGCGGCATGACGCTTCCCAGCAGAAGAAAGCGCTGCAGATGATGCCATTGCAGCGGCAGCAGCAGCAGCAGTTAAACTACGTGTCTTGTGTGCAGAGGTTGGAGATCCATTGATGTAGTCGCTCAGATCTACTTCGTCGTCATCATCTTCCGAGTTGTTGCTATGTGTAGTATTAGTAGAAGTGTCTAGTTTGACCAAGCCTGTAGGCATTTCCAATAATCCACCGTTAGTTCTACCAATAGTACCAGAATTAGACCCATTGATTTTGCCTTTTTCAGATCTGAAAATACTGCCAGGTAATTGCATATCGGCAGCAGCAGCAGCCGCCGCAGCCGCAGCAACGACCAATCGCTGATTATCCATATCTACACCCAGTAAGTCCTGCGGAGGAAGTTTTTTATGCAACAATTGATGTAGATCGTCGTAGAGGGGAAATCGCATGGTTATATACGGAGTCGCTTCGGGATGCTCAGCCAAATACTGTTGAATAGTGTCCTCCGAGGCAGTGGGAAGACCATCGACCCATAAAAAGCGAGGCTCTGTGCGCAAAGCATGAACAACTCTATAGGCTCGCTTGAGAATAGCCAGTTGGGTTTGCAACTGCTGCTTAATATAGGACTTGTGAGTAATGGCAGCAAAGTCTTGAGCTATGCGGTCCCATTCTGACGACTTGAACGAGCCTTCAAGACGCTCTCCGACCTGAAGCTGATTGAGAGCACAGTGAACCAATGCCCACCGCTGGGTTTCGTCCCAAGATGCGGGTTTCTTATCTCCAGCCATATGAGTGTATGTGTATATAATAATGTTGATGGCAAATGCTGAGGAATTATGATGGTCTCTTGATTTAAAACCTAGATTCAAATATCGAAAAAGTAAACCCAGTTTCACTCAGTCTCAACAGGATTGCAAGGATGGTAATAGATTGCTTGTCGCCAAGGCCTTCTACTCTTGTTACTGTGTTTAGATTATGTTGTATTACTTACTCTGATAATATCAGTTGGCCGAGTGGAACGAAATAAAAATGAAAAAAATTGGCCAAACTTGACTCGACACTTGAAGTGACTTTTGAATCATCGACAAAATGTTTATTGATGCTGGCATTGTCAGTGCATGGATTTAATCTCCTGGTTGATGCAATTTTAAAGTATTGATTAATCAATGTACATGTCAAGAATCGTTCTGCCGTGCTGTGTTGAATAGTCTTGACCTACACGCTTCTTTCCTTTAGACTGGAACCGCTTAAAATTTACCAATTTGTCAATAGATTCAGTCTGCCTGTGCGAACCATTCAAAGTATTATCCATCTTATTGGATATACCGCTGGTGTTTTTTCTACCCTTCTCGTGTTCCGCGTCTTTTGGAGGTTTTCTTGCTACATCAAACTCGACAATCACCAACAGTTCCTCCGTCGGTGTTGTATGAGGTTGTCTGCCTGTTGTAATAACTACGTCATGATCCAATCGCTGCTGCTCCACTTTAATTTCCTTCAATTGCCGCGTAGTGTCAGATACAATCGTAAGAATCCCCTTTTCACTCAGTGCTGGTGGTGCTGCATATTTATCCACCATTGGCTTGGATGCCTGAGATCGAGACTGAAAAGGCTCTGCCACTGTCGCTGTTTTCGTCATACACTCAAAAGACTTTGATTGAACATCTACTGATTTTATGCGCTTGATTTGGGTTGATTCAAGTGTGCCTTGATTAGGTTTTGTAAAAACTGGTAACCGCTTTTTTCCAACATCCAACTCCATGTGTGGTAGGGATGACATATCTTGTTCTATAGGCGTTTTTGAAGATGGGTCGCACAAGTCATGTGCCGTCATTCCAAGGCGTTGTGCAAACGATGTCACTTTTCCATGCTCACTTCCAAAGTTTTGCGATATTTCCTGCCTAAATTGTGATTGCAGACTATACTCGACAGCTTCGTTTGCGCCAAGTCCCTTTTCCGTATTCTGTGTACTTTTGACTAATTTGCGTATTTTCACTGGTGCCAACCCAGACAGCCCATCATCAAAAAGATCCATAACTAGATCCGTGCCTCGTTTGTTGGGAACTAGAATGGCTGTCGGTGCTTTTTTTGGAGGTGATGTGGGTAGTACAGCTATTATAGGCTGTGGTTGTATGAATACCTTTAAAGAATGTGTTGTTGGCGAACATGGAGCCATCTCATTTGCATTAGATAACGGTATATCTGATACCATTGAATTGTTAAAATCAGATATAGGCATGCTCAACACTGTTGATGAAGCAGCTTGTGATACCACAATAGATTCATCTGTTGATTTGGCAGCCGAGTTTGCATTCATGGCCGTGTTTTTCGTTTGCTTCGAGGTTGAGGTTTCTGCTGGATCAAACATGAAATCCATGAGATCATTCACATTGCACGCTGCTGGAGTTGTCTTTGTCAAAACAGTAGAAATCGCATTATCACCAGTGTTGATAATAGATTCAATGGATAACATCTGAGATATAGCTGCCTGTGGAGTTGTTGAAGGGGTATCAACAGCCATCACTGGAGTAGTTGAATTATTTTTGGGTTTGGTGATTCGCTGTAAATAAACAGGGGAGGGTGTATTGCCACTGGCCGTAGCTGGACGACCGACTTTTCCAGAAAATAAACTCGGTAAAACACTTTCAATTGACAATGTCGAGGCAGGAAATCGAGAATTTTGTGCCAAATGCACTGGTTCTTTTTGAGGTAATACCACGTTTGCACTTTCAACAACAGATCTTTCATTAGGGTTTTGTTTGGCTACAGTAGAACCCAAAGAAAATATATTCTGTAAAGGTTTAGAACGTATGTTATAAGTTGACGAGTTTCGAGCCACGGGAGTATTTTGAAACAGCGATCCTGGAGTCTCGATCACGCCCGTAGCTAATTGACTACAAATAGATGGAGAAGCAGCAACACTGCTATATATTGATGGAGAGTATTGTATTGCAGATAATGGTGCTGGCGGGGTCAGTATTGAGTCCATTTTCGGGATAGCCTTTATTGAATGCAATGTTTTTAGCTGTCCTGAATTGCCTGGAAAATTTCCTTTTATTCGTGCAAGAGGCGTATTGTCTACTATGTGCATTTCAGGCAAGTCTGCATTTGCTGTTATTGTTGCAGTATTAGCCTTGATGGGTGTGTTGATTCGTGGGGTTTCTATGGCTTTTTCAACTGAAACATATACAATTGCAAGAGCAATCTGATCATGTGTAATACACGCCTTGATAAATCCCATTCTAAACATACGCATATACATGTCAATATTCAATTATAGATAGTAAAAACTCGTACAATTACCTCTCAAGTTCACCAAGAAGTGGTTGTGTAAGTGCTGCAATGTGTAGATCTTTGGGAATCACTATCAAAAAGCGTGGGGTTGTTTCCATGGTATATTTCAGTGCGGCATACTCGGCCTGTGATGGTTTAGACGGATCAGCAAACTGGTGTATGTGTGTTTTTCCACCACTTGCTGTAACGATTTCGTTCACTAAATTCAACTAAAATAAAGAAACAAATCAGCTTTATAACATAAACCATTTCCAAGCCCAATTCGTAAACCTTGATTCAAAGCAACTTGCCTCTGTTTGAGAAAATAATATAAAGTCAATTCCACTAAATAAAGCAAGTCGCCGCTCATCAGCCAAAAACGACACGTTTGGCCATGGTAGTTGATCATGAGGTGGCAAGAATCTATTTAATAAACAATATCAACAAAATGGAATCAGCTACCAAGTCAATATATTTAAAAGGCAATTTCAACCATCAAGCTTACTTTGAAGAATCTGGCGCTTTATAATCCATCGCATCTACAGTTGCAAAAGCTTTGATAAAATCGATGCTTATAATTGGTCTTGCAGTGGCTAGAGCTTGAACCACTTTTGCAGTGATTTGGATATAGTTCATCAACAAATGTGTGCACTCGAGTCCAAAAACAGTCGTGACAGAAATATCTATATACAGTGAATAGGATTGCATAAAAAGCAATAAAGAGTTGAATGAAAATGACATTGATTTTTTGGATAAAGAGTCATGCAGTAATGATTCCAGCAATATACCATATTCAGCAGCAATGGCTCTGGTGTTTGTTCTCATCTGACTTTTAAGACCAGATGTGCAAACAACAAGGTTTTCACGAACAAGTCTGTCAAATATGAACCAAAATTAAAAATTCATATTCCAACTTGATGTATGCAACTAGATGGATTGTACCTAAATAAAACATGATCCGTGATACTACCGAAACGAATTGTTTGACCATCCGTCAGCTCTAGTATCCCATTGACTCGCTGCTCAGCAGTACCAATATATGTTCCGTATTTTGATCCAGAATCAGTGACAGTGACAGCTGGATACGAGTGTGTAGATACAGACTGCGACGGTTAAGTTTGTATTCAGTGAGATGGACTAAAACTTGACTTTATAGTAGTTGATGGATGAATTGAATACCTGTTTTGATTCAGATACTGTTGCTACAGATATGGTTGCATGCAATCTACTGATGGTCCGGTTTGGTAAAGTGATGTCAGCACCTAGCTTTCAACAGTATTAATGATATACTTTAGACAACCAGATGGGAAATGCATTTCTGAATACAGTCAAGCTGTTGATAGACTATAGAGCATGGCAGTACCTTTACGGCCAATAGTAACAGTGGATCCAGGCTTGAGCCATATGCGATGATCTAAACAGTATAAAAAACTAGTCAGCACAACGCAGTCTTGGTCATGATAATCCCTCGACTAACAGGTAATGCTGATGTCAAATGTAAGGACATGATGCAGTCTAATCCATCCATGATTACCCAGACAAGCAGACACGAGAAACCACATGCAGACTTGAAGGATTATCAATGAAAATCGATGAGTTTGATATTTACTGAGTTCAAGATTGTTAATGCATCGAGTTTTTATTTCAATTACTAAATCACAATGTGGAGATCGACGTGATAAGTCTTAAAACGGAGTATTTTTGACTGCGTTCAATAGCTCGCTCTCTTGATGAGTTAGTATCATTTCTTGGTCGTGCTGATCCTGCAGTTTACTGCCATGGCGTCCAAGCATTTCCCTCCTGCCATCCTCGTCAAGTTCCATATGTTCCCTTTCCAAATCATCGTCATCTGGATTTTCATCATTATCGCTATTTTCATATTCGTGATGATCATCTTCCAACTCTTGCGAAGTAGCTCCTGGCTTGCCTGCTATACCAGGTATATCAATCTGCACGTGTGATATGTCGTTCTTCCAAAAACTCCAATCCATATACTCACTCTCCAATGACTTGGTCAACGGAGGAAACATTTGATCAACAATGTCTAGTAACTTCAAATAAGATGATCTGTAGTTGGACATAAGTTCCAGTTTGACCTCACCAGTGGGATCCACAGTAAAAATTCTAGACTGGGGTACATCAACACTGCGGTACGACAGAGCATCGGTAATTCGGTTTCCAAATCCGCCATAAAAAGGGGTTCGATCTCCAAATAGACGCTTGATATCTCGCAGACAAGCAATTTTAAACTCTTCTGGCTTGCGAAGAATGACTTCGCGATGGAATGCACGTAAAAGTCGATCTGGTGACATAATGACTGGACCTTCGGGAAGTTGGAATCGATCCTGCTCCACTTTTTTAAGGTAGTCTCGAGTGTAGTTGGCTTGACCAATTGCTCTTGATGTCAGATATAAAAATTTGTACCCATTACGACGGATATTGGTATACAGACTGGCTACTCCAGCATGCGTCCAATCCCGTCCAACCATGGTAAACATATGTCCCAATACATCCGACTTGGTAATGGTCCCATCCACATCAGATATCACCACCTTGTCGTTTTGGTGCCAAAGGAAAAGATTGGATGTACATACAGCTTCACCTTGTAGTTTCGAGTTCACTTTGAAAGTAATAGTATTAATACCTTGTTTGAGATTGAGTGATTTGAGTTGGTTTGACGTCAATCGCATGCTTTTTGCGTATCGGTACTTGTCATCATGTGCACGAGTATTGGGTGATAAGGCAGGCTCGGATGTAGGTGATGTAGACCGAACTGAATTCCCATCTACTGCCAAACGTGATTTTTCTGAAGCATAATTCGAACGCTTCGTATCTACTCCGGAAACATTTTGAACCGCTCCAACTGTTGGTGTAGATGCAGCACCTCGACCCCACCAAGACCACCTTCCAGTCGAAGTAGCATTGCGTTGTGCATTGGATGCAACAGACGACAATGGTTTTTCATCAAAAATGACTTTTTTCAATCCTTCCTCAGTCAAAGGTTTACCAAACATAGCGTTGGCCATAATAAGTGGTGCAATAGTAGACCAAGTAAAATACAACCCATGAAGCTGGAATACAGCCAGTGGATCCAGCAATACATTTGGGTTGGTATTAAAAAGGTCAAACGAAACAGCGTGCTTCCTGAAAATAGCATCGGCTGCTGCCGGAGTAATGGCCTGTAAATCTTTAATGTTACCACACATGGACATTTCAACGCGAGGAATAAAGCTTGCTGCTAATGGCTCCTTCATTTGCATTGTAGTGACAGTTTTTGGACTAGATGATGGTGTGCTGCTGTCGTTCTGAGAAACATCAGTGGGCTTGTGCGAATTTTTGTCGGTAATTTGCAACGCTGCTACAAGTGACGCCAACATGGCTTCGTCACCAATCTTACCAGTAGCATCTTGGAGAAATGGTGGATTGAGAGGAGGAGAGTTTTCAATGGGGTTGGGGAGGCTAGCAAGATACTGATCAACCTTTTCAGATCCGCTCATGTAAGGAATAGAAATCGGGGCGGTGGCATCATTTGAGGCGACAGTAGGTACAGCAGATCTATCATTTCGACTATAATATGTCGATTTTAAAACCGGAATACTGGCACGAACATGCAAATGCTCTTCACCAGCAACAAATGGTTCTAGTATTTGAGATGTTTCAAGACTATCAACTCTGCTCAATACAGAGTCAGTGGCATTGACTTTTCCCCATGCAATCTGTTCGGGTCGTTTTTCAGGAAGATCTCCCCAACTCCAACTCCATCCATTAGAAGGTGATATGCCCATGATTGCTCGTGAAGTGTCATACTCGGCCCCAACATCACTGAAATGATCACAGCAAGGCGGGGACACGGATACATCCTTGACTTTCAAGGTATGATCATGTGTAGCTGTATGAGGAATATCCACATGCTGTACTCCTTTGGTCTCCGAGGTAAATAATGAGATGGGTGAGCTTTTTGGTCCCATCTCGGATGATTTTGCTGTAGGTAATTTAGGAAAAGTCAATTCAGCAGATTCACGTATCAGTTCAACACTGGGTTTTGGAGAAGTAATAGAAATCGATGCTGTATCTGTCTGAAGTGCGCCATGTTTGGCTGCAGAGGGTTGTGATGCCATTCCTAATGAAATATTTGATACTGCTGAATGTTCAGGTGTTTTGTTAGATTCAAGAGGATCCTTTATAGTAAGGGCTGGAATAGAAGTGACTGATGGTACATCTGCTAAATAAAGGTAGAGTTAGAATTCAAGAATCGCACTGGTTTTAATACAGACCACCATTATCCATACAGAGCCAAGTGAATGGCTTGCCTTGCAATGCATTACTTGAAGAAGTGGATCGTGGATCCAAATAAAATGTGTCGCTGCCCTACAATCAACGGAAAAAAGGTTAAAATAGGGAGAGTAACAGTACAGCAATCTGACAAGACAGTGCGGCAGAACGAAGCAACCAAAACATTACCACATCAGGCGGTGAAGATGGAGTTGGAATGGGTGAAGTTGCATATTCAGAAGGCACAGGATTCTATGTTCCGTCATGTTGGAACAGTTGATTATTCACATGTGTAATAGGAATCGAGTTAGCATCACAACACTCGATTGGATGACTTGCAGGTTTATCAACTCAATATCAAGCTTTACTTCAGACTTGACTACAAAAAAGGCTTCACCAGCCTCGCCCAGTTTCATGGCAAAGTGTGTAGGAACGCCATTGACAGACAGCTCAACCTATCAGTTATATCCATGCATTCAGATATAAAGCATATTAGCCATTCAATCAATGTAATGATCTCCAGTCTGAACTGGCATTCCCTCTCAGTCCCGACACAGAAATGCGATCCATGGTAACGAGACCATTCGAGGCTGACTAAGAGCATATTCACTTTACCACTTTCTCAGAGGGTCGTAGCAGCTTAAGTTTTCCAAAACGAACATGAAAAGGCGAGCAAACCAGCTCTCCAGACTCTTGCTCTACCACTACGACATCAATGGCTCCTGATAGTGTTGATGGATTGATTTCCGTGTAGAATGATCCTACTGCGCTAATGGTGCTCACAACCTACTCAAGTCATGGTGTGTATTGTAGTCAGTAAGAAACCAGTTTAGTCTAAATCAGTCTGCATTGTCCAATCCATTTATAGCAAAAGTAGACTATGGATTTGATTGCAACAGACATCCAAGAGTCATATTGGATTTGTAGAGTACTCTACAAACCCAGTCACGAAGATAGTCTTGTCTAGAATAACTCGACACAACTGTGGGATGCTCCAGTTGATACTGTATTAGTGATGACCATCAAGTAGAAATAATAGCAACTCACTCTTCCCGCAATGTCTGTCACGATCGATGTCATCTATCAGTGCAACTGTCAGTTTGGGTTGCTCAGGGAAAGTGTCAAAACCGTGTTTCTGCTAGTCAAATGTTTGCCCAGACTGTCGTGGTTCAACTAAAAACTATTTGGCCTTGATAACAGCGCTGAATCATAAAAATCATTCATGCAAACTCACTACCAAAAATAAAATATTCAATTAAACACTTGGTTTCATTTTGCCAGATTCAAAACTATTGCATTTATAATAATTCTCGATCAGATTGATATCTGTTCAGCCTACAGCAAGATTCCTAACGACGGGGCATGCCACGACCACGACCACGCATGGGTGGTCCTGCCTGGGGTTTTTCGGCTTGAGGATTCTTGACAGTTTCGTCAACAGACAGAATCAAGCAGGCAGCTTCAGTAGCAGAGGTAATCATATTAACCTTGACCAATGCTGGTTCCCATACAAACTTTTTGTAATTGTCTGCAATCGATTCAGATTCCATGTCTACTCCATACCACATACCACCTAGTAAAGTATCACATTCATATTTAATAAGCATGCCTGTAAGAATTTTGACAATGATCAGCTTAACTAGGATGAATACTAGATTAGCATACCTTGAGCATGTTTCTGTCGAAGCTTGTTGAGGATGTCTGTTGCATCAAATCCTGCATTATCACAGAGTTGACGGGGAATAACCTCGAGAGCCTTGGCAAAAGACGCAATAATCATTTGCTGCTTGCCCTCGACAGAGCGAGAATATTGACGGAGGTATTTGGAAAGCTCCATCTAGATATATCAGTATTGCAATAAACCAAGCAAGTCAGCACACGCCATGAAAGTTTACACAAGCAACAATAGTCAATTGCATACCTCGGTAGCACCACCACCAGCAACTACAGTCTTGTTCTTAATGGCACGACGAATAATCATAATAGCATCGTGAAGCGATCGCTCAACCTCGGCAATAAACTGCTCGGCACCACCACGGAGAATAAGAGTACATGTCTTGGCCTGGGGACATCCTTTGAAAATGTTGAATCGTTCGGATCCAATCTGTTTTTCCTCAAACTGCTCACAAGTTCCAAGATGATGGGTCTGAATATCGTTGACAGAGGTCTGAATGGCACCACCAACAGCCTTGACAACACGGACAAGATCCTCTGATGCAACACGTCCAGCACAAAAGATGTCACGGTCAGCAAAATACTGAGTAGCAAGATCTCCAATGGGGAGTTTGGAAAGCACAACTTTAGCACCCGTGGAGACAATCTTTTCCAGTTTATCGTAGATGATGGACCATTCAGCATCAACAATGGCCTGATACTCGGATACTTCCTGGACACGGACTTCAGCATTATCCTTTTCAGCCTTGAGTTCAAGTTCAACATTCAATGAAAGAATCTTGGGAGCCTTGAAGCTTTTGGGCTGTTGCTCAAATCCGGCGTAGGAAAAGGTTTTTTTAAATGCAACACCATTGACAAAAAGAGAGTCCTGCATGGCACCACCAGGAACCTTTTTGATGCCAATCAGTTTTTCGCTGAGTTCTTCTTGGTCTAAATGAAGAACAGCGTCAACGCACATTTTGGTAAAGAATTCCTTTTGGCCATGGATAATCTTGGAAGACATGGCAGTGGCAGCACACTTTTCAAGAAGTTGGCGAAATTCACTATACAAGTACCCAATACACATCAGTAATGAAATGGATCCAACTTGATCCATCAGAATACCAGACTTACACTGCGTTTTTGCGCTCAATAGCAACAGCCATCTCACGGACCTTGTTGGTCGCCTGTCACATACATTACAAAAATAGATTAGTGCACAACCTAGTCGAATCTATATATCGTACAAACAATGCAGATGTAGACTTACAAGGACAGACGCTTTTCTAAAGCCCTTGATAATAATTTGTGGAGAAACACCTTCTTCAATGTACTGTTTGACCTCTCGCAATAATTCTGCAGCAAAAAGAGTGACACTAGTTGTACCATCACCAACCTAACCAACGCATTGTGAGTAAAAATTCATGGACTGAAATCAAGATGAAATTGTACCTCTGCATCTTGTGCACGAGAAATGTCAACAAGAGCCTTTCCAGCAGGATGAACAATATCTAAGAGCTTGAGAATAGTAGCACCATCGTTGGATATGGTGACATCACCCCTGGAATCAACGATAAGTTTGTCCATTCCACGAGGACCAAGAGTGGTGCGGATAGAGTCGGCGATGGACGAAGCAACGTTGATGTTGGACAAGAGTTGGCCTTTGCCTTGAGATGTGTCGGTACCATCCTTGAGAATAATGATTTGTGGTTGCTACGATATCCAATGAGACCAAAATAGGGTTATCTTTAGATTAAAGCAATGGAATGTTGGCCACATTACAGATAGAACATGGTAGATGGCCAGTGAGATCCATGATATGTTCAGGAAATGATGATTTGAAAAAGATAGCAACTAGATATAGCGCAAGGATGAATGCACTCTAGTCCGACTTAATATCACAGTATGATCAGGACATTGGGTGATATTAAGTCGGACTCGAGGGCGGAACATGAAAGAACATGGAAGATCACAAGTATATAAAACCATCATATATCAAAGCAAGCGATCCATCATCACTGCTCCAATCAACAGACACTTTCTATCGAGCAATAATGCAGTACACAACAGTAACAAGTATGTTCGATATATAACTATCGGAGGTTGGATTACAGTGAATATAAAGGAAATCTTGCAAGTTTCCATTTTAATTGTCAATTATAATAATAGTCAGTAACAGCAACATGCAATGCTATTTACCATCATGCCGCCCATACCGTTCATGGCTGTAGTGATTAAAGTTGTATTCACGTAAAATAGAATACTTTTCTGTATTTGCAGTCTTGTTTTGCTTCCGTGAAATAATGGTCAAATATTCGTTTTCTGCTGAAATTAGTGCTTTAATTGGCATTCATACAAACTATGAGTTTGAACTTTGTGATTGGCAATACATTTTAATCCAAATGTTGGACTCGACTTTTCATATTTACATCAATCCGTATTCGTCGTGTCTTGAAACATCCTAGATACGTTCATGTTTTCAATATATCTCAGGAATTCAGCTATTGTTTCCATATCATCATGAAACTAGTCAGCTAAAGAGTTTAAAGGACACGGTATTGTCAGTGCATTTGTCACTAGCCATTTTAGGAGACTAGTCGTTTATTATATACTCTTCTATTTAGTGTTTCATTTTACGTGAATATGGCTGTAAATGCCAGGTAAAAGTTGTGTTTATAATAGAATTGGTCAATTTCATTTTATCATTTACAAGTAATTGCATACTCTTAGATGGCCCGAGTTACTACAATCACTAAAACTAATATCACTACCAAAATTGCAATCATGCACGCTCCTAAATCATCAGTTGTTTTGTTAGTATCATTTCAGTTTTGGAAACCAACAAAGTCAATACCTTGCGAGTTGCTTGCATGATCTTCCATGACTCGTCCTAATCGTGTTGCTGCTGTATTGAGTCGTGCATGAGTTGAATCAACCACTTGCTCTGTTTCATCCAATAAATCGACATGCATATCCAACTCATTGCTAATCAGTTGACCCATCTGTTTCTGTCGTGCGATCGTTTCGCTTAGTCCATCCAAGTGTGAGTCTTGTTCTATTCCATTGATTGTATTGAGTTTACACTTGACTACAACAGTATTTGGATTTACATGTATTTTGCTTACGTTCGATAATTCTCGAGTGCAGTTGAAGTAATTCACTATTGTCCAAGTCTGCATGTTCGGTGTTGTCCTCCACATTTACAAATGCCTTGTATCCTGGTATTTGTCGACTAGTAAAGTATGAGACTGGGAATAAGATTCAGCCAGTAGTGTGATGTATACAACTTACACTGAAGATTTCCCAGAGTTTCTTTCTGGAGTATTAGCTATATTACCAAGTGGTTTTCTTGGTGGGGTTGTATCGGTCTTGGTAGGAGTTTCCAAGCGATCGACTTGCTGACTAGCAGCCAGTACTGCCTGTTCCCATTTCTTCAGCTCTGAAGTAGGTCTATTAAACAGTTTACAAGTAAAACCCCAAATACCTGGTTTAGCTGTATTCCATAAAGGACAAGGTCCACAATGCATGACAACCAGTAACAGTAATAAACCTACATATTCCGGTTGCTTTCAGCATCAGACAACTTCTGTTCTTCAATGGCCAAACTCTGACGTACTTTAGACATGCATGATGATATGCGATGATCCAACAACTCGACTGACATGTGCAGAGAAACTGCTCTATTCCGTTCACGGATAAGCTCAATGCAATCAGTGAGCTGTCCTTGCACCAGCGACATTCCAGATTCCCTAAAGAGTAGATTAAACACAGGACAATGAATGCTCATAGAATAACGACAACATACCACAGCGACTCATCCATGATTATTTCTGCAACAATCAAGTTGTAAAGTCAAGTTTGGTTTGACATTTGATGGCATGTGGCGTGGCTCAAGTCCAATAGCTTAACAAAACAATTCTACCGTCTTGAATCAATTCTTCAAGCGATCGACTTGTTACAGATCGTCACCAGAACAAGGACGCTGCTGCTCAGATTCATTCCAGACGATATTCTACACGTGAAGACTCGGTGATTTTTGATGCAATGCGTTTGCCGCCCTTGGAAAGGATTTGCCGATCTTATTTACTTTCTATTCTGATGCAGGTTTCTACTGCTATTTCATTGTTGGTTGTGGGTGTCGTTGGCCGAATCGCATTTGTTCGTTACCACAAGTTTCGTTTCATTGTCCGCATCTTTCTATTCCTTATCTGCATCGCCATCTCGTCATTAGCTGGCATACTTGCTTCTCCTGTTCTCTATTTGATTGGCAAAGGAGGTTATGCCAACTGGCTTGTTGGCCAAATATTCTATCGAACAGCTTCTGTTGCTTGTAACATCAATTGCAATGTTGAAGGTGCTGAACACTTGCTTTCTATTCGTCCCTGTGTGTTTCTCGCCAACCACCAGAGTCTTTTGGATATGTTTACTCTGTAGGTACCATTATAAACCATTCTGCTTGTTTGAATCGACTGGATTGCATGCATTCAATCGTCTGCCAAGTTGGAATCAATTGATTACTCTATAAGATCATTGAAAATCCTTATTTTGAGCCATGAATTACATCTTGATCATTGTCGAATCAATCTGTAGTTTGAATCAAAAGATTCCAACAGGTGTGATGCTCAATCATTACTTGTACATGATTTATAAAAATTCTTCATTTGATTGCTTCTACTTTTTCATTCGCCTATTAATCATCCATCCCTTGTGGTTTACCAATTTAGTGGTGCTGTTTTTCCTGTCAATACAGCAATTCTCGCAAAGGCGGAAATCAAATGGTATCCTTTTATGGGTCAATTCAGTAGGTTCTACACTGATGTATCATTGAAAGCATAACTGGAGATTCCACTTTTTTTGGTATATCTAACATGTTTGTATACCTTAGTGCAACTTGCCAGGAACATCTTTATTAATCGAAGTGATAGATCAAGTGCCATTGAAACCATGGCAAAAGTGGCCGATCTTTTGAAAAGTCAGAATGTAAATACCACTGGAAAGACTGATTTGGAATATCATAGTTGCTTTGGATCATTATCAAACTCGTGCTAATTCTAGCATTTTTAACTACCATACATTTTAGCTTGGACTGTGGATGTATCCAGAAGGCACACGATCGCAGGCAAAAACTAAAATGCTGCTACCATTTAAAAAAGGAGCATTCCATCTTGCTACACAGGGCAATATCCCGCTCATTCCTATTGTCTGTTCTACATATTATCCCTGCTACAGCGAGTCTGAAATGGTATTTGAGCCTGCGACGATTCAGATCAGAGGTGAGCCATAGATGCTAAAATTGTTTGAAATATGCAATTAAATCTAATTCATTTATGACTAGTTCTCCCACCCATTGAAACTGCCGGTTTAACAACTGCAGATGTGGATCAACTAATGGAAACAACGCGAAAGGCAATGCTATCGACTCTTGAACATTTAAATACTAAACCCAAAGACTCTATATCGATGCCTAAAACAAAAACTGAATAAACTTGCCATTTTTCGTAGTTGAAATGGCTTTGGATTATTTTGGTTTGCTAGACTTTTCAAAGCAATTCCAGTTTGTTGTTGGACTGGATCTTGAATACATTCATGGCTACTCTTACAGTCTTTTTTGTGCACTCAAAGACTTGCTTTGTTAACTTACCACTTAAATGGACGAATGTTCTTTGGGATGAACCCTTTGTAAGCCTTGAATACTCTTTAAATCCAGTAGATGTCATCAAGTTGGAATGAATAGTCAGGATTTCAAGTCGTTGGTTGATGTACTGATGAGTGTTTGATCTACATAGGCACAGACACCCGGAAATGTAGTCTTTCAGCTTACTTGGAGACCAGAAGGTAGAATAAAAACCAATCAAAGTGCAAAAACCACTTATGTTGGATGGGCTGGTGGATGTGTTGCTCCATCCAACATAGGAATTTCTAGTCAGTCTCTTATTTCATCAGACTCTCATGGAATCATCGAGATTGATGCTTCATTTGGCCAATCTCAAGGACTTTTTCATAATCAATCCGTAAGTTGGTCTTTAATCATTGATCTACGAAACAATATTAAATGATCTCGCTTGAATTAGGTGTCAGTGACTCCTATCAAGGATGCTCTCAATGCTCAATCTGTTTCGGTCGAACCTGTTTCAATTGACGATTGGGAAATTCTAGAACTTCATGCTGGCTATCTCGAAGAACAAATATTGAATCAATTGCGCATCATTCATCTCAATCAAATCGTTACAATCTGGATCCATCATCAAACATGTGTGCATCTTAAAATTGTAGCAACTGTACCAGAATCTAAAACCTGTTTAAAATTATCACAGGATGTAGAGATCATAGTGGCTCCTAAACTAAGAAATGAATCAACTAAAACAACACTGAATCCCCACAAGCAGATCGATCTGCCACCAGTCGAGTTGCGTTTTTTGCCAGAATATCATGCTCAGCCTTTTGATCGCAGTCAACAACTATCCCAATGGACCGTGTTTTTATCGCCACAAGACATGACCAAGGAATTACACAAAGAAAGTAGAGTATATCTTCAGCATCTGGAATTTGAAAAAATGATTGGCGGTGATCAGTCATCTGGCCCAGAAAAAGCTACTCATCAAACTGCTACAAATGCTGAACAGGCTTTTGTATCGTCTGCAGCACGTTTATCAAAAAAACTGCCACATGCTTATGCTACAATCAAAGTCTCACCCAATGTACCTCCTGGGCATGTTGTGATGGGAAATGCACTCCAATTACAGTTGTGTTTAGAGCCATTCGGTCGAGTTTTGGTCCAGTTTGTAGATCGCATTGATAAAAGGCCATCTAAAATTGATATTGTTACTTTATCCAATATGCTTTCGCCCATGGCTGCTGCAGAACAATTGCATAGTAATTATTTCATTCTTGACTGCTTCCATACTTGATGATAATCCCGATCGTCTTGCCTAGTTAACACTATTTACATTGAATTACTAGATTATCTTGCAAAGTATTTAAATGGAAACGATGATGAATGCATTATATTTGATGGCATGATACTACCAATTAAAACGGCGACTTTGGCTTTAAATGCAAAAATTGTATTTTCAAAAGAACTTGACGACTCTAATGTGTTGAGCACAACTATGAGTAATACACTACCACTTGCTTTTGTAGTGCGATTAATGGATATCCCATCAATTGAAGTTGGTGCTCGTGTTAATGCCAACGAAGCGGTCTTGGCATATGGGAGGTAAATTTTGTTGGTTTCTATTGGTCAATGTAATCATTATAATTTATTAAATATGTTGAAATGAATAATTTGCTAATTATCCAAGCCCGTGCAATTTAGAGAAATATATGATGCTGCAGATAAACTTTACATGACTGGATTTAACGAGCTTGTGGACGAGGCTTTTCAATACATTTCCAAATGCATGCTTTTAAAAACATCATTTTCACAATTGAATATCTCCAGTAAGCCAACTCCTATAGAAGAGTATCTGGCGCTTTCAAGAGTGCTTTTTAAATCTTTATTTTGAAAATTTAGGTCCAGCTGGCATTTTGATATCTGGTCCAAGTGGGTCTGGAAAAACACGATTGGTAGAAACAACTGCTTTGAAGCTTGCACAACACCAGCATTTACGTAAGTATGATTGGTTTGTCATTATACCATGTTGTAACTGTGCTGGCGTAGATACCAAAGTATAACACGGTGTGTATATATTACAGATCATGCACGAGTTAATTGCGCTCGACTAAAACAGCTTTCATCTACAAAAGTTGTTGAAGCGATTGAATTGGCTTTTATCAAGGCAGTTTGGCACGCACCTTCAATTGTTATTTTTGATGATTTGGACGTATTGCTGACTCGAGATTCTGAAGTATGCATTCACACGAGTTGTCAAGTTGTGACTGGTTGAAATTGAAAGCCTAGTTGCATTTACACTAACACTGGGTTAATTATCAGTCGAGTGGGTCAAAAAATCAAGTCTTTGCACATGCTTTTTTAGATTTGATGGATCGGATTGTTACACCAGCAAAAGTGTTTGTCGTGGCAACTCTCTTGGACAAGACACAACTAAATGGTGTTTTATCAGAACGACAAATATTTGGACATACTGTAGAAATCAAGGCACCCAATAAGCAAAATCGGATCAAGGCAAGTGTCTATAGTGTCATTTATTTGATCCAACACGTATTGATCCAGTAATTTTATCATACTCTACATAGATTTTAAAGTATTTGAGTGGGTTGGATCTGCAATCCACACCTCCTAATTATGATTTGATTGCATCACTTATGGACGGTTACCTTGTAGCTGATATTGTGCAGATAGTCGAGCGAGCAAGGCAATCTCATGCTATGCGTTGCATAAAAACCACACCACCTTCAACCTTGTCTACATTGGATTTTCACGCTGCTTTTGAGGGATTTAAGTCATCAGCAGTACAAGGAGTAAAGCTCCACACTTCGGATGTGTCATGGAGTATGATTGGCGGAATGAGCAACGTCAAGCAAATGCTGTTGGAAACATTAAAATGGCCAACAATGTATCCACAGATATTTTCCAGTTTTCCTTTGCGTCTTCGATCTGGGTAAATTCAGCATGTAATTTGATAAACGTGGTGGTATGTTTAGGTATGGGTTATTAATTTATATTGACAGATTGCTATTGTTTGGATATCCTGGCTGTGGAAAAACAATGCTTGCATCTGCTGTATCCAAAGAGTGCGGTCTGAATTTTATTAGCGTCAAAGGTCCAGAGTTGTTGAACAAGTATATTGGTGCAAGTGAAAAGGCCGTGAGTTGAAAATGCCATGTTTGGTGAATGCTGTATATCTGACCGAGTGTATAGCTGATTTTCTAATATTTGATTGGCATGTAGGTGCGTGATTTGTTTCAAAGAGCGCAATCTGCTCGCCCATGTTGCCTGTTTTTTGACGAGTTTGACTCAATTGCTCCTCGAAGGTGCAGTGTAGAAATCTACTTGACTTTTGTGCATATATATCAACTCATCTGTATTTATGATTTGATATCAGAGGACATGATAACACGGGTGTTACGGATCGTGTAGTGAATCAAATGTTGACACAGATGGATGGTGCTGAAGGACTTGAGGGTGTATTTGTTCTTGCTGCAACAAGGTTAGCTTTAAATTTTTGAATTGCCGTGCCATGCAGAGATGATGCAGCATAGACACTGTACAATCCCAACTAATATACTGCTTGGGACTGGATTTTTCTGCGTAATATGTAGTCGTCCAGATCTTATTGACCCGGCGTTACTTAGACCAGGCCGACTTGACAAGACTATTTTGTGTGATTTGCCATCGCGATTGGATAGAGAGGATATTATCCAGACGATTTCAAAAACACTTGCAGTTTCGTCTTCTGTCTCGATTAGCAAATTGGCTGATCAAACCAATGGGTTTTCAGGGGCTGATATCCAGGGGATGATGTATAGTGCACATTTGATGGCAATTCGGGAATCCATGGGAGATGAGCTTGTTGGACAGAAACTTGAAAACGCTGATTCAAGTGTAGATGATATGGATGTGCCATTTGCTTTATCTGCTGGAAAAGGCAAATCCGATGATCATTCAAGTAGACTGCGTTTGAAGAAACAGGTAAGATCTATGCGCGCTGACAATTTTGTCTTGCTTTGATATCTGGTAATAACAGTTTGAGTTTTGATTATGAATTGATAGTTGGCAGCTTTAAAAGCCTCGATGAAGAGGGAGTCCAAAGCAACCGATCAGTCTAACACACATGAGGATACAATTACTGATCGTAAACAGGCAAGCTTCAAACATGTTATTGTTTTGCATGACGATGCAGTTTAGTTTTATTGATACAGATTGATGCATGGGTTGGTTGCATATTGTAGATATTTATCCAGGATACACATATAAAAGCCGTGCTTTCCAAAACACGGCCATCAGTGAGTGAAGCAGATCATAGCCGACTATCTAGAATATATCAGCATTTTTTGAAGGGAGAATCGGCAAGTGTTGGAAGCCGAGCCACTTTGGCCTAGGATGTTTCCAAATAGTTGCTATTTTCACAATATTACAGCGATATTCACGTAAAAGGAAACACTGGTATTTATCTTGCATTGACTGCCTCTTGATTTGGAATAAACAATGTTCAAATATGTGGCTTGATTTTCTATTAGACGTTGACTACCTGAATAAACATCAGTTTTCAGTATCTGAAATTGCATCCACAAAACCATTTTAATACTCGAGTGATTCTACGACAAATGATCGTGTCCGATCAAACAGTTTACTGCGTTGATTTGAGCTCGAATTCTAATGTTTAGATCGCCTATTTCATACTGTGATGGTGTTTGCTTCTTATCATCTACGCCTAGCTGCCAGGTCTAAAACCAGTCTTTATTTTTCTGGTTCATCCAAGGTCACTACTTTTATTGTTTCTATTGAATTCATAAATTATTGCCAGTATTTATTAACACACAATACTAGAATGCAAGACTTTATTCAACTGTTAGCAGTACAGGCTCAGGATCATTTAGTCCCGTCAAATGGCTTTTATCTATTGGAGTTGTTTCGACATCAGTTTATTTTGGTGCTGCCTATGCTGCCACAAAGAACGAAACCATTCACAAATTATGGATTAACAATCAAGTGCCTGGAGGCGAGGCTGCATTGGATCTAACTCGATCCTTCGAGTCTCGGATTCGTAAGATAAACCTATCGGATATCCACCAGTCTGTATCAGACACTACAGACATGATAAAAACAAATGCTGAGCATGCATTCGACTATACCGGTCGCACTATTCACCAGGCAACCGAGATGACCAACGCTACGATTGAAACTGTATCTGGCTATGTGGATACTGTGTCGAATGCTACTTCAGACACCATTAAAGTTGCTACGAATGTGATCAACGAGACCACCGATACGATACAGTCTGTTGTACACGATGCAGAAGCTGTTTACTCTTCCGTGGTTTCTGCCGTGACGGGTGTGACTGCTCGTCAATCTGAATCCAAAGCTGATTCATCGTCGTCTGCAAAGCCTTCAGCAGTTACTGCGCCAGCTATTTCTAATGCCGAACCTCAGCCTGCTGCAAAGAAACCTGTTGCTGAGAAGAAGGTGACCGAGACTCCTGCCATTGTCAAAATACAGACTGACGATCATCCAGCCTCCCCAAAAACTCTCAAGAAACAAGATCTGCCCAGTGAAAAGACAATCGCAGCTCCAGTTTCAGCTCCAACTCCAGTTCCGGCTGTAATGGAGAAACAAACTCCTGTTGATGATAAAACTTCCAAGACTGTCTTGGAAACCAAGATTGAAAAGAAACCTGTTGTTACAAAAGTCAAATCTAAGCCCGAAGTCAAAGAAACTCCCGTTGAAAAAGTAGCAGTTCCTCAGTCTCCACCACTTATCGAGACCATTGATGCTGAGGCTGGTGTCAAGGCTATTCAAAACCGTCTTCCTGTTTTTGAGTCATTCATGGTTACGCTTGACGACTTGTCCAAAACCGTCAATCATCTCCTGAATGAAGCCGAACCGCTTTCTGGAGATGCTACCCATTTACGAAAAGCGCGCAAGGATCTTGATGCTCTTACCAAGTTTGTCACCCATCTGGAAGCCGATGAAGTTGCCATGGTGCATACCGCTCTTAGCCAGCAAGCGGTCATATTTCAGCGCACCATCGATGCTGTTCGTGAAAACAGCAATAATGCTCTTTCTCAAAAGGCACTTGAACTCGAGTCAGAGCTGACTTCAAAGTTACTAGATCAAGAAAAAAATCTTACATCTGCTTATGAGCATAATCTAGCAGAGCAGCTGATAAAACAAGCCGAGGAATTTCGTGCCGCTCTAGATATTGATCTTCAACGCCAAGCAGCCGAGCTTGAAAAGTTTTGGTCGCATGAAGTCAAGGAGCGTGTTGATCAGGAACGTGAAGGACGCCTGTCCCGTTTGGATCATCTTGCTTTAAAAGTCAAGTATCTTGAACGCATTTCTTTGGACGCCGGTGAAGGATTTGATCGCAGTCATCGCATTCATCAGCTTCAAACTGCACTTCGTGCTATTCGCTTGGCAATTGATAATCCACACACTACAAACTTTTCTCAGGAGTTGAAGGCTCTCCAGGCTCTCTGTGAAGGTGATGAGTTTGTTTCGCAGATCGTATCCTCTCTTCCAAAAGATGCTGCTCGACAATATACCTCGTATCAAGAGCTTACCAACTACCTTCATAACATTACAACTCCTCTCCGTCGCAGCCAGCTTGTTTCGGATGATACTGGTGCACTTTCCTATGCACTTTCTTTGTTTTTATCCTACTTTATCCTTCCAAAACACGGCCGCGTAGCTGGTACAGATTTGGAATCCATCTTGGCACGTACTGAGCATCATCTTTTCAACAACCGTATGGACGAGGCTACACGCGAGATCAACCAACTATCTGGATGGCCTAAAAGATTGTCTCGAGATTGGCTTGCTAAAGCACGTACGCATTTGGAGATTCAACAGGCCATCAAGCTTATTGAAGTGCATTTGAACCTGCAAAGTATGGGTGTAGTTTAAACATTTCTATTCATTTGTCACGATTCTCGAGTAATTGGTTCTTGTATTGCAGCAACCATACACTTTTTTGTACGGCATATTTTGGTGTCTTGACTGTAATCCTAGTGGCATGATGTGTTTGGTTTTCACTGATGCAAAAGTGACAAATTAAAGGAATATCTTGTTTTTCAAGAATAAAAGCTCAACTCTGCATCCCTTTCAATACATATGATTTATATTGTTTAATTTGTACTTTTAATTAGCCTATGAGTGAATTGACGCTGGGAGAGCATACAAATCGATTTTGCACATCGCCCAAAAAATAGAGACTGTTAATCTCTTGATCTATATATGTCACACTCTGTGTAAAATTAATTACTGGTGTATGTTTGACCTATGGTTCAATCAACCCGTGTACAAGTGTCAGCACTAATAAATAATACTCAAAATACACGAGATGTCAACATTACCTCAAACTCGACACCGCCAATCATCAGAGTGGTGCGACCAGATTTTCGCACAATAAACTGTCCTGCCTTTCCTGCAAATTGATGTTTAGGCTGTGATTGGGTCTGTGTTGATGGCTGTGATCGTGCACTTTCAGATCTAGAATTGGAAGCAAATGCATCACCTTCTACCGTGGTGGTAGTAGCGTCTTCGTCAGCCATTTTGGGGAGCATTAATGGAAATTGGAAAAACAGCAACTGAAACATATATCATGGTTAAATCATGAAATAAAATAAAGTAAACATACAATGCAGTTTGATCCTTACATCGCCAATCGCAAGTTCCGATTTGATGTTATCTTCAACTTCTCCGTCTACCGTATATTCAACGTTTTCGTTTTCGTCTTCATTTTCATCAAGCTCCATTGGCGTAGATAGAGGGTCTTCTATAGTCAATATATCATCGTCAACATGCTCAGAGTTTAGTTTAGAACGAGCTACATGTTCTATATAATAAATTAGTGTCAGGTTATGGATATAAACAATATACAGGACTGTTATAATAATATCAACCTTGAGCAGAACGTTCAGATTTGAAAATACGTCGTAGATTCTTGTTATGATCTATTGTAAGCGGGGAAAAAATATCTCCAGAAAACACCACCGAGCTGTCTTGACCATCTTCGATTGCATCATCAAACAGCATATCCTCTGTTTCATGTTTAATAGTAGCTGTGAAATCTCCCATTCTACGTGGAGCTTGAATTGCACCTTTTTAAAATCAACATCGCATCGTATTAGCACATTGATTTATGCCAGAACATCTACACTCATGCTGTTTAAACTGTCCAGTCTTGATATTCACCTCTCTGTGCTGGACCAAGAGCAAAGGGACCAGACGCAGTAACTTCGGCTTCTAGTCTACCTAAATGGCATTTTATCAGAAAGGTTGAATTAGATCCAAATAGTGCTTTGAGCCAGTGTATTATTTTTGTGATCCCATCACTTTAATGCCATATACCTCGACCACGACCACGACCTCTTCCTACACCATCCTGACCACGACCTCTTCCACGGCCCCTTTTTGAAGAGTTATCCTGTGGTATTTCAGGTTTTGGAGCTTCCTTTTTATTTCTCCTCACAGGAATTGTAGGTGCAAACTTGGGTCCAGCCTATTGTATTTGAAATTAAAATACTCAATTTAAACATCAACAGGGAATTGGAGCTGCAGATCAACTTGGGTTTATTACGATGAAGCATGCTTGACAGTTCAATGATATAATACATACTGGCTTTGAATCAGTAGATCCTGAAGGCGGGTTGGTCGACGCATCTCCAGAAACAGAAGATCCAGACGCAATGGGAATGCGAGGTGTTTTAATTGAAGCCAATCTCTCGGCTTTAGATCCTGCTGTCTGAGGCTTCCGAGGCTGATCGCCTTCTGTCATAATATTTTGCAGTGAATTCAAATCGAAAAAGCTGAACTGATAAAACAGTAATCACGTGATGATGAGCGTGACAAAAATTCAAATTATTTTGCTGGTTTGAATTCATCACAAACTGCTCATGTCTAGAAACGAAATGGTATCGCCCGAAGGTATGGCAGCATCTGCATTCATTTGTGCGCTGTTTCTGCAGCTAATTGTACTTATTTTCAATGCTTTAGGGCTTCGAGTTGATGGCCGTAGACCTCCTGAGCTCCGTCGATTGCTGACCAAAGTGGGCTTATTTACAAACGCCGATGGATCTGCATATATTGAGCTGGGTAATACAAAATGTGTTGCAGCAGTTTATGGCCCAAAAGAAGTGTGTAGTTATCAATGCTGGTCCATACAGTTTTATCTAAACCCATCTCAGATTTTTTACAATCGCCAACTTTCCACTAATTCAGTTCATACCTGATTGCATTCTAGTCAAAAATTCAGAGTGCTCAGCTTCATGATCGAGCGGTAATTAATGTTGAATACAATGTAGCAAGTTTTAGTTCGGGAGAGAGAAAGTTGAAAATGAAGCGAGATAAACGGATGCTGGAAATTGCATCCATTATCAAACGAACCTTTGAGCCAGTAGTTATGACTTCAACTTTTCCTCGATCAGAGATTGATATATATGTCCAAATTCTTCAACTAGATGGCGGTGAGTTTTTTATTTAAACTAATCCATGATTTAGATGTTTGATTGAGTCGAGTTTATTTATTTTTGCTTATTGTATTTTAGGCGCTTTACACGCTGCAATCAATGCCACATGTTTGGCTATGATTGATGCTGGTATTCCCATGTCCGACTATGTGATTGCCTGTTCCGCTGGATTTTCAAATGGATCGGCTCTACTCGATTTGAACTATATTGAAGAATCAGCTGAACTGCCTGTTTTAACGGCTGCACTGTTGCCCAAAAGTGGAAAACTTACAATGCTGAGTGTAAGATTCATATTTATACACCATACTCGTTTATATTGATCAAAGTTGTCTGATTTAAATGTCAATATACAAATAATGTGTATTTCATTTCCAATAGATGGAATCGAGGCTACATTTGAATCATTTTCAGGATGTCTTGAATCTTGCAACTGAAGGATGCAACACGCTCGCCGAGTCATTGAATGAAACAGTTCGAAAAGCATGCAAAAAACCCAGACCAATTTAAAGTTTAAATCAAATGTGCCGTTGGGTTTCTTTAAAACCACTATCCATGGCGCTTATATCTAATGATGTCATCACAAAAGATGGTACAAGTTGGCTCAATTTGTACTGTAAAGTAGCTTAAAACAATTCAATAAATAGTTTCAGATTGGATACATACTTGTCTTCCATGCGTCGTTGCTGAGTCTTGTCCAGAGTGTTTCCAAGACCAACAAGTGTCTTGGAAACTGCATCAGTTGCTCCAATCATGGGCTGTAAAATAGCCACGGGAACAGCACGCACAACTGGATGAACCTGTCCCTATTGGTTAAACAATGCAATAAACAATAAAAGCCAGTTGAGCTAAACTACACTGAAAAGCTTAATCCAATGCACGGTAAGTGTTTGACGCCTACCTCGTCTGTCGATTCGTAGATATCGGTTGGAACTGCAAAAATAGTTCGAGCAGCACTCCGAACGCCCTCACTTAAGCTAGCAAGACCCATCTGTAAACCTTCACGGATATCACGCGGCTGGTCAGAGAATTTAGATAGCTGCTGTCTGCCACGATCATTGTTGTAGTCGCTACCAGAAATCCCACCACCGCTTATAGATGTTCCTGCACCGCCTCGAATGCTGCCTCTGCTGCTACTTCCTCCGTCTACATTGCTATAGTTGCTATTAGAATCTGTTTTACTCATAAATTCCTCTGCACGCTCCAAAATAACTTGAGTTCCTGCTGCAACACGACTTCCTAATCGAATAGTCTCCATCGTAGCAGCTTTAAGAAATGCACCGGCACCTTTTTGTAACCCTATATAACACATCAACAACCACATTAGTTATATGAGAGCCTTTGGATGCTTAGTATAGCATCTTAATAAGTAAAATATTGATACAATAGCACCACACCTTTTACAATACGTCCATCCTTTTTAAATTGCTCAACTGGAAGTAAAACCAAATCTGCAACACCTGCACCAATATTGACAAAAGGACGAACAGTCGACACGCCAGAAGCCATATTCGAAACTTGTGTAGTACGAATATGTGGAATCCATATATTCATGATTCGCTTTCCTAAATTATCCCATCCACGTACCTAATTTGGTCATAAAAATCAGCATTAGACGCAGATACAGAATAAACAAGCCGGCTCTACACAATGCATTGATGATCAAAAATCCTTACGCCCGCTAATCTGATACGATGGAGTGACAGCTCGGCACTGTCAAGATGAACAAAGTTGAGGAATTCAATCAACGAACCGTTCTTAAGACTTGAAAAATCAACATGTTTGGGTTTGTAATCAATTTTCATCATAACAGGCTCAATCTCGCAAAATTCTATTTCAACACGACAGTAATGCAATGTTTAGATAAAAACAAACTATGCTAATGCATCTCAACCCAATAATACTATATACTCACGGAAAAATATATTATCTGATGGTGTTTTTTGCAAGGTTGGCATGGGTGGATTGGATTGAATCTGGCGAATCTCAGTAATCTCAGTAGTATGCTTAACAATAAAATTCAGTGTATCCTAATAAAAATCAATTGAAAGCACATATTTCTGTTAAAAAAGTAGTGCAGTGTGTATAGCAGTGATGATCATGCTAATACCATACCTGATCAATGTACATTCTAAACGGAAGTAATGCTGCCTAAGTCATTCAAGACAATACATACATTAGTGTCCAGACCTCATCAAATAAACATCACTATCGATTTCAAAAAATATCAACATCACCCTCATTCTGATCTCTGGTTTTCCCATAGTTTGAGGAATGCTGCTCCATGAAACAGTAATCATATCGCTTCCCGTCTCACGTGGAAGCGTATTACTCTCTGGCTGCATATAACTAAAGAATTTACGCCATTGAGAAGATTTGACATGATCAATAATTTCCACGTCGCGAACATTAAACTGAACATCCAAAGTGGTTTGTGTGCTATCCTCGGGGAACATTTTGACATCCACACCAATATGAACAAGCCGTAGTTCAAGCTCGCAATCCTTTGTTTGTTTTTTGAAAGATGTCTGTGTGGAATGTATATCGCTTTCAAAATCTTCCAAAATAGACGAATCACCAGCTTCGCTTTTGTCTTTAAAGGCAGCATGCTTTTCATTCGAACCTCGAGAAGATGGAATCGACGCTTCATTCTCCTGTTGGTCTGCACGATCACCACGGTACGTTTGAGACTCTTTCCGAGTAGGATCAGTAAAATGTTTAAACGATTCATCATCGTAATTCCAATGAGATCCTTCATAAAGTCGCCAAATCACATTGCAGTGTTTAAGTACAAACACACTCTGCGGCGGGACAACAGGTCTAATGCATAGATATTTCATTGCAACAGCAGTAGTAAAAAATTAAAAATCATTTGTAAATATATATAGTTGAAAAAACAAGCATGTTGCACTCAACTGTTTTTCTTGAACAGCTTCAGCACAAAGTCTAGCAAGATAATTTTGGTCAATAGTGAACTCTTCAGGACAAACATATCCACGAACAGTTCCAGTGATCACTTCGGGCTTTTTATGAGTGGCCAAATCATGATCAAATCCCATTAGCCAATCGTGATCACTTTCATCTAAATCCTTGTCTTCAAAACTGGGAACTGGCTGAGCAAACTGAAACGCATTTTCATCGACAAGACCTAGTAAAAACTAGATATTGTTATTATCGGTACTATCAAATAAACAATATTAAAGCAAAGTTTCAATAAAAGCCAATCATACAAAACACATTTTCGTCGGACACGTTTGTTTGGTAGGCCAGTGTTTGAGTAGATTCGGCTGACGGAACTGGGTCGGGAAAAGAGCTAGATTTTACCTCGGATGAAGATTCCCTAAAGCAATATATCGTCACAAGATCAACAAACTAATTGAGCAATCTAAAACTTTACAGAGCTTACTCTAAACCGTACTTTGGAAATAATGACTCAACAAGCCGTATAACCGCATTAAAGGAATCTGGAAATGTATCAATTGTCAATTGATTTGGAGTAATTATAATCTAAATTAAATAAAATTTAAAAGTATACACTGTTTTTAGATGATAGTCAATGCAATACATTACACTAATATTATTACCTCTAGATTTGGCAAAATGGGTGGCTCGTTTATTCGAATTAGTGCACGAATAATATCAGCCTGTCCTATTCGAACAAATCCGACTGACTAGAGTATTAAATACATGTTGACATGTAAGTGCATTGCTAAACCTTGAAACGAAAATACACAAATTCTTATCAAACTCACATTTACAAATCGTAGATAAGCAAGCCAAGATCCCATGGGCTGAATTTGCTCATTACTTAGTGACTGGGACAAGATCGCACCAGAGTTGGGATTATGTGACAAGCTCAATAAAGTGTTGAAAAATGACACATCGTACGAAGTGGTAGGCGACTCTGCAATCAAATTGGTTGAGATGCGAAGCTTTCCACCATTTAAAAGCATTGCACCACAAAACGGCTCTGTCATGAAAATGACATTGTAATTGCTCAATAGCACATGTACATTGACAAACGCATCTAGTTCGGGTCCAGGTGTTTGTGGCTATTAGAGTATAATGAATGAAAATGAATAAGGGTTTTGGAAACACATGGTGTAATCATTTAAGATTTAAAAACATTCGACTCATTAGTAATAACATAGATTAAAATACCCTACTTGGTCAGACAACTGATCGAGATTCCGAGTCGCAATTCGCGATAATTCCGAATAATCAAACGGAAGATGCAGAGTAAAATTGCTGAATATAGTAGTTATAGATGTTTGCCGCAATCCAAGTTCAAAATCGTCAAACTGTGAAAACACAACCCGCATCATTGGACTGGATTCATCATGACATGTTTGATTGAAAACAGTAGTTTTCTCATGCAAAAGTGTTCCCGGCGAAAACTTTTGAACCGCAAACTCAATCCGCCCTGCAGAAAATTCAACTGCTACAGAATTCTGTAATTTCAAAATACAGTGAATGAGAAAACACAACAGTTAATACTCAGCAACAAGCAGGATACTTGACAGGCATTGTTAAACAATCAAAATACTTTAAACAAACCTTTTTACTGCTTGCCGAGTTTAACGAGACAACCATATCCATATTGGAAAAGTTTAAATCAAACCGTTGACTTGTCACTAGCTCGAGGCATGCAGTCAACTTCAAAGACCCTAAATATAAAAATAAATCAGAAACTCAAAACAGCAACGCACAAAAACCTAGTCAACAACCTTTGGTCGCCATAAACAATAGCGCAAAGCTTGGATAAGATGCAATTCCTTGATCACTTGAACTTAAAGCCTGAATTTGCTCCAATAGTCTATGTACGTACAAAAACTCAGAATCCATAATATGCACATCCACGTTTTGACAAGTTACTATTACAACAGACATCTAGCATATCACATTAAAACAGCCTTGTCAGCCAACTAATATAACAAGATGAACGTTCAAAATCAACGCACAGTTAAAGCCGCTAATGGATGGTCGTGGCGATGTTTTGTACGTGAATCATTTCCATGTTTAACCGAGTTTGCATTATCGAATGAAATATGATCAGAGCCAACATCGGACCAACTCTTGACAGAAACTTCATCTGAACTCTGGGTATTTTCGCGGTATAGTTTATGGAGATCAGATACAATTTCATCAAATCGAGCTGAATATCTGAGCGGGGAATCTTTTTTAGACGACAAATCTAAATATAGATTTTCAAGCAGAGCAATGGGTCGATATTCTAAAAATAAAGTGTAAGCTATTTGTTGAATGTAGTCAATGAAAATATCGGTCTCATCATTTTGAATAGCATACTTGAGTAGTTTGTTGTTGTTGCAAGCCCAACAACAACAAGCCCAGCATTGATTCCGTCGCTATGTTGTAGAACTTGATTTACAACAAATAATCAAAATATAGTAAGTAAAATGCAATGCTCAACATATTGAAATTCAGTTAAAGTTCTACCTGGAGAAGCCTCTTGCTGGAAATTTCCAAACTGGATATCAAATGCATCAACAACTGGATAAACTGAATCGTATCTACTCAGTATAGTTGTTGGCATAAAACATTTTTAAAATGCAAAAATAAATTATACTCGAAAAATTAGTTTATAGTTGAAAACAGCAAAACTGGTACCTTGACATTTTTCTTTTGCATATTTCAACTGCAATGCGTACAAATGGACACGCCATGGAAAATAAAAATTCAATCTATAGTATTGCATATACAAAAATAAATTGTCAAATATGTCGAAGCGATGTGGTACACGGTAAATAATCGACAATATAGTCTACCTTTTCAGCATCTAGAGTCGAATCAGATGGATCAGAGTCTTGTGTGGAAAAAGAAAATGGTTTGCTTTTGAAATTAAAACTAGAAGCATAGACTTGAATATCCTCCAAAACATCGGCAGCAATCGACAGTATTAGCGGTGGAAGCACAACAGTCACATGATGACTCCATACTGCTGATTTTTGTTGATTCTCCATTGAAGGATGCGCCTTTGAAAGCGTACGGTTACCAAAACTTTCAATTCTGACACGAACGTATTCTTGTGACGGCTGTAAAGATCCAATTTCCAGTCGTGGTAACTCGGTTTTTTCCAGTACAAAATTGTGCATGCCTTTTTGCAAAGGAACATCTGCAGCAGGAAAAATGTCCAAAATTGTAGTCATCTTATCTCCAAGTTTTTGAAGCGCGTGGTTTACCAATAGTAAGCGTATGACAAGATCAATTCCAAACGCTTGACCCAAGGACGAATAGTGATGCTGAAGCTGAATATGGATAGTATGCAAATCAACGCGCAAGTGATTGATGCCAATAAGCTGAGCCGATACATCTTGATCGTTCAAACACAATACATCAAAGTCATTTTGCCGTGGATGCCGTTCAGTTGGATGAAAAATACAGGAAAATACACGTCCAATATGAAGGGTGAGCAAAAATGGATCCAAAGAGGATAAGGCTGAATCTGCTGGGGAATTTTGTATGGGCGAGCAAGACTGGTGATCCGATGACTGGTGTATATAGTCTGATTTTGATAATAAAGACGATGATATGCTCAATATATCTTCAATGTGTGTTGGATGCAATACCACGATGATACGTTCAATGTCACAGGAAATATCAAAACTTGATAGCCAAGCAGCTGAGGTAGCTGAGATTACACTGCTAGAAACATCGGTATATCCAGTAGAGTCCTGTTTGAATAAAATGCGAACCCATCCATTTGGAATTGCCAATAGTGGAATTGTGGAGTGCGAGTTTTGTGCAATTAATCCAACTGAAATATCAAGTATTCGAAGATACTTGATTGTATTCACCGGCATTTCTACTTGATTGAACCATAACCACTCGGGTATCAGTCTTTGGATAGTATCTACTGTATGATCACAAAGTGAAATCTGGCCGCATTTCAGCTCAATAGATGCATTCAACTTTGATGTAACTTTGATTGAGATGCGGTTCAATGAAAGAGTGACTTTACTGAGAATATTTTCAATTATTTTGGCAAGATCAGAAAGACCATTTCCTTCAGATTCGTTTTGGTCAGGTAATCTTGTTGGTGAGTCGTCATCATCGCCCAGCTCGGTCCGAATAAAATTGTCTGCAAAATGAAATGATGATGATAGTATTGGAGGCGATTGTGTGTTCAAGTGCTGTTGTTCTTGTTCATATATATGCGAATCAGTGCTTTGCTTGGGTTCAGACTGAGAGTCGACCTGTGCTAAATCAATCGACATATCCTCAATTTCCATTGAACAAGCTTCTGAAAAGAATCCGTTCCAAGGGACGACCACTCTTAGTGTACCAATATGACCAGATACCATCTGTACAGACAACACATCTCCAATGGCTTTATTGATAGTCTTTATATCCGCAGGATTATTTCAATGCAAGTAATAAAGCTCGAATCAGTATCATTTCATGTACACGACAGGGGTGAGCATAGTACTAGATCGAGCTAGACACTATCTACAAGGTAGAAATAGCCAATTGAACAGAGCATATGTATATGTATATTCTAATAAAGTTTTGGTATATATGCTAGATTACCGTAGTTTCCAAATGCAGGTTACGAAGAGTAACTTGGCCATTAACCAATTGGAAGTCGTAGTTGTCCCAGTTGACATCATCAGAAAGAAATCTACCAATAGTCTGCTTGAGCAAATACTTTGCCAGTCGTTTCTGGAAAGAGTCTTCCCCAAAGGGTTTAAACCATCCTTGCCACATTTACTGTCGTATTCACGTAAAATGAAACGCTAAGAGTCAAAATACTAATAAATGGCCAACTTCAAGAAATAATAATTTGATGGAATTTATTGAACAAAATTGGGGTTTGAATTCTCTGACTGAATGGTGATTGGCATGTAAAATTGTGTTGTCGAAACATGCGATCATTGTTGCTGGACTAAAACGCAAACGTATTTGATATTAGAATCTAGGCGTTTGTACAGGCTTGAAAATAATCCAACTCAATATTTGGATTACAGTACATGAATCTAGTTTTAAACTTTGTTCATACAATCTGTGGTTATTTCCACAGTGGGCAATCTTGATTCAAAACTATGGTTTGTGTATCATCAGGTACGCTTTAAATCAAGCCGCGTCTTACAATGACTCGATGTATCCAGGATATATGCTATCAATAATTTATTTAAATTAAAACCGCCATGAATTTTTGTGTCTACAGTTCATCGTAAAGATCCATATATGGATCTCGAATCTGATCTGAATCTACAAAATCATCAGTCTTGATCATAGCTATACGCTCAGCTATTGGGATATCGTTTTCTTGAGCAGGTTCAATCTGAACCTTGGATTCGGCTGCTGTATCTACACCAATAAATCTACGTAGTGTTCCTTCAACAGAAGTCATAAACTTTCTTGTATCGCGTGGTTCCCATCCAGATCCAATTGCGGTGGCTTCAAACAACAAATATGGCACATCTGACATGGCCTCTTCTTCTCCATCATTAAGCTTTTTAAGCATACCTTCAATAATTGGGTGGTTCTACAATACATGCATGTACTTGTCAATATTTGTCATGAAAAAATATGTAGAAACTCGACTATAATGTAGACGTGCAGCTCAACCATCAACAATTTTGCCTTACAGGATTGATTTCTAAGATACGCTTTTGGGCAATAGAAAACTGATAAAATGGATCATCACGATCACCCAATTGTGCAGCATACAATCTTTCTTCGCTAGGAGAAAGACCATGAACATTTGCAAGTACTGCGCTAGGAGAGGTGGTAAGCTGCATAGAAATACGAACGGTTTCTACCATCGAGTCTAGTTTAAGTTTAAGCCAGTCAAGCAGTGGCTGATACTTTTGAAGCTGCAATTTTTCTCTTTGGGTCGTAAACTCATCTAATTTATCAACAAACCAGGTAGTACAGAATATGTAAATTCAAAAAAGCACCATGCAAATTGTCAAGTTTTTAGATGACTATACAAATAAAACTGCATATACCTACTTTCATCCCCAAACAGCAGTCCACTTTTGGCAATGTGTTGCATTGGTTTTCCAGCAAACTTTTTCAAGTCGCCTTGAACTAGATATTCATCGGCGGGATCAGTCATATACTGAATGTAAATAGTCAGCAAAAACATTAGTAAAAGATACGTGGTTAGTCAAGTTAAATTTTAAACTCTTACCAAAACCTCGTATCCACGAGCAGTTAGTTTTTCAACAAACGGAGAGTGTTTGGCAGTTTGCACATCGCCTGCAGTTATAAAGTAGATCTGCGGCTGATCTTTTTTCATACGTAAAACATAATCTTGCAAGCTTGTCAGCTCATGCGTGGTGGACTCATACCGAAGTAGCTTGACAAGCTTATTGTAATACCCCTTTGATTCTACCAAACCAAACTTGATTGCCAAACGATATGATTTGTAGAATTGCTTATACTCTTTTGGATCTTTTGACAGTTGTATCATGAGTTCAATGGCTTTGGCAATCACTTTTTTTTGAATGACTTTTAGCACGGCATGCTTTGAGAGAGTTTCACGAGACACGCTTAATGGAAGATCATCTGAATCAACAACAGCCTTGACAAAACTAAGCCAGCGAGGTAAAAACTCGGAAAGTTCGTCAGTAATAAACACTCGATGAACAAACAAACGAATGTTTTTTCCTTGAGGCTCATCGGGTTGAAGAAACTTGTATGGCGGATTCTTGGGAATAAAAACAATCGATTTAAAATCGGTATCTCCCTCGACTTTGAAGTGACTATAAGCAAGAGGTGGAAGAGTGTCCCGGAAAAACGATTTGTAAAATTCACCATACTCTTTTTCAGTTACCAAAGATGCAGGACGAGTCCAAATGGGTTTATGTATATTAAGAAGTTCCCAATCTGCAATCCTATGTGATACAGTCTTTGTATTTCCATTTTCCTTATTGCTACTATCAAGAATCTCGTGCTCGTCGGTATTCTCTTGGCTGTTGGATAATTTAGCTTCGTTTTCAACAACTTGCTTGTCAATGGTACGAATAGTCCACATATAAATGGGAAAATCAATAAACTGGCTATGCTTTCGGATCAGCTTTTTGATCTTTTCATCTTCAAGAAACTCATACGCATCCGACTGCAGGTGGATAATGATTTGGGTGCCTCTACCAAGAGTGTTTCCTCGTGGATCTTGAACAATTTTAAAATCTAACAAAAGAGTCACTAAAATGCCAAATGATCACTCCATTCATTCAAAACTGCTTACCATGCTCAGATGTGGATTCCCAAATATATTGATCATCGGCATTATTTTTACTGATAACGGTAACAGCATCTGCAACCAAAAACACAGAATAAAAGCCAACACCAAACTGTCCAATCTGGCCATTATTGGTGCCGTTTTTCTGGATATTTAAAAGAAACTCCGAGGTGCCAGACTAATATTGTACCAATTTCTAATTTAAATAACAATCCACTTGATTGAAACCCCAAAATACCTTTGCTCTGCAGTATTATATTTCAAAAGCAACAACACAAAATACTAGAATGGTTTTACCTTTGCAATGGTTCCCAGATTTTCGCGCAGATTGGCTTTAGTCATGCCAATACCAGTGTCAGTAATGGTCAGGGTTTTACGTTTTTTGTCAGCTACAATACTAATCTTTAGATCTGAGTTGTGTTGCATTTCTTTTTGATTAGTCAATGACAAGAATCGAATTTTGTTAAGAGCATCCGAGGCATTCTATAAAGGTTAGATACGCAAATAGAAAAGGCAATAGGCTAGTTAAAAACTCGATACATTGAAAAAATAATACACTCAAATGCAACCAATAATTGTGTCGAGTCCTAACTACAACTATATTCACTTATTACAAGGTGAATACAGAAAAATGTTTCATTTTAAGTGAATATGGCTGTAAATGACATACCGAAATCAGCTCGCGAAGAAACACCTCTACAGCATGGGATATTCAAATTGGAATCCCAACATAAACTTGGTTAGTCTATTGCTATAATTAAACAAGCTACAAAAACCATGCGAAATAACTCTTTCTAGAAATAGCCACCTTTGTTTTTGTATAGACTTTTGATAATGATACTCATCATGCGATTCACTTCCGTCTCGAATTTGAATTGCTCGCCACCTTTTACAGCAAACTGGGCAACTTCCTCGGTAGAAGGAACAGTAAATCCAGGAGGTATATCTGAAAGTATAGAGCCATTCATTTCTGTATCTGCATAGATGCTAGCACATGCTTGTCCTAGTAGTAGAATTCCATACAATGCACCAGATAGAAGCATGTTTGAAAGAGTATTAAAGCGGAGTTTGAAGGAAGGTTGTAGAGTATTCAGTCATACATCTGGCTGAGATCAAAGTGGTGCAGTTGGAAACGCATTTTTAACTATTTCATCACTTTGTCGTTTACTTTTCGATAACATATTAGATTTGGGTGATTTCGGTTGAGTTGGTCGAGTATCTAAATTGTTTCGCTGTAACTCATTTTCTGTCGACTCTGCATTATTACATTCTAATTAAAACGATCGAATTTTGTTATTACGCTCATATTTATAATCAGCACTTTAAGCTATGAATTACTGTCGTATTCACGTAAATAAAACACAGTATGAATGCCAAAATGCATAATAAATAGTCAGTGTCATGAAATAGTTGGTCTCGATTTACTAGACAAGATTTTTTTAAACTCTATAGTTGATTAGTATTTCTCCTGGTGATCGACATAAAGACAACTGTTGTATTTCTAAGGTGTGGTTCTATTTTCTTGAACTAAAGCACGAGCCTATCTGTAAGTTTTAGGATACAAAATGGTTGTAATGACAACACTAAAACAGTCAAACCCAATATCTGCACTGCAACAAATGAATTCAGTTTCAAATTTGACAATCGTACAACACATAATTACCAAAGGAAAAGCGACAATCTCGGTTTAAAACTATCATTTGATTTTGCGAGCATCATATAACAAGCCTTGTTTTGAAACAAGGATTGAAAACGCCGATTAAAGTGCTCAATTGCTAATAGAAAAACGCAACAAATGTCCACCCATTGTTTATTACAGAGTAAAAGAGGTAGTCACTACAAGATGAATACAACTGTCCCATTTTACGTGAATATGACTAAAATAAATGAACTGCTTCGCTGTTCAATCAAGTTTTAAGCTCAACTGACGCGTTCAGCACTCTGCCGTTCCAAAAACAGTCGACGTCAATTTGCAAATAAAAGTAGTCAAGACAAGCAAAAAGTAATATCATGGTACAATCAAGACCAACATCTGGAGGATCATCTAATTACTACTGTAAGAATGTGTCACGCAGTAGTGTATTAGTTGTAGTGTGTATTATTCAGTCAACTTTTATGAACTAATAGTGGGCGATTCTTCAGCTACATCCAAACCCATTTTTCAAAAGGGAAAGCAGGTGTAAGTAAAACTATTTTGGTTATATATTTTAGGTTTTGTTTTAATGCTAGCAATTTGCATATAAAATAGTCATAGGGAAACCCCGCTAATTATCAATGCATTGGATATCAAGAAGCTCACTCAAAAGCTTGATGGAAATCAGGTTGAGGAACAGCTTCATCAGATGCTAAGCCGTGATGTAAGTGATAATTATAAGTGACTTGGAAAAAGTATGCATACAATATTTGTATCGTGTCATGGACTGTATAGTGGGCAGTCAGTTACACTAAATTTTCAGCACAACTAATACCCTGATTCACATTCAACTTTTATACTTTGAAATAATCATTTAGCGTGAGCAGCGGCATCATCAGTCCAAGGCAAGGGTTGCTAATTGGGGAAATACCTTTGCAGGACAAAGACGTGCTAGAATAGTTGCTCGAGAAACACGTTTACAAAACGAAGAATTGGCCAGAGTTAAACAGGATCAAATGTTTCGAGATGAAGAGATTCAGAAACGTGAAGCTGCTATCCAACGTGCAAAGAAGATGCAGTACTTTGAAACGGATATGGTCAAAGCGTTCCATAGCCGTGTGATGCTACTTCAAGTTTTAGAGGTGTGTTGGATTTGATTGACTAGAAGCCATGCTACCATGAATTGATATATACAAAGCAATTTTTAGTTTAGACATTTAAACTTGACAATCAAACATGCATTTGAAGATTTCAATTTTATCACTACTGATTTTTCAAACTACGATTTATTGTCAATGTAGGAGAGAGATATGCAAATACAACTCAAGAATTCTCGTAAAAATGCAGACTTGATTGAAAATAAACGATATCACATGGAACAACTTGCTTCCATAGAATCACAAAACCAGATGTCTGCAAAGTCTCAAAAAGACGAGAAAATTCGCAACATTCAACTAGCTCGTGATCAGTTAATGCAGCAACGTGAAAAAATTGTGATGGCACAAAAGAATCGCAAAGTATGTTGCTGTACTTGGAAACAATTCATGATAATCAACTATTTTGCACAGTTCTGATAAAAACAGATGGTGCTTACAATTGAATCATTTTAAACTAATCTGGGCTGCATTATATAGCTTGCACTTGAAGAAGGACAAAAATGTGCACACGATGATCGCGAATATCAGCAACTTCAACTAGAGCTTGAAAAAAAAAGACAAGAAAATGCGGTGATTTTAAATAAACAGCAGCATGAGCTTCAAAATCAGCAAAAAGAACGAAAGATTCGTGAACGCGAGGAAAGTGAAAGAGAAAGCATGCGAATTGAAGCATGGGCAAATCGCAAGGCAAATCAAGTTCAGCTTAAAAAGGATTTGGAAAGCAAATGGCACAAGTAAGATTGCTAGGTTAAAGCATGCTTGTTGATATTGGTATTCAAATTGCTTGATAAGCAAAATGATTTGTATATTTTGAATCATAATGACTCACAATTTCCATGAAATCGCTATTCATCACCGCAAATATCTAGCGATGGAATAAATATTCGACATAGGCTTGGAGAAACACAACTAAAAATCAGTAACGACGCAGATGCCAAGGTCGAGGAGCAGATTAAACAACGCATGGTAGAACATGATCTCAAAGCTAAAAAGGAAGAGAGAGACAAGCTTGAAAAAAAGAAAAAGAACTATGAAGAGCTTGATGTATTTTTCCAAAACTATGTTAGTGATTATAACAATGTTTTTGTAACTTGTCTGTAAAAACAATGCATAATAATGATTCTAACGTGCTGATATACTGAAATCAATCATCAAACCATTTAGATGAACGAAAAGACTGAACAGAAAAAGAAACAAAAAGAAGAGGGTAAACACTTTCTTCAAGAATTTATTCGGGTTCGAGATGAAGCCAACGCTCAAAAAGAGACCAAACGAATAGTCAGTTTACAGAATGGCAAAAACCTTCAAAACCATCACTTGAGGCACATTGTAAGTGTATATTGATATTGAAAAGTTGATCAAGTTTGAAATCAAGTTTGAGTTTATGATGTAATGCAATGATCACAGGAGCAAAACGCTGAGCAGCGCGCCAAAGATAAAAACCAGCGATTGGCAGAGGCTGCTGCACAACGAGCCATGGCTGCTACTGAAAATCAAGTCTTGCATGAGTACATGAAGCAGACCAAAGAAGAGCCTTGGGCAGTGAAAAACACCAGACTGCAGACCTTTATTAACAACGAAATTTCTCGGCCACGATCAGGAAGTTGTCGTGCTGTTCTATCAAAGAAGGGAAGTAGCACCACGAATAGACTAGGATTTACCAACAATGGGTACAATAAGCTTGATATTGCGCGTACCAATGAGATCGTGACCGGAGATCTACTGAAAGTGGTTGGCGAAGAATTATAGTAAAAAGTAGATCCAAAACTTGTATGCAGCTTGTATATATGGATAAAAGTTGTATAATCAAAATGGCAATACAGGCGTTTGTGTTGGACTGCCTCTAGTTGTTCCCACCAACTGTTTACAACCGAATATGATTGGCTAACGATAAGATTTAATAACAGTAAAAGCTTTTTATGATATTTTTGATAATTGAATCCATGTGAATCGATAGTGGTGAATAAGATCCGATTTTACCAAATATTCGAGATCAGTTAATCCGACTTGTTCAAGCGTGGATTGGAACACATTCAAAACTCGACCAAAACTTGCAACGTCTTATAATCACTGCAATACTGTATTGTCCAATGAAAACATCAGTCGGTCATAATGTCATGCTCCATATTCCATCGACAGAATTGGATTCGACTATCCTGACCAAACTATCCTTACACTTTCAAAAGGATATGAGATTTACTCCAGCTGGTAGATGGACAGTCAATTCTCGTCTCTATATCCAATCACCTCAACATCAGCAGTTGATGCAAGAACAACAGCAGCTCTTTCATGCTCACCATAGAAACAATAACTCGGACACAGAAACACCCAAAATTCCTGTTCAATTGCAATCTCGACAGCTTTATGTTGTAGTTGCAGATCACCTTCCAAAACTGTACTCAATTGTAACATTTGCCGAGATCGACAGAATGGATCAAGTAGTGCCTGTCGAAGGCAATAAAGAACTTGGAAATATCATTGCCAAACTTAAGAATCTATGGACATCTCGACAGAGCGCAGTGATCGAGGTAAGCTTGGCAATGCATTGCTGCTACATTCTAAGTCTCGATTCAGAATTGCTGTTTTCTGCCATCCAGTTTTGTATTGGACAGGCGATTTGAATAGATTACAGCCTTTTAATAGTGGAGTATAAAGTCTGACTATTTTCCTAATAGGGGACAGAGTTTGTCAAAATGGATACAGTTATTCGATTTGGATTAGTCAACGTTGGTGCTTCAACTCGCGGTATCGTTATATATCTGCAAGTTGCCGCCAAACAGGATAGTAATGCTAGCGAAACACCACCTCAGCCATATTCTGATGTATCTTTTTTATTAAAGGAAATCTACAATTGCGTAGCAAGCGTCAAATCTAATCTCATATCCACAATACACACGAGCAGTTTTTCAACCAATGACAACGATGCTTTGCTAAGTCCTGCATTACAAGAGATACGACTGATTGTTCAGGTGCTTCGATTACAATCTATTTTATAATATTAAACTGACTAATAAAATCCACTGTTGTACAGTTTTGGATCGTGTTGTTTAGAGGTTTGACTTTAGGATTGTTTTGTTAAAGCTTGAACAAAATGGACAAGAGCGGGATGAAAATATTTATATTCCAACAGCCTAGTTTCATCATGTTTCGAAGACATTTTGATAGTATCAATTAGACTGCTGTTGCAGTATTTTAGAGATATGACTTCAGTTTGTAAAACTGCACGATCGTTTTAGATTGGCGTAAACTGTAGGTGGAACGCTGAATATTGTGTTAAATCAAGACCAAATGAATGACATCTTATATTGAACTAACATGAGCAGCAGACACTCAGTAAACTGGCCGTGGTGACAATCAGATTGTCGCCACGAAACACGACCAATAGATGCTCCTGTCATTCAAATCAACAAACGTAAACCAGCCATACACAAAAGTGTAGCGAGATGCATGCAGATATCTCGCCAAGCACATGTTACATACTGATAGTTGCTGAAAATCTCATTTATCTCTTCATTCTCATGCTTTTTCTGACCAGCCGTAATACAGTAAAAGTTGCTTGAATAGACACCAATTCATTATATGGATATAATGAATCATAATTTTATTGCCAAGATCTTTACTGCTGAGCTGTGGATATAGACTCAGTTTCAGGTTCTGGTAATGATACTGCAGTTCTGAGTTTAAACTTGTAATCTTGATACCTGAAAAAGCATTTACATATGAGATCCAAAAAGCATATTTAAGATGAGTTGATCAATACCAAGTGCAGCATATCAAGTTTAAACTAGATATTTACCATATACCAGAAACCAACACAAACATGGCAAGACCTTGTGCACCTGGTATATTAATAAAAGCATATTTGTGTCAGATCGCATTATTGACAATGATTTCAATTCATCAGATACGGCTGTAAAATCACATTAATTATTTGTATACCTATTCTGAATCGTTGAGCTTTTTGAAAAGCAATCACATCTCGACGATGCATACTATCAAACATCCGGTACAAAGCAAATACAGTCAGACCTACAGCTGGGAGTATAAAGGGATTCTCGCCAAACTTGCGCTTTGCACGCTGCCATAGTGTTTCGTCTATTTATCAAAATCAGTTAGATCATTCAGGACAATAATGCAGATTCATTTTCTATTTCAGACTGTAATGAATTGATTGAACGCAAGTTGCATGAATTTGATCAATCAATATATCTATTATAATGACTTTATAGTAAATACATCATGCTGCTGACCTGACATGGTTGAATGGAGTGCAGGTTCGAGTTGATGCTTGAGCGTCAAATACTTATAAACGTGACTGAAATCACATTCACGTGATTATATTTTGCTTTTTTGATTTTTATAACGAAACCACACTGAACGCGTAGTCTGGCAAAATCTATGGAATGTTCTTGCCGCATAATAAGAAACACCGACCTAGAGACCCAAAGCTATTAAAGTAACATGCCTAAATATTAAAATATTATGATATAAAGTATTTTGAATTGAAATTGCTGAGAATTTACATTTATTTACCTTGTCATGTAGACTGATTCAAGATAGAGAGGCAGTTGTACACAAACTAGAGAGTCTCGAGCATTCTCGCGTAACAGTGTGTTCAAACTCCAATGAAATTTTGATGCAAGATCTAGACCATGATTCTCCAGAAATATCCAATAATTCTCTCGAATCTAAAGTTTCAATCATTAACCTCGAATCAGCACCAGAGGCTTCAAAACACTCTGCATCAACCATCACGACCAAGTCCGTTCAAGATATCAAAAAAATAGACTTGGACAAAGCTAATATCAGGTATACTAGTAGTTTTATAGATATTACCACTATATTTATTAAACTAATTTAGCTAATATACTGCGCCTGGAATTCAAAAAGCGACAATACAAGTAGTGATCAGATTGTAAACAACAAATTATCATCACCTACAGCACCAGTTATAACAGCCAAGTATGATACAGTTTTGAAAATGCAAGGGAACGATTCTTTGTCAGATATTCGACAATTTCGTGCCGAGTATCTAAAGTCTGGAGGATATGATGGTCGAGTTTTAGCGGACCGAAGTGAAATGGAAAAAAATGCATTCAACTTTGATCAGGTAAGCATCGCTCATCCAAATACTATAATTTTGATTAAATCATGCAATTTTAACTTTATTCACTAACACTCCAAGCTGAAGAACCATTATGCGTATAATGATAGAATGAATTCCAGATTTAATGGGGGGATAGTCGACAGCACAATACCTCAAAACTCTGATGAGTTGCTGTTTTTAGAAAATCAACCAAACAAGTATGGTTTTAATGAAACTACATTTAAAAAAAATCGGAGTTTCAGTCCTGAAGATATAGAGCTGGAAAGCCTAAAAAGACAGCACAGGCTTCGCGTTACAAAGCTTACACAACAGCAAGAGCTTTTACGGCTACAAAATGACCTTCGAAATCTCAAAAGGTACGTTTTACATGATCACTTTAAACCAATGAATATTTTTAAACATGCTGATAGTTTGCAAATCTAGAGATATTGGGGATATAGATGATTTAGATATTGCTTATGAAACACCAAAAGAAACTGCAGTGGATTATAAAGGCAAAACTATTGCTCAAAATGAACAACCCCATTTTTGCGCAAATAAACTAAATACAATTTCCAATTCCAGTATTGGGCCAGTACCGGCGGATCTCCCACAAAGCATTTTTTATGAGCCAGTTCGTGGGTTCAATATACTATGGTGATTTTTAATCTCATGAAAACTATTTGTATTGAATGTCTTGTCAATACTGATGGCTACTAACATTTCTGAATTTAAAATACCAATTTAGGGATTTCATGATACTGGATGATAGTTTTGGCAATTGGACTCATGCACAAATAACGTTTAGCGTTTTTGAAGGTGAAAGAGCCATACGGCCAGTTGAAATTATCCCGTTCCGACCATGTCTGCCGCTTTATCCTACAGAAAATGGTTTAAAAACAAGATGGTGTGCACCTTTGAAATTAGAAACTCATGTTCATGGCGTATGTATCTCTTTTTGACCATTGTTGCTGTAGTACTTGCTAACGCGACAAGACTTTTGGCAATAATCGAAAAACTAACAATATGGTATCTAATTGATGGTTCATTTATTTGATTGCAACTGACCTGGTATTAAAGATTGAGCCGGTTCCATTTATGAGGCTTGTTGTCGAAGTTCGTGTCAAGAACCAGGCTGATCCTTCAGAGTGTTCTCGCATGAATCCAGTGTGCATTGGCTGGACATCATTTTCCATATTTTCAGACAGAATGCTATTAGATTCGGGCCGATGGTAGGAAATTTTTAGTTTGGAATGTGTTCAAGTTTTCATTTTGTACACTAACTGCTATTTAGGAAATTGCCATTATTTCCACCACCTATTGACTTCAACATGACAAATGAGCATTTGCATCACGTTAAACAGCCGTAAGCTGTATTTTAATTTTCAATTGTAGTGATATATGACTTGCTTTGTTAATAGTGTTTTTTGAATACTGGCCAATTAGTCTTTCAGAAACTGCAATTTTCATACGTGTCTGCGATAATGCACACCTTTTATTATTTTCAAAAGAAGTGGCTATCCCCTCATTTGAAAAATATTACAAAACAAAAACATACTCTCCAGCATCTGTAAGACTTTCAGTATTGATTGGTTTTACTGTGACAAATCAAGACACGTTCTATTCCCAACTAACTGTATTTAATTTATTGGAAACAGCAAACACATTACAAAAAGTCGACCAAGTTTTACGCAGAATCTGTAAACGCTGATCAAGATTGCGACATCAAGCCAACCGCTCTGGGTGTTACAAAGAGCATTCGCGAACTTCTTTGCCATTATTTACAAGTAGTTCCATATGACTCTTTGGCTATAAATCAAACTTTAGAAACACAAGGACCAATTGTTCAGGATGACCAAAATCTAATAAAAGATATCAATCAACAACTTGCAGTTGCTCCCTTGTTTGAGTAAGTCATTTTAAAACCTTTGACTTTACATTAAACTACTAACTTGTTGATTTTTTAAATTAAACCCAGTCTTGGAATTCAGATTGAAGAGCTATTTCTGGATGGCATGCCCGATATTGTTTCAGTTGCAATTAAAATGCATATTGTCGATTCATATCATCAGCCTCAAACGCATATTGGGTTTCAGTCACAGCTAGCAGAGGTGATTGAATAGTGTGATCAGCTTATACCCTATGATATGGAGACTAATCTATACGAATTTCAACACTGATTTTCCATGCCAATTGTATACGGCAATCAGCGTAGTGCCGAAAGCAATAGAACGTTTGTATGGCAGCACGGTTTGCATCACGAGTTTAAAAATGTAGCAGCTATCTCTGAGCGTGTTGCTATTTTTGAAGTCATCCAAGAGGTACAAAGTTTGCCATATTTTTAAATTGTTGCTTTTATGCCAGCACTAACTTTTAGGTTTCCATATTACTGGCCAAATATTTTTAGAATGAAGCGACATTTGCATACACCGAATTGAAACTTTTCAAGTTTCAAAAAAACAAGGTATTTGGTGAGTTATACTTGACTAATGTATCTAGTTAAAGATTGTGGACATTTATAACAGAAAAGCTTAGCCAATGCTGTTGTATATTAGGCATCAACGACGGGCTACATGTACTCGAACTGAGATTTGTAAAAAAGCCAGATACCAATTTATGCAAGTCGTCGGTGAATAACAATGGCGAGCTCAAAAACCAAATTCTAGTCGGGATATATAATCCTAAGCATGGAACTCCACCTCACAAAAAGGTAGGTTACTATTGCTGTATAATAGCAAAAAACTTGACTGTGAATTTATAAAGAGTACCACTGCATATATCATATTGATGTATACTAGTGTGTATCAATGATCAGCAAATCATCTATTCCTTGCGATTCCTGGATCAGCGTGCCATGGAAACCAGGTAATTTTTATGAAAGCTTAAAATAGTCGAATTGATTCGAGTAGTGCCGCCAACACTTCAAATATTGTATAGATCAACCGTATAATAGAGAAATGTTTACTATTGTTATTGATGGAGGTAAAAATCAGAAACAGTCAGAAAATGCTATAAATCTAATTCAAGTCATACCAAGTCACTCACGTATTATTTGATATATTGATTTTTTTATATCAGCTCGATTTTTACCTCCAAATACCACTGCAACACAAGTGTTTGCCAAAATATACAATTCAAAATTTCAGCCAATCAAGCGTTGTACAGAAATGATCACACCAATTCATTTAGACTCTCCCGCATGTTTTCCAATATATGATGTATGTAAAGTTGAGCCGACTCTGAATCGCTTGTACACATATCTAGATTTAGCTTGATGAATTTACACTGAAATCTAAATGTTTGATTGCATCATGTATTTGTATAGTTTTCTCAATGTTTTGAAGGGTCAAACTACGATCCCACAGCAATGATTGTATTTCAAATTATGACTGTAGACTCATCAACACGCCGAAAACGGTTGGTTGGAACTGCTGCTTTGAATCTTTTTGTGGATATAAGCACAGGTGAGCAGCCAGAGTCTCGATCGACAACAGACACAGTTCTTATGAATCATGGTGCATTTCAAATACCTTTATATGCCACTGCTTTATTACATAATACTCGACTCATTATGTCTAAAATTCAAAAGCTCAATAGGTAATATTTTGATGCATTATATTCAAGCAGCGATTGGATGAAACGGCCTTTTGAATTAACTATATTAATAATTAGAGTTCCTTGCGCGTCGCTGCTCATCAGAATTCTATTTTGGAAAGACAATCAGAGTATGTGACTAGCCATTTTTACGCTTTTATTTTAAATATTAGTCAAGCTCATCAAAATAACCATTTTAATCTTAGAACCTCAAATCAAGCCACTCATGTACAATCAAAAACAATACTTTTCCGATCCGTTTTGTAAGCCAACCACCTACGAAGAAATGCAATTTGAAGCAGTCACTAATGAATCTCGCTCATTCACTATTCGTGATCGATTACTTTCCCTCCCAAGCATATCAAAGGTAGCCAAACAGGGTGATGATGCATTAAATCTATGGGTAACCCAATTTCTTGCCATTGATCAAAGCTATGAACAAATACCTATGAGCTATGATTATATCTGCCAGTATGACCCATCGTATGGGTTTCAGATTAGTATTGATGGAGCATTTAATTTGGGTGTCAAAGGATATACCTGCTGCGTTGTTTCTCTCTGTCCACCAGCCAACTATTACCACACTGAAAGTTGTGATGAAAATACATCAAGTGATTGTATCGATGCGGCCGATTCCAAATTTTACGACAATATTGTTTTTATAAAAGAATTGGATATGTCTAGTTTTGCTCGGCAGCCTATATGGAAGGACGGGTTTCACGTGAGTTTTTAGACTGATACGAAACTAGGTTTTTGTATGAGCATATTATAGACTTGAAAATTCTATAATAACTGGTATTGGTATGACAAACTGTACTTTGATGTAATAGTGGTATCGCGGCCGTACTGCATCGCAAATGTATGCCATCATTCACTTGTTCAGCGTATCTCTACAAAACAAATCATGGACTCGTCAAAGTCAAGGATGGGCTGTTTTGCCTATATTCCAAAAAACAGTTATATCCATGGGCTGCTTTCAACTTCCTCTTTTTGAACACAATCCACCTCGCTCATTTTTGAACGCTTTAACCAAAAGCAAAGATTTGGCTAATCTGCTGAAACTTTCACAAGATCAAAAAGATATCCGACTTACTAGCAAGGCGTCAAGTGTTGTTGTAAGATTGTGCGACTCGCGTAGATCTGACGAATTGCAGCTTGATTTGGTATGTTCAAATAAATGCGTACACTTTACAGTTGCAGTTTTTACTAAGTGTCGTCAACCATGTGTAATGTTTAAACTACTAGAAACATGCAAAACCCGACTTTCTAGGGGAAAATCCAGAAAAGTTTTTACCTTCTGGTACATCGCCCATGATATCAAAATTGATTCCAAAAAATGTATCTGAACTTGAGTTTGTAAAAGCTATGCGGACAGCATTGGCAGAAGGCGAAGCAAAGCAATTCAAATCAGGATGGCACTAGTCACCATATAAGTTTGTAAAGGGAATATTTATTTGCCATAAACCGTGGCACTGAAAATAAACCAGATCATTGCCATAGCTTCCATCAGTATATGGCGTTTCCAATAAGCAAATAAAAGCAACAAGAATCACCATTCAACAAGTATAACGTATTGAATTAGTAGTGTGTGAGCGACCAAATTTTGATTTGGGCATCCTGACCGCATGATGCAACTGTATTGTTGTCAATAAAAACAGCGCCGGTAACAGAGTCCGTATGTGCATCTTGTTGACATATAGTATAAGCTGAATCAGTATGATAGTTGGATATAATTTACAAATTGCATATATTATTCAACAGTAGATGAACGATGAAGCTCACTTTTGATGGAGATATGCTGCATGGGTTTTTCAACACTCCAGACTTCAACATTGGTGTCGAGAGAACCAGATACGGCATGCAGACCATCGGGCGACCACGAAACACAATTGACACGAGCCGTGTGGAAACCCCACTGGTTTAATTTCATCTAGTGGATTATAATTCCATAGTGTACTGTCAGTAGTAATACACACTAGCTGTGCTAACAAATATACACTAGTACCGTGTTTGTAGAAGTCTCGTAAACAATGACATTTCTTGAAGCATCCGCGACTGCGACAAGATCGCCTTTAGGAGAGTAGGAAATAGCAGTAATAATACCCTTATTGCTCTCAAGTTTTGCCTTTTCGACTAGAGTTTGACCCTTGATATCATAAAGGTGAACTAGACCATCCTAAAATTGACAATCACCAAACCATGGTTATAGGCTTTCCGGGTTAGCACAACTCATCTTTAAACATTTCATCAAAAACAATCCATTAAGAATAACCAAGCCAAAAATAGTTACCTCGCCACCAATAGCAGTAGTGGTGCCATTGGGTGAGATGGCAACAGCAGTAGGAGAATATCCAAGTTTTAAGCGAGTTTCGGCAGATCCATCAACAAGAGTAACCAGCTCATCTTTGTGCGTAGCAAAAATAGTCAAATTGCCAAAAGCAGCAAGTCCCTTTGGAATGCCATCACTTGCAACTACCTTTTGGCTATATAGTTTGGTGAACACAAAAATCAGCTCATTGGCGCATCAATAATGCAAAAATATACACTAAAACCATCAAAATGTAGGAATAAACATACTCGAATGCATTTGTAGCAGTAAGAATGGTGCGAATTGAATCGTCCATTCCCGCGGAGATCACTCGTCCTTTTTCGGCGACAAGAGCTGTGATCTGGTTAGTGTGACCACTTCCAGACACCAAATGACCACCATCTTTACCATCGGTCCACGAGCGTAAATTCACAACAATTATATTGGCCATCATCAGGTCAAGGATCAATTCTGCAGTAAAATACAAAGCATAACAATGCAATTCAATGATTTTGAAATGTAAAAGACAAAAAGGATATAAATTCGACCATCGTAGCTCCCAGTGTACAAAGTTTGGTTTTCATCAATAGCAAGAGAAGTAATTCCTTTGGTATGACCCTAATACACAATTATACATTACTCGGTCACAATTCCTTTAAAGATTAAAATGATCGACTCAAAGAATTGGCCGCAAATTATAGTCGCGTACTATACCTTTACAACACGCACTGGCTTGTTGCCACTCTTGGGGTCAAGATAGTTGATATCACCAGAAAGTGATAGCGATATTTGGTACTGTCCTTGCCACAGTGAACCAACCTGTTGGTGATCAACATGCTGGGTGTCAGAAAAAACAAATGTTCTAAATGGCAAAGCATGTGTTAATTTAAATATATAGTTACTCCAAAGCACCAATTAAACAAATACACTGCACATGATATACTTACGAAGCAACAGTCTTTGTGGCAACATCCCAGATTTTGACGCTCTGGTCAGCAGAGGAAGTCATGAGTTGCCTGCTATCTGGACTCCATGAAACTGAAAACACGCCGCCAGTATGAGCACCATCAGCAGCAGAGAGTTCTGCAACATCATCTCCAGTCTTTCCATCATATAAGAATATCTAGCACGATAGTATGCGTTAAACTCGTGCATCTATAAACACAACGCATGCTTACAACATATCACAAATAGCCTACTTTTCCATCAGAGCCTGAAGAAACAAAAAAGTCACCATTGGGAGAATACCGCACGCATTGCACAAAGCGAGAGTGATTTGTGCTGGACTTGTTAAATTTGAATGGAACTCCGTGGTAAAAGTTGACTGTCATATCGTCAGATCCAGTAGCTGCTCGAAGAGGCCTTCCAGGACGAATGGAAACAGAATTGATTACTTTGGCGTGTCCACTGATCTCACCTACAGACGAAGCTGAATCAAAAAGGAAGGCATGACCAAACCTGTATAAATTTAGCAAAAATAATGGTTTTAAATAAGCTGGCTTGAAGGCTTGTGGCTTGAATAGAATCTGATATATACAAAATGTAAAACACCTACTTGCTTTTGCCTTCACCAACAGCAATGATCCTTTTGCTTTCAAAATCCCAGTCAAGATCATTGATGCGACCAGAAAAGACTTTGGTTTCGATCTTGAGAATGTTTTCAGCTTGAGTGGTGTCCCAGATACGAATGTTTCCTTGAACATCTATAATTTTTGACAAGCAGCGAGTTTGTAAAGCCAAAACATGCATTTATCTAATTTGTTTAAAGTGTATATTTACAAACCAAGGATTACCTGCAGAAGCAATGTAATATCCACTAGGGGCATATCTAGCAACGGTGGTTTGGAATGAATGGCCAGTATATTCCTTGGCGATTTCAGGATTCTAGAATAGCACCAATCATGCCATTATAATCAAACCAAGTCCATGTTTTATATACGCAAAATAAATTGTACATGTAGTTTAATCAGCAGGATAAACCTACAGCCAAATTGCGAATAATAACTGCCCGGCCGTTCGTGTAGAGGAAGTTGACACCTTTTGGGTCACCACCAAGATGTACAGCTTGACCACGGGTGGTTGCAGGAGATGGAGCAAAAAGAGATTCTATAAAGATTGTAAAGTAAATGAATATTGATGTTGGTAATATATGCTGAATAGAGTGACCAAAGACTCGATGAATCTAATCAGTTGATTATATAGATTTCCATGAAAATCATTCGAGGTTGAATCTATGACCGAGTGTGCTATCGCAATATATAAAACAAAAGAACTAGAGTGATACTAAATATAGATTTGTCTTACTTCGAGTATATGCCGTAGGGAGAATAGTGGCCATGATAATCAGGAATACGAGATGGGTAAAGATTGAATAGCAGATCCAGCAAGATCCGCCACTGAAGATGAATTTTTGGCCAAAATCTAAATAACTTGCTTGATTATATTTGGCATAGTTTTGACTGCTTTTCTCGAATATTGTCAAACTTGTGAGTCTACATCAACATGCAGAATCAACCACTCATCACTTTGGTATTGGACCAGCTGGACAAGCATGACATACTGAGTGATACTGGATTGCTGAAAATTGCAACTTTGGATGGAAAGGAATCGTCAATCAATCAACTTGAACTCTTGGGTGTCTTGAATGCCCTTCTTTCCAGAGAGGTTCGTCAAAGTTCTTATCGAGGGCTGAATATGCCAATCCTTTTATTCTACTATGCTAATCTTTACAAGATCTGTGCTTTCATGGCCATTATTGAATTGTGCCAAAGTCTTGATGGTCGTGTACTGTTAGTGCACCCAGTTTTACAACTAAAATGTGTCTTTATCTTGACAGCCATCTATGTCATTAGTGTTGCCAACATTTTCAAACTATATCGAGTTCATTTGATCTAAATAATGTATTAATATAGATTTTAACATACGAGCCACTAGTCGTAGAAAAATGGGTACTGACTGACGAGGGAAACAGCGTTGCTGATGTTGGAAGCCATGAAGCTCGAGTATTTCATGCCGTTCCTGAAGGAAATGAAGGAATCAGTATTCCTGAAGTTACTGTAAGTAGATTTATGTTTTTTGAATCTATTATATTATTTTCTGACATTATATATTTTCAAGAAAATTGTTGGAGCATCCGCCAAGTTTGGACAAGCAGCTGCTTTCAAGGCCAAATGGATTGGCAAGAATGAAAAAGGAAACTTGACTCGTTTGGTAAGTTTTATTGTTGCAATGCATGGTTTTCAGCGATCTTTAAAGTTTGATGAGCTAATTCAATCCATTTTCGATGCATAGGTCAGTTCCATTACTGACCAGACACAAATTGATCTGAAGTTGATTCGTGACACTGGTACTCATTCTGACAATGCTCTTTTAAAAGTGCTTAAGAAACGACAATTGATTACTACATTGTATGTATTTTGAAACTATTTAATGCTAGATTTGTGTAGTGGTTGTTTTTGGCGTGCCATTGATCAATCCTATTGTAAAATGCGTGATGCAATTTGGTATATATTTAGAAAAATCACCACATACAAGGTCAAAAAAGGAAGCCGTTTTACTACTAAATTGGTTGAGGAATCCACTGATATATCACACGAGATGATTCAAAGGTATGTTTAGTCATATTACAGCCTAGTAATATCACATGCACTGACTTGTTTCAATCTGGCATTTATTAAAATGTCATTAGTGGAGGATGGAAAGATGCGACTTTTAAAAAATACAATTTTGAAGCATCTGGTGTTACAATCCCATCTGGACATCTGCATCCATTGTTGAAGGTTCGGGATGAGTTTCGATCTATTTTTTTCGAGATGGGATTCTCTGAAATGCCTTCCAACAAATATGTCGAGTCTTCTTTTTGGAACTTTGATGCTCTTTTCCAACCACAGCAGCATCCTGCCCGAGATGCTCACGATACCTTTTTTTTATCGGAGCCAGCAACGACTGACAAGTTTCCACAAGATTACTTGGAACGTGTCAAAAAGGTGCATTCCACTGGTGGATATGGATCTATTGGATATGGTTATGACTGGGCTGTTGAAGAAGCTTCCAAGCTTTTGTTACGCACACATACTACTGCCATTAGCTCCAACTTGCTTTACAAGCTTGCACAAGAAAAGGAGTTTAAACCAGTGAAATGGTTTTCTATTGACAAAGTGTTCCGTAATGAATCTTTGGATGCCACACATTTGGCAGAGTTTCATCAAATTGAAGGTGTTATTGCAGATCGAGACTTGACACTGGGCGATTTGATTGGAGTGTTGCATGGATTCTTCAAGAAACTTGGCAAGTATTGTTTTAAAATGATGTTATTAAGTTAGTGTCGTGTAACTAATTGTCTTATGCTACCAACCTTGTGACACTATGAATTGATCGTTTTAGGTATTGAGAAACTCCGTTTCAAGCCAGCATATAATCCATACACTGAACCCAGTATGGAGATCTTTTCTTGGCACGAGGGATTGGGAAAATGGGTGGAGTTGGGCAACTCTGGCATGTTCCGTCCAGAAATGCTGCTTCCTATGGGACTTCCACCTGATGTCAAGGTGATTGCATGGGGTTTATCCACTGAGCGACCCACTATGATCAAGTATGGCATTAACAACATCAGAGAGCTTGTTGGTCATAAACTTGATTTGGACATGGTAGCCAAGAACCCACTTTGCAGGTAATGGCTTTCAACCTCTTATCAATTGATTTGGCATTGCTAGATTTATTTGCAATTAACTCGGTCGAGTATTTGATATTTAGGCTTGACAAATGATTTACAGCAATTAAAAAACACCGCCCAGCTCTCGAATGATCCCAACAATACCTGTTTTTATAAAGATGCAGAGTATAATTCAGATGGAGTAGTCATTTAGTTATTATAGCACGATCGCCTGCAATAAACCTTTTGTTCATGGATGGTCTGCAAAATTTAGGCATTCATTTCAATGCAAGTTACCTTGAAAAGTGTGTTTAAAGTCATCGCTGAGGGTAGCATTGGAATCCAAGAGGGATGAATCTGCCAGCGATAAACCAAACAGTAGCGGCCGTTCATTTCCACTTTGGTGGGATCTTGAAATCTGAGCAACAATATGGGATGCCAAGGAGTGGATCAATGGACTGTCTCTTTGTCCTAGCAGTGACTTGATCGTAGTGGATGGTTCTGCAGCATCAGCGGATCTAAACATCCCTTGCTGAGCTGCAGACGACACATCTACAGATGCCATGGACTGTATTTTGGAAATTAGGACATGCAATGAATGGATAGTCATACTGATGAATGGCATGAATTATAGCAGACATACCAAACTCCCAATCTTTCCTGTCTGAGTGACCAACAATACGAACCTGTTGGCAAACTCCATAAAGATTACTTGTGTTGGATTACATACACCACTAGTACTAGGAATCATGCCAGTCAGATGCCGAGTAGAAATAGGAAACATTTGAGTATTTTCTATTCCAGAACTAGCCATAGCTTGCGATAACTGTCCTATAGAATAGCCAGATGAAGTCTGAGCATCAGTCATTGTCGAGTAAATTATTCCAGCAGAATGTCAAGAATTCAATCCGTTTAATTTATCCCATTGATTACTTATGGCATTGGATAACGACTCGTCTGCTGCTGCATTCGCTGACTGGATTGCTTCGTCGCTTCTTTCTTTTGGTGTGTCAGATGAAGCATTCACTGAATATATTCTACAGATATGCACCGAGGATTCCATTCCTATGGATGAAAAGCAAGAGATCATCACCGAGTTTTTGGCCGAATCACTTGTGCGTACAACCCAACTTCATTCTTGTAGTGATGGACTGCATAGAATCATCTGTTTTAATAAGATTTATTTTTATTAGGAAGTTTCTGTCGTCAAATGGATTGAAGAGCTACTTGAGAGGAATCAAAGAATGCTGGAAGCTGTCCAACTACAGGCAGACGAGCAACGACAAAAGAATCTGGATGCCCAAAAAAGTAATCCAATCTATTCAACATGCTAAAACCATGATTCCGTGCCACATGCTGGTTAAATCTACCTACTAATTGTATTGACTGGAACTGGGGTTTTGATATCTTGCAATTTTAGAAAAGGAGCAAGAGCTACTTCAACAAACCAGCTTGAAAACAGATCAGCCGCGTTGTTTTAAAGCTAATATGTTGTCAAAAGAGGACAAACGTGCAAGAGATCGGCTTCTTAAAAAGGCAAGTGGTCAATGTATTCAACTCAGACAATCTATATTGCTAATTCAATACATCAAGTAAATGATGTACTTATGTTAATGAGTCGTTCATGTATGCTATAGTATGGGTACGACATGGACGAAGAAGTAGAAGAGGCTGGTGAAGTCCATATTGTATACAAGGATACGAGTACCAGTAGTTCTGCTACAACAGATTTGGGTAATTGTGGTTTTTCAGTAGATTGGTTGCTGACTGCTGAATTCACGAAAGATGATTGATTTTACAATATTTGATGTTTAGGAGCGATAGGTAGAAGTCGAAATGTGAATATAATTAAAGAGCAGGAACAAGCTAAAAAGTAAATTTTTGGTTTGCAATAAGCAACAGAAGACTATGCATCGGGTGAAACTATTCAAGCCATATTAATATTTAATTTATTTGACGTTTTATGTTAGGCTCAAGGCGCAGGCCGAGCATCAAAAGGTGCAGGCAAGAAATAAGGAAATGCGGGAGAAGCAAGCATTAGAGAAGGAAAAGGAAAAGGAAAGGCGTCGTACACCAAAAGAGAAGCGAAGAATGTGAATGCAATATGGCTGATTCAAGCTAGTGTTTTCATTAAAGCTGCTTTGCAGATTGATTGGTATTTTTAATTTACTGTTTTGTAAAGCCAGACTCGAATAAATACACCATTGACGAGATTTAGAGTACATTTTTAGTGAAAAAAAGATTACATTATCAAGATGGCAGCCAGCTAATTCATCATCCTTTATTATGACGGTTTCCCCATCCGCGAGGATTTTCGTCTTTAAACTCGTCAAACGCACGGGCTTTGTACATTTCTGCCTCAATTGCAGCATCATCATTATCTGCAGCAACAACCTTTTCTGGTCGCTCCCTGTATCACCAAATATAAAAGGGATATTGTCAACTACGGTGAATATCCACATATGCTTTGCTAAACCCAAAGCTGTTCAAATGCACTCAAGCACTTACGTTCCGCCAGATAAAAAGTTGCCACGAGCAATCTCTCGTTCAAGATATTCGTCAATAGTCATTGTGGGTAGATTGTGGCCAGATTTGAATACATTTTCCTTGATAGCCTCGCGCTGGCTTCGAACAATAAAAGGTCTCAGCGGCTAGATTCATCAATGATCAGTTTTGGTGAATCATATGCATCCATAAAAATAACAGGATAAAATAGATATTTACTTTGCCCTTTGCATCCATCAAGGGACCAGTCAGATCTGCAAGCTTTCTATGCGCAACTCGAGACTCGACACGATCAGCGGAGCTACCAGATATAGACATCGACGTTCTCTGCTCTGTTTCACTCCTTTTTTTAGCAAACTCTAGCATCTCCTTTTCATCTTTGATCATCCTCAATGATGCAATCGACTTTTGGATAAACAGTTGAATAGTGGTCATAAGAATCTGACGCTCCACATCATCTACATCGACCTCTCCTGAATTTGCATTCATTTGATCCTTAAGCTGGAGCTGCTCAGTTAGTGCTTTAAGCTGAATTTTGACATCTCGCTCCATCTTGAATCGTGCAATTTTCTCATTGCGCCTGAGATCTGCACTCAAAGTCAGTTGACCCAATTCTGATAACAGATACTGCTTGTCTGATTTGGTGAGGATTTCGTACTCCTCTAATCGTCCCAAAAAAGCACGCAAATGTTCCTATCAATAGCATTTGCAAGTTAATGTATTGCAATCAAATCAGGGCCTTGATAAATCAACGATACAATTGAAATGCATCTAGTGATAGAATCCATACATTTGCATTTGACAAATCGGCTCCTCGATCTTGACTCACAGCTTGCAAAATGGTTTCACCAAGATAGGCATCTAGTAAAATGAATCTAATCGAAAAGTACATTGGCTACAAAACTTTCAAATAATATAACAAGCTTTTACACAGATTGTTTATGAAAACTGAACAGACTCGATGGTGACTACCTTAGGTCGCCAGTATTGATATCTTCTAGAATTTCGTTTGAGCTGAACAGACTCAAACTCTCCACCTTTTGCTTGCATTCTGAAAACAGACCGATTGCTTGGCTCACCATTTTCTATATATGATGATTGTTGCATATACCAATACCATTAGTGATCTATAAGCAGTTCAAGTGTATTGGATAGTTGTCGATTACAGGACTTTGAGCCCATTCAGGTTTAGATGGAATGTAGGGGAGTAAAACACACCTGGTATTCAGGGTCAGAACCAGAAAGACCGCAGTCTTCTAGTTTAGAGTATATGCTTATAGCTTTGCTGTACTGTTCCTTTAACGAAGGTCCGCTGTTACTGTTGATGGCTTCCGTTGCCATCATTCTAGTTGGATAAATTGACTGATGCAAAGCAAGAAAGGCGACACAATATTGGACTAATTTCAAAGCATTCTCATGGACTCAATCTGACATTAAAAATCCGTCACAACAGTAAGGATCGAGCCTGCATGTAGTTTGACTTTCTGTGCAACAGTTATTGTAATATTGCATTCGACTGGTGCAGTTGTGCTCAAGTAAAGACAGCATTTGGCTGCAATATACACGAAGCATTCGTGGATTCAAATATATTCCAACACGAGCATCGCAATGCCAGCCAGCAATTCTTACCAAATTGCTGGCTGGCCAAATGCAAACTTTGATCACGTGAAATACACTTGCTTTCGGTAAATTAACGCAATAGCCAATGAATTTGTTTCTCGTGATGACCACCAGCTTAATTTCACTATTTTCTTACATTGGCCCAATATTCAAGCTCACAAATTATCGTTTTTTCTTTCAGTTTGATTTTATATTGGGAAAAATCTCGATTTGCCATTACTTTTACTGGTCTGCTTGATCATATCTACAAAAATACACATATTATGACAACGAAAAAGATTCGAGGATCAACCACAGTCGTGTCTGGATTCAAAGTCACTACAGCAAATTCTGCCCATCAAATTTCACCCAACAAAGTCTTGAAACCTACCAGTGTAGCCAAATCTATCACGGTAAATAATCAATCTCTCACTATCGATATTAAGATATAATTGTAAGCTACTTTCATGTAATTAACCAAGTATGCTGTTTTAGAAGTTAAAACGAAAGCATGCTCTTGAACCTGAATCCGATCGAGAAATGACGTCAGATGACGATAAGATTCAAGAGTCTGAAGAAAGTGATCAAGATTTAAACGATGCAGATATGAATGGCAGTGAAGATTTTTCAAATCAACATGTATTGTCAGATTCTAAAGACACGGAAGCTAGCAAAGATGTGGAAGACCATGAAGCTCCAACCACCAAGCGTGCTCGATCTCAACCACCTTCAAAATCCGATTCGTTATTCAAGGCTCCTACAAATGAGGAAATGCATCAATTCTCTCAAACAAATGTGTTGTACAAATCAAATTTGTTTAAAATGCAGGTGTGTTTTATTACTGTTGTACAATATACATGGTTTGATTGATGGCAAACATCCGGCTAATTTTACTTTTAATGAAACTAGATTGACGAACTGGTAAGGGAAGTTACTGATAATTTAACAAAAACTAAACCGTTGGAAAAGGCTTTGCGTAGGCTGAAATCAATTTTGGATAGCATACCTAGTAGATCCGAGGTTTCTATCAAAGATGCAATTTCAAATCTGCAAAAAGAAGGCATTTCCATTCCATTTGGAAATAATCATCCACCTGCCGACACTAAATGCAAATTTTCCTTTGAAAAACCATCTAAAGTTGCCATTGTTGGAAGCTTTCTGTTAAAGACGACCGCCAAAACCCCTTTTGGTGTGAATGTCGACATGTCCGTTCAAATGCCAGAGGTGATACTTGATTTTTTAATAGATTTGTAGATGTACACCATCAAAATATAATGATTGGCGTTACAAACTAGACTTGACACTAATCGTATTTTGAATTTAGCCACTTTTTCAAGAAAAAGACCATGTAAATCACAGATACTTTCACAAAAGAGCGTACTATCTTGCCGTTATTGCAGCCGAGCTTGAAAAGGAGTCAAACTCTGATCTCGGTGTCAAGATTGAGTTTGAGGCGTTTCAAAACGATCTACGCAAACCTATTCTTGTACTGACTTCCACAAAAGCAGCAGGAGAACTTGATTTTAGAAAGTCTGGATTTTGTATTAGAATTTTTCCCACAGTTTCATCAACAGTGTTCTCCGCTTCTAAACTGGCACCTGTCCGTAACAATGTTCGTCTGAAAGCAGATCATGCTTTAGCTACTTCCAGCAAAGTGAGCGAGGTTCAACCTGCTACACCTCACTATAACACACTTATTTTGCAAGATACAGTACTAGTGGCACATCTCAACTTTTTGCACCATCATATTTCTGAATCTCCAGCATTCAAAGATGCGTGCATCCTTGCGCGTGTTTGGCTTGCTCAGCGTGGCATTTCCGAGTCGCAAAAGTGTGGGTATGGCATGAGTGGATTTTTAATGTCTATGATTATGGGATGGCTACTTCGGGCAACAGGAAAGCATTCTGCACGCAAGCTTGGTAAAGGATTCAGCTCCTATCAGATGTTTAAGATTACGATTGACTTTATTGCTGAACTGGATTTTACTGCATCTCCGCTGTTTTTAACCCCTTCGGGTGAGCCCATTTCTGAGCCTGGATACTCTGCAGAAGCTTTTTTGAAGCACTTTGATGTGGCAGTCGTAGATCCGTCTGGAAGAATTAATCTCGCTGCACATATTACGCAAGCAGCAATGGATGAAATTCAGCGAGAAGCCAAGCTTTCTTCAGCCATGTTCAAGGATCAGCTAACCGATAACTTTGACTCGCTGTTTTTGAAAAAAGTAGACCAACCACTATTGAAATACGACAATCTAATCCGTATTCCTGGATTAACTACCATTCCAGCTGCCTACAAACAAAATCATGCTTTTTTGGATTTTCCTGATCCAGCGCTGTTTATGTTGCGATATATTCCAAAGCTGCTCAAAAAAGCATTGACAGACCGCACAGTTCTTGTCACGGCGTTTGCTCCTCGAATGAACAGATGGTCGTGCTCGACGACCAAAGCCGAGGTCAAAGGAAAGGATACAGATATTACTGTTGGCCTCATCCTACACTGTGAAAACTCGTTGAGGGAAGTTGAAATGGGTCCAGCAGCAGACGATACTACTGCTGTGACTGCATTTCGTTTGCTTTGGGGAGAAAAGGCAGAAACTCGTCGTTTTAAAGATGGTAGCATCACCGAGTCGGTTGTATTTGAAAGTGATCATACTTTACAGCAACGATCGTTAATTGTGTGTCGTATGGCTGCACACTTACTTGCCCGCCACGCCAATATCTTGCCATTAGATGGTGTCACTTACTGGGCTGGTCTTGGTGGTAAATATATTAAAGCTCCCGGCATTGAGTCAATCACAAATAGCTTTCAGCCCGTTTTGGACGCTTTTCAATCTATTATGAAACAACTTACAATGCTTAAAGGACTACCATTGTCCATCAATACTGTTATTCCAATTGCCGATGCACTGCGATATTCGTCCACATTTGTTCCTCAACCCAAGCCATCACATTCTAGATTCAAAGATGGCTATAGACCCTACATTGACCCCCTATCTATTATTATTGAGTTTGAAAGCTCCGGACGTTGGCCAGAAAACTTGCGCGCCATACAGAACATGAAGCGTGCATTTTACATTCGCATTAAAAATCTTCTCGAAACTCAGTATCCTGGCACCCAAGCATCTGTTTCAATTGGATCCAATGATAATATTCAAGAGAGCGGATGGTTAGACGTGATACATACATCCGGTTATGTTTTTCGATGTCAGATCCACCTTGATAAAGAATTTGACTTGCTGAATCGTACACTTCAAGAGTTGAATGCGTCAGGAAGTCCGGCCGCACTCCTTTCTACCAAGGCTGCTCAGCGCACGTATCTTTGCCGATATGTTTACTTGCCATGGCATGCTACTCATATGAAAAACCAATGTCTTAGATTGCCGTTTCTCCCTGTCACTATTCGTATTTTGAAAAGATGGTTGGCATCTCACTTGCTTCTTTCATCCTCAAATACGACAAGCATTCCTGAAGAGGCTCTTGAATTGCTTGCAGCATATGTGTACTTGCATCCAGCTCCATTTGAGATTCCAAACAGTGGTTATGCAGGATTTCTGCGTGTTTTGGACTTGATTCAATCGTGGGATTGGAAAGACGAGCCACTTATTGTAGAGTTGGAGCGTGGCAAAATGACTTTTGGACTCATCAGTGACATCAAAGCCAACTTTAAACAATCTCGCCAACGCAACAAGACTCCCCCAATGTATATTGCCACTGAGCGTGACTTGGGATCTGAGTGGTGGACTACTCAACAGCCATCGCCCAAAGTTCTAGAGCGATTGGTTGTACTTGCGCGGTCAGCTCTTGTAGCATCTATCAGTAAATTTGATTCGTGTGTTGACAATGACATTTCACAGCTCTTTACAACTCCATTAGCTGGATATTCGCTGATAATCCACCTCAATACACAAAAGTGTACGCGGTTTAGAGAGAACCTAACGTTTACTTCTGAAACCTCTAGTGAAGTACGATCCAAATTTAAAAATCTACTGACATTGCAAGATAAAGAAGCTGCGCTACTATGGGAATTTGATCCAGTTGTGTGCTATATCCGTGATCTTGAAACAGCATTTTCTGGACTAGCCATGTTTTTTCACGACAAATATGGTGGAGATAAGATTGCGGTTGTATGGAATCGCGCAGTTTTGCAAAATTCCACATGGAAAACAAAGCTTCTTTACAATGCTTGTCCCGATGAGTCATTGGTATGTATTTGGTTGAGAAATAGATTCATACTTGCAGTTTACTAATATGATTTATTTCAAATGTGATGTTGATAAACCTGTAGATGGACACTGTGGTGACCAAGGGATCCAAGCTTACAATCCATCCAAATATAGATGCTATGATTGCGGAAATGGAGCGACTGGGCAATGGATTGGTGTTGGCAATTGAGCGTCGCTGAATCAAAATTGATAAAAATAAAGGAAACTGAACGCATTTGCACCGTATATACAGTGCTTGGAATGTATATATCATTGAGTGGAATCCACACAACTAGCTATATCAGATGTACTTGTAATGGGAATAGCTGTTGAAAACTCAGAATAGTGGTTTAGCACTCTCATGTCTTTGCTCAAATATCCGTCTGAATCAAACTCTAATCCTTCAGATTTGAGCAAAATCAATTTACGCTCCCCATGATGACTGTCTTTTCCCCAATCGCCAAAAAAACCCCCAAGATAGAAATTGGATGAAATGACTCGATGACAAGGGACTGTCGGAGCAAAGGGGTTTCTTTTCAGTGCCTGTCCAACTGCTCTTGGGGATGAATGTAAAGCATCACTAATGTCCTTGTAAGTTGCAAATGATCCTAGTCAAAAATCATCCATCAAACAGTACGCTCAGTAAAATAGACTTGGGCATTACAAATCAAATGATTTTACAATGAACAAGTATATTGTTACTAGCAACGGTCGATACCTGCAGGAATCTTGATTGTTTCAAGACAGTGCATGGTGAGAAAAAGGATTAAACTGATTGCACGATTTCCATCCGTAGTGATGATCAAGTGTACTATTTACCTGAAAGCACAGGCCATACACTTTAGACTGGAACGCAGTGACTGAACCTGGAGATTGATCGGCAACGAGCATTAGGCATAGTTGGTTACAAATCTAAAATGCGATTTTGAAATCAATTTAGTATCACGTGATTATTTTTATTATCTGAAATTTCTGCTAATAAAAAAGTTGAACTTGATGGTAAAACATAGTAAATCTGCTGGTAGCAATGCCAAAACCACTAAACGCACGGGGGGAAAAATGGCTCAGCCAGTATCAAAAGTGCAGAAACATATAGGCAAGCCATTTTATAAAATTATGCTTGATGACTCGGACTGATTTCTAACTTGCTGCAATTTTCTAATTTACAAAGGTCAACCCAAGAAATTCTCCAGCCAAAACACTTTATTGGAAAAAGTTTCAAAAAAACAAATTGTTGAGCAAAATGAAATTAAACCGGATCAAGACAGCACTCTGGATTTTGATCAAGAGTTGAGCGAATTAGATGAACAGGATCAAGGTATTTTTATATTATGATCCAGTGTTGATGAGCTGCATGTTTAACAGGCTTTATATTTTTAGATCTCCTTCAAAATGCTGACGAGAGTAGTGACGATGCCGAGGAGGTGGAAGATGAAGACCAGCACCTTGATCCTTTAGGTAGATAGTGTTATGTCACTAATAAAACTGTCGAGTTTTTTTATCTAACACAGCTGATCTACTCTAGATTTATATAGTAAACACTTTGGAGATGCCATGTCAGAGCCACTGGAAACTTTATCGGCCGCGGTTGACGCTGCGCATTGGACTATGGATGCAGATGAACACGAAATCCTCCATCGTATCATGACATCCGTGCTTGTAGATGAACCTGCAATCACGATCCCTCAACCCACCGATCCTCAGTTGTCACTTGATAAGCTTGGAGTCAAGAGTCGTGTTGCAATGCAATGGGATACAGTTAATGGGCAACTTTCCAAAAAAACTGGCAAGTCGGCAAATTATTGTAATAACAAATGGTAAAACCTGGTTTAAATACTAAATCGCTCTTGTCATATTTAGGAAAATCTGTTTTTACCCCGTTTCAAGCGTCTTTATTTCCATTGCTAAACTCGTATGCTGATGTGCTGTTTGCAAACCAATCATTCAACTTTGACAAAGATTATCAAAATCTGATTGCGCTCCATAGTCTGAACCACATCTACAAGTATGGTATATAATATTGTGTACTTGATGTTTAAAATGACTAAGATCTTGTATTTTAGAGCTCGCGATCGAGTCATGAAGCACACTGCTAAAATCAAGGCCGATATTATGGCCAACAAACAGCCAATGTAAGTAGGATATTTACAAAATTGTGGTTATGGCTACTTTACTGACTTGGATATCAATACGATCATTTTTTAATCTGCAGCGAATATCGTGATCAAGGCTTCACTCGACCAACAGTTCTTATTATTGCTCCATTCCGTAACCGAGCCTTTCAAATTATTAAAACATTTTTTGCTCTATCAGGATGCACATCTCAGGTATAAATATCTATATTATAGTAAAAACCATGGTTTACATTGACTCTAATTGACTTAGCCTTACTGTGTGGTAATAGGAGAATAAGAAGCGATTTATGGACGAGTTTTCACCTGTTCCTGGCGAAGATGAGGCTGATAAGCGCAAACCAGGTATGTCGAGCTATTGAGTGGTGACAATATGTGTTATACTAATACTTTTAGAATTTAGAGGATTACCGTAAAATATTTGCAGGAAACATTGATGATTGTTTTCGAATCGGCATCAGGTTTTCTAAAAAACAGATGAAGCTTTTTTCGCCATTTTATTCATCCGACGTTATTGTTGCATCCCCACTTGGTCTTAAAATGATTATTGGATCCGAAGGGTAACCGAGTTTTGCCTTGCTAATTATTTGAACAGAGAATACATTTTAACAATATTTATGGTTTGACATGTAGTGACAGGAAACGTGACTTTGATTTTTTGTCATCCATTGAAGTAGTCATTTTGGATCAGGCTGAGATATTTATGATGCAGAACTGGGATCATGTCAAGTCTATTTTTACTAGTCTTAATCTGATTCCTAAAAATGCACACAATTGCGATTTTTCCCGCGTGAGATCTTACGCTCTTGATGGCCGGTAATTGAATGAATTCCTGCTTTCACATTTGCTTTACCTATACGAACCATGCTTACATCATTGCATTATTGAAATTCAGGGCCAAATATGTTCGTCAAAATCTCATTTTTTCAAGCATTATATCACCAGAAATCAACGCACTTGCCAACACAGGCTCTCAGAATGTAGCCGGAAGAGTTAAGATTACTAGGGCATATAGCGGCACCATTAGCGATGTAGCCAATCATGTTCCTCAACTTTTTCATCGTATGCATCAGCACTCTGTTCAATCATCGCCAGACACCCGCTTCACTTACTTTATTGAACAGATTCTTCCAACTCTTCGTCGCTCAATGATACAAAAACCTCACACTCTTATTTTCATTCCTTCATACTTTGATTTTGTTCGTGTTCGCAATTATCTCACTGAGCACAACTACAGTTTTGGTTCAATTTCAGAGTATACGTCACGATCCGAGTGCGATCGGGTGCGACACCAATTTAAAATTGGAGACCTTAGCTTTTTAATCTGTACGGAACGATTTCACTTTTTCCGCCGAAACAATTTGCCAGGAGTAAGGAATATTGTGTTTTATCAAATACCAACAAACGCTATATTCTATTCGGAGCTGCTGAATATGCTTGAACACAATGCTGGGGATTTAACATGCTCGGTCATCTATTCTATGTATGATAAACTTGCGCTTGAACGAGTTGTTGGATCTGTTAGAGCTGAGCGTATGATCAGCAGTGTCAAAGACACATTCATGTTTAAATCTTGATTTCCATACGCGCTTGTATATGGAAGTTTGGGATACATTGAAATAAAAGTGCTTAATGAAATACTTGAATAGACATATTCATCTGCTTGAGCATTTCATTAAAATATACAGCCTTGAATTTGTCTTGATTTCAAAAAACAAAAATATATTTTTCAACAGTTTCACAGTTTTGTTTTGCTGACGTAATAGCAACAACATCATTAGTTTTCTGTAAGCACACTTTGTCGGCGAGTGTGCAAAAATGCTGGTGTACGAAGTTTTCCTGGCGTGGCATTTAATGGCACTCTCCTAACTTCTTTCGATGCAATTCGCTAAAATACAGTAGTAAATGATGCATGTCGAGTAAAAATATTAGACGGCACGTTAAATCACTCATCTTAGCTACAATAAAAACTTACGTCAACCTTGGAGACACCATCAACAAACTTGGTCCGATATAGCACATTGGCGTTATTAAACATGCCATCCTTGAGTGATACAACAATAAACTGCGATCCTTTAAATCGAGATTTAAGAAGCTGACCAATATTTTGAGTATGGCTTAAATCCAACGCGGAATCCACCTCATCAAGAATATACATGGGAGCTGGTTTGAATTGCAACAGAGACAGAATAAGGGACAAGGCAATCAACGATCTAAAAAATAGTATAAAAGCCAAGAATGTTGAATACCATCAGATAAATAGTTTAAGAATTACTAGGACTAAAACAATACAACGTACCGTTGACCACCAGACAGCTCAGTGAGTGACTGCTTCCAGGCTCCTCCCAAACAAACCTTGATTTCTAATCCTTCCGTAATATCCTGTCCCTCAGATGCTTCAAGCTTGCATGTGTTCCCGGGCAATAAATCGCCAAAAATAAGTCCAAAATCACTAAATCAGATTTAAAATATATAATGCAATCAGTCACACATGTTACAATGACCTTCAAACCAACTATCATACCGATTGACTTTGGTCCATGTCTCAATCAGCTTTTCACGTTTAAGCTCATCCAAAGTGTGAATTGTTTCCTGAATCTTGGTTCTATCCTTACGGACAGTAGCCAGTCGTTGCTTAAGAGATGTTTCCTTTTTTTCAACCTTGTCAAACTTTTCCAAAACTTGTGGGTCTACAGATTTCTGTATTTTAGAATGACTCTCATTGAGCTGAGAAAGACGTTTACGACATTCGCGCATGTCATGTTGCTGAAAATCAAACTCGGTATCTTGTTTTCCAAAAAGCCTATGACAATACATCATGTCAGTGCATATGCCAATAGTGAGAAACCAACCACAGAGTGTTCATCCAAATAAACTCAACTTTTTTTTATCTTGGATCCAAACATGAGACTTTTCCAAATTGGTAGCAACATGAGCAAAGTGAGATTTTTCGGATTCAAGTTTACTAAAATCACGAACAAGAGTTTGGAGTTCAAGCTTGCTGTCTTCAATGTTTTGCTTTTTCTTGCGCTTCTCATCTTGCAACAGATCAAGTTTTTTCTCGCATATGATATGAGTAGATTGCTCACATTCAAGCTTGGCATTGCCATCCTGATACTCTTTCTGTTTAATATTTCGTTTGAATGTAAAATATCACACAATAAGTTAAAATATCCCAACACTTCAAAGTTGAATATGCATATAAACTCGGTTACCTCGGCTGAAATTTTCAATTTTTCAAGCTGAGTGCATTCAGCAACAAGAGAACAAATTAGCTCGTCGATAGATTTAAGTTGTTCCTGAAGTTGAGTGGCATCACGACGAAGTTGTTCTATCAATACATTTTACATCAAAGCAAAATAACAAGGTATAGGATGGTTCATGTGATTTAGTACTTGCTCAAAACTCCCAGAAAATCCACCCATACATACTATTTACCTGTTTCTTCTTTTGTGACATTGATATCCTGCTGCATTTTGTAAACCAATGGCTGAGCCTTAAGAATTTGCCTTTTTCCTTCTGCAATTTCTGCCTAAACCATGATATATGTAGCGGTAGAAAATGTAGTGTGAATATACAGTCAATGATAAATCCCAATTTAAAGCAAAATCATGTACTTTCCTGGATTGATTTAAGTTTTGAACCACGATCGCTAAAAAGCTCCTTTATCTCTTTTTCAATATTCACTATACTCTTTTCACCATCAGACTTGCACCTAGCACAATCAGCCATAGACTCTTGCAGCTCAGTAAGAGTTTTCTGTAATTGAGCAACGTGTTGCACAATCTATACATACATGAAATGAGTTGACATCATGAAACCAATTTGTGCAAATCTACTGATCTTACCTGCATGCCAGGATTATTCTTGAGCCGATTTTCAAGAGAGTTTTGCTCGTGTGTTTTCAAATCTAGACTTTGCTGCAATCCTCCAAATATTTCTTTTGTGCGAAGACATTGATTCAAGTCGGCATTGATTTTGGCAATAAGAGCATTGACATCGGCGCGTTGCTTTTTTAAATCCTTGAGACGCAGCATGCGAAGCAGTGCGCCAGAAGAAGACGATTTGGATCCACCAGACAATTGTCCAGATGGGTCATAAGTGTCACCATCATATGTAACGGAGCGAAGTCGAACGCCATTGTCAAATGTAACCAACTTTGCCGTTGCCGTGTCTATATTTAAACCATCAAGATTTACAACGGTTATCCAATACATATACAACTCTTTTCAAAGTAAATTTAAATAAAACCACAACTGCATACCTTTGCAAACAAGAGTGGATCCAAATACATAGTCCATAACAACTGCAAGCTCCTCATCTGACCCAACAAGATCAAGAGCAAGCTGTACTTTTCCAGGCGCAAGACTTTTTGCTCTGGAAATAAACTACATTTGAAAACTAAATTAGCCATGCTAATAAAGCAAACATATTATAAAAGCAATTATGGTTTTGGATACAATGTAGACACTTGCCTTTTTATCAACAGAAAATGCAGTGATTTTGTTCAAAGGAATGATTGTTACACGGTGCTTGAGTTTACCCTTTTGCAACAACTGAGTGCCAACAATCTCAGACTCGACTACAACCTGTAAATCACCATCATGGTCAACTGACTATCAAACATTCACATCGCTATTAAATAAGTATACATTGCGCTTACATTGTACAGCTTGCCACCAGCACAAACTTCCAAAGCAGTGGAACTATCAAGATTTTCTTTTGAAATGTTGATGAGTTCTGCAACAAGCCCCTTGACTTTGAGTCGATCGAAGTTGGGCGTGGGATCAGAGTACGAAAACTGAAATTTAGACATGGTGCTTTCAAGTTCATTAATAGCCTATCAAAGCAAATATTGTTAGCATAAATCAAGATTGTAAATAAAGTTGTCCAGTTAAATCCTGCCTCATCAAGCTCGTCCAATCGTATCTGCTGGGACTGGCGAGATTTGAGTAAATTTTCCTCTTCTTTAGGATCAAACGCAATTGAGCAGATTTGTTCTTGAAGCATCTTAATGACACCCTCACTGATTTTCAAATCATTAACAATATTTCCATTTTGTCGTTCTGCTACTTTGGCTTTTGGAATAGCATCTTGAAGCTCGTTGGTTATGTGTGTGATTTTGAGTTGAGTCTGCTGTGCTTTTGAAACAGACGAACTAACTTGTTGCTTGGCAGCTACGATGATTGTTTGAAAATACAAAGTACAACCAAGTTAAAAAGTGTGCAAATCTCAATAAATCATAAACCCAGCTGACCTCGAAGTTGATCCATGTAGCCTCCATCCTGTCCACTAGACGAAGAAACACCAGTGGTAAGATTCTGTAGTAATTCCTCCAGCTTGCGCGTATTAGCCACATGCCGCTCATTCTGTTCAAGAGTAGACGCACATTCAGATGACAGCTTTGCCTCTTTTTTAATCGACTCTTCAATATTCGCTTCAATCTATAAATCACAGATGATTGAAACAATAGTCAGTACATTGCAAAAGCACATCGGTTTTACAAAAAAGAATGATATTTACTTCAGAAAGCGACTCGATCAAAGTCTGTTTATTTTTCTGCTCGTCCTCGATGGTCTCTAGTTTAAGATTGTGCTGCGTGGTCATTTTTACCAGATTTTTGGCAAGCTCCTTGATCAACTTGTCCAATTCGCTGTTTTTACTTCCATTCTATATAAATAGTTGAATCACTTGAATACTATTGCATTTTCCAGAATAAACAGTAGTCTAAACTTAAATGGTTGTAAAATACCTTTTGCTTTTCCTCCATAATTTCGCAAATTTTACCGTCTAATTCATGAATATCTTCAGATAAATACGAGTTCATTGTTTCCAAGTGCTTGATATGCTGGCCCATAGTTTCAATGCTGTTGGTCAACTCCACTACTTTTTCCTGCAAAAGATTGAGTTTTGTGTCATATATTACAAATGAGTAAAAATACACAGTTCAATATATACTACAGATACTACTTACATTGGCGTGCAAATAATCATATGCAACAACGAATCGTTGCAACTGTCCTAACTCGGCATCAATCTTTTGGTACTCGAGTAAAACACGCTTTTCTTGACGCAGTTTATCCAATTTGGAAGATACTTCCGTCTCAAGCAACTGTAATAAAATAATGATAAACATATAAACCAGACTGGCAAATTTAAAATCGACAAACGACTTACGTTGGATATATTATCAAGTCGAGTGTCTTTTTTATCCATAGTCTTGATGGCTTTTTCTTTATGTTCTTCAAACATGCGAGTGCCAGCAGCCTCTTCAATCATGTTTAATATTTCCTGTGGTTTCATATTAAGAACTTTGGTGATTTTGCCTTGCATGATCAAAAAATTGGGATTGTTGATATTGAGCTGAACAGACTGAAACAAATTGGCTACATCTTGCTGATTCTTATTAACTCCATTCACAAGATACTTGTTTCTTCCACCAATAATAATCTAGATTAAAAAACAATGCAATCATCAGAAATAGCCAAAATAGTGAATACACAGAAACTGTTTCAACCAACCTGACGAGTGATGGTGATTTTGTCATGATCATGGTATCCTGGAGGACTGGTGTCCTTGTTGATATTGTTAAAAATGACTGAAACGGAAGCTTTATTGACACCGGCTTGGCCTCGTTTATACACCAAATCCTGCAGATTGGAGGCTCTTACCTGTTGCGATGAACATGATTAATTTTATTCAATCATGTACAAATCAACAGAAACAACATACATGAGCCAAGGTAGAAATGCCCAATACGAAACAGATTGCATCCAAAATGTTGGACTTTCCAGACCCATTGAGGCCAGTAATAGCATTGAATTCTGGATCCCAGTCACCAACAACAGTGCGTGTGGCATAAGACTTGAATCCATCCAGAACCAGTTCTTCCAGATACATGGTGTAGTAGATGAATGCAAGATCCGGATGTCCTGAACTTGTTTAAAAAACGATTTCGGCAAGTTCGGACATTGCTTAAATTTAGCCAAAAATGGCTTAACATGCCTATATTTTAATTCTATTATTTGCCCAAAAATATTCAAACTTTTTTGTTTTTAAATTTACATATACTTATAATAGCATGAGCACTGAAGAGGAGCCTCAATTGGATGCTGGTGTGTTTGTGACATCGTAAACTATCATTCATATTTGCATGGGTTTATTTTCTTTGTTTTCAATACACTGCACTTGATACTTATGCATTTTTCTGTGTATTCATTTCTATGTAAATAGCAGCCGATACAGCTGCTCCAAAAGTTAGCAAAAAAAGACAGCACAGAAAGGAAAAACGTTGGTTTATGTTGGATTATGTTTTAATTGTTTTTTTTTCAAATGCAGCTTGATGATTTTGAACTTGTGGTATTTTCTATTGATTAGCATGGGACACTGACGATATTGATCACTGGAAGGTCGATGAATTCAAGCCAGAGCATAATCCACATCCTTTTCTCGCCGAAAGTTCATTTGCCACATTGTTTCCAAAATACCGAGAAACATATTTGCGTGAAGTCTGGCCCATGATAACAGCCTCATTAGACAAAGTGGTATGTTGTTTTTGGCCTGATGATTAAAGCTCAGACCGCCATTGGCAATCTATTTGTATGAATGATCGATCTGTGCTTGTTATTAACACCTTGACCAATCTGCAGGGTCTAGCATGTGCTTTGGATCTAGTAGAGGGTAGCATTACTGTCAAGACAACCAGAAAAACTTACGATCCATATATTATTCTCAAAGCTCGCGACATGATTCGATTGCTTTCTCGCAGTGTGCAGTTCAATCAGGCCGTCAAGATCCTTGAAGATGGCGTGGCTTGTGACATTATCAAGATTGGTGGTTTAGTTAGGAACAAGGAAAGGTTTGTCAAGCGTCGACAGCGATTGCTTGGACCCAAGGGAAGCACGCTCAAGGCTATTGAACTGCTGACCAACTGTTATGTGCTTGTACAAGGAAACACTGTTGCTGCAATGGGGCCTTTCAAGGGATTAAAGGATGTTCGTCGACTGATTTTAGACTGCATGAAAAACATACATCCTATTTACCACATCAAGGAGTTGATGATCAAGCGTGAACTGGCCAAAGATGAGAAACTTAAAGAAGAGTCTTGGGATCGATTCTTGCCCAAGTTTAAAAAGCGCAATGTGCAGTCATCCAAAAAAGTCAAGATTGTCAAGAAGGAGCGTACGCCTTTCCCACCACCTCAGCAGCCTCGCAAGGTACGTGTTTTTCATGTCTTTCAGTTGAATGGATCTGGTGTATGACTATCAGCCCCAGCAGATATGTTACTAACTAGTTTTGGTACTTGAACTATCGCATTCTAACAATACTATAGATTGATCTTCAAATTGAATCTGGTGAATTCTTCCTGTCAAAAACTGAGCGGGATGCAGCCGCAAGACAAAAAAAGAAGGCATGATATTGAAACTTTCCATCCCTTGATATTTACACCATGTCTTTAAACGGTACTAATACTTGAAGAATTGGTTTGCACATCATTCACATGTAATGTTTTTAGGAGAAACAAGATGCCAATTCACTCAAAAAACAAGAAGCACGACAGGAAGCGTTTATTGCACCAGCAGAACCTAAACGCACCAAAAGTGAATCTAGTCAACAGAAACCACAATCGATTGAGGAACTCAAGGAGAAGTTCAAGAGTAAGAGCAAGAAGCGCAAGTCGGGTGAGATGGAGGAAGACACGTTGCAAAACTATCTTATGTGAGAACCCATTCAACCCTTGAAAGATTGGCTGCATTTGATGGGCAAGAGTTTGAAAATGAATAAACCAGCAAGTTCTTTTTATTGAAAATATATTACATGAACACATCGGATCCAGTATCTCCAGACATGAATAGTATACATAGGGCACCGAATGATACCAGTTTTTTAGGCGAGAGTGCTAAAACTATTCAAAAGTTGAGATTTCCTGCAATAAATTGTACGGTAAATTGATCCAAAATAAAAATGTCTGGCAATCTAAATTCTTATAGAATCTGCTTGCCTGAAATCTTTGGTCACATTCTGTGCTTAACTCATTTATGAGGGAATCATTTTTGTAGTCAGAGAAGCAGGGGTTACAGGCGGTTGAAATACTGCAAGTGTGTCGGAAAAAGTTGTTTAATCTACTCACTGGAAGGTATACCTGGAGACAATGTTACTTTGGGTGACGAATATGCAGATCATACAACAGAAATTTAAATTAAAGCTATTTATTGAACAATGAAACTAGTCAAGACTGAATGTTTTCTCATCAAAATCCAAACGAGGATACACTCTGTTTTCCACAATAAAATTCATACCCAGGACATTTACATCAGCAAAGTGACTATCTTTTGGGGAAATGTGAGTCTGAATTGCTTTTTCATTGTGAATTTTGACAAATAGAGTTTGAGGTAAATTAGAATCTTTTCCAACCAATGATTCCATCGCTTCTTGACACAAGTAAGTAACTGGTGAACCTGTATCAACTAAAAAGATGATATTGCGAGTGGGAGAGTCTGATTTAGTTCTGCGACGACATGCCAAATTCACCATAAGTCTGTGGTTTGGAGCCCAAATAGTTCCCTCAACCGGAAATGACCCAGGAAATGAAGCAGGACCTAAATATTCCAATTCCATAGCTGCAGCAATGATTCGCAATTCCTTAGAGTCAATGTCGGTCAAAAGAAAGTTTTGAAGAGAAGGTTTAATGTAGCCAGGAGGGTTCATAAGAGTGTCCATTGTCATCACTTTTGGTTGGAGAGGGATCGTCGTTTGTGAATTCAGTTGGTTCGTTTTTCTGCATTGACATTTTCGAAGGAAAGTCGTTTCAACTGAGCCACACTTAAATTTCAACCTATTATTCATATATCATGAAATTCAAGAAGATAAGGTTCATTTTATTTTAGTTATTGTTATCAATTAGATTTGCTTTTTGAATCAGAAATAAACCCAATAGCAGCTCCTGCAATCGCTCCTGCAGACATTTCCCCAAAAGATGGTCACTTTGCTGATGTAAATGTCCTGGGTATGAATTTTATTGTGGAAAACAAAGTGTATCCTCGTTTGGATTTTGATGAGAAAACATTCAGTCTTGACTAGTTTCATTGTTCAATAAATAGCTTCAATTTAAATTTCTGTTGTATGATCTGCATATTCGTCACCCAAAGTAAGATCGTCTCCAGGTATACCTTCCAGTGAGTAGATTAAACAACTTTTTCCGACACACTTGCAGTATTTCAACCGCCTGTAACCCCTGCTTCTCTGACTACAAAAATGATTCCCTCATAAATGAGTTAAGCACAGAATGTGACCAAAGATTTCAGGCAAGCAGATTCTATAAGAATTTAGATTGCCAGACATTTTTATTTTGGATCAATTTACCGTACAATTTATTGCAGGAAATCTCAACTTTTGAATAGTTTTAGCACTCTCGCCTAAAAAACTGGTATCATTCGGTGCCCTATTTATACTACTGACATGCCTCGACAGTCATCGTTGAACAGAGAGAATGATCCGACGGAAACCATCCGTCCTAGTTCATCACAGCGTTCTTTCAACGAGAACCATGCTGACAACCACTTTCAACTGCAGGACACTTTCCGCATTCTGCTGGCTACAGACAATCATCTGGGTTATATGGAGAAAGATCCTATTAGAGGTCAGGATTCCTTCAATTCATTCGAAGAGATTCTTCAACTGGCTCAAGACAGAGAGGTTGGATTATGTTTAATGAAGGCTGATGGTTGGCATTCTTTTAGTCGGTTTACTGGATTGAAATATTGACTCAAGCTATGACTACCAAACATGCATTGATAGGTGGATATGGTGATACTAGGTGGAGATCTCTTTCATGATAATAAACCTTCACAAAAAAGCCTTTGTACTGCAATGAGTCTGTTGCGCCAGTACTGTCTTGGCGATAAGCCATGTCCTATTGAGATCCTCAGTGACCAGAGCGAAAACTTTCCCAACAGGTGAAATCTGCATTCCAACTGCTCGAATGAGCTGTAGTATGACTAAGCATTGCCATCACAACTTGTAGATTTGCAACAGTCAATTATCAGGATCCAAACTACAATGTCGGCATTCCTGTTTTTTCTATCCACGGAAACCATGACGATCCCTCTGGTGTATGTATTTTATTCATGGACCAATGAACCAATGGCCTGATTGAATGTTTTGGTAGCTACATTTCGCTAATCTAGAATTTGGTTTTAGGGAGGTAACCTATGCGCATTGGAAGTACTGTCCGTGTCTGGACTCGTCAACTACTTTGGCAAACAGGCTACATTGGATGAAATTCATATCAAACCCATCCTGCTTCGCAAAGGATCTTCTTATTTAGCGCTCTATGGTTTAGGAAATGTTCGAGATGAGCGTCTGAATCGCCTCTTTCGAGATCGTAAAGTTAAAATGTATCGCCCTAAAGAATCACACGATATGAATGACGACGCTACTGAGCAATACATGGATGGAGCGTCTTCCTTACCATCGTGGTTTAACATGATGGTAATTCATCAAAATAGAACTGCTCATGGACGAAACAATTATATTCCTGAAGCGTACTTGGCAGACTTTCTCGATTTGGTTCTATGGGGTCATGAGCATCAATGCTTGATTGATCCTGTCGTAAACGACTCTAAAAACTTTTACGTGACCCAGCCGGGATCTTCTGTTGCCACGTCACTGTGTGAGGGAGAATCTGCTACAAAGTATGCTCTGCGTTAAATCACTCATGAAAACATGTGCAAACTCTAAATCTCATTTCTTGATTACAAAAACATTCATTTTTGTGTATATACTTTTACTAATGTATGCGTATATAATATTCAGGCATATTGGCATTTTGAGTATTCAGGGAACTACATTTGCTGTGGAAAAAATCCGTTTAAAGTCTGTGCGTCCATTTGTCATGGACGAGGTGGTTTTGCAAAAAGTATCGCATCTATACACCAAGGATCAAGCAGCAGTAAATGAATATCTTCAACAAAAGGTTGCAGAAATGATTGAAATAGCAAGAATCAATTGGCAAGAACTGAATCCAGATGTAGATCCAGAAGAGTTTCCCAAACCATTGATCCGTCTCAAGGTTGGTAGATTTAAAGTTGTTTAACATCATCTGCTAATGTTCATGTCTAGTATTTCCAATCGTGTCTAATTGATGAAATCACTAGGTTGAATATACAGGAGGATTCACTACATTCAATCCTCAACGATTTGGTCAATTTTACATAGATAAAGTTGCCAACCCAAAAGAAATCATCAGTTTCTATCGTAAACGAACTGCGATAAAAGGTTCGAGTCATTCATCCTGTTTTATCACAAACCCATTTGCTATTAAACATGTCATCTTGTCAACAAATGAGTTGAATTCTCACAACACATAATATCTATTGTCATTGATGGAATTTAGCCAAACCATCTGAATTTGTCACCATAGAGCCTAATCTTCCTGGGGAACTTGACAAGCTTACAATTCAAGACCTCGTAGCACAATATCTCGATGCTCAAAAACTAGAAATTTTACCCGAGAATGAGCTTGCGGATGCTGTATTGAATCAGGTTGAAAAAAATGACAAGGATGCCATCAAGATGTTTGTTGATAAAACGCTTCGAGAAACCAAAAACGCTATTAGAAATCGTATTGCTCCATCAAAATACAGTAATGCTGCTGAAAGAACATCACGGAACGTTGTTGAATCAAACGACATTAGACCTCAGGAGTCTAGAAACCATATGTATGAAGAAAACGATGATGAAAGTGTAGATATCGAGAATATGGATCAACTAGATCGTGAAATTGCAAAAATCAAACTGAATCTGACACAGGCCTTTGCAGTCAAGGAACACAATATTGGTACTGCACAAAGAAACGATATTCGTCGTGAAGTGGATGCGACCCGAGCTGTTCGACATGTACAAGATGATTCAAACGATTTTTATACAATGCAGGAAACACATGTAGCGCCAAAAAAACGCAGTACTGCTGCATCTCGTACTACTGCAGCAAAATCTCGAGCGAATACCACATCCTATAGGACTACTGTGGCATCTAGTCAGTTTGATGATGACAATGATTTTGATTTTGAACGCAATGCTGATTCGATAGCTACAAAAAGTACTGCTCGTGGTAGGTCTGAAATGTATGCAGAAGCAACAAGCAGAGGTGTACTGAAACCTCGAGGTAAATCTACTGCTATTGCAACTAGACGATCTGAGCCAAAAACAGCCACACATTTCAAGGAGACTTTGTTTGAATCGGATTCGTTGAATTCACTTGACAGCTTTGATAAAGTGAATGCATTCAACAGTAGAAAAACACTTGGTATCGCGTCAGTATCTAAAATTGGATACAAATCAGATATATTTAAACCAACCGCTTCAGTATCAATGCTTGACGAGGTAATCTAGATTCTATTTGAATACAAATTTATTTAGTTTTAATGCACCAAGATCTTGTTTATCTGATACAATTGTGGTATTTGATTTAGGTTATTCCAGAAACTCAGATCAGTCAAGAAAACGATGATGATATTCAAGACGAGGATGCTGCACCACCACTACCGACGCAGGCAGTAGAATCTACACAAGCAAATACTGCTCCTAACACTCGTGGAAGAAAACGGTATAGATTGGTTTGTCGGATTGAAGGAACGACTAAATGGTTTAATCGTTTTATTCAAACCTTGAATTACTAGAGAGTTGCCATCTTCGTTAAGATCTGGAAGTGGAAAATTAGCACTGGGACCAAAGAAACAGACCAAGTTACAGTTCATGTCTAGTCAACAGCTTGGCATGCCGCAACAGTCGTGTGACGACTCTGAATCACATACATTGCGGGAATTTGTCAATAGGGACAAGCGGAGTCGCAAACGATAAACTCGATTACTTTTTAAAAACTATTTGAAATATTCATGGCAATCTAATGTGGACGGATTGGTTGTTGGTGACTGACTCGTAGTGTTTTATTTTACGTGAACACTACGAGTCAAAGTATAATAAACTAGCAGTTTCATGGAATGATTGGTGTGATCAGAGTTACTGGATCTTGTGCCCTATAAGTTTTTAGTTGATTGACTTTGTTCAATTTTGTACAAAAACCGAGCAAATGTTCAAGCCCCAACACAATGTTCAGCCCATGACATTAAATACAACTATTTAACAGAAAATGAAATTTAATGATCAAGAATTCTCATGTTTCCAGAAACAACCTTGTCATGCAAAATGGCGCCAGATGGAATGTCAATTCTGTTGCCATGGTTGGCAACAATAATCACTGTGCCAGATAAAATAACATCAGTGCCAAACGTAACATCACCCGTGACAGTCAAGTGATCCAGTTCAAGAATGTGTGGTGGAGATTGAAAGCGAGATAAAAAGTGCTGCACTTTCTTAAAATGGTCACCCAGCTTGACAATGGGAACTGTGCCAAAAAGGCGTTTGGGATTTAAAATCAACTCGCCATGGTTAAGTTTGTAAAGATCCGAAGTAATGAGGAAAAGATCGGATGTGGATTTTACGGGTAAGAAGCGAGTACGAGGCACGTTAATACCATGAGCACCCTTAAAATGCTTGATGGCAGCACCAACGGCAGTCTCGAGCTGAATCACCTTTTCACCTGAATCAGCAGTTTTGTTGTTGACAATGATCTCCATCGACAATTCCTGGTGCTCAATGACTCGCTTGATGGCGCGAAGGTTAACCCATAAATTGTTGGTATTAAAAATTTTGAATTTTTTGACGGATTTAAAATCATCGACATGCTCGGCAGAAACCTGAGCAATTTCAAGAAGCCGGATAGAGCCCTCATACTCAATAAGAGTGCCGCCCTTGATGTCAGCCTTGGTCTTGTCTGTTACTTCCATGAGGAATTCAGCGCCAGTTTCAACGAGATGTTGAAGAATGGTCTGATCAACAGTAGCACCAAGATTGTCGACATTGGAAATAAAAAGATACTCTTTTCCCTCGGCAATCAGCTTATCTAGAGTGCCTGAGTTGGCTAAAGACTCGAACAAATCACCGTGTCCAGGCGGATACCTAAATAGAGCGGCAGTGTTGATGACAAAGCGCAGTAAGAAAGTGGTCATACAATGTCACATGGGTAATACAGTACATGTTGACTCACCAGTCCCCGCTTTTCCCAACAGGATCTTTTGCAAGAGGTAAAAGAGATTCCTTTTCGATACGAGGAACACGAGACTGATTGTAAGTCATGATGGTGAGCTGCTGACCTGTGTATTTTTGAATGATACGCTTTGTTTCTTCATCAGTGTTGAACGAATTCATAAGAATCAGTGGAACATTGACGTTGTTGTCATGGTTCAAATACTAGGTAGAAAATAAAAGTTGGCCGTTAGTGATCTGGAATGAAAATAAGCAAGTACAACACCCATTTCAACTGATCATTAATAAAATACCTCAATCTGCCGCACAGTCATGTCAAGAAAGGTCATGCCATCTCTGACTTCAATAGCGCTCTTTGGGCCAACACAACCCATTGTGGTTCCAAGACCACCATTGAGCTTGAGTACGGCAAGCTTGGATAAAGCGGATTTGGATGTTTCAGGGGTTGTTGGAGTAAGAGTCTTGTAAGGAATGATCTGTTGCAATCAGCATATGTTTAAAAAGGTCAAAGTTAGTAAGGGTCAAAGTCAATTCCATTAGGCGTTTCAACCAACCTTGTCGCTGCCAGGAGATTTGACTTCGTTCCAATTGCTGTAAACAAGATATGACGAATCAGTCAAGGTACAAAGACTGGACAAAAAATCAATACATACAGTTTGGCATTACGAGACTTTTCGGCCAAGAAACGAGTGAATAAAGAGTAAAAGCCGTCCATCTCAGCCCTGAAAAGTCTCTGCTGCACAGGATCCTTGACCATGCCAACCATTTTAGTGAGCTCATTTCGCATAGACTAGAGAAATAAAGTAAAACAGAGTGAGTAAGATGGACATGAGACAATGTTTTTAAACCAGCGATCCAATCCAAGTCAGCCCAAACTTTTGAGATTTATTGCCAATCAAAACCACAAGGGTCATATGATGGAAGCTTGAGTTGGACACAGATTTCAGCAAGGGAATGAACAGCTCATTGGAATGAATAGTCGAGTGAATCGATTAGCAAGTGTAGATCACATATACATACAATAGCAGCGCTGTTGGAAGTGGTCTCTTGGAAACCCTGTTGGTAAAGCCCAGCGATAAGAAACAAACAGATATGCAAGGATAACCAAGTCAAAGGTTAGTTTAAACACCAACTTTATGAATGGCAAATAAGCATGGCTGCAGATGTAGATGCAGATGCAGATGCAGATGCAATAACTGGATCAGGACAGCATCGGACCACAGCAATAAATCAACACAATGTATTACCAAGAGGGAAAATGAACGAATATGATCTTGTAGATTATTTGAGGTGCCGAGATCCATTGCAGTAGAAGTGTGCTGAGGAACGTCCAAGTGTTCGTTGCTGAGTAATGCCATTGCAGTCAAGTGAATTAAGCGAGAAATATGCTTTGAAAGGGATAATTTGGGGACTGGACCCTATAGTATAGGGCTTGATAAGCTTGGATTCGCTCACTTGTTACTGTTCATGCCTGTATCAAAGCAACTGCTCGAGTCGCTGCTGACTGAAAAGCTCTCTCCTTCTCATCTGGTATGTGGTCGACTCTCATCTACTTTGACACTCACTATCTGATCATCACATGTACAAAACACTGTCTATTAGGAAGTTATCGACACATCCAATGGTTGTGGTCAATCTTTTGATGTTTTGGTAGTCTCTAGTCTGTTCGAAGGAAAGTCTGTCCTGCAACGTCACAGGTGCGTCCCTCTTGCATGATGCATACTTTCTGAAACTAACCCTTTGCTGTAATATACCGGATTTCTATTTCAGACTTGTTAATGAAGCCGCAAAAGCTGAGATTGCCGAGATTCATGCATTCTCCCAGGTAAATGCTTGTCTCTGGCAAGCTGAGTGATGCATGTCTAACCTGTTGAATGTTCAAAGAAAACGTATACGCCTGAACAGTGGCGAGTCATGGTGGAAAAGCAAGCAGCGCAAGAGAGCGATCAGCCATAGGAATCTATATTGAATTAAACTTTGATCTCTATCGTTCTGTTTGATTCATTATTGCTCAAATCGTCATCTTTTTAGAGTGTACACCTTATTTCTGGCTTGCCAAAAATCTATATTTCCTGTTTTACTTTTGGGTTTCTTGTTGAATAAACTCATCAGAATCATGGAGCACAAATGCAATCATGGCATACCTGATTCCGGGGAGAGCACTGTATCAACAATAACTGATCAAAAACTACTTCCTCGGCATCTACAGCCCATTCCTGCCCCTTTACCTGCTGCTTCTTTGGAAGAGGACGAATACATTGCTGGTGTTAGTACCATCATTGAAAGGGACTTTTTTCCCAACCTCCGCAAACTTAGGGTCCAGAATGACCTGCTGGATGCTGTTCAAAATGCCAACCATCTTCAAGTAAAGACCTTGAGTTCCCAACTGGCTCAATTGACTGGCAAGACCTCTGGTAATATTTCTGTTTGATTTGCGTCACCATTATTGTGGGATCTAACATTGGCTTCAGATTATTCATCTACTCCTACTCCATATCCACACAGATCAGTATCAAAAGACACTTTGAATCTGCATGCCTCTGACTCGTTCATGGCTCCTCCAACTCCATCGGCAGCTTCATTTTCAGATTCTGCAACTCCTAACCCACTCAACTCTATGAACCCAGCCAGTTCTGAATCTCAATCTTTGGATACTTCAATTAGTCTAGATAAATTCCAAACAAAATACACATCCGAAGACAATGCATCTTTTTTAAACATTTTGGAACTTCAGAATGAGGCAAAGCGAGAACAGTATCACTGGCTATATGACAAGGAAAAGAAACAACTGAGGCTTAAAAATGAGCACTCGATCGAGTCTACCAATACAGCCACTAGTGCAATGACCACCTCTGGGGTCGAATTGCTTGTCGAGACTCCCGATCGAATGATTAAGCCCATCGATGAATGGAAATTCAAGGTATTTAAACCTTGAATTTGTCCGTTTATTTTTGAAATTATAGACTTGTATTGACTGGTTTTAGGCAAAAAATACACTCATGTACTATCCTGATGGCGCTCCATTGACACTGGCTGACATGGGAGAATTGCGAGGACAACCAAAATCCATCACACATTCTGCAACGCGATTCAATGCTCCACACAGCTCTGAATTAGCTCGTACTTTATCATCTGGCATGTCTTCCGCATCTTCAGAATCCGGACGACTCAATACCCAACGTGTGTGGTCTCAAATGGCCAAGGCTACTCCTGGTTTATTTCACGGAGCTGCTGGGGCACTCACTGACTCTCCCCGTGTGTCTGGGTATGGATTTGTACCAACAACTCCTACTTTTACTCCGGATGAAGACATTGATCCTTCAGAGCTACTGACTTGGGGTATGATTGAAGGCACTCCGTTGCTGGCAGATTCAGGTATGGACCATTCTGGAGGGCCTAGCTTTAAAATTCCAGCAACGCCACGCAGAGAAGAAATTTCAATGCGATTATCCGAAAAGGCATCCAAAGCACTTAAACGACGATCAGATATTGCTGCTGGTGGATCTAGCAGTCGTGCTGCATCTCCTGCAGCTGGAAAAATGACCACGCTTGGAAATGCACAATCTTTGAAAGCAACTTCATTTCAACAACGCATGCTTTCACCTGCTGCTCAAACCTTGCTGGCAAATAGCTCATTAAGGAAATCTGGGCTACGTATTGGTAGCGACTCTTCAGGAAATTTGGATACACAATTGAGAGCATCCTACTCTGGTCCTGTATTGACACCTTGGCGAACTTCATCTCATCGCACACCTACTGCTAGTCAAAACTCTATTTCCACCCCTCACGTCACATCAGGCTTTGACAGCCTTCAATCCTCTAGATCAAAGCGAAACCTTTCTACGACGGATGATCTGCTTGGAATATAATTGCTTTTATTATACTATATTTGTCTATATGAATATATTTGAGATTTTTAATTTATAACTATAAGCCATTTTTATAAGTGTTGTTTTCAACTCTAAATACGCATAGATTTTAAAAACATTTAGAATCTATTTATTCGTTTAATTAAAGTTTTTAAAACTCCAATTAACCATGTATTGTACTCCTGCTTTTAAACTATCAGATTTTTTGGCCAATTTTTTTTGTTGTTTAGGCTCGGATGTTTTTTCGTCAGAATTCTCAGACTCGTCATCTTGTGTATCAGTTTCCAAATGTTTGGATGCGCTATTGGATTCAGTATCTTGTGCGTCAGTTTCCAAATGCTTGGATGCGCTATTGGATCCAGCATCTCGTGCATCAGTTTCCAAATGTTTAGATGCGCTATTGGATCCAGCATCTCGTGCATCAGTTTCCAAATGTTTGGATGCGCCATTAGATTGTGAATGCATTCCCAAGTATTTGAATTCAGTCAATTGATTTTGAAGTTCGAAATCATCAAAAACATTTTGAAACCAGCTCGTTAAGAGATCTCCAAATTGATCACAACATTCAGGCGTTTGTATTTTTTCAAAATCATCATCAGAATTGCCTTCAACCAGAGTTTCTCTTGAAATAACTCTAATATCATCATCTTCATCAGAACTGCTGCTACGAAGAGTTTCTCTTGAGATAACTTCAAAATCGTCTTCAGAATCCTCATCTTCTGGTGTAGCTTCAACTTTGTCATTGTAGAAAGATTGACTCGTTTTAGACGTTTCTCGTTTAGAGTCACCATTCTCATGCTCCTTAAGGTTGGTATTAGAACTCGAAATTTTCCAAGCAGTCTCCGTCTTTAATTTGCATATGCTCAACACTTGATCTGAAGTTGAGGTTTTCTGAGAAGACTTGTCCTCCACGCACGCTTCAAATGAATCGAAAAGCTTTTTCTGAGCCAAAGAAATGCTGCTCTCTACTGTGCTACTACTTGATTTCGCGCAACTAGAAGTTGATGGTATATTTTCATCCGAGATTGGCATTTTCCCAATACACGTTCTCGTTGTCTCGACGTATGATGAAAAGTCGGAATCCAAACCTTGACCAAGACATTCTGATATGGCTGATTCTAATTCCAATTCGAGTAAAGATTGTGACGTTGACTGCGTTCTGAAATAACAACCTAATTGAGCGGGGTTTTGCGTTTGACTTTCGTGTCCTGTTGAATGCTTTTGCTTATCTTGGGGATCGTCTGATGGTTCAGGCAAGACTGGTATAGCATTTGACGCAACCACTAGCATTGAAACAATCGCAATAAATCCAGACTTCATATTCAGTAGTAGTCGAGTTGTATCAGGAATAGAATGACTGGTAAAAAAGGCTAGTTCGAGCAGAGAAATGTGAGTTTGAAGCTGATCATAATATATGGTGAGGTTTTATAGCAGCAGTTGCTAGTGGCAGACTAAAGGGTTAGATTGGCCAAGCCTCCCCATTCCGACATATCAACTCGTCAGCCCTAAATAAGTTGGAAATATAAGCATTTTGTGCTTTCATCTAAACAATCAAGGCATTCTATTTGCTACCTTCCTACGGCATGGAGATAGGGTTGGTATGTCGAAGCCGTAAGCTATAGCATATGATTGGACAGATAAACTGAATTGAATTGGAAAGTATATTAGAACAGCTCAGTTTTCCTAGCAAATAATAAGTACTGGATGAATGACTCGACTGATTGCCGTTTAATTTTTATCTTGAATGTACATACGCTATGATTGCATACATCTAAAAGATTGGAATTTGTGCGATTTATTCAGATTATATAAGAGTGATCTCCAGTTTTTCCGTAGCACATGCTTGCTCTCTACTATATTTGGGCAGTGGTCCTATATTACCAACTAAAGCTTAAACAACGCATGGCTTGATAAGACCCTGTCTTCAACTTTTAGGGTGTGCTTTATGGTATAGCATTGTCCAGGTAGTTTGGACATGATTATACCAATGCTTTGGGAAAACGTTAGAATAAAGCATATGTATGATATGTTGGAATATTACAACGGTTTGCTTGTTACATGAACATGTAAAATGCAGTGATTTTATCCATCCTGCAGAGTATTTTGCTTCGAAATAGCTAATGATTAAATATTCGTTGCGGTTTCATTTGCAAATTGACTGCTTTTTCAATGGTTACAACGTCCATCATACAATGTCCGTACAATCAAACTATCCCCTCATACCCATCTGGTATAGCCATGCATTGTATGACCAGCAGGTTTAAAATTGAATTTATCCATTTCAATCTAAATATTGGGCTATATTGTTGACAATCCAGCCCCGACAAACTCGGATACGTTCGCGCTCTAGTCCAAGACAACGATTGCACATTTCGGAAGTTCAACTGCTGTTTCCGTACCAATCACTCAATGTTTATAGGAGAGTCGAGAGGTTGAAACAGTATGTGACTGATTGGGAACTGTGATGTGAATACTGCTTTGAACATTCCGTTTAGCTGCTTTATACAAATGAGTATGGAAGATAAAGACCAATGAACTTTGTTGATGAGTCATAGGATGTAATGCTGTTCAGTAAATTTGGCATAAATTAGTTGTTCTGCAGACGCCCTTATTTAGTGTATCATTTTACGTGAATACGGCTGTGATTCATGGTTTACGGCCAGCGACAACGAAATGAGAACGGAGAGAAATAAGGATTTGTCAACAGCCATCATCATGTTTGAACCACTCTGATAGTATCAAGCAGACCAAGAAACAAGAATTTCTAATAAAACTACACGATTGGTTTAGGTTAATGTATATGCTATAGATGGAATGCTGAAGATCGTGTCAGAACAAGACCAAAAAAAGATGTTTTATAATTGAATTGAATGAGCAAACTGGCTGTTTCGAGTCAGATTGTCATCACAGCACACGACACGATCAACGATCCTGCCATTCAAATTCATCGATACTTGCAAAACAACAGTATTACTCAACAACTCATAGTGTGGTTGGATAGAACGCAAGTACTTGCAAACACATGATAACTGGTGTTACTGCCAATTTCTCGTTGATTTTATCTTTCCATTCCCATGCCCATTGTCACCAGCCGTGATCCTGAGCGTGAACACTATTCAATCTAATGAGTGCTGTTGATACTACGGAATCTGCTGCTGCTGAAGTGAACGCAGCAAAGTTTGGACATGATACAGCATCTAATATGAGCATACATTCAATCGCAAATACTCCAGATATGTCCGCTACGAATTGTAATGAAAGCTGCACCAGTTCTACTCCATCTGATAACAACCCTAATCATGACAGTGCAGCACATGTCACTACTTGGAGCCGTCTGTCTGGCGGACTGTCCTTGCTCATGACCAGAGCTCTGCATAGCATTCAATCTCTTGATATGGCAAGTGAGCTGAGTCGTTTTACCAAGTACCATCGTCCATATCTTTCATCGGCAGCGTCATCTGGCATCCCAACTTTGGACCCAAACAGTCCGATAGTCTTTCTAGCACAGACCTATTCGTCTCTTGCTCATCCACATTTTCTGGACGATTTTCATTCACGACTATGGATGACTTATCGTAAAGGATTCGCTGCAATCAAGCCAACTGGATACACCTGTGACAGTGGATGGGGATGTATGCTCCGAAGTGGTCAAATGTTGGTTGCAAACGCACTCTTATTCCATGAGCTTGGAAGAGGTAGTACTTGATTCTAAAGCATGGCCAATATGTTGTCTAGTCCATTAGGAAGCTTAATTTTACAATTGTATATCATTGTATTGTCTAACACTACTGTTTGAACATTAGATTGGAGATTGGGTGATTCTAACGATAGAGATACTTGGCTGACTTATTGTAGCATCCTCACAAAGTTTCTGGATGTAAATACAAGTCCATATTCAATTCAGCGTATTGCAACTCTTGGGATTCGTTTTGACAAGCAGATTGGCGAATGGTTTGGTCCAAGTACCATATCTCAAGTTTTAAAGTAGTTTTGGATTGATTCAATGGCATAAACCACTTTAAACTCTATATCCATACAAATCAACTCATTTATCATGTTAAATCTGTTAGGGTTCTTGTGAACGATGATCAAAGAATAAGCTTGAAAGTTCATGTTTCCAATGATGGTGTGGTATACAAGAATGAAATCAATACTATTCTATCAGCTACACGAGACGATGGAAAGACGCCTGCCGTACTAATCATGATTCCACTTCGGCTTGGCGTGGAAACCATGAACCCAGTATATTACCCTGGAGTCAAGGTAATGCTTCATTGTGGATTTTATCGAGTGTCTAGCATTGATGTATATTCATTTAATATCATGTTGTTCTTGATTAGCACTGCTTCGCCATGTCTCATTGTGTTGGAATTGCAGGGTAAAGCTGCTAGTGATTTATATTTGTGAGCGCATGAAAATCACTTACTTGATTGATACTATATTTTAGCGGTCGACCAAATTCATCATTATTCTTTCTTGGTGTAGATGGCGACCATTTGATATATCTTGATCCGCACCATCTTCGTCCAAGTATGCTTCACTTTGATTTAAATATCTAGTGTATATAAAGCACGATGCTAGATTGCACATTGCATCTATTTAACCACCATCATTGTTTTATTTAAACTTGTCAGGTGTGGACAGTCGAGACATTACATCATACAAGATGGAGGTACATGTTTCCAACTAGTTGAACCAACTGTTTTACTATAGATTCTGCATGAAATTGGTATCTAACCCTAATACTTGACATGCTCAACATTCTAGGATCTTTTGAGTTATCATTGTGAAAAAGTCAGGCTACTACCGATTGCATCCATGGACCCATCACTTGTTATTGGATTCTACTGTCATAGTCTAAAGGATTTTGATGTGTTGTGTGCCAAGATGACTGAGCTAGCAACTGGCTCAGCACCGCTGTTTTCCATTGAAGAAATGACTCCCGACTTTGATCCAGATGTGGACATTATTTCTGAATATGATTTTTAAACCAAGTAGACACTTGAAACTATTTGGATAGCATAGTGCTGTTTAGTGATTATAATTGAATTGATCATTCATTTGGTATTGTATCGCCTATTTGTAATAGATTGGGTTTAGAGTTGTGTGAATATACACGGTCAATTCAGCAAGACTGATTTGGTACTGAATGTCAATGATCCAGCACTTGAATATATAAATTGACCAAGCTGTGTATTGAGTTGGATTAGATTCTAGTATCCAAACAAATCAAGATAATTGATCCAATGCAACACAATACTTTGCAGTTTAATTCGAATTTTTCAAAGCAGATATTCCATGTATAATAGAACACATCAAACTAGTTTTGAATTGTAATGATTCTTTTTGGACTTGTTCTTTCACATGTTGTTTTAATCTCATACATTTTAGTTCAAGAATGCATGCCAATCACCACGAACAATACCAACCAACTCAAGGGTTCAATAGCACAATATTGGTCAGTAAATTTGATGATTTATCAAATTTAATCTTGTATTTTTCGTGAATACAATTGTAATTCATACAAACGAATTGTCATTGGTAATCATGGACTTGGACCAAACAGACCTGGAAGTTTCTCCAAAACTAGAATCCACATCTCTACCGACATCTGGATCAGCAGCTATAAGTTCTTCATCCATCAACCCTGCAGTGTCGTTCAAACGTAAAAAGACTTTTCATGAACAAGAGACTGAACGCAAGGCTGAAGCCTTGTCAGAGATTCTCTTGCTTATGGATGAGTTTGCACCCATTGTAAGCACTTGATGGTTGTGGTTGATACTGGTGTATACATTGTATTGACTTTGTTTTAGATTCCTGATAGTGTAACGGATCATCATTTGGCAAGATCAGGGTTTCAATGTGATGATGTGCGAGTCAAACGACTGCTAGCACTTGCTACACAAAAGTTTATTTCAGATATTGCTACCGATGCAATGCATTACTCTAAACTGCGACAGCAGGCTGTTCAGGGTAAAGAGCGACGTCAGACTCTCAAGGTACGTTGAAAGGGTTGACCCAACATGATGGTTCAAACAGATCTGATTCCTAAATATTGCTCATGATGTCAGGATAAGAGAACAGTGCTTACTATGGACGACTTGGCTGCTGCCATGTCAGAACAAGGTGTGAATATCAAGAAGCCAGACTATTATGTGTAAATCCCTTTTTTCAATAAACAGGTCTGGCCATTGATTCGCTCATGTACTTTATTTGCTTGGATCCAATCTTTTTCCAGTATCAATGGATGGAGTAGATTGTGGTTTCGGGTGTGATGTAGGGTGTTTGGAATGTGTCCCGAAATACTTGTGGAGAAGGGGTCCGTAGATACCCTGTGGAGCATGTGGGTAATGCTCAAGAATGATTCCTAATGTAGCCATGGCAGGAACAATCACAGCCATCTCTGCATATCTATAAAATTATTCCGACATGTAAACATGGTTTCAATCAGTCAAGTCACTAAAAGATAGTGGAAACCCCAGTTGGATTAAAACATACTTTTTATACTTGAACCATCCAGCCTCGATAGCCATGGATATAAACCCAGCAATGACTTGCATTGTCAAGTAGGTGTTGAGTTCAGGAAGTCGCGTCTGTTTCTCAATCAACATGGAAGGTGAAGCAATCAATCCTGCAAGCCCATATCTATTTGCAGAATAGCGACATTTATACATCAGCATGCATTTAAAAAGTAAACATCAAATCAAATTGACAACTCACAAAACCATGTAGTCTTTGCCACATATCTTGCGTAGTCTGCAAATACTGTAGCTGTAAATGAGCAGATAGATTGAAAATGCCGACACGGATCGAGCAGACGATATCAACATACGTTTTAATGAATGAAAAACAACTAGATATGCACTATCGCGTGGATGATTGCATCCCGTTGTAACCCGTTTGTGAAAATACTGCGCGAGACTCCAAGAAAAGATGGCCTAGAGTGACCAAGCAAATCAATAAACAAATACTGACTGTAGAATACAAGTTTTAAATCTAGTACAAAAGAACTTGATCCGGCTTAGTTGTTAATGTACTCACCGTGTTGATTACAGAATAAATCTTGAGAAGCTTGGGCAATCCAAGGACAAACACTCTCAAGGCTGCAGTTTCACAAATGGTTTCACCTGGATGGATGACTGCACAGGAAAGTGTCGAATGGTTTCCAGATGTTCCCAAACCACCCTCACTAAACTCTTTTCTCAATCCATGCAACTTCATTAACGCGCTAGCATGTCGATCAGTCGGTTGAACCGTCTCAAACAGGTGCTCAATGTGTGCTTTTGATGTTGACCAAAGAGGAATTTGTGCTATGGGACTATCAGATGGTTGAGTGGATAGAAACCTTGTCAGTTCTCCCGTTCCAATCACTATATTTTCATAATCAGGTCCGAGCCGATCGCGACATGATGATAAATACAGGACAGATCTGAAATAGGAAGGCTAATGGTTGATGTTTAGATACATGCACATGGATAGACTACATACGAGATACATTTTACTGATGCAACTTACTGGAAGAAGATGAGAAGAAAGAAACGACCAACTGCATATCCAATACGCATTGAACAACCAGACCATATACACGCCATATTGATCCAAGAGTCTCGCAAGATTAGATACGCTCTCAGACCAGAGATGCGGTTTCAATGATTTGCTATCCACATCGCACTGTCCATTGTCATTGCCATCAACAGAATGCTTTTGATCTTTGCGAGTAGATGCTGGACGAAACTGAAAGATCCAAGCCCGAACAGCAAAATACACTATTCTGACAGCCAGCGTCAGTGCAATCTGCCTTCGGTCATTCTCCCTTTTAACTCCAACTAACCACAGACTTGCCAATGCACCTTTAACAGCTGACCATCTCCACCCATGGCTGTTCTCATTTGATGTTTTGGAGAAATAAGACGGTGTAACCAAGCCCAAGAGTTGGAATGTGGCCGATACTGCTGTGAATATAAACGATACTCTGGCTTTATCTAATCCAAAATGACTTGATAAGAAACTGTCTGAACGGCTACGACCTTTAGACATGATGGACATGATGGCTTGAAGTCCATAAGTGCCAGCAAAGATGGTTGATATGGACTGGAATATCTGTCTTGGACTGGATTTCAAACGGTGAATGTCTTTGTGTATCTCATCTTCACCCTGCTGATGTTCTAGCAATGGAAGGTTGTTTGTCAATGGTTCTAACGGATGACTCTGCGTTGGTATGGGTTGAATGGAATGCATAGCTAAAAGTCAAGTTGACGATTGTAAAACCAACTCTGGCTTGTAATGCATTGATTGTTTATTGAAAGGCTTGTAGAAAGCAATCATGATCAGTCTATAGAAACAAGGATTGTATCTCAAACATCTCTTTCCATGTGTGTGCTTCCACTCTTTGTGGGCCTTTGGATTCATCGCGATCCATCGATTGCATACTACACGGCATCGAGATACGTCCAATAATGTTACTAGGCGTAGCAGACGATGAATATGCATTGCCAATGCCTGATTGATCACCAGTCATTTTTATGCTTTGAGATGCATTCCATCGCAATTTCTCCCATCGATCTGCAAACCCATCCAATATAGCGCGCTGGCTCTGCAACTGTACTCGAGGGTCAAGATTCAATGGTAACCACTTTTGCACTCTTGGCCCAGTTCCTCTTGCACTATCCTTTGTAGTCGGCTCAACAGTGGCATTTGTAAATACCGATACATCTACAACTCGACTATTAACATTGAATTCATATACATCCTTGGCCAGCTCGTCTGCTTCTATTGACAGTTTCTTGATCTTTTCGGCATTCAGTAGATTCGTGTCAATACCAGATGCATGGGTATGACCAGAATCAGAGTAACCAAACGCCGATTGTCGCGATTGTCTTGAAACCAGTTTGGTTATAGGATCACTTGGATGTAGTAACTCCATCATTTGAATCGACTGTGCTGTGGATTTAAGTCGAGCATTTTCTGTTATAAGAAACCATATTGCTGCTTTTTGCGCATCCATCTAATGATCCAAAATAAAATATAAACGGTAAATATTCAGTAACCCTTTTTTTAAACAAGCTGTTTGGATTACCTTGGCAAGTGTATCGGCATCAATCATTCCTTGCGACTGAAATCCATTCGCCAACAACGAATCATTAAATGGCGCTCCATTAAAAGACTGGTTTCTATCAGCTACAGGTTTGGCAGGAGATCCAGATACAGCAGACCGTTCTAGTTTTCTAATTGTCTTTTTCAGCAAAGTAATCTCCATATCAGCAGCTTCTAAATCAGCTTGCATGGTCTGAACAGCATTTTTAAATGTCGTTTCCTCTGCTTTTGCATTTTCCAGTTCATCTTCTAATTCTTGTACAGTAGTTGACTGGAAATTAAATATTAAAGGTTTGTTACAAAAACTGCTTTGAAAATACAGTAACCTGCACGATTGACAAACTTTTAGACTTACCAATTTATCATAGTTTTCGAGCTTGCTTTTAAGAACCTCGATTTGGGCTGTAGCTTCACCAAGCATTTCTTTCTTATTAACCAATTCGTGAGCTGCATTAAAGATCTGGCTCTCAAGCTTTTCAACCTTGAGCTTCAGCATCCCATTGAGTGCAAATTCCGCTTTAAGAGTATCAGCTCGCCACGACCAAGCAGGTAAAACAGGCACAATAGCTTCAAACGCATCTTTGACTTGCAACACACTATCGAGTGCCAAAAATGTCGACAAAATATCCTGCACCCGTCGTGAAAAGGCCTCTCCGGGGTTAGATGCAAACGATCCAAGCATATCTGCTGAAAGTGTAGAAAGCAAATGTGTCAAGGCGCTATAATCAATTTCACGCCTTTTTTGTTTGAACTCATCTACCATGACTTGCAGCTTGCTTCTCAAAGTGGTAATAAATTTCGAAAGCACTTGTAAAGGCATCAAGGTGTCAAACACCTTATTGGACACATCTATGTTTGGTGTCATGTCTTGATTGAACACTGATTGGAGACTGGCTCGAAGGCGATTGACAGCTTCTTTACAAATATCCACATTTTCAGTAGCATGGGAAAGTAATGATAGTAACTGCGTTGCTTCTAGCATATCTGAGCTTGGAGAAAAACAGTCCTCATCATTGCAATCACCTTTGGAAAAAATGTACTTGATCAGATTTGTTTCAAGCTGAATGCACTCGATATGGTGTGATGCTTCTTCCAATGCAGCCACGAGAAGCGGCTTACGAAGTGTCGGTACAGCATTGTCTACTTTGTCAATATAATGCTGTAAAAATTCAATCAACTTTTCCAAAACGTGGCACAGTTTGAAATAGTTGTCTTGGTCTGTTGGAGTGCTACTTTGAATGTTATTCTTGACCGAGTCGATTCTATTAGATACAATAATATAGAATTAAAAATAAGTATGCAAATAGTAGAATGTTGAAAATAAATAATACAATCACTTTAAACTCACTCATGCTCAATCAGCAACAATTGGTGATACAATCGTCCAAACTTTAAATATGATGCTTCATCTGATGTGACTTCTAGAGCGCGATACAATCTTTTGGCCGTATGTTCCAATCCCAACAAAACACTTGACGAGTCCAAATACACTGCATAATGACTGAGCTCAATACTATTCTGTGCAGTAATACAATCGTTATAGTAGTTTCTGACAACGTGACTTTTAATCGCTATGCGCTGTAACAACAGCAAACATTGTACAACATCGTTGTCTGTTTTAAGATACTCGTCTGGAAGAAAAAGTCGGACTATGCTTAGTTCCTGAATAGTTTGTTCAAGCTGGAGCTGCTTGTCCTGCGCGTCTATGCGATATAATGTGGCTTGTTCAACAGCTTTTTGAAGTTCCATGTTCAAAGCTGCTGCATTCTGTACTTGCGCTTGTAAATCCAGTCGAGTTTTATTTTCAAACAATGGCTCTGATATACTGGCTTGTAGAGATCGTTCATGGCCATCCCTGTTTATGCAAAATGGTTCAGTAAAAACAGTACCATGCACATCATAGTTGGATTGATAGTAGTGCTAATGAAAAACTTACCTTTCATATTGACCAACTAAATCACGAAACTGCTGAATAGTATTTTCACAATCAATCAGCGTATTTCGTTGATCAACCACACGACTACCAAGTTCAGCCAAAGCAGCATCCTTGATATTGATTTCATTGGTCAGCATTTTTTGAATCTCCATATGTGCTTCTTCGAGATCATTATTTAAAGTTCTAAGCATTTCTAATTCTTCAACATTATTTGTCATGATATCCAGTTTCTACAATACAAAGTGATCAAACTCAATCTCAGTCATTGTTCCAGCTTTGACATCTTGATAACATTAAAATTACGTACCTCTCCAAGTGCAAGATTGCGATCGGTCAATGAATGCACTAGTTCTTCAGATCCAAGTGCATCGTCCAATTGAAGTTTCAAATCATCAATAAACTCATGAGCATGGCCAAGTTTCGATTCTAGATCCAAAAGTTTTTGTTGCATGGTCAAGAAAGCAGATGAATTCAAGTGTGCAGATTCAATTTGTTCCTTGAGTACAGTTTCAGTATGATGCGACATATCTCTCAATCTAAATAACAAGGTTAAAGATACACATAAAGCAAGTCAGTATTTTAAATCCAAAAATAAATGACGCCAGCGTTTAAAAGTTTACTTGATAAGTGCTTCGCGAAGTCGCTCATTCTGAAGCTCAAGCTGCCGTTGATTGAATCTAGGCGTTTCTCCAGCATTTTCTACATCAAATGCTTCACCACTAATAAGCAGTTCTTTTTCTGCCTTTATAACATCCACTTCTAGAGTCAATTCTTCAATACGATCCTGCATAACTTTGGCATCCTCTTTCAATACATCCACATGTTCTTGCACAATCTCGTTATCCACCAGCAACATCTCCATTCTATCCATTGCGTCTGCGTTTTCAGCTTCAAGCTGATTACAATGTGTAGTCAATTCATGACATTTTTTCGAGATATCACGTAACTCCATCACAACTTTGGAATGCTTCTCTGTCAAGATTGCCAGTGATGTTTCAGTTGTAGTCCACTTTTCTTCCGATTGACGCAAATTGGCAAGTCGACGCTTATCCTGCTCGTAAGAATTCTGCAATAGTTTAAATTCGTGCTCTAATTGATCAAATTTGCGCTTGGTGACCATGGGTTCTATTGATTCAGACAGAGCTGTGACAAGTGGAGATTCATACGGTCTAATGGGTGTCAATGCAGGTTTATTGAGTGACGCAAGCTCTGACTGTTGCAGCGCTGATGATCGAGCATGATCTGGGGTTTGAGGGATCGTTATGACTGAGCCTAACATGTAAGTTGTGTCAACCTGTCCATCATCTTTTTGAACATCAACACTGTTTTGGTTTATCCTATCCGCATTGGGTAGGTTTTGCAAAAGCCCTTGATCAAGAGCAAAATTAGACCCAGTAACACCGTTTATACAATCCGTGTTGTTGAGCAAGGGTGTGATATTTGATGTATGCGCCTCAGTGATAGGTTTTGGACATTCTGATTCAGCCTTTGCTACAGCAATCGAAGCAGGTGTATAAGATTGCTGTTCAGAATGTTCAGGAGTAGAAGAAAGCAGTGTTAATGGCCCATTTGTTAAACTAGATCGAAAACTGCTTATGTTCTGCTGAGAAGCTGGCTCGTTTTCATATTTTTTTGCAGAAATAGAAGCGCGACGAGAAATAAGATTAGTAAAGTTCTGCAATGCATCGTGTACAGCTACAGATGAACTCTTTTTATCGGAAATATCTTTTTGCTGGGTATTTGGTAAAGCTGTTGTACTAGTATTAGATATAGTAGGAATAGAAGATCGACGAGATGACATATCCGGTCGTGATTGTGAGATCGAGTTGTGGTGAGATTGGCTAGAATCGTGAGCATTTTGATATTCATCTATACTATAGTCTTCAATAAGAGCACCAAACGAAGTACGATGACCACAAAATGCAGGAGTAGATGAAAACTCTGAGGCAGATGGTGATACAGACTGGTACGTAGTTCGAGAAGATGGTCTATTCATAACTGGGGTATTGATTGGATTTGAATTATTGCAGGATGGCGCCGAGTCCAATGGATGATGATTGCTTTGATCATAGTTGTCATCAAACTTCAAGTCCATGTCATCGCGAGAAATGTCTTTAGTGGTATCAATAACGGCAGGAATATTATGCGCTTGTGAAATAAATAAAGCTTTAGTAGTAGGAGTATCATTAGATTTAGTAGCAGTATTAGTTGTATGGGAAATTGCTGATTCTGAATGGGATAGAATCTCCGACACGCTAGTGCCAGCGGTGCTTGTTTGTTTTAACGCAGTTTTTTGTTTTAAAGATGGGGACGCCAAAGGAGATTCGGGCCTGCTGGCATTTCCGAGACTCTTACGATTGGGAGCAGAGAGTTTCAAAGAAGATTTGGATGGAGAAGCTACTGTTGAGGAAGGTCTTGTTTTTGTTTTCGAGGCAGTAGTATCGGTAGAAGGTGGAAGTGAAAGTCTAGAAAAGGCCATTTTTGTTCTAGACGAAGCTGGTAAAGAAGGACGAGAAGCTCCCAATGAAGAGGAAGGACGACTATGTGTAGTAGAAGAATGAGTTTCAGCAGACGATGGCGACCGTGTAGATTGCGACACACGCCTATGATCAGATGCTAGCGTAGTAGAACTCAAAGATTTACGATCCGAAGAAGTCTGAATTGAGTTGATTCATGAATGGGTGGTCAGCCAGCCATATAGGATACGATTGCACAATTGGAATGCACTTACTTTGGTTGGTGCATTTCGTACACCAGTAACTGAAGGAGATCCAGCAGATGGAGATTGAGATCGAGATGGAGAAGAGTCGGACCTTGACAAGGACGTCCGAGGCGAAGAACCGGCCGTCTTTGGAGATGAATTTTTAGGCGAGTTGCTGTTCGTTCTGGTCGCTGACCGACGTGGCGCTTGCAAGAGCGAATCTGTTCCAGCTTCGAATGGAATAACTTGCGATGTCTTGACAAACAATCCATGCGAAGCTGGACACTCAAAGTATCGAAAATCTCCTACAGAACCGTCGTTTTTCCCACTGGGTTCGTTGAGTTCTACGCCAACCCACAAGCCAGCAGCAAATGATGTGGTTCCAATGAATCTGACTGTAGCAACAAGTCCTGTTGTAGCAAGAGTGACAGATTCTCCTACAGCGAATGCATTGGAAGTAGACAGTCGAGAGGGTTTTGGAGAGTTGCTCATGTGTAATAACTGCGATATGTTCTGCAATAACTCAACAAGACAAGTTGATTTTAAAGTTTTGGATTCAATTTATTCAAAATCCTGATGTTGGCAAGAGCGTCCTGCTCACGGATCCATCCACTGCACTGCTATACAACAATCCGCTATGAACGGTGAGTGATAGAACTCCGTGATGTTGCGATCCATTTGGGTTTCCATTGTTACTGTACGTTCCTTGTGTTGCAATCGTCCCTCTGGATGCACTCATAATCTCAGCATTCCCCAGTGCCTGCACATCCCATATCTATTCATTCAATTACATTAGTCTGAGCACACATGTACGACATATCTTGAACAGTTTCTTGCCTTGATTTGTCCTCCGCTCGATCCCGATATCAACGTGTCTGTTATTGGATCAATTGCCAATGCTTTGACCGCATGGTTATGTGCATGAAATGTATTCACCACTGACGCTCCCTGTCTTACATCAATCACATCTAATATGCATTCTTTGAGTATATCTCCTTCACCCTACACATGACTACTTATCCACTTACATATGTATCCCCGTTTACCACCGACTATCAATAGATTATGACGGGGTGAATATTCCAATGATGAGATTCCTGCTTCCCCAATCTGAAACGCTGTTTAAATCCCAAAATCCAAAACACGAATGGGTTGAATTAGTTTAAAATGCAATCGTACTGATGCCATCAAGTGATTGAAATATAATACTCACACTTGATCTTAGATTTAGAGGGTGGAACTAGTGTATCCCACATGCACACGTTACTATTTATCCACATGCACTCGAGTCAGTATCATATGATTGTATTGCATGGCACATGGTATAGTTACAATGACCTGTTATTGGTAGATATGCCTGCCGTAGCAAGAGTAGTAGTAGAGTTCATAAATACAAAGTCGTTCACCGGACCAAGATGACACTGTCTTAAAATCAATGCAGGTCTTAATGCCGACTGAGCTGTATCAAATCGCCACATGAATAAATCGCCCTTTGTATCTGCTGCGCCAAATCGAACCCCAAAAGGATCAAAATGACATGCTGTCAATCGTAACTCTGAGGGGACCGTATATGTTACAAGCTCGGTTGATTGGCCAAATTGATAGAGATTCACACCAGGCACATGATTACTGTTTGTGGTTGCCAAGTCTAAACACATCAACAAAATCAAATCGATTGTGAGCATCAATGTGCAAGCGTGACTATGTAGGCATGGTATATCATGGTGCTTACAATAATTAAGCGAAAGATGTGATTCGATAGCAGTCACACCAGGGATCCTTCGTCTCAAAGCCTAAATTCAGAGAATGTGCTTGGTTAAACATGTCAAGTTTAAAATATAGATGTCAATAAATGTATATACCTCTCCATTGACAATTTGCGCTCGATCATCTAATTATAACCCCACAATTAAAAACAGTTAAAACTGCATAGGTAAGCAATTCTTTAGGTAATGTCAAGCACTCACCTCGTGTTAGTCGGTTTGATGTAAATGCTCGTCGCAGCATTTTCTGAGTAGTGCCAATTTTGGCTTGCAAACTATAGTTGACATCCGCAAGTTTCGACCCAACACCCTTGAACTCTACAATACCCAGTGGTGGAGTAGAACTCGGCGTAACGGGTGAAGCATCACCAGACAAGCCGTTGCTTGCAGCATTTGCAATATTTCCCAAAGCACTTAAATCATCCACAGAATCAACACGATCTCCAATGCATTCTTTTGATTCGTAAAACCTACAGCTTAGTTGTAGATTGATTTCCCGAATATTCTTGTGCGTGGAAACAACCATCTCGTTCAAGTTCATCGGATTGATGGCAAATGCAGTCACATTACTACCACTTCGAAACACAACTTCCGATCGCTCAGTACCAAAAAGTGTTGGGTTAAGCTGGGGCTCAAACACTGCTGCTGAACTCATCATCATTGCATCAGTCATTGTACTGGCTGCACTTTGAGTGGATCGTGTTGATCGCGGAGTACCCGGATCTGCCTGAGTAGTTCCTCCAGAATGTACTTGCGTATTGATAGTCATGAGTGAAGCCGGATTCATCCCACCAGATTCATTCTCATTTGGTATGTCCAGTGTATCAGTCAAAGTGGGTGGTGCCACATCTTGAATCATTTTACGCACATCAAATGTGTGCCTAAATAAATCCCAAAGCGGGTTCAGCTCTGTTTCGTGCAAATAACTCCTCATGTTAATCTCGGGCTTAAAATCCATGCTAGCCCATTTGGCTGTTACTGTTTGCTGCAAATAGAAAATGTATCGACTTATCCCCTTCATAACCGAATCTGCCAAGAATCCATGTGCTTGATCCATTCCAACGTGCACATTAATGACTTCTTTTACACGTTCCAGATAGTGCTCAAACACCAAACAAACTTGTCTGAGCACAAGCAGTTGTATCAGCGACTCGGCAAGAAGAACACACGGCGATCCGGCCCTATATAATGGCAGTCCAAACTCATCAAATAGCTCCTCTTCTTCGCTGTTAAGTTCGTCTTGGTCTCCATCAGGGTGCGCAATGGGTTCACGATCTGCAAGTAGATCATGAATCAAATATCCTAGCCCGCGTCGATCATTTCCCTTCAACAACACTTCAAAAAGCTGATCGCACATTCCAAGAATCCACCAAACCCGATTGTACTTTTTGAAAAACAACGACGTCATAGTCAGGATAATGAATGATGTGACAGAAGTCTGACAAACCACAACATTCGATAAAACAGACTCGCCTGCCTTTTCATTCCAAATATCAAACGATCGTAAAAGACGAATAGATATCTGGTCTAAAAGAAGAAACTTTTCTGTTGTATCTGTAGCAAATTCTGTGAATGCAATATGTGCTAAAGTGTTGGCTTCTTGCACCATAAACTCTGACACATCCATGTTGGATTCGGCCACATGCCCATGTAAAGGTGCAAGTTCCATGAATGCAATTAATGCATTCATCTCTCTGCATCGATGACTCAGTATACGATCCATGACAGTTCCAGGCAACGAAGCGATATGCCTTAGTGCAGTTATACCTTGTCGCACATACGAAAAATAGTCACTGAATACAGGTTCAATCTTTAGCGTGGCTTTATAATCGGATACAATTGTGACTGAACTGTATATGGACTGGAGTACACGCATAACAAGAATCCATGCGTATGTTTTAATACTACGTCGGTGAAGAACAAGTTTAAGCCAATCAGCCTGCGTAAGCTGAAGTATTACTTTTTTTGTTTCCAATCCTAAAACTGGAAGACTTACGACAGGTTTGGGATCGGCTTCCTCTACAACTATATCGTCAGAAAGCTGATCATTCAATGCTGCTAGTTCACGATCAAGCTCGTCGTCAATGTTGCTGTGAACAGGCTCCATCTCACCCCAGTCAATACCTCCAGAGGCCGCGGGTTTCGTGGATTCCATTTCGCTCCAATCAATCGCTGCGCTGGTGGCTTTAGGTTGTGTGATTTCCGGCTCACCCCAGTCAAAGTCGCTGCTCTTTGATAGTACAGGGTTACTTTCAGGCACGGTCGGATCATTTCCAGGCAACAAGCTAGCACGATTGTTTTTACTATCCACACGATCATTACTAGCAAAACCCGTATCGTTACTGTACTCGGAAACAATTTCAACCATAGGCATATCCAATAAATTTGCAGATTGAATAACGTGCAACGCAAGAGCAGGACATCCAAGTCTCTCATACGCCTGTGCAGTAGAATAAAACAGCTCCATCTCCAGTTCAGGAGTAATACTTGGTCGTTCAATCATAAATATTGTCTTTAATCGCTCCTGTAAATGTTTATAGAGAATCAACAGCGCTGGATCGTTTACAACCAATCTATCAGGAAGGGTGCCATTTTTGATTTTAGACATACCTCCACCTGTTTGAGAACCCAATACAGATGTGTTGATCTCATTACTACTAGCACCTGAACTTGTGCAAACCAACGTTTCAAGTGGCATCACAGTAGCATAAAATGCCAAGTCGCGTTTTTTCAACAAGTAGTACAAGATAAACACCAACCACCGATCGCCCTTTTCAATTGCATCTGGCACCAGCGTGTTTAATACCAGATCGTTTAAAACAGGTCCATCTTCACCTTCATACACTCTAACAAGCGCAATAGCAAGCTGTATATCATTCAGTTGCTTAATACAGACATAGGCAGCATCCTTGAGATTACCTGCCAAAAGAAAAAATGCTGCTGCATACTCATATCGCTGTTTTCCCAACAACGCAAAAGCATTCTTCAAAGCTGCTTGACGCCATCGGTCATCGTTAAAGTCGTTGGCAAGAAAACGCAGCATTGCTGCTTGTTCTTGGTGTGAAACTGCCAGTCTCCACAAACCTAGCAATACGTTCTTTTTTTTAAGAGCAAGATAAAACAGAGAACAGTTGACGGGATCTTTGGAGTCGTTGCGGCCAAGATATTGGTTACGAGCAATACATTCAAACTGAGATTTAAGCAAACTGGGGTCGGTGAGCCAAAGACCCAAACCAATATCTTTTGCATCAGACCAATAGAGTTTTCCGCCGTGAAGATTTGTAACAATTTGAACCAAAGTATCTTGACAATCGCTCATGAATGCCCATGTAATATCGCGGTTAGTAAGCCGCGGAAGTGGCAATGCATCTACATTTGAAGCGGTAGTAGGCTGCGGTTTAGAAGGCCCATCTAAAATACGTATAGCAGAAGCAGCTTCCTTTAAAGCAGCGGCAGCCAAAGCTTTGGAATGCATCAGCAGCTTCAAAAACAGCACATAACGAATACCGTTTTGATCCAATGATTGATCACATTGAGCCAGCTGTGCAAACGAGTCAATTACACCAAGCAGTATATCGTGATCATTCTCACTCATATGAGGCATACGACATGTACTGAAAAGCTTTAAAAGATCAGCAGCATCTTCAGGTGTGAAATCAGTCGACACAGTTTTATGTGGTATCTTAAACTCTGTATCAGAAAATAGATCCTCTGCAGACAATTTACGTGCAGGATAAGGACTCCCAGGCGATCCGGGAACAACAGTCGGATCCGTATCACAAAATAGCTTCCAAAGTGGAATAGGTACATCAGGAACCGGCCGACCTGCGTCAATACACAATTTAGAAAATCGATGCAGCATAGATAGAATATACTTGACGTTATCATACTGCCCCCACATCAAATACTGAATAAGAAGTTTGGGGTGATGATCAGGAAACCGTCCATTCAATGCTGATGTCGCTTTAAACATATTCAAAGGAGGTAGATCGTGTTTATCTGAAGCAATATCAATCCACTTGCTGTAAATTGCCGAATATAGTTTTGTCGAAACAAAAATAGATCCGTGTGCAAGCCAGGCAACCGTCTGAATTTCGTCTTTTGGAAAATCTGTAAATTCAAGTTTTATACAACTGATTTGAGTCCATTTTGGCATGTCAGCAGTAGAAGCAAGTCTTTCCTGAATGTAAATAGCCACTTTGGACTGCAGCCCAACAGCCATATGACTTTGACCATCAGAAGATAGAAACCAATCAATGCATTTGACTCGCTCATTTAATGTTTCGGACCATTCGGGGATCAAATTCAAGCCAGACGATCCAATCGACCATACGGTTAATTCAGCAGTCGATGTTGATGACTGGGTTACAGCAGCAAGTTTCCCAAAAGGATCGGCAGAAACTAGTCCCAAATCTGCATTTTTTCTCAAATCAAATTGTGAAACCATTATCCATGACATATTTTGGCGCACGTGTGGGATATCAGGCTGAATAATAGGTAGAGTTTCTTGATCACAATGCCATCGTAATACACGGCCATCTAACAACACCGTCTGGAATACATGTGATCCAATGGGTTGATATGGTGATTGAAAATAAACAAGTTCACTGGACACAGATGCAGAGTGGATTGGAGCATCTATTGATAGCGAGCTTTTGGATACCAAAGTAGTTGAGATAACAACAGATTCTTTGAAAAAAACAACCCAGAGGTATACAACGCCGAGAGCTGAAACGCCAAGCAAGTGAATGGTAGAGTATATAGAGTGTGGGTTAAGAGCATCATTATAGTTGGAATCCGAGTTCTTTTCTGGTGGAATACGAAAAGCGTGCAGTAAAATAAGATCAAGAGAATCAACGGCATCAAGATCTAGTTTTCCAACACAAGTATATGGTGACAAGTCTATTTTAAAAAATGCTATCTCTGTAGGCGTAGTTGCCGCAATTATGGGAGAGTTTGGCATCCAGCATACAGCTTTAGGATGAGTCCAGAAAATAGATCTTAAGAATGAAATGTGTTGCAGGCTTGGTACAGTTTGCAACCCACGCTAAAGAATTAAGTAGTGAAAATAGAAAGTCAGATTACAATAATCAACGGTACATGGCTCTGACAAATCAAAAATACTAAAACAAGTCACGGTTTAAAGTACATACTCGAGGTGGGGATGATTTGTATACAGCGGAAAGTCCAGAGGAATCGGTAGTAATCACATATGGCAAACCAGGATGGCGAATAAATGACTCGACTGAGCAACTGTGACCAGACCATGTATAAACCAAATGAAACCGAGGTGCTGTCCACGCATTGGTAAAGAAATCGTCCAGGTTCATGGTAAAGCATGCCAATACACCGTCAGAGCGACGCTGCACTAGCAAAGATAGTTCTGCTGGGAAATAAATGGCTAGCATAGTTTTTCAAAGTTAAAAATGCAAACAATCGATTGTCATTACCAATAACTATAAATAAAATGCAACTGAAAAGCAATGATATAAAATACCTGATTTGCAAAGCGACTGCTGATCACAAAATATTTGCAATGGTCCTTGAAACAAGTCATAATCAGCAGTATTGATCGTTTGCTCAGTCCTCATAACCACAATTAATTTTGGTGTTCTTACTGGTTTGCAAGACAAGTTTTGAATTCCCCAAATAACTACTGCACCACTTTTCAAAACACAAAATAGCATGTCAGGATAATCCACCAACGTATCTGCAAGACGCTTGCTTCGTGACTGTACCACATCGACCGGTTTTTGAGTTGAGCCCATCAAAAATCGAAGTTCAAGTTTGTCACGAAGCTTATGGGTCGTGGCCAAACCAGATCCAGTAAGCCAATGAACAGCACATATTTGGTTTTCAGAGTCAAGATTTTCAGTTTCCATACTCTTGTTTTTAGCTGCTTCAAGTGTATCAGCTTCGGTCACGTATGAACTCACAACAGGAGAAGGTGCTGATGAAGGGATATGTAGATCCATAGTATCGATGGCCAACGACATGGTAAACAAAACAAAACCAGTAGATAGAGTTGGCAATTGAGACCAAATACGGCAAATTCCATCCTCAGCAATAGTAAGTATAGTATTGCTATTTGCTTCCATAGCAGCTGATGAAGCTGGCCAACGCCATTCCATTGTAGAAACTGGGCCATAATGGCACAAATACACAAAGTCCAATAATTTATCATTTGCTGCAGGAGTAGATTGTGATACGAGTTGGCTTTGCGTAAAACCAGACCTTTTTTGTCGATAGTACCAAATCTTGGGCAGGCAATCATTCTAAAGGACTCGATAGAGTGAGATATCGATCGTTGAATATTAAATACAATACACTAATAACATAAAAAGTCTTACACTGCCGAGAGTGGAAAAATAATCGCCCTGTGGAGAAAACTGAGCAGATGCAACAGGTTGAGCAAGTTGTAGTTCTTGGATTTTTTTAAATCCAGACTGCGATAGAATATTCTCGGTGTTCCATAAAACGACTGTTTTACCTCCAACCAGCAGCATTCCTAGTATAATTTTGGATAAGATTAAACAATGTGATTTTAAAATGGATTAATGATAGAATCTGTTACATATACATTAGATTTATATATAATATACCTTGAGAACTCCAAGAAAGAGAAGTTACTGTATCTGGATGGGCTAATGTAGAAACAATATGCCATTCGACATATTGAGGAGCGTTTTTCTCTGTAGTACTAGTAAAAGAGCCATGAGCTGATTCAGACTGCAGCAACTGATTTACATTTGAATTGGGCAGCAGACTTGAACCGGTGGAATTTGAAGAGTGAGAATTATTTGTGGTTTGTTGAATGGATGGAGCAAAACAAGCAACACTGCTTTTGCAAGATACAGCAACCTAAGTATAGATCATATACGTCAGATAAAGTTTGAATGATAAATCAATTCCAGCCATATTCACGAAAATGAAACACCAAACAAGGGTGTTTGTAGAGCAAACAGTTGGTTTGATGAAATGACTGGTCCAGCTTACTGGACAACATTGTGCTTTTGAACTCTGACAAAATGTATTGATCTTGCTCATTTTTGTATAAAAATACAAAACGAATATCTACATTACAGTTTCAGTAAACCCCACATTCTTGACACTTGTTCAATCTACAACTCTACTTTGACCCAGATCAAAAATTGTATGATTGGAATGAAAATGATTGTTGCACTCTTGAAATGTGCAATGATTATTCTTTTAAACTAGAACGCGAGCGTATTCAAGTTTGTAGAATTGTGTTGAAAACAGTCAATCCCAATATCAGGGTTGTAATGGATCAGCAAGATTTCAAACTTTTCAATCGTACAATGTATGACTATACCAAGGAAGATAAAGGGTAACTATAATTGGATTGTGAGCATCGTATGATGGGCGTGTCTGGGGGAATTGAGAATGACAATTAAAGTAGTCGATTTTTAGTAAAAAAGCACAATGGATATTTAATCATTGTCCCAAAGCAGTGACTGCAAGATGGTGTTCCGTTTTACATGAAGATAGCTGTAACTTGAGCCATGAATGTTGAAATAAATATGACAATCTGATAATCTAGATTTGAAGAAATAGCATACCCAAGCAAATTCAGGATGCACAGCAAGTGTGCTGATGTACTCTGATGATTCTATGGAATTGGCGAATGGTTCGAGTCTCTGCAGTAGTTCAAAGTCACCAGAGCATATCAGAAGCTTGTTGCCACTAGCATAAACCTAGAGTCGAGTGAATGAGAAAGAATTCAAGATGAACATTATTACTGATTAGTGGTGATGGTAACCAACACTGTATTACAATGCTTGCATTCTTACTATATATGAATCAGACCCAACAGTACAAGTGCCAAATGTTCGTTCAGTGCTGGCAGTACGACTGCTGTCAAAGCTGTTGCAATCACACCCATTTGGACGAGGTAAAAGTAGTTGTTCTCTGACATGCGGTCTGCTTCCAAGAGGGAATGCAGTCATAGATACGAATTGACAATATAAACTGTTGGCAATGTATCTGCCAATATGTTGCTACTTGAGAAGGAAACTACTGACCAAGCTCGCGTTCAGCCATTGCATTGGATTATACTTTGGCAAGTTCAGATTCGATCACGTTGATATCGATTCAAACGAATGTCAGTTGTTTAATCCAGTTCAATCTAGTTTAGTTTAAACTCGATTCAATTCGTATGAATAATAATGTGTTTAAAGCTTGCGTTAAACATATTATTCTTGTCGCTGTTTTAGCTGAACATAAATTGAATTCACAAATTATTTTTTCTTTCCTTTATTCACATTTAAAATCATCGCATCATGTACTCATCTCGCATGTCATCCATTGCTAGACAGTTGGCTGTCAAGAATGCTTCCGCTTCATTTTCTCGATCCCACACTCTCTCCTTGCGTAGTCAGGTACGATACTTTGGTTTTTATATGAGCGCAGCAAGTGCTTTGTGGTTTTGATCATCAGAATTGATCCATGGCTTGATCATCGCATCTATACTTACCATTGTTTTTATAAACCCATGTTTATAGCTGTGTGCTGCTGGCATGCCTCGTTTTGCCAGGTAATAATATTGATTCAACTGTACTTTGGTTTGAAACTGATCCACAATGACCGTAACTAACTATACTTTTCTTTTTTGATCAATTCAATCTTTGGATTATTTTTCTACATCATCACTTGGATTTCTCAATGAAAATAGTGACAAGGTTCAGGGACAGGTTATTGGTATTGATTTGGGAACTACAAATTCCTGTGTTGCTGGTAAGTTTACCCTGTTTGATTTGTAAATGATTCTTATTTCAATCACTCGAGGCTTTTCTTGAGGTTTCTTTCACATGAGCATCAAGAGTTTAAACTGATCCAATCATACTGGATAACTCTTACAAGCTCTATTTGACATTCATTGATCTCTTTTCAGTCTTGTTTTTGGATCAATCTTGATGTGTTTTTCTCGTTGATCGAAATCGAATTTCTAGATCATTTTTTTGCAATTGTTTCCATCTGATTCCTGATCAAATTCCAACTAAACTTTTGAATTAAATGGCAATCTTTCCCATCTAACTCGCTATACTTTGAACCCTATACATTACAATCATGCAGTTATGGATGGAAAAACCCCTCGTGTGATTGAAAACGCAGAAGGTGGTCGTACCACTCCATCCATCGTTGCTTTCTCCAAGGATGGTGAGCTTATTGTAGGTACACCTGCCAAGCGTCAGGCAGTTGTTAATCCAGAAAACACTTTGTTTGCCACCAAGCGTTTGATTGGTCGTCGGTTTGACGATGCCGCTGTCCAAGAAGACATGAAAACCGTCTCATATAAAATCATCAAGCACACTAACGGCGACGCTTGGGTCGAGGCTCGTGGCAAGAAATACTCTCCTTCCCAAATTGGCGCATTTGTTTTGCAAAAAATGAAGGAAACTGCCGACGGCTTTCTTGGAAAATCTGTCAAAAATGCTGGTGAGTTTACAATGGCTTAAATTTGATCATGACTGCATATTGACACGTAGATTTGTTTAGTGGTTACTGTCCCCGCATATTTCAACGATGCTCAGCGTCAAGCCACCAAGGATGCTGGTCAGATTGCCGGTCTTAATGTTCTTCGTGTGATCAACGAGCCTACTGCTGCTGCTCTTGCATTTGGTGTCGACAAGGAAGGTGACAAGGTTGTTGCCGTTTATGATCTCGGCGGTGGTACTTTTGATATCTCCATTCTTGAGATTCAGAAGGGTGTATTTGAAGTCAAATCCACCAATGGTGACACCCATCTTGGTGGTGAAGATTTTGACAACACTCTTGTGTCGCACATTGTGTCCGAGTTTAAAAAGGAATCTGGCATGGATATATCCAAGGATCGCATGGCTTTGCAGCGTATTCGTGAGGCTTGTGAAAAGGCCAAGATTGAGCTGTCTGCTACTGTCCAGACTGATATCAACTTGCCCTACATTACTGCCGATGCTTCTGGTCCAAAACACATTAATACCAAACTAACCAGATCACAGTTTGAGTCTCTTACAAAATCTCTTATGGACCGTACTATCGAGCCTTGCCGCAAGGCAATCAAGGATGCTGGTGTTTCCACCAGTGAGATCAATGAAGTTATTCTTGTCGGTGGTATGTCCCGTATTCCCAAGGTTCAGGAAATCGTAAAATCCATCTTTGGCAAAGAACCTTCCAAGGCTGTCAATCCTGATGAGGCTGTTGCCATTGGTGCTGCCGTACAGGGTGGTGTTTTATCCGGAGAGGTTACTTCCATTCTCTTGCTGGATGTTACTCCCCTTTCTCTTGGTATCGAAACTCTTGGAGGTGTTATGACCAAGCTTATTACCCGTAACACCACTATCCCAACCAAAAAATCTCAGACTTTCTCCACTGCTGCAGATGGTCAGACTCAGGTTGAGATCAAAGTTTATCAGGGTGAGCGTGAGCTTGTTAGAGACAACAAGATTCTTGGCCAGTTCAACTTGGTCGGCATTCCTCCCGCACCTCGTGGCATTCCCCAGATTGAGGTTACCTTTGATATTGATGCTGATGGTATTGTGAACGTGTCTGCAAAGGACAAGGCTACAAACCGTGATCAATCCATCACTATTGCAGCTTCTTCTGGTCTTTCAAACACTGAGATTGAAAACATGGTTTCCGAGGCAGAAAAGCATGCCGAAAGCGACAAGAAGCGTCGTGAGGTTATTGAAGCTAGCAACAAGGTCGAGTCTTCCATTCACGAAACTGAAAAGGCTATGGTTGACTTTAAAGACAAGATTGACAAGGAAGAGTGTGATAAAATCAAGGAGCAGATCAAGCAGTTGCGTGACCTTATGGCCAAGGGACCTGATGCACTTACTCCCGAGGAGATCAAGGAGGCATGCGACAATCTTCAAAACGCTAGCTTGAAACTTTTCCAAAAGGTGTACGAGCAAAAGAACCATGAAGGTACCGAGACTAAAAAGGAAGATGGTGCATCCGATGCTGAGTTCAAGGATGCCAAGAGCAAGGAGTAGATTGAAAGTGATGTTTGACAAGATAGCAATGTTTTATCCATTGATTTAGAGCCGTATTCACGTAAAATGAAACACTTGTATTGATCTTGCGTTCAGAACCTCTATTTCGCTTTGGAATAAACAATATTTAAATATTCGTTGCGTTTTCCTATTGAAAATTGATTTCAAGACATTCTCAACTTGTGGGCTTGGAATTGTCTGATGAGCAAGTCCGTTGTTATTGCTAAAGTAGTTTTTTGCAAAAATTGATAAATAGGGTTTTACACCTTGCTGTTTGTAGAGTTTTCTCGAAAATAATTGAGCTCAGAATATGAATTACAATGTGATTGTACAGTGTACGGTTATGCAAAAACAAAAGAAATCACTACATTTACAGTCATATTCACGTAAAATAAAACAAGGTCGGAATACATGATAAACAGTCAAGTCCGATTGTTGACAATCTTATTGGGATGCATTATTTTATAAACTCATTAGTTGACTGATCGTTGTGCTTATTCTTGTACAAATATTCACATTTCTGTCCCAATACATTCCGCATCCTTGACATCTGTTCAACCTCCAATTCTCCTTTCCTCCAAAACAAATACTGGGTGACCTGCATGTAGAGTTGCATTTCCAACTGTGGTTTTGAACTATATTGCAAATATCTGATATCAGGATACAAGAGTTTCAATAGAAAAAGTAATCAATTTTTAATAACGAATATTCAATCATTGTTTATTCGGGAGCAAAATAGTCATTACAAGATAAATACAAAAGTGTTTCATTTTACGCAACTACGGCTGTAAAATGTCTATTATTGAGAAGCAGCGCAGCTAACTCCTAGTAGGAATGCACGAGTATTTAACCATTGTATATTCCAAAACAGAAAAGGTAGTTACGGCAAGATGGGTATGTGCGTTTTGTTCATATAAGCACGGCAGTAAAATATACGATTTTACTTGGTGCGTACACAAATGCGTTTGGTGGTAGCGGGTAGCTTGGGCACACTGACTCTTGCAACTGATTGGGTGCGATCTAACCAGGCCACCATTTCGTTTAGATCGGCATCATTGGGAACAGCGATTTGAACCTTGATAGAGGGAGTCAGCACATGCATGGTCCGATCATGTCCTTTGTAGGATACCCCAATGTTGATGGAATCATGTGGAGTCGATGGGGGTACAATGATGGTGTATTCGTACATGGTGTCCTCGAGAGTCTTGGTGATTGTGCCGGGAGTTGAAGGAGAAGGCGGTGTTGGCAATGCCAGATCCAGTAGTGGCACATAGACTTCTTTTGGCTTTTGAGGATGTGGAGAATGTGAAGGACGTGAATCGGCCCGAACTGGCTTCTCAAGTGGCTTGGGAGGTGACTGTGTTTGCTGCCTTGGCAACGGTTCAAACTGTTTTGGCATCTGGCTAGGTTGGAACCCTCTTTGTGCATAGTTCTGCTGATAGCGCGACGGATACGTGCACATCTCGGCTGAGTCGCTACTATCCGAGTCAGAGTTTTGATCATACATGCAAGAGTAGCATTGACATCTTGGATGATGGAGTTGGGGCTGTCGATAGCGGCGTCTGCCTCGCGAAGCCCATTGAGGTTGAGTCTTTGAAAAGTAGTTTGGAGAAAACATGTTGAGAGTAAATGTTGATGACTGAAAAGAACCGATGAATTCTCGTTTTATAACTTTTCTGATTAGCTTAAATTTCTGAATTTGCCCTGAACCGCGTCGATATTGCTGGAAATGTATCGCATTTTCTAGAACACTCGAATGCTCCGCGTCATCTCACCAAAAATTAGCCATATTCACGTAAAATGAAACAAGGTCGGAATACATGATAAACAGTCAAGTCCGATTGGTGACAATCTTACTGGGATGCATTATTTTATAAACTCATTAGTTGACTGATCGTTGTGCTTATTCTTGTACAAATATTCACATTTCTGTCCCAATACATTCCGCATCCTTGACATCTGTTCAACCTCCAATTTTCCTTTCCTCCAAAACAAATACTGGGTGGCCTGCATGTAGAGTTGCATTTCCAACTGTGGTTTTGAACTAGATTGCAAATATCTGATATTAGAATACAAGAGTTTCAATAGAAAAAGTAATCAATTTTTAATAACGAATATTCAATCATTGTTTATTCCAAGGCAATCACTGCAAGATACAAAAAATTCCATTTTATGTAAATACGGCTATAAATTGAGCAATTTCACAAACCAAAAACTTGCAGGTTTAAAAGTGGATTGTTGAGATATAACCAAAAATATATATTTCCGCTCGCCTCTATTCCCATTGTTAGCTATAACCTCACATCAAATGTATTACTCGAAAACTAAATCATCATAGTCATTATCAGCAATCGAATCGTCCACATCAACAATATTCATAATAGGCTGGCCGCTATCTGGTCTGAAAGTATGGGAAATCTGCGCATCCTCTTCAACTTCCTCAATCTTCATCCGTACAGACTTTGTTTCCTTCCATTTAGAGATCTTGTCATCATCATTCAATCTTGCTTCAACACCATAAGAGCCACGATATATTTCAACACAGCTAGAACGCTCAATATCAAGCTGAGAATATACAAAGGAAGTGGTTTCACAAAGCAATAGCCCAGCATCGAAATCCTCTATAGCAGCAACATAGTTGGCACGTTTGGTTCGTGCTTGTCCACGACGAAGGTAGGCCTTGGATTTAATCTCTCCTGTACCCAGCGCAATAGCATCTAAGATCAACCTATTTGGTTAGCGATTCAGAAATATATACCAACTGTAAATAAAAGTAGTAGAATGCTTACGAGTCGCGTCTATTTCAGCCGATTCATAATCGCAGAGCTTTAAATATGTAGCAGCACGATTGGTTAGCACCTGTGGAGTAGGATGAAGATCCAGGCTTCTGTTGTAAAATTTCAAGGCTTCCGAGAAATCATTTGTCTTGAAGCATTCGTTGCCCTTGTATTTCTCCATCACTGCCTGATACTGTTTTACCTCTTCATCCTGCGCGAGAATCGGTGAAAGCTGAGTGGGTTGTGATGGCTGGATAGGTGGTGGTGTAAGTTTGGCAGTTGGACGAATAAGCTTGGGTGCCGATGGCAATGGATGTGGGAGATCAACCTTCTCCAAAGCCTCTTCAATATTAAACTTTTCCCATGCACGGTAGTCTGAGGATTTGATCCGGCTAGGGTTTTTGCTTGTAGACATTAACGGTTTGAGATTTTCATTTGGCACTTTGAGTCGAGTATCGTTTTTTTGACAAGTGGCTACAATATCTCCTGTTTTGGATGATGCAGACATTGTGCCTCGGATGGCTGGTAGAATGCGCGTATATTCAGATACTTGAATAGCATTAGATAAACCTTGTTCATTCATTGGGTCAAGAAAGTCGTCATTTAGTGTTGTTTTGGCATCAGGACAAGTTTTTTTTCTGGCTAGCTCTGCATCTTTTACGGATATACTTGATACCCATTCCTGTAAAATATGTCCATATCGGGTTAAATTTTGGTTTAGGTAGGGTTAAGCGTCATACAGTAACTAATTTGCGGACAACTTACTCTTAACTCAGCATCAATATTCAATGAAATAGTTGCTGATTCAACAGCAGAAAGCGGTACAATTCTAACGAATCGCAATGATTCATAACACAACTACAAGCATCAGATCTATTACTGTTTTCGACAAGTCTGCTGCTCATAAACCATAGCGAAATCATGATACGACAGTAAAACTTACCGTTTTAGTTGCGGACACAGAGTTTCAATGCGAACAAGAATCGCTTCTTCCAATGCAGGATAAAAACCTTCTTTTCCAGACCTGAAACTCAGAGTTAGTTTAATTTTTAAACAAGTCATGATATTGGGAGATAGACTGAACAAAACAGGCTCTAATGGGCATTACTTGAGTACTTTTAATAGCATGGACAACTCGGAAACATCCTTGCAGGTTTCAACATATGCGTAATCCAGATGCTCGACATTGTAGTCAGCGACATCGGGAACTGTATATTGATTGAGGAATTCGGATTCGTTCTTTGGGTCAACAACTTTGGCTATTTGTTGGAGGTCTCTAGGGCCAAGCATAATGGGTTTATTCAGTTTAAAGAGTAGTTGTAAGAAGAAAGCTATCGAATATATTTATCAACATGGTTTAAAAGAGCGGAGTTCTCGACTCGCAATTATCAGTTTGAACTCGTAGTATTCGTTTAAGCCAATTGCTAGACTTTACTGCCGTATTCACGTAAAATAGACCATATCTTGCAGCGATCGACTCTGAAATAAACAATAGTTTAGTATGTGTTGTTTTTCCAGTACATATTGACTTGGATAGACGTCCTCAACTCGTTGGTGTCTGAAATTGATTGACACAACCTCATTCTTTACTATACTCGAGTCATTTATACTGGGTTAAAAATCGACAATAGAGTAGTGTAGTGTAGCTCCAATCTGCGCGCCGTTTGTTGAATGGTTGGTAAACCATATCTGATCAAATAGTTGTTTTGTGGAATGGAATATTGTTTGGAATAACATGCGTGTTTTGGAATGTTGCATGTCATTGTTTAAAAAGTCTTGACAACTTGATCAGTTTTTAAACACACCGACCATCATAGGATACACAACCAAACTATAGTTTTAAACTAGTGTGTTACACCCTGCATTTTTGAGTTTATGGAATCATACATTGTGCGATCATCAGATTCATACATTGCAATCCAAACATTTGTTTGGATAGTGTCGACAAAATTCTGAACATATTCATTGTTGCCAATCTGTCCGACTCAAGAGTTGGTTTTTGTCGTAATATTATCATCAAGATCATTGACATTGTTGACTGATATTTGCGTTTGAAACGTCTCGTCATTCAAGTGTTGATGACCACAGGGTTGTTAAACCATCAATCAATCATTTGATGACAATCTATTATAAAAGATAGATATTCATACGTAAAAGGACATATTTGGATGATGAACCAGCATAAACTGTTTGTGAACAATGGTTTCAAGAATACAATCTTGTTCAGTAAATTGGCAATAATTCAACATGAGACTGTTTATTATGCATTTTAGCCTATTTGATGCTCCCTTATGTGGATACAGCACATCACCAAGTCGTTAAAGCTATATGCTTACAAAACGACCGTTGTTAAGGGACAGCCGCTAAGCATGAATGATTTATGCATCTATCTATTATGGCACAAGTTAGCGTGGCACTATAGAAACAGTATCAAGCGTTTGTGACATGGTGCTAGAATAGGGAGGACCAATTAAAAGGATTGCTGAAAATAGTCTGGATGAAAAGGATGGATAAGCTGAAGGGCGACTAAAGATATTGAGAATACATATTTTGAACAATAATCTTTCATCAACTTAATACCAGCTGCATCGATTGCGAGTTATACAAACTGACTGATCATACCTCGCATTCCATAATTCCTCAAATGATTGTTTTTTTGGTAGCAGTTTTAGCTGCTGCATCTTGCATCAATGCTCAGATTCCTACAGAACAACCTGCTTTTGTTGAACATGCTTGGTCCAAGTATAGACCCATCAACCTTTATCGCGATGCTGGATTGTTTACCTTTTTCCCATATACTCTTGAACAGCGAAATGTTCTAGTGTCAAATGCCGAAAATGTATTCAAGGCAAGTTGTCATTCCATCACAATCTGATACCATAACCAACACAATATATTGCAGCATATTATTAACTGACCAACACATTACAATCGAATTCCAATGATTCAACATGTCCAGGCATGGGTCAATTTTGAATCAAAAATGAAACATCATGGTCAAGAGGCAAATCCGTATCCTGCTCTCGAGCATATCCGAAACAATATCGAAACCCTTACTGATAAACAGCTCCAGCTTGGGTTACTGGATGCATTCACTCGAACTCGCGATGCACATACTTTCATGACGTTAGCTGGTCCGTATAGTTGCTTTTATGTTACCACGGGAATCTTTTTTCAATTTATTGATGGTCCAGGAGATATGATCAAAAACCCAACAATCGTCGTCAGTAAACCCGTCAATCGTGAAATATTTGACCTACTACGTAATACTGCTTATAGCCAAATTAGAGTTGGAGATCAACTTGTCAGTATTAACGGCCTCACTTTTTACCAGTGGAAAAACAAACATCGAAATGTCATTGGTGGGTCTACCGAGTCTCATAGTCAGCGTTTAGCATTAAAATATTTGACTTCCAGGCATGGATCTCATACCCCACTTCCTGATGAAGACTCTATCAAGCTTAAACTAAAATCTCGTGGCGGCATCATATACGAAGTTGATGCACTACACATGTCTAAGCATCGATATAGCTGCTGGAAGTACTCCAGTAAACTTTACAAACATTTGACAGGCGTGGTTCTCAGTATACCTCTAAAAAATACAGTTGCTGTAAAATCCAATAGTCATGCCTTGTCAACTACAACAGTCGATGATCGTACCACAAGTTCCCAATCTACCAAGTCATTGGTCACTCCTCGCCATATTCGAAAACGGGATCAAAACAGTCAATATCAAGACACAGGACGATTGTCAAAACGTGATTTACGGATTTCATTTTATCAAACGAGTATACTCGGACTATCTTGGACAATTTGGAGACCCAACGATCAAAACATGGGAATAATCAGACTGGCATCGTTCAGCTGCACGTCCCGCACAACAAACATGCAAAATACTCTTGAAGCCATTCTTGAAGTGACAAGACTATTGAAGACAGTGCTCAAAAACACCAATTCTATTTTGATCGATGTTCGTGAAGGTGGTGGTGGATGTCCAATTTTTGCAAATGCCATTCCACAGCTATTCAAGAGCAAGCTTGAACCATTTCAAGTGAAATATCTCATAAACAAGGTCACATCCAATATGTTTGCAAATTCACCCGAGGAATTGAAATCATCTCGTAATGCTTGGTCCAAAACACCAGCTGGAAGCAAGTATTCAGTATTGCATTATATTATGGATCCAAAGGAATTAGGAACTTACAATCCGATTTATGATAAACCAATGGGTGTATTTACCAGTGGTAATTGCGTTTCTGCATGTGAAGTCATGACAGAATCCGTGCAGTCATTTGGAATCGGAACAGTGTTTGGTGAAGATGTCACAACGGCAGGTGCTGGTGCAAATGGTTGGGATCTAGATCCAGAACTTATCTTTTATGATCCGACAGACTTTAAACCAATGCCATTCAAAAAAGAGTTGACATCTGATACCAAGGAAACATTTTACAACGGAATGGCTGTAGGTCATCGGGCATTTGTCCGTAATGTCAATCATAAAGAACATCCGATTGAAGATATTGGCATCGTATCTGACG